TTTGTATGCGCGCGTAGTAGCTGTGCTAACTTCCTCCTCAGTTTTACTGCAGCTGTGTGAGTGTGTGATTGTGAGAGAGCGGCGTCGACCTGCTGTCAACAGCAGCGCCCTCGACACAACCTCAACACTGAGGTCAACGATCGACGTAAGTAATACATGCTCACAAGGCAGGGATACGAAATTGTGAGTTCCTTCTCTTTGTATGCGCGCGTAGTAGCTGTGCTAACTTCCTCCTCAGTTTTACTGCAGCTGTGTGAGTGTGTGATTGTGAGAGAGCGGCGTCGACCTGCTGTCAACAGCAGCGCCCTCGACACAACCTCAACACTGAGGTCAACGATCGACGTAAGTAATACATGCTCACAAGGCAGGGATACGAAATTGTGAGTTCCTTCTCTTTGTATGCGCGCGTAGTAGCTGTGCTAACTTCCTCCTCAGTTTTACTGCAGCTGTGTGAGTGTGTGATTGTGAGAGAGCGGCGTCGACCTGCCTTCAACAGCAGCGCCCTCGACGAAACCTCGACACCGGGCCCCAAGAGCTTGAAGGCCGGTCCCCTGGGATAGCGTCGACCTTGTCGTGGTCCAGGGGCTCTAGTACTTCTTCGGAGGGAAGCCAACAGACGCTTACTAACAGGTGAGTGGCCTCGCACTTTCGTCCACATATTTCTTCTCATTCGTTCTACGCAGTTCTATTTCAGGGCGGTGCGTGTAAGTAAGCTCAAGACGATCGACGCCCTTATCATCAACACTCGGGCACGACGACTTCAATCAAACACGACATCAACACCGAGCGGAGGCCTCTGGACGTCCTGGGCTCTCTGGGTCTGCTGGGTCTCTCGTGGGTCTCGTGAGCTTAATCTCTGGGCTGCTGGGCTGAAGCTAGTCTTGCTAGAGCTAGGCGACATCGACATCGACCTCACGACCGAGCTCAAGCACGACTTCAACATCGACCTCCCGAGCGAGATCAAGCACGACAGCGACACCGAGCTCCAACGAGCTTCAAGACCGGTCCCCTGGGATAGCGTCGACCTTGTCGTGGTCCAGGGGCTCTAGTACTTCTTCGGAGGGAAGCCAACAGACGCTTACTGATAGGTGAGTGGTCTCGCAGTTTGATTCACATACTTTTTTTCTGACCCGTATTGCGCAGTTTTATTTCAGGTGCACGAGTGCGAGTAAGCTCAAGACGATCGCCGCCCTGAGCAACAACACTCCGGCACGACGATGGGTTCGGTCGACGACTCCAATCAAGCACGACATCAACACCGGGCGGCAGGACTTGGGGTATCTTGGGCTGGGTCTCTGGGTCTACTGGGTCTCTCGTGGGCCTCGTGGGTTTTGTATCTAGGTTGCTGGGCTGGGGCTAGGCTGTCTAGAGCTGGGCGACATCGACCACACGAGCGAGCTCAAGCACGACTTCAACCTCGACCTCACGACCGAGCTCAAGTACGACATCAACATCGACCTCACGACCGAGCTCAAGCACGACCTCGACACCGGGCTTCAAGAGCGTCAATGCCGGCCCCCTGGGAGAGCGTCGACCTTGTCGTGGTCCAGGGGCTCTAGTACCTCTTTGGAGGGAAGCCAACAGACGCTTACTGACAGGTGAGTGGATCCATGTTTTCGTCCACGTATTTTTTCTGATTCGTTCTATTCAGTTTTATTTCAGGGCCGTGCGTGTCAGTAAGCTCAAGACGATCGACGCCCTTATCATCAACACTCGGGCACGACGACGGGTTCGGTCGACGACTCCAATCAAGCACGACACCAACACCGGGCGATGGGATCTAGGGTATCTTGTTCTAGGTCTCTCGGTTTTCTAGGTCTCTTCCTCTACTAGTTCTCTTCGTCTGCTGCGTCTTGTGGGCTTGGTCTCTAAGCTTGGCTCGTGGACTTGATCTCTAGGCTGCTGGGCTGGGGCTAGGCTGTCTAGAGCTGGGCGACATCGACAGGCTCACGAGCGAGCTCAAGCACGACACCGACATCGAACTCACGACCGAGCTCAAGCACGACTTCGACATCGAACTCACGACCGAGCTCAAGCACGACATCGACACCGAGCTCCAAGCGCTTCAAGACCGGTCCCCTGGGATAGCGTCGACCTTGTCGGGGTCCAGGGGCTCTAGTACCTCTTTGGAGGGAAGCCAACAGACGCTTACTGACAGGTGAGTGGATCCATGTTTTCGTCCACGTATTTTTTCTGATTCATTCTATGCAGTTTTAACAAGTTCTTTCGTGCGTGTAAGCTCAAGACGATCGACGCCCTGATCATCAACAATCGAGCACGACGACGAGTCTGGTCGACGACTCCAATCAAGCACGACGTCAACACCGACGGCGGAATCTAGGGTATCTTGGGCTGGGTTTGTAGGTCTTCTGTCTCTTTGGATATGCTGGGTCTCTTCGTCTGCTAGGTCTCTTCGGCTTGGTTTCTAGGTTGCTGGGCTTGGGCTGGTCTCGCTGGAGCTAGGCGACATCGACAGCGACCTCACGAGCGAGATCAAGCACGACTTCAACATCGACCTCACGACCGAGCTCAAGCACGACCTCGACACCGGGCTTCAAGAGCGTCAATGCCGGTCCCCTGGGATAGCGTCGACCTTGTCGTGGTCCAGGGGCTCTAGTACCTCTTTGGAGGGAAGCCAACAGACGCTTACTAACAGGTGAATGGCCTCGCACTTTCGTCCACATATTTCTTCTCATTCGTTCTATGCAGTTTTATTTCAGGGCGGTGCGTGTCAGTAAGCTCAAGACGATCGACACCCTAATTATCAACACTCGGGCCAGACGACGAGTCCGGTCGACGACTCCAATCAAGCACGACATCAACACCGGACGGCGGGAACTAGGGTCTCTTTGACTAAGTCTCTAGGTCTCCTGTCTCTCTGGGCCTGCTGGGTCTCGTGGGCTTGATCTCTAGGCTTCTGGGCACTGGTCTTGCTACTTGGCGACATCGACATCGACCTCACGACCGAGCTCAAGAACGACTTCAACATCGACCTCACGACCTCGCTCAAACACGACATCGACACAGAGCTCCAAGCGCTTCAGCTTCAAGACCGGTCCCCTGGGATAGCGTCGACCTTGTCGTGGTCCAGGGGCTTAGTACCTCTTCGGAGGGAAGCTAACAGACGCTCGCAAGGTACGTTCTCCTACTTCATTTCACGTCGTTGATTTTTTTTCTAGATTCTCTTATAGGCGTCTGATTTCTCTCCGTTTCGCTGTGGCTTTTGTCTTTTCATTCTTGTTTTCATCTTCTCGTACTCGCTTTAATCTTGACACCCTCGGGCTATCTCTATGTTCATCTCTCTATGCTCGTCTCAAGTCTTCAGCTTGAGCCCTCCCCTGGGAGAGCGTCGACCTTATCGTTTGCCGTGGTCCACCGTCCAGGGGCTCTAGTACCTCTTCGGAGGGAAGCCAACAGACGTTCACCAATAGAACAACAGGTGACTGCTTCTTGTTTGTGATATCATCGGACGTTCGTGGAAGTGCGCACATGTATGTATCGTATGTAGTAGGTACTATAGAGCTCCGTAATGTGTCAATGAATCTGAGTTCTGCTCAATATTATATTTTGCTTCCCGTCATCGTGCTCCAAATCGAGTGACCCAGACATCCTAGGATCCACCTCCAAACTCCAACTGGGATGGACGGAGTGCTTAGAAGTTAGGGCGACCGTTTCAAGTCATATGGGATTCGGGATTCGGGATTCGGAAAGGACGAACGGCGATGGATTTGAATTCGAACTTGTTTCAGAACCTGCAAGACGTGCAGTAGGCAGAAAAAAAAAGCTCGCATGCACTGTGACTCCTATCTATAGTGAAGTTGCTACTTCGGTTCCCGGGCCCGTTATGGGTCATTGAATGCCAATGATCGGGGTGTCAATGCGAGTGTTAGTGACGCCCGAGCCGAGGAAGATTGGAAAGGCTGGACTCCTCGACGGCGACTGGATGATTGCATGGATGGATGGATGGATGAATGGACGGATGCTGAAACGTTGACGTTGGGCGATACTCACACTTGGACGTACGACGTAACGTCCTGGCCTCGATATATAACATCTAGCGCACGTCAAGAACTCGTCGAACATGGATTCCAAGTACACGCACCCGTCAAACAAACACCACTGGACAAAACATAAGCAAAGCATCTCCGATTCCTTAGCTGATAGTATATACATCAATCCAACCCATAGTTTCGTACAAATCCCCCTCTTCCATCCGTTCTCCCTTGTTAGCATGCTCAAAGCACGACTCGAGTCTTAACTTCCCCCAAGTCTACGCATATCCCACACGAACCCCCCCATCTCAAGCCCTCCTAACCAAAATCACCGCCATCGGCCACTCCACATCCACCTCCTCTCCCTCTCCCTCTCCCTCTCCCTCTCCCTGCCCCCCCTCCCTCTCCAAATCCTCCCTAACCCCCTCCCTCAACACTCCCAAAAACCGCCTCTCAATCCCTCCTCCCTCCTTCCCTTCATCCTCCGGGTAGCGTTGCTTGAAGGTATGGAGGGACGAGAACGAACCGAGGTAGTCGAGCAGGGAAGACCAGGACATGCGTTTGCGGAGGAGGATGGGGAGGTGGGGGGTGGGTAGGGAGGGGTGGTGCGAACCTGGGTGAGGGGGAGAAAGAGGAGAAGGAGGAGGAGAAGGAGAGGGTTCAGTATGATGTGGGTCTAGGAAGTCAGGTAGTCAAGGACTCGAACTCGGGTGCAGGACCACACCGTACCGCAACGGTATGAGGTATGAGGTATCAAGGAAAATATAAGACGGAGACGAGCAGTCCCGAAGCGCCACCGCCACACTCTCCCTTCCCCTTTCAAACCAAAATACGTGAAAGACTCACCGACCCAAAAAACCCGCCGAAAATCCTCCCACCCCTCTCCCTCTCCCTCCCCCTTCTCTCCTGCACCTGTGACCACCCAAGGCTCCGGCACCCCCATCAAATGCCCATCCACGATCCTCCGTCCAGGCTGCTCCCAATGCGGACCGAGCGAAGTAGCCGGGTCTGATCCTTGGGCGTAGGCGTGGATGAGGGGGGTGAGGCGGGGGTGGTGAGAGAGGCGGAATTCGGAGTAGCCCTGTGTGGGGGGTGGGTGGGTGAGCGGATAGAGAAGGGGGGGAGAAAGGGATGGGAGGGAGGGTGTGGAAGGGGGAAGGAGGGAATAGGGCAAGAGGGAATAGGGCAGGAGGGAAGGAGGGAAAAGGAGAGGAAGGGAAGGAAATGGAGAGGTATGGAGGAGAACGAACATACCCAAAACGCCACACTGCCCCCCTTCCTCAACACACGCTTCGCCTCGGGCCACATCCTGTTCCAGTCGAACCAGTGGCACGCTTGTGCTATGATTCACACGCAAAAAGTCATTCGCATCACTTTCTTGAACTGCACAAGCTGGAAAGGCAGAGATAGCAAGGGTAGACACACCAGCAACCAGAAGATCCACACTCCCATCCCCCAGAAACTTCAGATCCTCCGCGGCGGACTGCACGAACTCGACCTTCGTCCCCTGCAATAACTTTGCATCGGGTGGAAGAGCGGAGATGGAGGCTCGCGCTTGGTCTATCATCTTCGCGGAGGGATCGACGCCGATGATATGTCTGAAGGGCGTCAGTTCCGTCGTCGCTTGACCTGTCCATATGCATCAATCCTCCACATCAGCATTGCGTTAATTGCAGCAGGATAGGGGGGATCGGGGAAGGACGTTGGATAGGGGATGATGTTGAATAGAAGCCAAGGAAAGACAGAACGCACCAGTCCCACATCCCAAATCGACCGCCCTCTCCCACTTCGCACCCAGCTTGCTCTCATGATACTTGAATATAAAATCGTACAACTGCCTCGGATACGTCGGGCGCGCGGCTGCGTATCGAGCGGTGTTGAATGTCGTTTTACCGAAGGTCGCCATCCTATCCTTTCTCTGTTCTCCCTGTCTTCCTGTACTTGCGATGAAGAAATGCGGGGAGCCAAGCGATGACTCGTCCGCCAAGGCCGGTCGCGAATGGATATTGGTAAGACGCGTGGCTCGGCCTGGACCTAAAAATGGACGTAAATTCAAATCAAAATGAGCGAATATGATGTCCTCGCAAACTCCACCAATGACGTTCCCGTTCCGGATTCCACTCGAGGCAGTCGTCTCGCCTCATTCCTTGTTCTACTTCCGTCCCTTGACGTCTTCCAAGTTCCTTGTATCAGGCAGCCCTGTCTACTGTATCGAATTAATAAATAGCCGTAACCGTCCGTCCCAATCAACCAGATACGAATAACCTTTCTCTCCTCCTCGGAAACGAACAGGTTGGCCTCCCACGACAGGCCTTCCCATCCACCCATCCACCCTCCCTCCCCATCACATATATAACCCCCTCTGCTTTTTACCTCCCTCGCCTCGTGCCCAGCGCTGAACGTTGAAGGCCCACCATGAAAGCCTTCCTCCGCAAAAAATCCACACCCGACGCCCCTCCCACAATCGACTCCCCGCCCCGTCTTCCACCCCTATCTTCACTGGGAGGTTCTGGCTCTCCGCCTTCGTCGCCGCCTACGCCGCTTTATGCACGGTTTGCGAGTACGTCGCCGTATGCTGTGTCCTCTCCTTCTCCGGACTCTTCATCCAACGTGAATGGGGGGACGAGTGTGAGTGGGGGGATAGGGACGAATGCGAATGGTGGGTCGAATGCGAATGGAGGGATAGGGACGACGGGGACGAATGGCGCAACGAGACCAGTCGTCTCAAGCCCAATGACCCTCGGGTCCGCGAGTCGTATCAAGACGCGCCAGAGACCCTCCCAAGAATCCGTAGCAGTCTCACCGGCACCGGCACCGGCAGCGGGGCAGAAAGTCTACAGCTCGTCGGCGGGGAGCAGGACCGATCTCGGGAATGCGCACGCAAATGGGAACGGAACTGGAACTGGAGGGAGCGTGGTGAGTCTGGGGCGGAGCTCGAAGGAGGGGAGGAAGTTGAGAAGGGGGAGTGAGACGCAGGGGCAGGGCCAGGGGAGAGCAGTGAGGGGAGAAGGGCATGGGAATGGGAAGGGGCAAGGGGAGGAGTTGTTGACGAATGGGCCGTATGGGAGTCAGGGGTCGTTCGTTAGTCGTGAGTGTTTCTCCTTGTTTGTTTGTTTACGATTGTTCTGCATGCCCCTACTTCCTTGTCGTTTCGACTCTTTCTTCTGTGGGCCGTGGACCGCGAAACGACGACGGACAGATATCGGTCGGTCGTCTCTGTTTGCCTATGCCCATATTTTTCCCGGCTGGCAGCTAGCTCTAGCTTTTCTGACTTTTGATCGCGTTGTCGTCGTCGTTGTCGTGGGAGATCCGCTCGTTCGAATCGCTATCCCTGTCCCCATCTTCCCGCGCCGTGCCGTCATCACATCTCTTCAGTATCCAATACGATATCGCTAACACAATGATTTCGTCCGTGTATACTTCTAGCTCCTCCTCCTCCTCCTCCTTCGAACGACAAACCCCCCATCTCCGTCCCCGCCCCCGTCTCCATCCCCATCAACGAAACAGACGAAGCGCAAGTGGGTCAAGAAGCGGGCGAGAGACCGGTTTTGTCATTAGTGGGATCTGCGCGCGTTGTGGCCGAACATGGATATGGATATGGTGGTGGTGGTGAGTCGATTCGTTCGTTCATCTTTTTCGTTGTTCGTTGGTTGCTTTTGGGACGGTGGAGTGCGATGCGGATGTGGGCGAGTCTGTTTGGGCGTTCGTGCGGTTCATCCCCGCCTTCCCTCGCCTTTCTCTACTTCTGTTCATTTCCGCTAGGGTATGGAGGAATAGAAGGGATGGGTGGGTGGGTGGACGCACTACATCTTCTATTCATCCCCCGTTCCCTATCTTCGAGGCTTCATCTCCGCGCTTAGACCGCTCGACGTTCGACGTTCGTGCATCATGTCTGTCTGCCATCCATCCATTCATTTCTTCTACTTTCGGCGCGACTAAGCACACGGCGTTCAGAACGCGACTAAACGCATACCGCATAATCGCCCTTAGTCTCCGAATCGACTTCGATTCTCCTCCTCTCTAGTCTCTTCTCCTCTACTTCCCTAGCCTACTCTGTATTACTCTAGTCTAGTTTACGATAGATGCTCTATTACGACACAGATCCTCATTCGTATCCTTATCCCTACTCGCACCCGCCTTTCCTCCCTCGTCCGCTACACACATCCATTCCACCCCTCCACTCCACTCCCGCTCCTAACTTCCCCCGCCGCCACCTCCGCCACTTACACCGATGCGCTTCATCCCTTCCATTGGCATCTGCGCACCTTTACCCTTCGTACCTTTCTCGGCGTTTTTGTTTTTGCATCCACGTTCGCGTTCACGTCCGAATTCGGATACGCGTTCACGTTCACATTCACATTCGCGTTCACGTCCTTGTTCTGATTCGCATCCTGACCCACGTTCATCCACAGCTCCGGACCCTCACCATCAACACATGGACCCCCATCCCCACCCACAACCGCCTCATCACAAAGAACCACGACCCGACGCACAAGATCCCTCCTCGGCCCTCCCCTCGCCCCCGCTCTCGCCCGTCCTCCAATCGCCGTCTAAACCGAAGACGAAGACGAACGGGAAGATGAGTGGGGGTACGGGTAATGGTACGGGTACGGCTAATGGTACGGGTATAAAGCGGTATTCGCGCAAGGGGGAGGCTGTTAGTGTTAGTGTTAGTGTTTCGGGTGGGGATGGGGGTGGGGACGGGAGTGCGAGTCCGAACGGCAATGTCCCGACGACGCCAGCAGTACCACAGTCGAACGGAAGACCCCAAGGCGCAGCAGCACCATACATGCGTCCCGAGGACGCGACCTCGATGCGGTCTTTAGGGTATGGGGATGGAGATGAGTATGAGTATGAGTATGTCCCTGGTCTTGGGCTTGGTCTTGGTCCTTTGGCGAGCGGATACGTCTCCGCTGGATCTGAGAGTCGCAGGAGCGTGGATGGTAGAGCCGAGAGTCATAGGAGTGTCGATGGGAGATCTGAGACTCACAGGAGCGTGGACGGGAGATCTGAGGCTCATAGGAGCGTTGACGGGAGATCTGAGACGCACAGAAGCGTGGACGGGAGATCTGAGACTCACAGGAGCATCGATGGTAGATCTGACAAGGACAAGAGCAGAGAGAGGGGTAGGGGCAGGGACGCGAAGCGGAGGTCGGCGTCGGCGAGCTCGAGCGGGTCGTATGAGACGATGGTGACGATGATGGGGGAGAAGGGGACGGGGAGCGCGATTGTTAGGGGTAAAGCTGTGAGTGCGAGTCTTTGAGTGCTGTGTTTTTGAGTTGTGTTTGTGTTTATGAGGAGTGTGCATGCATGCTGATGCGTCTTTATTGTCGTCAAGTTGCCTGCCCTGGAAGAATCCACCGTCGTTTCTTCTCCTTCCTCTCCTTCTCCGTCCGCGCCCCCACCTACACAGATACCCAAACCGACGCACCATACCCACCGCACACACGGCCGGACGGCGAGCGACGGCAGTGCGATTGCGAGCGTCGATACCCATACCCACTCTCATTCTCATACCCACTCGCATAGTCATAGTCATGGCCACAGCCGTTCCACAAGTGCAAGCCAAATCCCAATCCCAACGCCAAGTCAGATCCCGTCGCCGAGTCAGATCCCAACTCCAACCTCCCCCGTACAGATCCCAACCCAAGGCCCGCGCCTCCGTCGTATCTCAGGCTCGACCTCCATCTCTGTCTCTTCCGATAAAGATAAAGATAAAGACACAGACAAACACGTACCCGGGCCCATCACCCCTCCGCACTCCCTCGACGAGCATACCTCGATCTTGTCCGGAACCCATTCCTCTGCTTCTTCGCCCGCTCACGCTCGTCATTCTTCTTCCTCTTCGCCTGCTCACGCTCGTCATCGGACCGCGTCACTCTCCCGCTCGAAGCGTAATACGCTCCAGAGTCAGAGTCCGGGTCAGATCGTGTCGTCTGCGGGTTCAGTTAAGGATGAGGAGGCTTCGAGTATGGGTGTCGGTGTGGGGATGAGGAAGGGACCGTTGATCTTTCAGAGTAAGGAGGAGAGGTTCGGGAGTGCCGGGATGGGGATGGGGAATGGACCGTGGCCCGTGCAAGCTTCCGCTCCTGCTCCTGCTCCGATACCGATACCGACCACAATCACGACCGAGTCCCAGCCTGTCGACATCCCGGTCTTCATCCGTCCTTCGGAGGATAAAGGATTCATACCACCCCGTCGACGCAGCATGCAGATCCTCGCACCGTCTACATCTCCAGCAACATCGATGTCGGTCCCCGTCCCTTCGTCTTCTCCTGTTTCGTCTTCTCCTGTCTCTTCATTACGGGGAACGCACGCACAGGTGCCGTTGATGACGAGGGAAGAGAGGGAGATGGAGAAGGAGAGGAGTAAGTCTAGGGAGAGACCGCATAGACGGCATGCAACGGGTATAACCACTGCGGCGTCGGCACAGGGACAAGTTCACTCAGCGCAGACGTCGCCCGTCACGCCGAGACAGACTTATGGAGACCTCTCCAACGCGGACGAGCCACCACTACCACCACTTTCACGCGCAGAGGTCCAGAGCGTCAAGAGTTCCGTCTCGACGACGTCAAGCCACCACCATCAGAACCACCACCAGGGCAGGTTCTTCGCGAACAATGACGTCCACCCGCTACCAGTGTTGGCACAGCTGCGGGAGGCGAAGACGTCGCAGACGAGTTTGAGCATGAACGAGAGCGACGAGAGTTCGGCGTATCCGAGGACGTCGATGTCTCATCATTCTCAGTCTCATTCGGGGTCGAAGCCGAATTCGAGGGCGGGACGAGAGCGTGAGGGCGAGGTGGACGGTCATGCTAATGGGGATGTGGCTGGAGCGGGAATTAAGGTGGCGAATGGGACGAATTCGGGGGCTGAGGCTGAGGATGGGGCGTTGAGCGTGGAAGCGTCCGTGAAGGATAAGGATAGGAAGAAGAAGAAAGCAGAGGAGAAGGAGAAGGAGAGGCAGAAAGAGAAAGATAGGTCCGTCACGCCGCATAGTCAAAGTCGACACCTCGCCTCTCCCCCGCCCCCGCTTTTGGCCCCCTCGACGTCCGAGAAATCGCATAACCGGCTGCGTAAGGCTCATAAACATTCTTCGATGCCTCCGCCCGCGTCTTCGACTGCTTCGAGCACGAACCATAATCATCGCGAGTCGATGGTGATCCCTGGTACTCATTCGCCGACCCCGATCCCGAACCCGAGCTTGAACCCGACTTTTAGCGACTCGGGCACGGTTTCGACTCAGGCCGGCTCACAGACTTCGCGGAAGACGAGTTCGCGTCGTTTATTGACGAAACAACGACCCTCTGCCAATGGGAAACACGGACATGCTCATGGCGATCCCCAGCAACAACAACAGCAACAGCCCGAAAGGCCGACTCATTCGAGAGAAGAAGGCTCGCTCGTCATCGTCGACGCTGATATACCCCACATTAACGGCATCGACATCGACCATGATACCCAACAGCAATCACGCCAGACGCACAAGCACAAAGCCGGCATCCTTTCGATCGACGAGGATCCGTTCGCCAAGTCTCCCATTCACGCACCCGTTCCTAGTAAGGCTCCATCGCAGAAGAGCTCGACTCTGGCTTCTCGATCTGACGCTATCAGCACCTCTTCTGCATCTGATGTGATGGCCAACAACAACAACAAAGGCGGGGAGATGAGTCCGAGCGGCATGGTCATGGGGATGGAGATGGAGAATGGGCATGGGCATGGGCATGGGCGAACGCCGCGGAGGGCCAGGGAGGGCCACAACGATCAGCATCAGAATCAGAACCGTCGCCAGAGGAGGATGGGCGTGAGTGATGAGGGGGAGTTGGGTGATGAGGATGATGGGGGAGGCCGACATGGGTATGGTGGGGAACTGAACGGTTCCGAGGACCATAGTCACTATAGCGCGAGCATCGGGAGCGGTGGCGGTGGCGGTGGCGGTGGCGGGATCAGCATCAACGGGGCCACATCAAACGGACACGGATACTCATCATCAGCGCCCTCTGTCGTTGAGAAGAGATCGTACCGGAGCGGACACGGGCACGGATATGGACTTGGCCGTTCAGGATCAGGATCAGGATCAGTGTCCGGGTCGGAGGATCAACACCGTGGTAGGAGGATGATGCTTCCGTCCGGGGTCGAGGAGGTCTTGTCTTCCGAAGTGGAAACCGTTCCGGAGGTCGACGAGGACTGGTCGTGGTACCCGCTCGTCAAGCATCTCAGCGAACCTGCGCTCCTCGCGGCGTTACTCAACGAGTTATCCTTCCCGGAATGGATGGCGCTTTGGAGCCTGACGAAGGAGGTCCGGACGATGTTCGAGGAGGTGAGGGAGTTGAGGGAAGTGGCGCTCGAGCGATATCTTGGCATCGTTGGGTATGTGAGGTGGAGGTGGGAGCCTCATACTCCGGAGCCGTTGAGGTTGACGTTGAAGGAGCTCGCGATGTATATGCGGGGCGTGTCGACGCCTCCGTTCGAATACACTCAGACGGCGGCCGCGGCGTTCTTACCAGAGAAGACAGAGGAACAGATCGACGAGGAGAGAGGGTTGAAGAAGGGAGCGAGGGCTTATACGAGGCTTGTCATTCGCTTGAGGGAGCAGGCAGAGACGGAAGCGGAGCAGGTCGCCATGATGAGGAGGGCGCCTTCGTCTCTCAACGGACATAGTCCAGTCACTACCCCGGGTGGAGGTGTCGTTGGATCCCGTCGTGCCAGTGCCGGAGGCCCTCCGCCCGCTTGGGGCTCAGTCCCGCCTCGCCGTGCATTCTCTCGACAGTCCACTCGTGCACCCTCGCCCTCGTTCTCCATCTATGCGCATGGACATAACAATGCGCCGCGGGAGGATCCGGCGCCTTTCCTCATCGGTGCCACTTTCAGGAGTCCCTTGTTCAGGCTGAGGAGGGCGCCTTTGCTTAGAGTTTTCGTGCCTTCAGCGGAGGGAGAGTGGTTGAGCGATGAGGCCATTTTGGAATGTGAGAACGAGCTGAAGAAGGCGGGAGTGGTGGCGTTGTTGAGGCCGGGCGATATCGTTTGGGATACGGCGTTGGGCGACGAGGGTAACGTTGGGCGGCTGGCCTGGGATGGCAGATACTTGATCGTACGTATCCCCGTCGTCGTTTATCACTATCATTTTCGAGGGGCTTGTCTGATGTTGTGATTTTTTGTTGTTTTGTTTAGGACCTCGATTTCACGTATTCTGAGACAGGCGACCTCCCGGCCTATCTCCCTTCGCTCGCGTTCCCGCCACCGTACTTCCATCGAGTCATCCGCACCGCCGGAGAACACAACAATCCCGTCTGTCACATCGACGTGTCGCCATGGGGGAACGAAATCATGTCGCACTTGCAGCTGCTGCAGGATCGAGTCAAGACCGAGACGTACGTTTCTTTTCTTTTCCCTCTTTGCCTCGGGACCATACAAATTTGACTTAAAAACATTTGAATTCAAACTTATCAGGCCCCAGGGAAGCGTCCACATGGTAGTCCACTGGGTCCACCGTTCCTCTTTCAGGATTCGGACGCCGCCACCATACCAAACCCAGTCTCAACGCTCACTCCCGGGCGCACCGCTTCTCGTGCTCCCGACCAAAGAGCGACGGCCGGTAGATATGGGTTGGGTGGGCACCGTGGTCGTCGAGACGGAGGGTACGAACGAGGGGCTTGCGGATTTGAAGGGCAGGTGTAGGGGTGGTTATCCCTCCAGAAAGGGCTCGAAACGAGTTGCGGATGGTGCGGAGAATGGGGCGAGCGGGGAGGTGCCGAATGTTGGCGAGAGGGAGAGGTGTGTGTGGAGGATATTGAGGGAGAGGAGGTATGTGGTTTTTCGCCTTTGCTTCTGCTAGAGGGATGATCGACTGATGATGTTTGTTGCTTTTGGCTTGTAGTCGACCGGGAGAAATATGGCTCAAAGCGGTCACCTCCAAGGAACGGCTGCTTCCTTGAAACTTCATCTTGGACATTTATACGACGACTCATATCTACGAGACTCTCCGCGACTTTTTCTTTTTCTCCTGCTGCTATGGTTCCGACTCGGCGTCAGATATACGAAATTGCTGAGTGTCTATGGACTTTATACCTTGTGTTGTTATCATCTTGTTGTGCTTGACCATTTTTGCTTTTGTTAGATCTCCTGCATGTATCATCGTCTCTTGCTGCTGTTATTGTGTCATGTTGTGCTCTTATCTTGATCTGAATGCCATTCACGGACAATCATTCAGTGTTGTTTCTGTTCACGTCCTTTCGGGTGGCGCAGAGTGTGGCCCATGGGGCAACCGTCTTTCTACGCAAGATGGCTAATCCTGCCCTCGTACAAGCGACCAGATTCTTACAACACACTTCCGAATCAGACAACACACTTCCGAGGCAGCAGGCGCAGTTCGGTCAACAAGTACATCCTACCAACTCCAAGATGACAGCTGTCGTTAGGCAAGTCCGGCGCCACATCATTGGGTGACTCTCAACAGGCTCGTCTTTCATTCTGTCAAAGCTCCGTGTCTCGCAGATCTAACCATATATGCCAGGTATGGCTTGCTTGATGTGACTGCCAGGATACAGTGTGACGGTCTATCCCCGCAGACCATTGGAACCTCCCAATCAGATCTCCATGAGGTATGTAGGTCTCCAGAATCCACAGCGGAGTCAGATTCGTAGAGTGTGGGACGGACTCAGTTGAAAATGGCAGCTTGTTCTGCTATCCAAGCACTCTGTCCTCTGAAGTAAGTCATATCTCCACGTCATCTTGGACGACCTGTGCTTTGACGAGAGCGTTCATTCCGGGACCTCGAATTGAGCGGTCCACACATTTTGCCGAAAATCGTCACGGTCTTGCTAGGCGAGGAAGATCGTCCGGGAGACCCGTCGTTTGGCTTGTGTTCATTCGTGTGGACCGCCAGTGGCGTCGATGGAGCTCGCCTTTCCGAACATCGCGATCCTGCCTCGCCAAGCAGTGGCGTATGGAGATCTTCGTCGAAGATGATGAATCTATCGAGTGTGCGTAGGTGTGCATGTATCTCGTAGGCGCTTCTCGTTGTGCAGGGGGATCTTGTGGTCAAGATGGCAGATAGTACACTTGATAGTGGCTTGGGCAAATCATCCGTCTTGGCCAACGCAGGATACGTCAGAACACCATTTGAGCAGGTGGCGTTGGGCTGTAAATCTCCCTCAAAGCTGGTGGGCACGCATTGGATTGCCATATGGATTCGGTCCGAGTTTCCTTATCTGTGATGCCTCTGTTTGAGAGGGCCAAGCCCCTAGGAATTAGGAGTTTTGATCTGTGCGCCGACTCTCATTGAATCATTTCGCGAAGATGTGGAGGAATCTGGCCGGCCTATCTCTGTTATTTGCACTGCCTTGACGCCCCCTACCGGTTTGAAGTTGACGTAGATGTGATCGCCCTGCTAGGCGCTCTCGCCGGCGATAATGCTTCGTCGTTATTCATCCTTGGATGTCGTTGTGTCCATACTCGTATATGCACGAAAGATCAAACGGCGGGTAGGAACGAAATCTTCACCAATTATTGGTCGGTTGTATATCCCAGAAAGTCGAGTGGGGATATCGTTTCATAATCATGGCCTCCTGCGACTCAATGCGAACGAGGAACGAGGAACCACAGATGATAGAGTTCCATGCAATCCGAGGGGCCGTGGCGGCCCCGTACAATGTCAGAATCGCCAAGTAACGCCAGGCCGAGTGTTGTATATGCTACTTCACTCCTGCCACAGCGAGTCGCAGAGCTAGAAGACATACATTGATGATGAACCTCTAGAAAGTTGGACTTTCCTGTACCTTCCTTCGCACGAAACCTGCCTTTGACTCATGGCTGTATGTGACATCACATGGAGAATGTGTGGCAGGAATGCCTCACTTCGCTTTCCCTCGACATTCAAATCTCGAACGTGCCTAACTCTTCGAATTATGTTACCGAGAGACCTGTCTAGGTACAGGGTCCATTATATTCCTTTGGTCTCCTACAGTCGCTACACCAATGCTTCTATACCGGCACACATCCACGAATCAGCTCGTTTTGCAAGCAATGTGTTGTTAAGTCAGAAAGCGACACATACTAGATGCACGCCGGGCTCTGTAATATTCACAAGATTACTGTTCGAATTAGGGAAGCATACCTTCTAAAAAATAGTGGGCATCGGTTCTACAAACTAGAACTTTCTGTTGAGCTCGCACATGAAGTGCGAGGACTTCATACTCAGGAAGAATCTGATACTGTAGGACGTGGGTAAGACCATGGCGAAAGAACATTGATGGACACCGTGCCGTATTTGCTCCTGTTTATCGAGGAAACACCCGGCCGCTCGTCCTGAGATCTGACTGGCTGACATGCACCTTCCTTCCATTGGACCACATTGTGCTTCAGCTTTTCTTCTGTTGATCTGGTTCTCGCTGCTGCTAGCGGTTCTTTTTCCTGGCTAACCTTGTTTAGTATGTAGCTGCCAGATGGATCGGCGACAGATAGACCTTCCGAGTCGGCATGAAGCCGCAGTAAGTAGAGAACACGCTGACCGGCGCATTGAACGCCATGTATCATTACTGTACGTGGAAAGGTATACCACAGTTTTATCGTGGTCTGACTTTATCTCTGACTTCTGGTCCAGCTGCATGTTTGACAGAGCATGAGGACGGGACATCTTCGCATGGAGATTATTCGTTGCAGTACTAGTATATGTACGTCAACATGAGCAATGAGCGCTAGGCAGATCCTTTCGATTTCAGATCATGGGCGGCACAGAAATCCAAGCACGTTTAAGTAGCGAGTTCTTGCCAATACCAGTTGCCAATTGGCAGCGCTTTCCCTGAAGAAACGTCGTTGGCTCCGCACTGCCAATCTTTGCATAGCCCCGTGCGAAAACATTGACGTTTTCTGCCTTTCCTCAAAGCGTGCAGACCAGTGTAAACTTCTAGTATCCGCTTCGGCTCCGCTTAGCGACGGGAGCTCAGCCGCGGTGAGGAAGGTTATACCGGATTTGTCTTTGGGTCAGCCAGCCTGCAAGTCCATACTGGAGGAATACAATCCCTATCGGGCCTCGTAGATTATCAGTATAGCCTACTTATTCACCACCTCGCAACCTCTCGACAAAAGGAGTCTCATCTGATACATATCCGAGACCAGTGGGGACTTGATGATCTCACACGCCGTTTGTGTCCGTTACACGCAGTTATGGCGTCCTTCTCGATGTTTCATACTGCCGCATCATTTCTTACAATTATGTGACAAACTCACCCAGCCTACTACTCAGATCATGATATGTGCACCGTGTCTGTCTGCGCTCACCTGGCACCATCAACGCCGTACTGCCTGGGCGTACACGCCCCTGTGCTTCTGCATTCCCAACACTTCCGGGAGCGAAGGGGTGAATAGATATATATATATACACCCACGAATTTCGCTTCCGGCTTCTCGCCGCGCGGAAACCCCTTCCTCTTCACCATGAGTGGCAACATTTTGACGACCGCTGCCTGTGGACTCCTGCTCACATCTCTCTACTTCGCCACACGCTGGTTCGATAGACGCAACCGCAGTTCATTGCCTCCACCACCAGGACCGAAGGGATGGCCTTTAATAGGGAATATGTTCGACCTGCCCACAAAGGATGAGTATCGGGTGTACTCTCAATGGCATGAAACATACGGTACGCTTCGCGTTGCTCAACGTGTTAAGGCTTATCATTTAGCCGACTTTCTTATCAGGTGACATATGCTCTGTGACCGTGCTTGGCCAACGGATCGTCATTATCAACTCCCCCGACGTTGCGTTCAAATTGCTCAACAAACAGATCTATGCTGGTCGACCTCACTATAATATGTGCTGCGATTTGGTGGGCTGGAGTCACGCCCTCGTGATGCTTCCCTATGGCGAACGTTTCAAGGGCTACCGTGCGATGCTGAAGAATGCGTTCGGAAGCCGAGCCAGTGTCGAGAAATACAAGGAAACTATGGAGACCGAAACTCACCACTGTCTTGCCCGGCTTCTGAATCAAGAAGGAAGTACAAACTTTACCGGGCCTATCAGGAGGTGTGTTACCTAGCTTAGAAGCGGGAGCATTATTTTAACTCTTTTGCAGAGCAATAGGCGCCATCCTTCTGGGGATAACTCACGGATACGAAGTTCAGTCCGAGCACGATTCTTTGGTAAGGATAGCGGATCAAGCGACAGATCAGGTATGCTTCCTGATTTTCTGAAGACTTTCACTTCACTCACGGAATCTCTAGCTTGGTGTATTGCTGACACCCGGGTCCTTCATGGTCGACACGATCTCCGCATGTAAGGCTCCATATGTTTGTGACTGACCCCATGTGCTTATACTTGTTGATAACCAGTGCGCTTCATTCCAACGTGGTTCCCCGGTCCCTTTGCAGATTTCAAGCGACTTGCTCGGGACTGGCGCAGCGATCTGTACGGCCTGACGGAACAATCCTACGCATTTGTCAAGAAACAAGTGGTGGGTGGAAAGTTCTGCTTTGATTGAACACTTTCTGAATCTGCGTTCAAGTCCGCCGGAACCGCATCTCCCTCCTTTGTGCAAGAATTGATCGAAGGGAAAGATCTGACGGAACAGGAGGAACTTGATATCAAATGGGTTGCTAGCTCTATCTACCTGGGCGGTGCCGACATGGTGGGCATAGCTTTATTCTCATGTTGTCTGCACGAATGCCATTGACCTCGTCTTTCAGCCGGTATCAGCGTTGTCTTCACTCATGTTGGCCATGGTTATGTTCCCCGAGATGCAGAAGAAGGCGCAAGCCGAGATCGATGCAGTCGTTGGCCATGATCGACTTCCATTGTTCTCAGATCGAGACGATCTACCATATGTCGAGTCTATGCTACGCGAAATCATTCGCTTTGGACCTCCGGTCCCCCTTGGTATGTCTTCTCCATAATGCCGTCTAACATGGATATCTTACATCAGCACAGGTGCACCACACTGCGTAACGGAGGACGATGTCTACGAAGGCATGCTCATTCCAAAAGACTCGATTGTGGTCGCGAACCTTTGGTACGAGGAGCTTTGATCGTCTGCAGAAAACCACGCTGACATTCAGGAATGATAGGCACTTCCTTCAAGATCCAAATGTGTACCCAAATCCCGAAGTATTCGACCCTGAGAGATTCATCGCACGAGAGGGGAAGCCGGCACAGCCTGATCCCTATGATTTCTGCTTCGGATTCGGGCGCCGGATCTGTCCTGGTGCGCTGACCATTCGTTCAAAGCTCTCTGATCATCTGACTCACATAGTCTCCGTCGATAGGTGTTCATCTCACAGACGCGCAAATGTACATCTTCACAGCATCGATACTCTCGGTGTTCAATATCGAGAAAGTCGTCGAGAACGGTGTGGTACAGGAGCCCAAGCACGAATTCACCAGTGGTGTTCTCATGTCAGTGCACTACACTTGTAACCTCCTCTTCTCGTTACTCACTCTTGATCCACTCTAGTCGTCCCAAGCCATTCAAAGCGGTTTTGAAACCACGCTCTGCGAAGGCCGAAGCCCTCATACGGATGTTCGGAGACACTGCTTGAACCTCCTATCCCCAGCTCGGCCTGTCCACACCTCGTTCCCGTCAAGTCATTCTACTACCTCTCCTTCAGCCATGCAGCCCCGTTTATTACTTTTACGATTGTGTCGATTATTCTTACGACTCCGTCGATGATTTCGTTTACTTCCATCTTGATCTCACTCTAAGTTTTTCGTTTCCCAATCGATATATCCGGGCGTACCATACGCACATACCTAGTTCGATTTCAGTTGATTTCAGTAGTTTGCTGTATTTTCCTACTTATTTGTTCTTTTCTACTACGATTAATTGTCTCTCCGCTCAATGTATGCCTTTTCTTTACCGAAACGTTTATGTAGCTCGCAGCAGGAGCACGTCTTCACACAACTTAGACCGTCTTATGCCGTTGAAGTGCCACTCGTCGACGCCACACAAGGGCACTTTGAACTCCGCCACAAAATTCGATGGTGGCTTACGCCACATCAGGCTTTCTTTCGTTCCTCCCTGTTCCCCCACCAGAACGATGAGCGCGACTCACCGAAAGGACTCACTGTCCTCTATGACGTGTAGACCGGGGCTACGACCATACGAGCTCTCAATCGTTATGCTGTTGAATCGTAAAAAGACGGGGTTTGCCATCGGGGTCGACGTAGTACGGTCCTGTCAGTCATGACTCCCTCTTGGCTCGGTAACTCAGGGTTGACTCAGGCTCTGGTGTTTTGAATTACCGCTCAAGTTTGACTGTGAGAGTCCCTGTCGGTATCTCTTGCCCCACTACAGTCCAACATGCTGGGAAAAAAATCTGGACCATGTTGCTTTCGAGACCGTACTAGCTCAATGGAAGGGCGTAATCACGCATCTCTTGTACTCGGGGAACCAAGGACTAAGCAACGTCCCTCGAAGCTTGTTCTGCTCTCTTTGTCTCCTTGTGCTTATCTTCGCGATTACCATCTCTTTATTCTCTCTTCCGGAGAGATTCCACTCGATTCGACGCCAGCGGCTCAATGGGACATTCATCATGGCGCCTTTCCACCGCACGCTTCTCCACTCTTGCTTTGACCTCGACTATCTCATCGATTCATAGGCTACCTAAGCCGCAACTCGTTGGTTTCTCCGTGCGTTCCTTTATGCCGTTGACATGAAATTCGAAGTCGCACAAAGGCGTAAAGTGGCTCAGAATCTCACATTCTCACCTTTCATGTTTTCGATTTCACTCGATATTTTTGAGTACAGGCTTGTATAAAATCGTCCCTTTCCAACACCGTCAGGCCCTCTTTCTCATGGCGTAATCCCTCTACTCGTAATACATTCCAGCTACTCGGAATCCCTTCCAGCTATCCGCCACACGAACCTCTACACTCGTTCCGCAGTCTTCGCCTGTCGCTCATCCTCCTCATCTACTACGTCTACATCTGCAATCTCCAAATTCTCCGTCGTAATGCAGATCTGAACGGCTGGTCCCCGCTCTATACCAAGCCCTCAGTCTCCAGCGTCAACCCGACCCGCCCCATACTTCCTCATCCCCGCTTCCCCTCATGCCTCCGTCCCGCCTGGCCATCGAAGCGTTCGGCTCGCCAGTATACTCGACCAGCCCGTCCATCAATCTCTAAACACACGTGTTTACTCCTCGCGGACGATCGACAGCTATCCCCGCATCCTGTCCGTATCAGCGCCACGACGCCATCCAGAGTCCGGAGAAGCTGCAACCTCTCTGGGACGTGCGGCGCGTTGATCGCTGGTGCAGGTGCAGTGGCTCCTACCAGAGACAGGCTGGATAGCGAACGGGGGGCGAGGGCGTTGGAGACCGCGGGGTGAAGCGTGTATGGCGCGGTGTGTTGGCCGGTGAAGGATGGATTGGCCCCGTTCATCGACTCCCCACGATTCCTCTCCATACCTCCAACACGTCGTGCTCCACCCACCCGGCCCTCCGAGCACCCATGGCTTTCAGGGCTCCGTCACAACTCCTCCACCACATCCAAGTTCGTCTGCCGCCACCGTGACACTAATCCAACCTCCCAGTGCTCCTCTATGTTCCGTACGGCGTACACATAGCATCCCTCCGTCTTTCGCCCTCCGGAACATAGTTGGCCTTCTGCTTCGCGGACACCCGACATCGGTGGTTTCGTCCCCTTACCTTACATTCGGACCTCGACGGACTCCCCTCTGACTCGACCGAATAACGCGCTGCAACGCGGTATCCTCTCGTCGAATCGGAGTCGAGTCCGTCGAGGTCTGAATGTAAGGACCGGAAGGAGTCGCAGGAGGGGGAACACTCTACGGGCTAACCTGGGGCTCTTGCGTGTCGGGAGGATCTGACATTGAGGTCGCTTTCGTTTTCCCATAGTAGAGGGTGATGAAGAACGTGTGATGCGTCTCTCGAGATGTGTGAAGGAAAGAGATGTTGGGGCTAGTAGGAGAGAGAGACGCGCGTCCGTGGGGCACATCGTCCACTGGCAGATTTGGTAGGAGACACGGTTGGCAGGAGAGAGATGGGCCTGAACCGTGGTTTCACGGCTTCCAGAGCGACCAATACCCTGAACATGAACGAATCGTCCGCAGTTTGGTAGGCGTCATATCTAGCAGTTCTCTGCCGGCGCGGCGAGGAAGTTCGTTCGTGGAGGGAGAGTGGCGAGTGACCCCCTGACGCTGGTGGGAGCAGAGTAGATGAGGATGAACGGGGAGCGAGGTCGAGTAGGAGACACGTCGAGCTGGAGAAAGATGTGGTTAACGGAGAGTTGTTGGATCGCGCGAAGGGGATCCTGGATGGTCTCAACACGTTGAGGAAGGATCGGAGGCGATTCGTCGGCGACCTCAGGGCTTGTGCTGATTCACGACGCTGTGGGGGAAGGGCGACGGCGTCTTGGGAGCGATGGAACGAGGTCTTGCTCGTTATGCAGAGGCCATTTCGACGTCCATGCCCCGTGCACCACCGTTCCATCTTCATCGTCGCCCCATCACGCTCTTCCTCGGCAGACTTCGCGACATCCTCTCCTGAAGCCGTGGACCTAGGGCGCCGTGGTGGTGATGCTTGCGGAGAGGAGCCAGATGGGATTGGGTGGTCGTGGATGGGACGATAGAGGAGGTCACCAGAGGTTATGATGTATGGGTCCGGAGGTTTGTGATGGACGAGGACTCAAGCTGTGGCCGCAGCGTCGTCTGAAGAAACTTTCTGGTGTGAAGGGGTTGGGTTTTATAGGAATTGGGGAGGGAGGGGGTGTTGTAGGTACTGATTGTTCACACTCTTTTGGATGGATCACTCCTTTATTTCTCTTGTTGTCTGTATGGTGGTTGCACTTTGACGGATATATAGGTATATACGTTCGATTCGTGCTTCATCTTTGACTTGACCGCTTTGTGAGGTCGGAGAAGTAAACGTCCTCGATTGGGACTTCAACAGTATATCACGCAGATATTCTCCAGCCTTTTGTGCTGAGAGCTTCAAGAGACTGCATTGTTGGCGTCGTCCCTGCTGCGATTATACCACAACTGTCCGTCCACTCGTACTTTGTTTTGCTCTTTCTCTCGCCACATCCGCAGCTGGCTCTTCGAAACTCCGTTGCGAATACTGCTTGAATACAAAGGATATCGACAACTCATCGGAAAAGCCATGCTTAGATAGCTTTGTATACCACCCTCCGTGCAACATCGCCGTCCACAGCGAGTCGGAAGAGGACGACAATCGAGAGGAACGTCACTCGTCGGTCGCCTTCGGCGCGGCACCGCCAGAAAGCGTCTCCGGCAACTCTCCGGCTGGCCGCGGAACGAAACCTGGACATCGTGATTGGACCGGCGTCTCCCGATCGCCCGAACGAGGCCGTCCGTCATGTCTTTTGAGCAGTCCGGGGAAGCAAAAGGCGTCCTTCCGAATTCACGCGACAACGTCCCCTCCCATCCCTTCAATCCCTTCCTCGACATCCCGCTAGCCTTCGACCTCACCGTCATCATCGTCACCGGCGTCCCTTGCCTTCAAATCACCCAAATCCGCGGCTAAGCATACTCGAAACAAGTAGCACTATGCAGGCCATCGTCGCGCGCGGTGCATTCAACGCATCTCGGTCAAGGACGCTCGCCAGGACGTTCGCGACGTCGTCGGCGAGGAGACAGGCGGTGCCGACAGAGAAGCCAGCGCTGAACAAGCAGTTCAAGATCTACAGGTGGAACCCGGATGAACCGGCGAAGAAGCCGGAGCTGCAGACGTATAACATCAACCTGAACGAATGTGGACCTATGGTGTGTACTCTTTTCGCATTGTATAGGGGAGGTTTCTATGTGTAGATAGCGAGAGTGTCGCGGAATACTGTACTTGTATGACGAGGTAGAGCAGCACCTTGAACCAATCAGTCTGAAGTTCGGAATACCTCGCTCACCATGGAACCTCGCTCCTCCCCTGGAACTATATGTATCTTATTATCTTGTTACTTATGCATACTCTGGACTCCATAGGTCCTTGACGCACTCATCAAGATCAAGAACGAAATTGACCCGACACTCACCTTCCGTCGTTCCTGCCGCGAGGGTATCTGTGGCTCCTGCGCAATGAACATCGATGGACAGAACACCCTCGCTTGTCTATGCAGAATCGACCGGTCACCGAAAGACTCGAAAATCTACCCTCTTCCACACAGTACGTCTTCTTTTCAACATGTCCTGCGTTGTGGCGACGGGCATGGTATCTGTGCTGCAACGAGTCTCAGTTGGATGTTCGACGGCCATGACGTCAGATCAGGGCTCGAGAAATCGAGTATCGTAGGGTAAAGTCGGTACAATGGTCGTTAGCCTCTGTTCTCTGAACATGGCTTCACCAATGCCCTCCGGAAAGGCAACTGTGTGGCACCTGCCGCCCGACTGTGGCCCTCGATCGCCGTACTTACCGCGCATCCTTCTCGCTTCCCCTTTCGCCTTTCATTCCACTTCTCAATAATACCTAACAATTACTGATATCTCCTCCCTTCCTCCGCTCTCGTCACCAGTGTACGTCGTCAAGGACCTCGTCCCCGACCTGACCCTCTTCTACAAACAATACAAGTCGATCGAGCCCTACCTGCAGAATGACAACCCGCCCGCAGAGGGCGAGTTCCTCCAGTCGCAGGAGGACAGGCGCAAGCTGGACGGGATGTACGAATGTATCCTCTGTGCGTGCTGTAGCACGAGTTGTCCGAGCTATTGGTGGAACCAGGACGAGTATCTTGGACCGGCGACGTTGATGCAGGCGTATAGGTGGATTGCGGATAGTCGGGTGAGTGATGAGGTCCTTTTATTATGTCTTCGGAGACGTGGAGTTGTTGGGCGGCTACTTCGAGATGGCGCGGCGGCGTGTGGCGTCATTGACGCGGCTTGTTTGTTAGAAGGCGAAATATACTGACTAGACCCTTTTTTTCTGTTTGGTCAATCTCTATAGGACTCGTATGGTGCCCAGAGAAAGGAGAAGCTCCAGAACGAACTTTCGCTCTATCGTTGCCACACCATCTTTAACTGTACGTTCTCCCCTCTTTCGCCACTTTTCATATTTTCCTCTTTCTTCCCACTAGTCCCGCATCAGACACTTTTCAACTGAACAATTCCTCGTTTTCTATCTCACATCTTGATTTTTTCGACGCATCGTTGTTTTGATTTCGTGGCTCGACCGACTAACTCATATCTCCTCCACAGGCGCACGTACCTGTCCCAAGGGCCTCAACCCCGCCGCCGCCATCGCCAAGATCAAGCTCGAGCTCGCTGCCGATTAAACACCTTTTTCTCTCATGCGGGCATGGACATGGGGCGTGCATCTCTCATGGGGTCAGAGATGCGCGTGGGTCTGACGAGCGTGATGTGCGCTTGGCTTTGTTCTCCGGATCCGTGGCGCTACATACTCTTCTAGGATCCAACGTGGGTGATAAGGCGGGCAGAGCGCATGCATGCATATGACGGAATGTATTCTGGTCTTTTTTCTTCGTTCCTTCCTTTTTTCTTCGCTCTGTTTCTTCCTGCCTGCACGTTCAATCGATATCTGTCTTTCTTTTCTTCTTTTGTCTCTTATTGTTTTTTTGTTGTTCCTGTTTCGTATACGCATCTGGTCTATTCGATTTCAACGTGAATTACAAACGGACTTCGAACCTTGGTGAATCGACGGTGACAGTAATTGTTGACAAGCTTTCGACCGCGGGCATGATGAGCTGGTAAAGATATCTATAGGTCGCAGTGCGTGAACTCTGATGAGCTTTTCCCGGATGAGAAACTCGTTTACGCATGATAACAGGTCGAGAGCAATGCCAACTGCAATGATTTATTTGGTGGGTTTGCGTTCATGATCATCAATAGTTCGAAGACATGCGGGGCGCCACCCTTCGATCTGGCGGAGTTCGAGGTGTTCTCGTGTGGCACCAGCTGCAGGTGGCGCGGAGTCGGAGCTCGAGTGGTCATCAGCGACGTTGGAGAACGTGCAAGGACATGCGTCACTCAATTCTTTCGGTCTTATATTTCATTCGAAGAGACGCTGGATATCGTACATAACTCCTATGAGCCCAATTCCTACATACCACTCATATTCTGAGTACCTGGTTACCGATGACCTAGTAGCTCAGAGCCAAGAGAGGTGCGGACACTACACGAGATCGATAACCGCCTGAAGATGAATACATAGTATATTTACACTTCGAGGATCATAGGTGTGCAGGCTGAGGAGGGGCCGGATGGTTCGGGCTCGGGTTCGGGTTCGGATGCATCGGCACAGTATTCGTTAGAGGCGAGAGATACGCTGGGACTTGTAGAGGTATTTGAGATGGCAAAGCGACCACATAGACTGGATATCCTTGTGACGGGGCTGCACTACCAGTCCCTGTCCCTGTCGTTCCGAGGCTTGTATCCGGATCGGTGCGCTGAGGCGTGTTGATGTTCTGAAAAGACGGCTGTGGTTGTAATGGCGCAGGATACATGAACATTGGCGGTGGAGGGTGTGGCAGAGCAGGATACACAAATTGTGTAGACGCAGATGGTGCCGGCCCACCATATCCATGTCCGTGCCCCAACGACGACGAAGGCACCTGCATCAACGTCGCACTCGACGCGGCTCCCGGCATCGCAAACGTCTGCCCAGACGCATTTACCAACAGCCGTGTGCCACTTCCCCCACCGTGACCCGCAAGCAAATCGACCGACGCATGTCTCCTCGGGGCGTACCACGTCCTCGAAGGCCCCGCCCTTGTCCTCGGGACGAAATCGACCGTCACGTTTTCCGTCGACATCCAGGGCAGATCGTTCACATTCCGGAAGAAGTTCTGGATGCGGGCGAGTTGGGAGGGGAAGGACGGTTCTGGGCGGGGTTGGATCGGGGATTGCATGCGGGCGTAGTCGGGGGCTGGTTTCGGTTCGACGAGGACGGGGGTTTCGGGTTCTGCTGTGATACCAGTGTCGCCCCGAGGACGCGAACCGGTGCGGGAGGTCGAGGGACGCTCTCTCCGGATGTCGAAGTGGACTCCCGTGGGATCGCGAGGAGGGGAGATATTTAGGGCGGGATGTCCAGGGGAAGGTATGCCTTCCGAGGACGAACTCGGACCGGATTGGTCGGCGTCGGATTCAGGATCAGGATTGCGAACCGTTGGTGCAGATGTCCTGGACGTCCTCCGTGTAGAACTCCGTCTCGACGAAGACATCTGTCCGCCGCTAACGGATAGGTGAGACGGAGATCGCTGTGACTGTGTGTGACGAGGGGAGCCCAAACGGTGAGGCGACAGATGCTGCGCACCACGAGAAGGAGCATAACTCGATGGTGGTGGTGCAAGCATCGCCGGATGTTCCGAAGGCATGTCGAGTGCTTCGACATATAACACATTATCTCCCATTACCTGAACCGCTGGGGACCCATACGGAGGTACAGTGCCCTGCTCCGTTGCCGGGGTAGCCCATTGAGCATGCGCGCGAGGCCTGCCCCACTGCTCGTGGTCTCGCCCAAGTTTCTCTGGTGGCATCTTGGCAGCCCAGCCCACATTACGAACCATAGCGCGAGGTAATCGCTTCAGGTTCGCGACAAACCCACCAACAAACCTCCTCCCTCGTCCCCCGCTTCCGCGAGAATTCGAGGATTCACCGGCCGGACTCCCATAGTATGCGTTATACCCACCGTGGTCACCGTTCGACGCATCCAAGATAGGAGCAGGTTCCACTGTCATATACTCCGGGTCGTCTACAAATTCCGACACTCCGCGAGCATTGGGTGCAGGAGTTGGGATGCCCCGTACGGGCTCGACGGGGGGTGGCCCGGAGCCTCGCGGGTACGTATTTCGGGGTGGGAGGGAGATGCGATGGCTGGTGGGACGACTGGTACCGTTGGAAGATGGCAAGATGCGACCTTCGGATGCGTCTATGGGGTGAACGAAGGGTTCGTTCGAGTTGTATGGACCGTGAGATGGAAACTCTACAAAAGCTGAGGACATGATGGCCTAAGTGATTCAGGGGTACTAGTGCCACAGCTTATATTTGTCTCCAGTGGTCGGATGAGACTAGTGTGGTGAGAGCAAAGCGCAAGCAAAGCGACTTCAAGAACAGAAGTGAGCATTCTGTCAACACGTGTGTCTAGCGGGGCAGAGGTCGTTGCAAGTGGCAAGTTGGTGGCTAGAGTGTGGCAAATTGAGCGCTCACCGGGTCACTGCTACGATTGATCTCCGTTTCGAGCTCCGACGCGGCGCCACCCTGTTTGTCGCAAATTTCAAAGCTGAGTGGCTTGAGCTACGCCAACCAAACGCCAACGATCCTTGTTTTTCGTCCTCGTTCGATGCCCACTGCGTGAAGACTCATCTGTCAAGCTATGTTTTCTTTGTAGGCTGTCACTGGCGTGCCTAGGCAGCCTTAAACTTGAACTCGCTGGTCCGCTCTAGCCTGAGCAGCGGTGTCGGGTTTGCGTTGCAAGGTTGAACGGCTCTTCACGCATCAGCCTGCAGGCTGCCAGCTTCATCGATTTCCTCCAGTCAAAATGCCGTGCTCTATGGTATCCCGGCATTCACTGAATCACCCTCTGCCCTTCGACAAGCCTTTGTCTCCTTTTGTGTGAAAATGGCATCACACACCACTATAAAATGCTGCTTCCTCTCCACTTATTCGCCAACGATTCAGATCTTTTCACCTGTCCATCGACATATCCCTTGCGTATAATTTAACCTCTGTAGCTGAACGCTAATTCTGTATCGACTTGTTTCCGATCATGTCCAATGAGTCTCGCTTACAGCTAGCGGCTGGGACGATCTCCAGGAAATCCGCTCTCGAAGACACTGATCAACAGACTATCGCCAGAGTGCTCGACTTGTTCCATATCCCAGTAGGATCTAGGAGGAAGAATATATGGGAGACTCTAGAAAGGTGAAGACTATTATTCTTCAACTGTTTTTACATTACAGCCTTTGCTCCTGCCACCCCCGGTGGCGCGAACGACTGACTGGAACCACTTGCGAATTACTTAGGATATATTGCCCGTGATGTAAATCCTTCGGCAGCTAACCAGCCGTCCCTTCCCTTTTCCTCCTGGCTCGTCGCGACTGTATATGAGGTTATTCGGTGCTGGATTGGGGGAGGCACTCATTCAGAATGCGCTCGACAACGTGCCATTCGTCGATGATCGGCCTACTATAAGGGATGAAGTTAGTGCAGCTCATATGGAGAAGGTAAGCTGAGCACAAGGATATGGATCTGTAAAGGATGCAATGAATCTCGGATGGCCATATGCACCTTCAGATGGGCCCGCCCTTCCTTTCCACGCTATATATCAGACCCGACCGGCAACGGAAGACAATTTCACCATTACTCCCGAGGCCCGTCGAACTATATGGACGCATTGGGAAAGGAATGGAAACCCTTGATGAAGATGGTGCGTTTGATACTAGCTTTTTTGGGTATGGAGATGACCCTTAATCAATTCTGCTCGTGTACTGGCCCGCTTGCCTTAGATTTCGGAAACTCCGAGTGAAAAATCGATGAAACCGTCCGCATTGTCATTTCCCACACCATCTCCCTGATTTTAGACGTTGATCCCTTCTTCGACAGGTGATCATCTTTCTCCAGAAGCCATGTCGTATTCTTATTCCTCCGGAATGCCATCCTGACCGCACGCGTGCTCCTTAGGGTTATGTACGAATGCGAACACACCATACCCGTCGTCCTCCGCAACTTCCTTCTCTGGACAGACGGACAACAGGACCACCGCTCTGTCATCGTCATGTGCCTTGACGATGTATTCGTACCTTCACTTCCTTACGCTGAATATTGCAGAGGTCGTATGTCGCAGCCACTCCGACCTAGCATAATCACCCTCGTGCTCAAAGGCGCCAACGGTTCATTCGACGCCATCATGGAGAAGTTTGGCTGGCTGTTGTCTTGGACTTCTCCTCGGGACACATATTCCTGTGTCATTCTTCTTCAGAAGTTCGACATGCTCTTACGTCCCAACAGCCAAACATCGCCTCTTCACCAGGAATGCCGTCGGTCCTTCGTACGCTCTCAGAGTTTTTCTGAGGGTCTTTTGCGTGTTCTGCATCAAGGGGCGCAGGGGTGCGTGATTGCACCAGTCTTCTCGGAAGCGAATGCGGTCTGGGAGACTAGATCAGTCCTCAAGTTTTCACCATTCTCGGTGAGATCTAGTCGCATGCGCAGGTCAAGATGAAACGAGAGCCAGGTCATATTTTGGGATTGGTGAATGCAGGTCTATTCAAGACTGTGGATGTGATTTTACCTGTGCACAATGCCCGTCGTACCCATTCGGAGGACGAGTCACGCCCTGCGAGTGAGCCAGTCATTTTTGTTTTCTCCTTCTGCGCGCTTCTAATGTAGTCGATAGCGTTTGTGTGCTTGACACTCCAATGGACCCTGGAATCCGCCAAGGTCTTCCCTTCCGCTCTTGAAGCCGTCCGCCACCAACTTCTTCGACCGCGAACACTCCGATGCCTCCTCGAAACAGCCTTCGTCGAGAGCCGTTCATGCTCAAAAATGCCCTCAGCGCTATCAATCATTCAGCGATGACCCTGATAAGTTCTACGGAAGAATCCTCAGCGACAACATCAAGATGTTGCACAAGTTGGAGAAGTTGTGTCAGGTGGGTTATGAGGACGAATGTGAGAGACGCGGATGTGCGAAGAAGACGAAGGCGAGGTGCTCACAGTGCAAGACGATGGAGTGTTGTGGCGCAGATTGTCTGAAGTGGTCTGAAGCGGTGAGTTATCCTCTAGATACTTGCGTGATCCAGATACTGATCTAGGGTCGGTTTCGTTGCTTCTCTTGTAGCGATTGGCTTGAGCATAAGTTCATATTGGGTATGAGAGTAGTCAAGGAGATGAGATCGAGTACGATAGTGTGCCTGTACTGCCGTTGAAGTACTCTGAGGAAGAAGATCAGCGACTCGGGATCGACCTGATGAAGCGCGTTGTTCATGGATGATGTACTTTTTAAAAGGCGATACATATGCCTAACTACTATTGTTTCATCACGTCTCCAAATAGACTTGTGTGCTCCTAAGTAATGATTCTTGTTCGATGCTACTTCCAGAGGCAGTCTGAGCGGAACAGTTCGCTTACCCGTTGGGCCATCCTCGAGATGTAATGTGGCGACTGAGTGGCGGGGGGTCAGTGATCGGCAAAAAGCGAGCGCTGCACTTTTTTCTGCATCTCGACCTTTGTTCGAATTCGGTCGTGTTCAAACGCGTTTCCCAATCCAGCACTCAAGACGGCCATGGGACTCGGGCTCCGCTGATTACTGTATCGGAAGCGGTACGATGACCCACATGCGAGGGCCTTGGCACCTTACGACACCATCTGTGCCGTCCGCTTCTTCCGCGGTTGCCACTCCTGGTGCTTCCTTCCATTGTTCACCATGCCGTGGCCACGACATTCTGACACGTCGCTTAGCTTTGACCCTCTATCTGGAACGTGACTCGACACCTAAGGCCGGATATATAAGGCGCTGACTCTGCCCCTCTTCCGTTTCTATACTTGATTCCCCCCTCATACTCTTTGGCCAACACCTAACCTGTTTCTCTCCTCCTTCACCAACAACAACATCCATGGCATTTTGGGCCTGCTCACAGCTCCAGAACAGTGTTGATCACTGGAGACGTATCCTTACGGACCAGCCCGCTCGAATGCTCGACTTGTTTCGCATACCAGTTCGGTCCAAGGAGGTCAATCAGTGGGGAGATTCCAGAAAGGTGTGTGCTGTCGCTCATCGCCCGTCATCGAGTTCATGACATATTTGGTTATGTGGAAACAGGATATCATCCCGGCCGTACAGGCGCTTCACAACGAGGCTAATCAAGATGGAGCGTGTCAGACTTTCAAACCGGCCTTGAGCCTCGGACTCGCTGAACTGCTCTGTCAATATGCCTCGCAGAACCCCCCGTACTTCGATGATCGCCCAAGTCTGTTTCACGAACTTGATCCGACTATTGTTGGCCAAGCAGTAAGCATTCAGCAGAGGCTAGCCATCAGTGTTTATCCGAAGGTTGTGACTAACGTTTGGCTGGGATAGCTATGCCCACCTTATCGCGATATCCTACGTATTCTCTGTCACGTTCTGGTTGGGGACAATACTTTCGATCGGGTTGGAGGAAGTACGCTACTCTGTGATCAGGAATGGCAGCATCTCATCTTGGACGCAATAAAAGGACACTGGAGATCGTTGATGCAGCTGGTGTGTATCCTGTTCGTTTAAGATAGATCGTTACTTATCGGTCTTGCGATGCGTCTTAAATTTTAGTACTGGCAAGCCCCTGTTGGTCAAATAACCGAAGTCGAGCGGAGGATTCTGTCCTGGCTGGTTAACGAGATTTTAAGAACGGATATCTCATTTCAGAAGTGAGTGCACTCCTAGCATCATGCCTGTTTCTCAGACTGAAGATCATATATGTCGTTTAGGACGATGATCACCTGCGAATACACCCTTCCCCTCCTCACTCGCAACGTTCTCGATTGCACCATGTCTGACTTCGTCTCTGTCATCGACATGTCTTTCGACCCGCTTCTGGAACTGACTTGGGAGACTTCGCCGACTGATTCACGCGTAAATTCGACCCTAGGCCCGCTGCCTGCGGATGTTCTCGACCTTATGCTGAAAGGCTCAAATGGATCGTTCGGGTCCATAGTCTCCAAATTTAGCTGGCTCCTATCTTGGGCCGACAAACATGCGGCTTTTACTTGTCTCTCCGCTGTGCACAACATTGCGTCTATGCTCCAATCTGACTCCTCTGGACCTGGGGCATCGCTCCGCAGAGAATGCTGTCGCAAGTTTCTCCGGTCGGAAGACTTTTGGAGGGGAATGTTTCGCATATTGCAGATGGGATGCGCAGACCTAGACGACATTCAAACCTTACATATCGGACTCTCTGGGCCTACCCTAAGCACGGGCGATCGTATGTGCAATGCTGTCTATGACCTGAGCCGCATCTTTTGGAATGAGGACGAGGTTTTAGCTACGCAGGATGTGACTGCGGTGTCGATTCTGATGAAAGCGGGTCTTTTTGAGGCAATGGAAGAGGCGCTCGCTGCCTACGGCTCTCGTCGCCTTCGTCCCCTCAACGAAACACGACCCGAAAGTGAGTTATGCCTTTTCGCCATATCTCTCATTGCTCATCACGATCTAATTATGCTCTTCCTGTTTCCATTTTTTTACTGGACAGTTTTCCTCAACATGATGTTGGGAATCGTGTGGAGATTTGCAAGGTCTGATCCTACTATCGTGTTGCCCGTCCTTCGCCCGCTCCTACCGAGATCGCGCATATCCTATCTACTTTTGGAGACCATATTCCTCCGGGAGAGTCCCCTTCCTCACTACCCCGAGTTCAAGGCCAAGATGCCTCATCTTCAAATGTTGTACCGAGTTGGTGTTAGGACGGCTCTCAATTTCTACAATCAGCTGGAGGACTTATGTCGCAATGGTGAATGCGGGAAGCGTGGGTGCTCGAAAAAAGGAGGACCAAAATGTTCTCGTTGTCGAGAGACGTCTTATTGCAGCGCGGACTGTCAGAAACTGTGAGTGTTCTTCTTGACTCAATCATAGCCCTTGACTGAGACTCCCTTCTGAACGTTGTCTTGTAGCGATTGGCCTGAGCACAAGCTGATATGCGGTTACAAGAACGAAGACCCAACTCCTATGGGAGGTATCAAGGGTGGGATTGTCCTGCCATTCAGCCTGAGGAAGAAGGTTGAGAATTCGAATGGTAGAGCGGCGTAGAGGATGCGCCCAGTAAGCGCTTGACCCGCCAGAAGATATCCGATGTATCTTTTTGTATTCCACTTGTATTTTCGTCCTGATCCTCTGCACGTGGATCCTATGTTTGACACCCTTGTTATGAATCGAATTACTTATAGTCCCGGATTTCGTACATGTATTGACAACTACACTTCGAAAAAGGGACAGCGGCACCGATGATTCTTACAACCTAACAAAATAGAAAGGAAGAAACAGGGCTTCATTTGACCACGCTTGTTGAGAGCCCGTTACCGTAGCCTTGCATGAGCTAGTGCTTTGAAACAGTGAATACCCTTCCACAACAGCACAACGTTTGTGAGAATTACTTTACACCAAGCAGAGAAAAGCTGTACTCACTCAACGGCCCAGTCATCCCCAGAGAGCCCGGGCGAGACACATGCTCCGGCAGTGGTACCGTCGAAGAAGCAGTCATCCCCAGTGACGATACCGTTGAAGCCCTGGTGTAATCCGGTATTGTTGTTACAATGACCCCATGGCCAGGTTAACATCAAACATGAAGGACAGGCGTAATAAGTTCAAGAAACAAACATCACAGTCGATAGCGTCAAAGTTGAGGAACGCGAATGCACAGGTGCCAATCGAAAATTATGTGGCAGTTTGTGGAGGAGAGAGAAACTCTTCGGCTATACCGTGCATTGAGAAAACCAAGTAGAAGGAGGGTTAGACACTTGTGGAGCATTCTTTCGGAAGGAGTATGCACTCACGAAAAAGATCCTCGAGCGCATCCGCGAGCGACTGACAATCATCAATCGACGGCAGCACCCCCGAGTTGAAGCACTCAAGTGTACCTGAAGACACATCCGGGTCGGTTTGTTGTTGGTCGACCAGAAATGTGAAGTAGAAACCGTGTACATCCTCCGTTAGTACACTGCGCGACCTGCCTTTGCTCCCTGTCCCTTCTGGCCCCCTCAACTTGGGTGGTACCAGTATTGTTGGAGATACCAAAAGATCAGGACAGCTCGTAGTTTTGACGCTGATCGCGAGCCCGTTTTTGCTGATAGTGGTGCTATTGATGACTTCCCCGCCAGTGCCGCATGCTTCGCGAGGACTAGGAGGTGCTGATGATGTGTGATGCGGTGTCAGCATGAACAAAGAAGGGAAGCGGGCCAGAGACATCAGGACTTACATCCAGATCAGGGTGATGGCTCAAAGGTGCAAAGTTGGGATCAACTGCAAACGAATGAGGACGAAGTTACACATCCAGATGGGATCATTAACACGGTGTCCCTGAACTTGTACGTCCCTGAGGATCATGGGAAAGTGGGGCAGGATCCGTCGCTGCATCTAGCTGCGTCTGGACTGTGATGCAGATGGTGGGACTGTGTTCTGTCGACGCAGCCATGGGCGTTCAAATGCTTCTTTAAACTTCAGGAACTACACCATGGCAAGCGGTCAGTCATAGTACAAAATCAACACATGATCATGTACTCAGCTAACTGTGTTTCTTCGAACCGACGATATCGGAGTGTAAGACACTGGGAAGAACATACATCGCGAGGGGTCGAGGTTCGATGCCCATATTCGCTAGTGTTTGTGTTTATTTCTCAATAATGCAAAGAACACTAGGCATACCTAGATCCATTCGCCCAAGAAGTAGAAGGCATCGGGCCTACTGCGGGTGTGTTCTTTCAATCAATCAACACCTGGACATTTAAGATCCCCGACCGTTCGAGGTACAAACATCGAGTGTTATTAGAGCAGAGACCGTTGAGACGGTGTCAGGGAAAGGTCATGACGATAGCACTGTCTTTACAGCCGTTTCAATAAACCTTGTCAGAGGCGACTTTTTCTCCGAGCAGGCGAGATGAGAGGGACCCCGAGTGATGCTCATATAAGGAAATTGCCGGAGCGTAGGGCCACCGCCACTGTCATCCTCAGCAGGCTGGTTCGCACTGATTGAACAACAGACAGGTGGGAAGATGAGGCGGTATGGTGTCTGCACTCTGAAAATAAGTACAGAAAATTGCTGTACATATTTTTCATGTGAATAGAAAGCCTGTGGAGTCCATGAATTGCGACAACAGTGTCCGAGAAGTTGGGTCATACAACTACAACAGCTCACTGATGTCAAACATGGGTCGGAAATTGTAGTTGAGCATACATGAAAATATACAAATGCATATTTGAAGCGGAGAGACCTTATGCGGTAGATGCACAGGCAGATTCTCTCTATCCAGATATTTGAGGTCTCCGCCACAGGCCTCGCCACATAGGGTCAGAGAGGAATACACCGCGCCGGAGTGAAACGGACCGCGACTGGTGCTCGGGGGATGCGCCCAGAAACGGCGCGAAGAGAAAGTCGCCTCCGACAAGGTTTATTGAAACGGCTGTAAAATATTACAGTTATGTGCGCTCAAGTGCCTTCGAATGCACTTAGCTCGAAACCATACTCGATTATGTGGTGGGAAAGAAAGCAGCGATTGAACTGGACGACAGACAGTCCATGAGAGTCGGAGCGTAGCGAACCAGTCCCGAGATAACCCAAGGCGTGCAACAGATTTCCAATCCCGAAGAGTACGACCATGATATATACTTGACACGAAGTTCGCTGTACAAGGCAGACGGTAGAGCCACAAGTACATCGCATTCGCCGTGAGCTCTTTGCGGGCAGGCAAGGCGACGTGGTAGAAAACTATTCTAAGGACGGACCTCAGCAGCTTTAGGGAAGTATAGCGAGGGGTGTACAGCCCAAAGGCTTAGGCTGTAAGCGTGCCGCAGATCTCGAGATCGGAGGAAAATAGGCAAGCTGCGACGCTGAATCACGATAAAAGACTCGGGAAGAGTGTCATGACAATGTGGGAATGATGCCACCACCTGGGAGGCATGGGCGACCGATGTTAGCCCTAATTCGCGTCGCTTTAGGTGAAGCAGCGTGAAGCTCAGTATCAGTGGTGAGCTCGATGTTTTTGTCCCAGGCCAGTCCACAATGAATCAGGAAAAGGTTCGTATCGTTACAGTGGACCCTTCACAATTTATACACTGGTATGATGATGCAACGTACTAGTAGTACTCCCGCTTTAAAATGTCTCTCATGCGTCCGACCATATCTCCTTCGCCGTTTGCACCAGCAGTGACAGCTTCTTGACCACGTCAGCTTCGGTGACCGGATTTCCGTCGGCGTGAGACGCGAAGCCGCACTGTGGTGAGATGCAAATTCTGGACATAGCAGGTTGTGACCGTCGCGTTACCGTCAATATTCTTGAACAGACGGATATGGAAGGCATCGGAACTCACTGATTGAGAGCCTCCTCTTGGGAGCGTGGTTCAACACCATTTGCGATTACAGTTGCAGCAGCGTGAACGCGGGCCTTGAGCTCCTCCTTGTCTTCGAGCTAAAGGAAGATTGCCTGTCGTTAGCCACAGATTTGAAACTATGCGGGACAGTATACGCGGGAACGTACCTTGGGAAATTTGGACGTGACGAGACCAAGGACCACGACTTTTTCTTTCGGAAGGTACTTGAGTGGCTCGAATGTGCCTGCTCGATCGGTGTCGTATTCAAGCTACATCGGCAGCGCAGTGGTTAAATAGACAATATCAGTCAGGATGAAATATAAAGACGCACATAATAGCAGTCGACAGGAATCTCGGTGAATAGCCTAACAGCAATCCTATCGTACCCGCCCTCGCTGAAATGTCTGCCATCCTAAGGAGTCAACCAGATTCGCGTGTTAGCACCGACCTCACGTCACAACTAGTCACCCGAAAGAGAACACCTCACCCTGAAATTTCCTCTGCAAAGATGCAGACCGACGTTCATGTCTGCTGGTCTGCCATGGAGACACGCCTGATATGCCTTGATGTACGTGCTAAGCAGTTTCTCATGGTCGATGCCGACCTCATCCATGCCAGTGATCATAGATTCAGCGCAGAAGTAAGCAAGGAGAGGGTCGTCGAATTGAATATTGCCTGGTGTATTGCAAAGGAGAGATACGTAAGTTGTTGACAGCGTTCGAGTTCGAAAATATACGTACGGCATCCAAGTGAGTATAACTCTTTGATCTCTTCTTGGTAGGCCACAGCGATATCCGCGAAGTACCCATCTACACACAACATGATAAGCAGAGGGGTCATACGGAATATCGTCAGAGCCACATTATGCTCACCATCATTCGCGTAAACATCTTTCGGATAGGCATGTTCTCCGTGTCGGAGGTGGAACCACTCAGGGGCACACATGGTGAGCTTGATATTCTTGTGTTCCTAGAGTATTTATGCACAACGTTGAGCAACGGAACCAGAGATTTTAATTCAGAGTTGTACAGACCTCAGGCGGAGTGATCTTCTTCAGGTATTCGAACTGGGATTTATAAAATGGTTTTGTACGGCGTAGCTTGCCCTATGATGATGATTGTTATGGTTGAATGATCGAGAGATAGAATGAGAGAATAGTCATGCACCTCACACAAATACGACGCAGCGTTCTTGAATGAGTGTTGCTTGAAGGCAAAGGTATCGGGTACATAATCCTGGATCTCAGAAGTCAGAGAGAAGAAAAAAACATGCTTGGCCGAAATGCACATACCATGAACCATTCAAGTGGAACTGAATTCGTGAAAAATGCGTTGTAACCGGACCGATAGTACGGGGCACTGAAGTAAATGTAACGAACCATCAGAAACGTATCTCATTCCCTCCAAGTTGTCGAAGACTCCGTCGTAGAACATATGCTACACGAGCCATGCGAGATACAAGCTCTGGTAAGTCGAACTGAAGAGATCCTCGTAAGTGTAATCTAAAATGTGGAACTTACCCTTCGAAATTCGCCATCCGTGACAGACTTGATCCCGACCTCGTTTTGCATACGAACAATGGCGTCGATAGATTTGTCTTCCTCAGCTACCAACTCCTCAAGTGATATCTTCTTCTCGTCATACTCGCGCCGTTTCTGCAGTAACGACGCGGGACGCTTCAAAGAACCGATGTGGTCCGCGCGGAAGGGTGGGTTCAAATGAAGAGTCATGATGCAGCCGAGGATACTGATGGGTTGAACAGTCGGAGGAGGAATGACGGTGCGAGACTTGAGAAGTGTAGGGCCGATGCTCTGCCAGAGACGTCGACATTCAATATATAGCAGGGGCAAGAGCGCGTGAAGAGAATGAGTGCGACGGCCGTGAGCTTTTGTGAGCTTTTATACACAATCCTCACTAATCCATATCCAACCGAGAGAATGACAGAAGCGATCGATGCGAGTTGGCGACGGCAAAAGCACGAAGTTCACAGGAGCATGTCAAAAAGCTTCTGTTCCATCGCCTTTCCGCGCATGATCCGTTAGTCCGCTGGAAGGAGATTGAAATAACTTGGAGAGACCGATAACCCATGATACGCATATGTGGCCGTGTGATGGGCTAGACGGGTCCGATGAGTGCGATTTGACTTGTGCTGGTGGGAATGACGATGCATTGTACGAATGACGATATAGTCATGCACACCCAAAACAATATGTAATAGGGGTGAACATCTGGCAGTTGATTCACCGATAAATAATATGTTTCTTAGACGTCCTGGAATAACAACGGAGACAATAATATGGAGCATACGTATATGTCCAGTCCGATTCGTTTTCCAGCCCAAGTGATGTCGTCTTAACCGCGTGTCAATGAGTTAGAGATGAACTCAGACCCTGTCCTTACCCTTTGCCAAAGCGATCCTGCGAGACAAGGAATTAAAGACGTGAAAATCCACCACACGCCGCCGACTAGGCGGCGAGATGCAATGACCAGGTACTCGAGGAAATAGATAAACAAAGCCAAGCTGCAGAATGTGATGACAGTCTTCGACCAACGACTCTGCCATGCAATGGTGAATAGTGCGATGGCAGTGGAGGCCCAAGAGATGAACGCCATGAGGCCTGGAAGACGAGAATGAATGGAGAAGTAGAAGTAAGAAGAGTGAGTGTCGGTCGCGAGGATCTAAATGAGGTCAAGGTTCGACAAATAAGCGATACAATAATGCAGAGATACTGAAGGCGAAGACAAGCCTTGAATTTATTAGGGTCGGCACTGCTGTATTTGAAGAGAAACCACCCATCGAAGAGTATACCGAGGCCCGCTGTTATAGCTGAAACAGACACTGCACCTAAAGCAAGGTTTCCGATGTCGTATAATGCTGGATTAGCTGTAGGCGAAAACCCAAAAATTGTGACATCGAGCCTAGGAGGTGCACATAACAATTGTTGTTAGATATTAACCCCAGAGCTCATAGACTTGAGATAGAAGAACATACGCCGCTATTCCAATCAACTATATATAGGTAGTGATTCAGCTCCATAGACCAGCTTTCGCAGGGGGGTCGAAGAACAACATACCGACACTCCAACGAACTGCCACTCCTGCAACAATCTCCTCAAAACCTCCTCGATTTCAGAATCCGTGGTGGCATGTGTCAACTCTCGATAATAAGTGTACGTTTCGAATGCCGAATAACTGAAGGCGATCGTAGTGGACGAAATCGTTTGTGCGCGTTGGAGGAGTTGGAACTGGGGGAGCAAGGAGGGTATAAGACCAAGTATGGAGTGACGAGTAACCTGTGTATGTCGTTGTCTCTTTTCCAGTTTAGAACTGTCGAAGAACTCGCTGAAGGCGGGGCTACTGGCAGTGACGGAGCTCCTTGTGGCATTAGAGGTATACGACGTATGTGCTGCGCTGGTTCGGTTGTACCTTCGACGGATATTGGGAATCAGAGGGGCATGATGTTCGAATTGTTCATCCACGTCGCCGACGGATAGGAGATGTCCTACATGATGTACTCGGTAAGTCAACAACGAATCCTATATAATCCATATAGAGCTCACCTATATCGATGGTATACACCACATTGTTCTTGGTTACTTTCCTCGGTGAATAGACTTCTCCCTCTCCACCAATCAGAAACAGTTTTGATCCACTGCACGACATCGAATGCCCCATTCTTCCGGTAGGCCTTAACTCTAAATCGTCGAAGGATAACCAGGTATTATCTGCATCGAGCAGTCAGTTGTTCGTGCGAGTGGACAGGACAAAGAGAAGTGATAGTAAGGAACCTTACCGGATAATCTAAGGCAAATAAGCTCGCCAATGAGGCACCCCGAAGTATCACGGCCTCCATAGACAAACATAACGTCCTTCATGACGACGGAGACATGTCCCTGTCGAGCTGCAGGATGTATCCCTGTGCATTGAAGTTTAGTCCATTTGTGGCGAGAAGGATCGAAGAGCCAGGTATCATCGTAGTGAACTTTCTCGTGAACCCCTCCGAAAAGGATTAACTTCCCCTTATAAGACACGAGGGTATGCCCCGAGCGAGGTGGTGGTTTGGAACTGAAAGTTCGAGTCTTGCATACTTGCCAGCCGGGAAGTTGATCTGAAGGAACGTAAGCGATCGCCAACAGGGTACCTCCAGGGTATGCGAAATTTGACTCGCCTCGAAAGTTGAATGTCCATAAATCATTTGACTTCCCAATGCCACCAAAGACGAAAAGTAAGGAGCCGGCCAGCGCCACAGCGTGACCTTTCACCCCATCATGACCTGTAGGACCCTGCGTCCTACTTTCGAGTCTTGTCCACGCATGAGTGCCTTTGGGGAACAAAAAAGTATAGGTATTAGTAAATCGGGCCTTACGTGAAAGCGAACATAATCAGCGAAGGAGGAAATGACTTACCCAAATCAAGACAATACACAGAATCACACGTATGCTTGGTACCATCCATCGAATGTCTTGCGCACGGCAAACTCTCCGTGTATGTCTCGGTCCTACCGTGCCTCACAGCATCATGAGCAGCAGCCGAGCCAGGCCTTCCACCCCAGACTACCAGACCATCGCCACCCTCCATCAGAGCACATGAGTAACCGATACGGGGAGGCGGCTTTTCGCCTGTCGCGTGGAGGAGCCTCGCTGAGAGTTGTGTGTCGATGTTTCCAGGATTGGTGTGATCAGGATCTGAGATGATGTAGAGATCACTTTCGGTCCTGGACGCTGACTTCCCACGGGGTGCATCGTGGTGGCGTCGGTTGCGAGAGCGTGAACGGCCATAATTGGGGTGGGGGTTGTGAGTGTGGTTGTGGCGTTGTTTAGGAGCAGACATGCCACCGAACAGAAAGAACTCGCCAGATGACGTGCAAGTCGTCGTCAAAGCATGGCCGTATCGGGGAAAAGGCGAGGGAGAGTGCTCAAGCGGTAGTGGCATGCCAGTCTCGTCTACTGGATGCTCGAGGGCAAGGTACTCTGTCGACCACTGATGCACGAGATGTTGATCATTGTCGGGGTTGTCTTCGAAATGGACGTTTGTTGCCGAATTATATGGCAATCGTCCAGAGTGGCTGACTAGGCTGATATGTCTGAAGAGTATGAGTTAGTAGTGCCATGTAAGTTGCGATGACTTGAGAAGCACTTACAATTTATTGGTACCAGAACTATTTCTCTGGTCCGAGCGCAGCGGTTGAGTCTGGAGACGCTGTCATAGGAGGGATATCAGTCGGCCAATAATCGAAGGGGTTAGGGATGAGAGGCCTAACAATATACTCACGTTCATATTGCCCACCTCTTCACTGGCACCGCTAAAATCCTGCATATTAGATCTCGATTAGCAGCAGACAAATACTTAAACAGCAACCAAGTAAAGGGAAGAAAGCGAGGATAGAGGGCGCGGGGTATGTGGTGCAATTAGCCAGGGGATCATTGCCTCGTCATAATATCAGGGTAACGTTGGGGTAACCGGGAGCATCAAGAAGCATCAAGGTTCACCTGTGTTTCAAGTTGCGACGCAACGCTGCATCGTGTTCAATGGAGCCCTCTGTCTATCAGTGGTGGAAGCTGGCCCCAGCCCATCATGATCATGGAACGGCGTTGTCAGCCAAGCCCCGAAGACAATAGTATGGCAAGAAAACCGCAATGCATCTAAATAAAATTGGTGGGTGCGCCATAGCTATAACATACCGAACGCTTGTGATGATAAAGAAGATGATGGTAGGCTGCAAAGCAGACCTGTCAGTAATAGATCAGCGGCCTCCTCCTGCCTCTCTTTCCCCGAATCGTATGTCTGTCTGAAGCTGCTGAATCCAAGATGAGTCCATTACAACCCCTTTACTTCTGCTTGCTGATACCAAATGGTTCAGCTCCGCTGTGGTGTCCAATACCGAGCTGAGGCGATGTCCGAGTCCACAGTAGTCCTCCCATCCCGGTGGTCCGTGTCCGCAGGCAGTGTTTGATTGCGCCACCGCCACCCTCCACACCGCTCTTCTCAATGCCCCCAGGCTCATATCCCCATACTCTGACTTGAGCTGTCAGCTCGGGCGGCATATCCATCGAGGCTTAAATCACTCCATAACCCTATCCGTCATCCTACTGACTCCCAAGAAAGCCTGCAACAATGCCGGGACAACAAACGGCTCTCGACACTCCCTCTCCACGTCTTTCAGCGCGTCTTCTGTTCTTCTGAGACGGACTTGGGCCGCTCTGCGGGCTGATTTTTCAAAGGAGAGGGAGGTGTGCAGGGAGGTGAGGGTTGAGTGGAGTATTTTGAGGTCAGCTGTTTGGGAGAGGAACAAGCGTTGGGGGAGCGGGGACGAGCAGTTCGGTCAGTCAAAAAAGCGGTCAAAGTGATGAAGGGGAATGGACCTTTGGAAGGCATTCAACAGAACGAAGCGCAGAAATCAAAACTCACTCATGATGTCGCCATTATCATCATTATTTTCCTCATCAACCTCCCCGTCTTCCATAGCCACATCACCATACAACCCATCGCGCACGGCCTCATCTTCTACGTCAATTTCGACGACCTCTCCATTCTCGCTCCCAGACCTGATTCTCTTCCTCGGCCGTGCTATCACTTGCTTTTGACCACTTTCTTTCGCCCCGAGTCCAGCTCCAGGACCACACAATCCCTCCTCATCCATCACCTTTCTGACAAACCTCCTCACATCGTCATTTTCCATCCGTCTCCTCTTGACCTCTCCTCTTAACCTCTCACATTCTTCCTCCGCTTGGGCCGCCTTCCGTTTCAGTGTGTGACGCTCCGATTCCCAAACACATTCATCCTGGTTTTCCTGTGGCCGCAAAGGCGAAGGCGAATGGAGCTGCGGTTGTGACCTCGACGAACCACAATCTTCCGCTCCTCGCTGATCCTCCCCACGATAATATGCCCTAAGCAAACCCTCCAGCTCAGGCGGTAGTCGCCCCAAAAGTGCCCGCACGTCTCGCATTCGCCGATGTTGCTCGTCGGCGACCTCAACCTCAACCTCGACTTTGGTGGTATCGACAACGTCCTGGTCCGGAATACGGCAACTATCTGAAATCCTGGATAATGGGTGTCCGGCCTCCTGATGAAGTCGGTCTTCGTCCTCGGCTTGTACACAATCTCGGTCGGAGACGATGGGGTGCTCGTGATCAAGTGGTGCAGGCGTAGACGACGACGCGTGTGGCTCTGTACGCGTTTGACGCAGTTCCGATCCTTCACTCGAACGCGTTGAACGTGAATCCGGCCTTCGGCCCACAAGAACGAAGTTACTATTCCGTGACAGAGTCGCATCTGCAGAGTTCGACTCATGCTGCTTCCTGAACCTCCCAATCATCCCCAACAATTCCTCAGGCCCCGCTCGCTCGCTCGCTCGACCTGCGACTTCCGCAATTGGGTCGAGATTTGGGCGCGGTTTCTTGAATTTTGGAGCCCATTGAGAGGAGGGGTTGGACGTGGACGGGAGTGGGACGGTGGAGATCGAAGCGGATGATGCTGTGAGAGTAGAAGATGGAGGACCGGTGGAGGGTGGAGGAGCGAGAGTGATGTTTGAGGAGGAAGACGAAGGGGTTTGTGATGAAGATGCCTTGGAGGAGAAAGTCGCAGAGGGGACGTACGACGCCACACCAAAAACATGATGTGACCGGGTGGCGCCGTCGGTTTTTCCAGCGTCGTTCGAATTCTCAGATTGTGGCGGAGGCGAAGTTTCGGCGGTACCCTGCGACTGTGAAGAAGACGACGTGGAAGGTGAATGTGCTCGGAATTGCGTTTCCTGCGATGAAGAGGGATCCGATTCTGGGGGGTTGGTGGTCATGCTGATACATAGTTTGACGCGTTTACGAGGATCAGAGGTCGCATTCGGATATTGCTGTTCAAACGGAGTGGATGAAGTCGAAACAGGAACCACAGTGGGAACCTTCGACGTCGCGTGCACATGCGTGTTCGGTTCCTCCACGACACCAAGAGCCTTCGCGTCCTTCTTCAAAGCCAGAACAAACGGCTCTTTCGCCTGCTTGACCGTCTTTCCCTCCACGTCCTTACTCGTCGCCGCCGTCGTACTAGTCGCATTACCGGCGAATGCAAGCTTAGGCTGATCGAAGAAGAACGAAACGCCCAACGCGTTCGATCTAGGGCCCGTCGGTGCATTGGTGACGGCTCTGCTCAGATCTGGTCCAGTCGGGGTTGGCGTACTTTTCCCGTTCTTATCCTTCTCGTCTGTAGTACGGAGCGCCATCATTGATCACTTTAGGGCTTTTGGAGGACGAGGGTGAAGAGCTCGTAGAACTGACCTTTTGCTACCGAAGGAGATTGATCAGAGGGTGAAGACTTGGATGTGGAGGATACGCGTGCGTAAGGATAAGTAGCGTAGGAGCCTGTCTGACGAGGTTTGAAAACTTCGACGGGTGGAGGGATGCCGTTGTAGGAGCTAAAGGTCGGGACATCGCGCGGGTCGAGGGGAAGTTCGGAACCGGAGCGAGTGCATTTGATTTCGAAGCTGATTTTTTAGGGGCGTCAGGGGCGTTAGGATGGAAGTGGTGTTGGAAGGATGGGGGAACGTGAGGAAAAGACAAAGTCAGTTTGTGCCATCGTCAATGAATGAGAATACGAGACTAGGAGGTTTTATGGCTGGTATTGAACGTACAGTTCGACTGAGATTCTGACGGGTTCGGATTGACGGCGTTAGTATTATAATGCAGTGGTGTACTTGAATGTCAGGATAACTCACATAGATAGTTTCTCCAGTTTCTTCGCGTCCATGCTGCCAATACCGCGCTGCAACGCGATGACCATACACTACCCATACATACAACGTTAATCATCAGCACATTTCTTCACCAATCCCACATTTCTCGCCCAAATAACACGCGACCAAAAGAATAACAAGGTAAAGCCACTCACATTCCCTTTTTGTGTCTCATAATGCGCCTCCACAGCATCCCCAAAATCGCCACTCAAAAAGATTTTATCCTTCTTCGGCAGCGAGCTGCCCAACCTCAACGAAGTACTATCCATATCCTTCCTCAGCATGTTCTTTAGCTCCGACATCTGGTCCCTTCCGCGCACAGAGTTGTGTGTCGGGCAGTCCCTGATCTTCAGCATCTTGAGACCTTTGTAGCGGATGCGGAGAACAACATGGTAGGGATCGCCGGCGGCCATGGTGGCGACGACTGTGAGCAGTACTGGTGCTGAGCACAGCGGTAGGTATACAAAGACTTAGTGCGCGATATCCTCGATGAACCTGGTACAGTGGCGCGTTTGACAACGAGGAGAGAAGTTATGAACGCGTGAAAATGTCGAAGCTGAGCTTTCGAGAATTGCAAACGAATATCTAAGGTGTATATCGGCAGAATATCGCTCCACGCTGCTGATCGTCGTCGACCTCGAAGTAGATGACGGTGGCGATGGTGGTGGTAAAGAACAAAGGAGGACGAAGGACACGACGCATGACCGTCGCCGTCTGCACAAATTCGGATTTGGGGCAAATTGCTAATTAGAATTTAGAAGTGGCACAAGCGCGACCGCGACGCGTTCTGGTTCTTGTGTTTACGTAAATGACGCGTGTTTGGCGTGCTGATCACCGCGTTTTTGGGCCCTTCGAGGCATGCGGTTGCCTCATTGAGAACGGGGTTTGTCTGCACCTTTGTTTGGCCGAATAGACGAAGATGGAGTTGCTTGGGAAAGGATCAGGAAGACAATTGGGAGCAAGAGCATCGCGAACAAAAGCGTCGACCTTGGTTCCTTTTCACCTCAGGCTCAAACTCATGCTCGGACCTTCCATCCTTCCTCCACCACGGCGTCCTTCTTCCTCGGTCCCCACATTGTATACACGGTCCTACCATCTCCCACATTATCCGATTGGAATCATCCAATCTACTTCTGACAGCAGTATTATTAGGGCACTTCTGCTCGCACGGACGCCGACATCGATAATCCTTTCGCTTTAATACAGATATTTGCACATCTTCCGAGATACGTACAGAGGCCCGCCGACACCGCCACCGCCACACATTCACCCCTCGTTTCCTCCCTGCCTCGACATCCATCACGATTCGTGGTCACTCCAGCGCCTCATCTAACTCGTCACAACGCCCACTCCTCACCGTCACCGTTCTAACACACAGACCAAGGCAGACGACTAGTATCCCACGTTGATCAGATAATCAGCGAGATTCTCGACGATGGGTGTCGCTTGGCCGGCTTGGATCGGTGCAGCATATTCCGCGACGAGGATGGCCTGTTTCGTCTTGACGATGACGGCGCCGTCAGCCTGTGCGGTCGGTCATATCGTTATGTTGTAGATCGTATTGATGTTGTTGACCATGGCATCACACGAGTAATCGTAGACGGAGATAACAAAATAAACGTGAGCATGACATGTCTGGACCGCGGAACCGAAAGACGAGATAGAAATGGGAGGTAGACGTAAGAGCACGAGGAATGGATGGTCGAAAAATGGTAGGAGTCAAAACCAATCGCCCCCGGAAGGTGCAAGGGTGGAGGTAGTATAAAACGGCATAGAAGAAAATGACATAGAATGAGCCAGTAAACGCACCTGCTTCTTCCCATAAATACTTCTGTCGTTCACCTGCAACGTGAAGTACTTCTGACCCGCGAGACGGAAACCACTGGCTTGCGTGGAGGTTGGGTCCACAAACGCGTTGATCACGGCTTTCTGCTCCTCTGGGGAGAGCTGTATGAATTGGTTGATGGTGAGCCCACGAAACGACCGGATTGTTCGTGCACCACCAGCGATAGTAGTAGGTGAGGCGTGTTGAGAGGATGTAGAGCGATCGTAAGTGTGATGAGGGCCAGAAATACGAGGAACAGAGTAGGATAGAAAGTCAGTATACCAGTTACGGATGTACAGAAAAGAGATGTGGCAGTAGTTGGATTGGGCAGAGGCCGATATAGAGGGGGTAGATAGGGAGGAGATGATGAAAACATGAAGAGGAAGAAGACCATGATCGAGATCCGAACGTACGTTATACCCAGCCGTCGTAGCCCACACACCGCCTTGCTGTCCGAGAATCGCCGCTTTCGTAATCATCCCGCTGCCCACAAGGTTAGTGTCGACGTATGCTGCATTCCCGCAATACCGATTCCAAGTCCATGCCACAAATCGCCGTAGGTTCCAATGTCACCCAGGAGCAAGGTTCAAAATAACAGCAATTAGTACGATGTCGATATAAAATGCAGACCACACGCAAAAGCGAGCAATATCGAGCGGGCCACAAATGACGATGTATTTGGGTACTCGCGAATATGTCTTGTGCTGTATGACGGAGATAAAGACAGGAGAAAACGTACTTTGCCAAGACATTGCAGCCTAATTGTACTCTGACGAAAAGCTAAAAGTTGGAGGGAAGAAGTAGGAATGTTATGAATCCGAGAGAGCAAGAAAGAGGCTCGAGGAGATGGTTGATGATGGTGGTAGTGAAAGGAGAGCGTCAGCCAGCCCCGAGCACTCCTTTGGCTGGGCGGAACAAATGTCCGGAAGCGGGACGGAGATCGCCATCAGATATAGCAAATCTGCCCCGATCAGGCTGATTTTGAGGCCGCCTTGAGCCCTCGTTTCAGCTGTGTTTACGGCCTGGTTATGCATGCTGCCTGCGTCCAGAGGCGAGGATGTGTCGGGAATGACAGGGAGGAGAGGGCAAAGAGATACAAGCGCGTGGTTGAGGGTAACGATTATTCTGAGAAAATCTGGTCGTTACTTCGACCCTACTTCGGAAGGGAATGCCCGGGACGGAGACCTGCAGAAGACCGCTTTTTGTGAGCAACACGTGCTTCTTAGGGCATAAATAGGAACGTATTTGGATGCATTTCGCGGAAATTGTGGCTTTGGGGCCGTGGATTTCCTCTTCTTTCTGTCGTTCATCTTCATGATGCTGTCACATCCTCGTTCATCCCTCTGGCAAGGTCTATGCTTGGCTACGAACCCTTAAACTGCCGTCAACCCATCATCCTCACCAAATGAAGGTCCTACTCTTCGGAACTTGCACTGTCGAGTTGTCACAAGCAAAAACCACTGTCCTCATCACCCTTGCTAGAGCTCCTCAGCCTGACGGACTTCACTCTGGTCTTGACGCCTCTTAGGGGTGCTTTTCCTAACTTTCCACGATTGACTGCTCTTTCGTGTATGGTGGCTTCGTGCAAGCCGAGGAAATGCAAACTTGGACGATGTTCATGTCATGTTTCGGTCTACAAGTGTGGCACGAACATGCAGAAGTAAATGTGCCGATCTCTTAGCTCGAGACAATAAAACACACTGGCACGATGTGCAATGCACGACGGCCGGGTCTCCTTTCTCTAGTTATAAAACTGTATAGGCAGACTTTGCAGATTGATACACCCTATTTATCAGCCCTATAACGCCCTGCTGCCTTCCTCGCGCGAGACTCTACTGCTCTAGTACGCGCAGCTCACAAAGGCCGATATCCGTGCTCTGCGGCGCTATGGATCAGGTACATGTTGGACTCGTAGTCCGACTCCCATGGGCTGTCAATCATATTCTCCGCATTTTCACCGTGACCACTGGTCAAAAGCTAGGAACACGCACTTCTTTGGAAGGACTTTCGCTCGTTCCGGGTTTCAGAGACGAATCGACGGTGATATTTTGTGATGCTAGGCCTAGGAGTGTCCTGAACTTCAATGCAACCTTTGTGGTCCTGTCCATCCGACATTCCTTCACTTCTTCGTCCAGTCTCTCGCACTGACTCGAACAATCACTCCCCATCATGCACGGCTTGGACTCGAGCGACTCGGGCAACGCATCTTTCAAACTTGTCTCTGCCAAGTAAACTCCAACACCGACATAAAGCCGGTCTGTGATGTGAACTGCAGCATCTCGTACCTATCCTCCATCAGCGCCGATCATGAGGATAGGATGTAGTTTGGGTCGTTACCGCCATCGTTCTCAGAGGATAGGAATCTAGGTTCAACTCACTACTCTCATATGCGCATCTTTCTATGAATAAAGTGATGGATCCTTGGATCTAGCTTCACCTCGCCATGATCAGTGATAAGTATACAGTTTCAAACCTGCACCGATCCATCCGAATCCGATGGCTGACTTCTACATCATTTTGTGTTCTGCCATGCCTGGTCTCGAATCCGCCTTCAAGGCACACCTGTGGACAATAATATCGCATCTTGAGCTACCTGGACTAGATTTGGACCTACATGCCAAGCAGCCTCCAGAGTACTAGAGGATCAGCTGCACCGTCAAGGGGCTTTCCACTTTATGGGCGACGGCACGAACGGCTCCAGCAGTTTTGTCTTGTTAATCATTGACTTAGGGCCCGCAGGAGCTCCGGGCTGGACAGGTATAAAAGATGACTCGAGTGTTACTCGAGACTGGCAGGCCCAAGCTCACCGGATATTGTTTTATCTTAGTACGACTGCCTCTGAATCTTGCCTTACACCGGATCCCTACACGAGAACTGTCGTCCATAATCCAACTATGAAGAGCACCATTTACTTCGCTTTCTTTGCTCTCATGCGCGTTGCTCTTGCCGGTAAGTAGACCATCCCTCTGTGCGACTCTCTTCGTATTATACTCGATATTCAACACCTTTCATTCCCTACATCCCACATTCCACATCGACACACTACTAGTACCCCCGACCCCACGCGAACTCTGTGGTACAGGCGGGACCGTCATCAACAGCACCACCGTCCATCACAACGGACTCGACATCAACATCAAGACTACCACTTGTCCCACCCTTATTGCCTCGGCGAACAGCACCAGTGCTCGCGCGGAGAAAAGGGAAGAGGAGGAGAGACAGACTGCGTCGTGTTCTGATGGTGGATGTATGTACTCTCAATCTCGTTCTTCGTATTCGATATAGGAGTACTTATGATGGATGCTAATGTGCTTTGGGATGGGATAGGCACTACCTACTGTTTGAACCTCGGCGAACAGCCTTTCGTTTTCGACTGTCAGACGCTCGCGGACGCACTCGAGGATCTTTACCGTAGGTCACACACCCTATCTTTCGCCCCATTTCGCGTTCGGTTCGTTGACACATGGATATCATAATATTCTATATAGCCGAGAGCTTCCTCGCCCCGCCGCAAACCTCTAGCGAATTCTCCATCGATACGTGCGCGTTTGCGTTCCTCAACTACGACGTGGAGGAGTATAGCGTCTGTTACTTGAACTTCGTGCGTCCATATCCACCTCCTTTTTGCTTCCTTACACCCTGACCTTGACTCTTCCTACATGGACTAACATCTCATTATCGTCGTGCTAGGGCTTCAACGGCATTATCACTGCAGATAACTGTTTCGGTGACTGGCCCGCGCCGACGGCCACTGCTGGCGGAGCTTGTCTCTCCCCTGGCTACGCGGGGAATGACTGGGCTATCGAGTGAGCATATTCGTTACTTTCATCCTCCCCTGTTTTGAGTCAGCACTGCTGATGACGTGAAATTGTAATGCGTTGGTAGAGTGTTCTATCCTTGAATGAAGCAATACGCTCAGCTAGGGTCTGGTATGGTATGGTATGCAATGGGTGCGCAGTGTCGAGTGGAGCATTGTCGTTGTCGAGATAATTATGTGGAAAATATATGCTATGGCCGTGGATCACTCTAACGGGCATAGAACATTGGAGGCTGCCTCTGGAAAGCGCGGTTTCTCGATTCAACTGAGAACCGAGTCAAAGCTTGTTACTTACTCTCTGCAGGAAAACGCCACAATACTGTAACATATGAGGTCCATCTAAGACCAATCAAATGTGATGAGAGTTCGTCGAATTACCCCTAAAGGAGTGTGACAAGCTCATTGAACGAGCTTTACAAGAGAAACAAAGTACTAAGGAAGGCCAAACGCAGGGGACAATTCTCTTTTATCCCGAGCCTTAGGATAGAATCAGCTCCCGTAGAAACTGGAATTGAAAGCCCGAAAATCTCGAGTCAGACCGATGAAATTGGGTACCGATATGAAGCCGAAATCAAACATACCATGTGTCTAGTCTTCCAAACGAGAGATGCGACGTATTTTGGTTGGTTTATACGAGCGAGCCTGAACGATGTCATCGAGAGCGGTGCGTTTCTTCGGGCTACAAGTAGCTACGGCGGAAGTTGGGCACTGCGGCGTGTATCCGCCTGTAAAGTGACCATCGAGCTGTGGCGGCGGATATCATCCAGTGCGGTGAGATACCTGGAACAACGATAGAGGAAGGCAAGTCACATACTGTGGAGTACCCACATAGGAAGTGCTGAACATTAGGCTGGTAATATCTACGGAGTCGGACTCTTAGTTAGTGTGTGGTCCTTTCGCTACGAATAGATAGGGAGGGAGAGTAACTCACTCGCATACAAATTCATGCTGAGATGGATATTGCAAGGTATTGTCGAGCGAGGAAGGACCGGCAGCAGTTGGATGACACGAGTACGTGCAGGAGACAGGTTGGCCCGAAGGAGTCGCGGGTGCCGGGTTCCCAGCAACGAACGAAGTCAAGAGAGCAGCAAGAATGAGTGATGTGAACTGCATCATAGGCAAGGAGTGTGTGGAAAGTCAAAGAGTGGTGGTACTTATGAGACAGTGACCGCGTTTTCTTGGTGCATCCGCTGAAACCTAGTCGGCTGTTTATATAGTGAATAAAGAGTAGGTGTTGCATGCCGTGACGACCGCCCCGTGTGTCGACTGGGGCAGAAAACACCGGCTCCGGACCACGCTTGAGGCGATCAGTCCCTGTAAGAAACGAAAATGCAACCCTATATGACAGGTTTTCAACTCCATAGAGGCATTCAGTAGCAATAACGGAAGAAATGAAGCTGTACAGATGTTGTTGCCCTGAGTAAACACTCACACTGTAGCGGATATGTGCGGCTTAGAAAGTAAAACGCGATGATTGGCGCCCTTGACTAGGTTACCTATCAGCCTTCGTCTGCGACAGTGAAATATACCTGTCACGAGTATGCATCATTACTTCTGCCCTATACATCTCCAGGTTTTCAGTGAGACGTGACCAGCCCCTACGAAAATCAGTAGACTCAAACGTGGAGAGACACGCCCAGTTTCGGAGCTAGCGGAGACAAAGTGGCAGATAAACTCGGGCGAATAGGTGTATGTCAGTCAAACATAGAACGCCGTCTAGCAAGAACACGGTGTAGCGCCTCGATCTGATGGCCGAAAGTATCCCTACTTCGCATCCAAAACGAGGCTGTAGCAGATTTCAGGGCCCCAGGGGAATTTTACCTGCTGCCCTCGTCAACAAGCGTCCATGCTGGTTGGGTAGGGCATGCAAAGACACTCATTCCCAACGGATTGCGCAACTCAACCAACATTGAGCTACTTTTCGAACGAAGAACCACGAATGCAGACGATATTATGTGGGCCTCTCGAAGGATTGGGATAGACGTCTTTACAGCGGCTTCATGATGTGGGCAGATGCGGAAAATGTATCGTCTGACATTGCAGCGATATCGGGGAGGATGTAACGCCGGTGATCGCTGCAGGGAAGCCTTGATGTCGAGTAATATACCACTATTCTTATACTTCCTGGCGTAAGAGAAGAATTGTCGAGCATCAGTTGGCCCAGAACCGGAAGACTAGCCCTCTTGTTTACAGCAGCTGTCGCAGAACCAAGTCTTTGGTGGAAAGGATAAATTATCAGAATCGAGACGTCGACAGCTGCGACACGGGCGTGTGTGTACTCGATTGGTGCTCATGATTCAAAAAAAATACCCCGCGAGCAGAAAGGGCGGTGATTGAACTGAGATGCCCAGTTCACCGTTGAAAATCCTTCCACTGGCAGCACCATACGTAACGTTTGGTATGTAACCACTGACTTTCTTCGTGGCTCTGAAACAAGAGAGGCATGCTAGGCAGCTGTTGACACACCTCGGTCAATGTACTCAATCCTCCACGGTCAAGAGTATTTACTCCTCTTCCGATTTATCGAAGGCGTACTGCCGACGTCTGCGTGTCGCACAACTCGGTGGTTACAAATCGGATGATGCCTACTCACATATTTCGTTCAAAAATAGAGACCTTACCTGGGCTTACCAGTGTTATGTGAAGAAAGTAGTATCGAGCTAGATTCAAGCAAGTTGTTGGCAAGTTGTGGCAACCTGACACGATCCGGACAATACCGGACAAGGGTTGAAACTCCGCGCAAATAAAGCCACATGTCGTGCTGGCCCCTTGCCTTCAACCTCCCACTGAGCACTCTGCTCAACATTCAGCTCTCTTTTGACTAGTCGGCCTCATTGGCATGTGCTATATGCCCCTTGTAACTACATTCCGTGTGCTTTCAGTCAGACCCTGGAGCGAACATGATGCAAATTAGTCACTACTACAAAGACGAAAATACATGGTTTGCATTGACATCCGAGTTAGTGCCTATTTTTGTCGCTGACTGTACCCTTCGTTTCTCAGCAAGTATCCCAGGATCTCACCGAAGCGGCCATATATCGGCCAGTTGTCCAAAATACTCAGTTTACTCCCTTTGTCCAACAAGCCCAGCACATGGTGCTCTGTGCTGCACAGGCATTCATTTTCCGATGAAGCAACAGCCGTCACTTCTTCAGGACATCCAGATAATAAGTCAAGGAAGCATTCAATAAGATTTCCGCCTCGTAATGGAGTGATCGAATGAAAGGCTTTTCACAGCACCTTTGATCGCCTTTCGTCGAGCTATCCTCGTCTTATACTTATCAATCGTTTGGACACAGTCACGTCAATGGGCGCATGTCTTCGGCCATCATATAGGTGTTCAACCTACAAAGACCGGATACTAACCCTCCTTCTCGAAGTCTTACCTCGGGCATTGGCCCGAGGCGCTTGCAGACGAGCGTCGACGGGTCTTGGCATACACGTCCCCGAGGATGGATGGTATACCTTCCCCTACCTTTTCAACATCCGGGCTTACCAAGACCTGAATCGCAGTCACTAATTCCCAAGCAAACTTCACCCTCACGTCGAGTTTCGTTGAGTATGGTGGGCGAGATGTAAGGCGCTCATCAGGACCAACAGACTTGGTATAAGGACAGTGAGGATTCTGTACCTCTGGCTTTATTCTCAGTTTAACACAACATACCAACCCTCAACGTCTACAGCTCTTCGCAGTATACCTGTCAATATGTCCTCCACTTCTTCCAAGCTATTCCAGCCAGCCAAGTTTGCCAATATTACTCTGCAACACCGGGTTGTCATGGCTCCATTGACGCGGTTTAGAGCGAACAAGAGGCACGCTCACACTGAGCTTGGTGTCGAGTACTACTCTCAGCGCGCCAGCGTTCCCGGTACTCTGATAATTGTGCGCATACCTAGTTCTTTCTTCTTTCTTCTTCGCCGTTATTAGTTCGTGGTGCTAATGCGCGTATGCACCTTGCTATGCATCGCAGACCGAGGCTACCTTTATCGCCCCTCAGGCCGGTGGATACGCTCACATCCCAGGCATCTGGTCGGAGGAGCAGATCGCAGCATGGAAGCAGGTTCGTTGAATTGGCTTGTACCATTGTTTCATGATACTATCTGGTCATTCTCAGAAGCTAAAATCGCATATATCGTAAACAGATCACCGATGTCGTCCACGCCAAAGGCAGTTACATAGTCCTTCAAATGTGGGCTCTCGGACGCGCCGCTGACCCCTCTCAACTGGCCTCCGAAGACCCTTCACATGTGTACCATTCTTCTTCTGACATCCGCATGGATGACAGACCGGCAGATTCTCCAGCCCCGCAACCCCTCACCATCGCACAGATCAAGCAATTCGTCCAGTACTATGCCATTGCTGCCTCAAACGCGGTACACAAGGCCGGTTTCGATGGTGTCGAAGTTCACGGTGCGAACGGCTACCTCATCGACCAATTCACGCAAGATGTGACGAATAAGAGGATGGATGCGTATGGCGGGAGTATTGAGAATAGGACACGGTTCGTGTTGGAGGTCGTTGATGCAGTTGTTCGGGCGGTAGGGGTGGAGAAAGTGGGGATTAGGTTAAGTCCTTGGTCGACTTTCCAAGGTATGTCTCTATTTCACAATTTGAACTTCTTTTCTTATCGAACGTTCGTCAACGATTGACCTATCTCTGCAGGTATGCGCATGGCGGATCCCATCCCTACGTTCAGTCACATAGTCAAGACCATCAAGGAAAAATATCCCGACTTCGGGTAAGTGCCACAGTATCTTCGGTCCGTTCAGCATCCATGTAAGGATATCCTCACCTGAATACAATTACCTCTTGCTCTTTACCGTCCAGGTACCTTCATGTCCCCGAGCCCCGTCTTGCCGGTATCACCGACCGCGACGCCTCAGAAGACGAGTCGAATGACTTCCTCCGCAAGATCTGGGGAGACAAGCTTTACTTGGCCGCTGGAGGCTTCACCCGTGACGAGGCAATCAAAACCGCAGATACGAAGGGCGGGCTTGTCGTGTTCGGGCGGTACTTTATCTCTAACGTGAGTTTCCATCCGAGTCTTTGCTCTTTGGATGGCCAAACTCGGACCCACTTCCTTCATTTCTCATTCTTGTTTTGGGATACGTACGGCAGTGCTGACTGGTACTTTTATAGCCCGACCTTCCCCGGCGCTTGCGCGAAAACATTCCGCTTACAAAGTACGATCGTAGCACGTTCTTCGTTGACGAACCCACTGCAAGGGGATACACCGATTACATATTCGCAGAGGAGACGACAGGCGAGGTGAAGGCCATGGCATGAGTTGTATATAGACGACCAACGCGATGAGGGTGGGGCAGGTCCTCTAGGTAGACGAAATAGATCGAGATCACCCACACATAAATTAGAGTCGTAGTAATTTACTCGCATAGTCGCCTTTTAACACAGTTCTGAGAGCATCAAAAAAAATAAAATCTGTGAGACCCTTCCTGCTAAAAGTCGATCTTCGAAACATGTTGGAATTTCTCTATATCCGGCACGAAGCTAGTCAGCAACGTGCTTTCAGATCTTTGACCGGCGCCCAAAACTTACGAAGCCAACTATATCTTCCAACTGTTTGAACATATCGGAAACATTTACGCGAGGACACGCCGCTACTGAGACGGATAACAAAAGATTGAACAAGAGCAGTCGGTCTCTGATGTGGCAAGGAGGAGAGGGAGGAAGGGGATAGACGCAGCGCGCTCTCTTCTCATCACAACCTAAGACCTCAAATATTGGTGTCGAGCGCCCGCTGAATTCTGTTGAAGCCGCTCTGCGTGATGAGCGCAGCTCAATTTCGTTGGGGTTCGTCGAGGCATCCACCCGAACAAAGATATGGAATCACGTCAGAAGAGGTAGGGGCAACCCCTGGCTAGGCGTATGACTTACATAGTGGTAGTCACTCCATACTTTGGCCAAGCATACTGTAGGAGGATGAGGACATAGAATAGACCAAACGACACATTCTTGGCCTTCCTTAGCCTTGTCGGGAACGCCGAAAGACATGGCCCAGGCCCGAGCTATTAGTTAGTATCAAGTCTTGCTTTCAGTAGTGCGGCAATGGGTAACCTCCGTGACATTCCTAGATCACGGAGTTGGCATCGTGTCAAAAGACCGTGCTCCTGTGTCAGGAGAATATAAACCTACATCACCACCCTCTCAATAACTCTCCCACATCAAATCCCTAACCCCAACGCCCAAATCCCTCCCGAGCGCCATCGCAGCCTCGTACGAAATTCCACACCTGAACGTCGGCGGGCCGTCTATCTTTTCTGGGGCCGATGCGCGGTGGAGGAAGCCCATGTTCGCGAGCTCCGAGATCTAGTCGATCAGGAAGACAGTCAGGTTCGTTCAAAGACGAGGACAAATGCGAAAGGTAGGTAATGGAACATGGTGGGATCGCAAGTGAGAATGAACGAGGGAATAAGGGAAAACGATGAATAAGGATGAACGTACGGCGCCGAGCACATGGACCCTCCCCAGTTCCAGCTCTGTGTACTCTCCAGATAGCGCTGATTCCAAGTCAGGGAGATCAGGCCTCGAATCCGCGTCATGTTCTTCGAGTAGGATGCCTAGTATAGCAAGCAGTCGATCGAGAGGGAAGACCATTGGGCCTAGCAGTCTTTGCGGTACCTGCTCACGCCCAACAACAAAATAAAATCGGCTCGGATCAGCAAACAGACGCAAAAAGACGAATGAACACGGCAAAAGAACGCAGCAAAAGAACGCACCTTCGCATTCCCAGCCTTCCCACCTACAGACTTCCTCGTCCCCCCTCCCTTCTTCCTCCCCTTCCTCCTCTCATCCCTCCCCCTCCCAAACATCCTCAAATCCGTCTTCGCAGGGTTCGTCGACGCCACAAACGCAGCCACCAGCACAAACTTCGACATCCTCGGAAGCCTACACACGCCCTCTTCCTCCGCCGCCTCTCCCGCCGCCTTCTCCTTCGCAGCATCAATCTCGCGTTCTCCTCGCTTCCGAGGACTATTGGGCGCGGAGGCCCGCCCCCCTCTATCTAGCGCGCCCCGCTCCGGTAGATTTTTTCGAGACCAGTCTAGCGCGTTGGTTAGGCGCGGGTAGAGGTCGTTGAGCGCGGCGGTGTATGAGGGTGAGAAATAGTGGATGAGACGCATGCGCGCGTTGTATGCTATCGTCTCCAGATCTCCTTCCTCTTCTCCCACTTCCTCATCTTCGTACGCTCCCACCTCGCAGTCATCAATTCCCGGCTCTGTAATATGCTCATTCACATGTCCGCGGGCTGCTCTAGCCTCCTCCCTCAGCTCCTCATACGCCTCTAACACCGGCTTGACGAACCCAGGCCATAGCGCAGCGGCTACGTAGGCCAGCTCGGAAGCGTCGTTTGTGTACATGAAGAGGACGCTGACGAGGGACGATATGAAGTCGCTCCAGAGAGGACGGAGGGAGGGAGAGTAGGGTGATGGGGTGGTGTTTTGGAGCAATGTCGATGAAGGGGTAGGGAAGGAAGAGGAGAGACGTTGGACGACGGCTGTCAAGACATTGTATGAATTTACGGATGGACAGATGATGACACAGACGGTCACGTACCCTGCGCAGTTGGCGCCAATACCACCATTCTGTACGGGTCGATCGCAGCGCCGAGAGGAGGCTTGATATCTTCCCATTGAACTTCAGATACGAAGAACGTCGTTATATCGAGTTTAGACTACAATAACGCACAATACCAAGACGCACTGGTCAGCGAAACGCAAAAAGCGAGCGAATCAAGACAACAGAATGCTCACCAACTCCGCTAATCTAGTCAACGGTACGATCATCTCCGGCATCGACTCCTTCAACCTCTCCGCTCTCTCTATCACCAAAAACATCCTCACCCCCCTTGCAGTCCGCCTCGTCTTATCATCCTCCTTTCCCTTCCCCTTCCCTTTTCCTTTTCCGTTCACCGTCTTGCCCTTGCCCTTCCCCCTCGTCGTCTTCCCACCTGCACCACTCTGGGCGTTAGCATTATCTACCTCTTCACCCATGAACCTCTCAATCTCCCGCCCCAAAGCCCTCAAGCCCTCCACGAACCCATCCACCCCATCATTATACCTCGTACCCGTCTCCAAATCCCCCTCCGCAACCCAATTCTCGCATCCGTCGGCCCATTTCGGTTCGTATTGAGCGAGTTGGTTGAGCGCTGTGTCGTAGAGGAGACGGGGCGTGAAGTGGGCTATGGCATTGAGGTGGGCGGAGCGGATGATTGGGACGTCGGCCGTCGAGCCTGGGTCTGGATCATTGCTTGACCCTTGTCCTGGGGCATTGTACGACGAGGTGGACGAGAGCTCACACAGCCCATCGAACATGCGCCGCAGGAGATCACAGGTCATCCGTGGATTATGCGCATCATGGACGTATATGAACGATGTTGGACTTTGGGATTCAGGGAGCGTGCAGAGTGTGAGGAGGCGGGAGATGAGGTGGGAGGATTCGGGGCCAGGGAAGGAGGTGGAGAGGGAATGGGTGAGGGTGGAGAGGTTGGTCATTGCGGTGGATGACCGGTTGGATGGGTGGGAGGGTTATAGGACACGGGGTGCGGAGGGTTATAGGACACGGGGTGCGGAGGGTTGGTGTGATGATGGGTGGATGGGACTCGAATCTAAACTTCGGAGACGGAAAAGAGGTGGAAATGAGACGAGTCAGCTTTGTACTGATGAATTCGGAGAAGAGGAAGAAATGTAACAATAAGGTGGAATTTGAAAGTTTGAACAGCTCGACACTATCTCCATCGTAAAGTTTCCGCAATGCAGGTACTTAGGAAAACTAGCCTCTCTAGCTGAATGCATAGCTAGACACTCAAGACCCAGAGCTCGTGGCCCATATTATCCCTGTACAACCACAATCGGCACAGGATGCCAATGCCAATGATCGTCATCGAGCAATCATACTCCAATACTCAACCACGGCCACTCTCCTGCACCGTGGGTATGGTATAAAAGTATCGATATCTAGGGTCACGATGCATAATGAGTAGTGCATGCATGTACTCGTTCGATGTGGTCTACGAGTCGCACGGTGGCTTAATATTATGGCCATGTTCGATAAAGACAACATCACGTCCCAGATGGCTAATCTCTCTTGCAGGAATTCCGTCCATAAAATCAGGGAGCGTCCCACAATAGCAACGACTACACGAAAATGGACTTACACGAACAAGAGTCGAACTCACCTGTGTTCTAGTCCCGGTCTCTTCAAAAGCCAAAAGATGGCAGAATCCACAGGGATATTAGAGTGTCGGGAAGTCTAAGACGATAGCCTAAGTATGTGGTTTCTAGGTTTGCGCCAAACGAAGTCCAAGCAGTAGTAACAAGCAAGCACCGGCACAGTGAGCCCTAGCAGAACCCAGCGATAAGTCGTGTAAGAGTTCTAATAGAGAGTCACTATCGTCGTAGTGCGAAGGCAACTTCCAGTTCAACTATGTTCCAAAAGTAAAGGACAGATTGGCGGACAAATCACCAACGGACCGTAGAGGATGGGTGCAAGATGCTCGAAGGTGGCGAAGACGCCGACTTCAAAGTCCGCTCGGACACGACACGCGCTTGTCACACATCAGGTGCTCTCGTCACACCGCGTTTGGCTTTCAGGGGTGTCACGAGGCTTTCCCTTTTCCTCCTCTCTTTCCGTTCGTGTGGTTTGTCTTGCTCGGCTTGCAAACCTTCGACGTTTGGACTTTGGCTGTGGGCTCTTGGGCTGTGTTTGATATTTTGTGTGCTGTGCTTTTGACTACCAGGAGTATTCTCTCGGCATAACAAATATTCGAGCTTCTGAATCGCCATCGAAGATGGTTGGAAGATGGCCCACTACCTTGTGCGTTGATGTCTTCTGCTCACCGAAGTTGGTCTTATCAGAGGCTTACTTCGTGAGGAAGCTGACTGCACAATGGCTATGCGCCTGCACAAAAATAAAACACGTCGCAATCAGGTGTGTTTATGATGCTTTACACGGTCGCTAGCCTTCGCTAGCGCTCTCATGTGTTTGGCTTGTTAGCGCTTCCCTTCAGTCACGCGAGCACTCAGTTTCGGTCCCAAGTATCTCAGCTCTTAAACGCACGCTGGGCCTTAGGCTACCCATGCTGACAGGCCACCAACCGGCCGGAACTTCTGTCCCATCCAGTCTCAGTTCGCGCTGTTCGACCACCTTGTGCTTACGCGTATGCAGGAACCCCTATTTTTGTTACTCCAGGCGGAGACGCCACTGCTCACGACTGGTGACCTCCTCCTGATTTTTAGAGTTTCCTATTGGCCTTGGTTAACCTCGATCTTGCTCGTCTAACTTTACTTCCGTGCCTCTATGATTCTCACGCTCAGGCTAAATGGACACAAGGAAGGCAGGATTTCGCACCGCCTGTACGCCTCCTTGCGCCATGATCTCAATGTTCTATCCTTCGTGGCCCTTCTATACGACATTCGCAACGCTCGTCGTCAATCTCGCTCCGACTCCCGTCAAAGAACGGACACAAAATGGAGGCATAAGCAGCGGCGACTTACAAAGAACGCTCCCATTCGCTCGTCACACGCCTCCATTTAGACATGTGCGCTTCCGGGTCGTTTGACCTGCATGATGACGTGGCTGTGTTGGGTTTTCGATCTTGGTGAGAAGTTGCTTGGGTTTATAAGACGTGGGTCTCCTTGGGTTGCGATTCTGCTCCCCCGCTTGTTCTCTGGACGCGAGAACGTACTCCAAACGCTCCCTCCCCCTCGCCGTCTACTCTGCTCTGCTACCAGTGTTCTGGACGATGGCGTACGAAAGCGTACCGATGCGGACTCTCCGGCTTGCCGCGCTTTTCATGTCGTTTGCATTTGGCGTGATTGGAGGGAGTGTGGGGTTGAACGCCTTGATCAAGTACGTTCGTCACATCGTGATGCGTCTGATCTCCTTGTCTAACATCCTTCTGAATTCGTAGATCGAATCAAGAGCACACGACAGTCAACAGAGCGGCTGCCGCTTTAAGCGCCACTATCACCATCGACGACAAGGGTTTGTTTTTGCCCAATTAGTATCACGCACCCTCCACCCATTTATTCACACGTTCATCCACAGACGTATTTGACTCCGGCATAGTCCTCACAACAGTCTGCGCCCTCATCGCCCTCCTCTCCCTCATCTACTTCCTCCTCACCCTCCTCTCCCGCCCCTCCTCCTCTTCCCATCCTACATCGACCCCTCCGCCCCTGGGCACCCGCACCCTCCCCCTCCAATCCCTCTCCCTCGCCTTCTGCGCCCTCTGGCTCTTCGCGACCCAGATCGCATTCACCGATTTCGTGGCGAATCGCGAGGCGGGGATCAGTGCGACAATTGGGGGGCAGCAGGTTCCGGAGAGCTTTTTGCAGGCTGCAGAGGCGCAGTTGGGGGTTACGGGGGTTTATAGGCGGATTCATTATCGTGAGTCTTCTGTTTCAAGAGTTTCGTTTCTTTGTGGCTATATTTGCACGTTTCGACGTTTGGGGGATTCTTTTTTCTTCTTCTTTTCAATCACTTGACCCTCATTCTGATATCCTCCATCCACAAAGTCCGCCTCCTCGCAATCCTCCCCTGGTTCGCCATCCTCTTCACATCCATAGCCGCCGTCATCCTCTTCCTCGCCTCCAGGCGCAGAGCCATTCCTTCTCGTGGCCTGGCTTCTAATTCTGCCGCGTCTGGAGTTGGGCAGAGGGAGGATAGGGAGGGGGTGGAGGAGGTTAGGGAGAGGGAGAAGGGAGGGGAGGATGAGAAGGGGAGGGTTTGATTTCGTGTGCGACGGATCGGCGAGGATGGGGGCAGCGGGCATCAATGGGGAGGAGGAAATCAAGGAGGATGAGAAGGGAAGGGTTCAGGAGGAGCGGGATGGAGGAGGACTTGGTAGGACGTGTGTGGGAGAAAGGAGGGAGTGAAGGAGTCGGTTTGTGTGTAGCGCTGGGATCATGAGAGGCAGGATAACGAGCAATACTAATTCTTTTTTAACGAATCGATGGTCTACGGTTTTCTTTCTGTACAGTACTACATGTTGTATCCGAGTCCATCACTAATGTACGATCCCCACTACGATGAATGTAATCACCATCGCTGCATCAAAGGCCACAACACGAACGAGAGTGGCGAACAGGTTGAAGTGGCCTGAATTTGCAACATCCGGATTGTGCGGCCCGCCCATTGTGGCACGTCCAAACTTTGACGTTCCCAGTTCTGCATTTTTCTCGATTTTCAGGGTATTTTTGATCTGTTACACTCGCACTTTATCGCTATGGCCCTCTCTCTATATCGAGCTCTGTCTCTGCTTTACGTCGTAACCAGAAACTAGGCGGAAATATTCGATGCACTGGCAGAAGGAGGAATTCTGAGGGATCCTCGTAACATTTCGTGCTTTGACCGCTGGCACCCAGCTGGCACCTTCCCTCCCCTACCCACAAGTGAACACCAACTCTACTGTTACCTCTGCGGTTTCCGTCTCCATCTCCGTCTACATATCCCAACCTGGTCTGCTATGCTATGCGTGTCCGAAATACGCAGTCCATCTCTTGGAGGTCCGCTCTGGTTCGCTTTCTCAAAGTCTCAACGCCGCGAATCGGAACGCCCAACCTTGAAAATCCAGTCGGCATTGAATATTGAAGGGCAAGGAGTTTTGCGTAGATGATACGTCTGAGAAGTCGATGAGGAGGAGCAAGAGGAAGAGGAAGAGAAAGAGGAGCAAATTGTAGAGACATACGACCATCCATCCACCGTACGCATGCTCGATTTCTTCAGACTGTCCTCTGATACCATAGTTCTGATGCTGACAAGCCTAATCAACAGCATACGGTAGATGCATAGCAGCTATAATCGCGCCCACACTGAGCATCAGCATTCACATCTACGTTACGACCGCTCGTGGCATCAGCGCCGCGAACGGCCATCACATAGGGCTACCGTCGTCGAAGAGCCTGTCTGCATCCACATCGAAGGGAATGGGTGTATCATGGGGAGGACACTTCCGAAAAAGTTGTGGACAGGAATAAGTAGGCTGTATAGAGAGATTGGCGCCATCCACAGTACGCATGTTGACTTGTCCTCCTCTGATACACTCAAGTCTCATTGACGGCAGATGTATAGAAGGAAATGGGAATGCTTAACCATGCTCACTGTAAACCTTCGTGTCGCTCCTCGCCTCAGAGATCTCGATGTCCCCATATCCTTGCCACATCCTCGCTCGCATCCTCACATCCTCACTGCCTTCCACACCCCGATCACGGACCCCTCATCGTCACGAATACTGCTGCTGGCCAACGGAGTGCAGAGGTCCTGAACGCGCAAGTAGACCAGACCGTGATGGATGACACGTAACGTAGGGACTCGTGAAGACGTGGTTATGGTCCGAGCGTGCAGGAGAGGACGGCGAACTTGGGTGAAGAAACAGGGGATTCACGGTGCTAGGAAGGCCGCAGCGAAAGTCAAAGTCACTGCTGACACTGCTGAGGGGACGGCGAAGACGTGCGAGGAGTGGATGCTGACGTCGAGATTCTGGCCAGGATAATCAAGAGATCCAGAATGGGAGACGCGGAAGGAGAGCGTGAATACCGATCTCGAGAGAGCGAAGAGGAGTGCGAGCGAGACCAGGAGGGGATGATTGGTATTGTCGATGCAAATAGGCCTCTAAGGAGAAGTTGGCAAAGCCAGCACAGGAAGCGGCGGGGATTTGGTCAGGACGAAAGGAGAAGGGGGGCCGCAGGGTATCAACGGTACTAAGGAGGCTAAAGCGAAGGTGAGATTTGCTCCTGTCGCTGCTGAGGGAACGGGGAGGACGTGTGAGCAGTGGATACTGACGTTGAATTTTTTGGCCAGAATCATAATGAGAATGGGACATGCGGAAGGAGAACGTGAATGTCCATCCTGTTCGCACCGAATCTACGCTATGGCCGCCCGTGGCCATGTCATATCTTGCCCAGAAATCTCCACGTCCCCTCTAACCTTGCCCCATCCTACCGCCAATCCTCACTGCCTTCCACACCAACCGCGAGTCCCTCATCATCATCACGAATACTGCTGCTGGCAGACGAAATGTGAGGCTTTCGAACATCCAGGTAGACCAGACCTTGATGGACTAAGGCACGTAGTGCAGGGGTTCGTGAAGGCATGTTGCCGGCCCGAGCTTGAGATTGAAGGAGGGGACGAAATTGGGGGGCAGAGGGAGGTAGGGTTCTCGCGTCCGCGAACTGATAAGATGCAGCAGGAGAGAAGGAGAGAGAAGAAAGAGCCGAAGGACATTGACGAGGCCAAGAAGGCCACAGCGAAGGTCAGAGTCACTCCTTCCACTGCTGAGGGAATGGCGAGGAGGTCTGAGGAGTGGATGCTGACGTTTTAATTATTGACTAGGATAATGAGGACAAAGCAGACGCAGATAGAGAGTGCGAATGCCGATCGTAGCGTCCAGGCAGCGACACCAGGAGGAAGAACGGGAGCGCCAGCGACATCGGGAGGGTTGTCAGTACGGAAACGTCTTCTAAGGAGAAGATGGCGAAGACAGAAAAGGAGGCAGTGACGATTTGGATAGGATGAAAGTCTGTGGTGGGAGGGTCTTACTTCGATCTCTGGTGCACGAACCAACGTTGATGTGATCTGGACGTTGACAGCGACGTGCATGTATGAACTGCGAAGAATAAGCTTGTACTTTACCAGACAATTTCGTCGCCCATACACCGTTGCAGTATCGTTAACCAGAATTTCGACATTATGCAAAATCCTGGGCCACATATCTTCGTCCCCATTCCCTTTGCCCTTCATATGATTCGTCGCCACTAATGACGATCTAGACTTCTACCAAGTTACCGACTTCTGCCGCCTGCATGTTGATCTTACTACGGCGTATTGCAGTCGCTGCCACAGAGGAATGTCACTGTCGGCGGGAGCAGAGGTCTGAGTAGGCCCTGGCCTGCCAGCGAGAGGATGTGTGGATGGTCGTCGATAAGAGAGGCGCGCCGGCAGATGTGTACAATGTCGCGAGACTCGGCGAGTCTCCCCGTGCATTGTCGACAGGGGAAATGAGTTAGCCGGACGCCTTTCGTCGGGTTCAACGAGAAAGGTGTGTGCGTGTGGTTCCCGAGTCATTTCCATCGACATCTCATCGATATCCCAAAAATACCCACGGTTAGCATGGATACGAATATTCGCCTCGAGTCAATTTCCGCAGGATAAATTCTCTCCTGAGTCATGGAGCGGACAGAAGACGTAATGTTTATCGACGAGGAAGACCGCGTAAGCCGTATCATCCTTTGGTTCGACTAAAAAGGAATGGCGCGGCCGGTCGCGTTGCCGCGTCAATGTGGTAGTGCCCAAAGGCGCGTCCCAAAACGGAAGGCGCACTCAACACTGCCTCCCCGAAATCTCGCCATTGCCAGCCTGATTCTCGACCGTACACGCTGCGCTCGGCACGCTGTGGTCCTAGCAACGGTGGAGTAGAAAGGCGCACAAAGGGGAGGAAAGGGCACAATCGCGCTGAGACCGTGCCATCCTGTGGACGCGTCGCGTTTGTTCTTCTGGGTGGGGCCCTTGACGCGTCTTTTTTTTACGGAAGCCGCATGATGCCTCCGCGATAACGCTGCCCACGTAAGCGAACGCGTATTCTTCCGCCGGTTTCGACCACGATATAAAAGACCAGGCGATCCAGGTCTGGTCGTCCCGTCCACCCTTCAGCTCTCTTCCACATTCCCACATCATACAACCCCGTCCCATACGCGAGGATCCCCTGCTTTACTGACTTCTTCTTGCATCGGCACACTTCAATATGAATTCAAGTTACTACTCCTCGCAACAATACATTGATTACACCAGAGCCTATGTTTGGGCCGAGAGTATCTTCGATTTCTCCGGTTGCGCGAACGGGAAGCCCTCGTGCGTTTGATATCTTTGATGTCCAGAGATTGTTTCTAACCATTTTACTTCGCAGTCAAAGGGCAACCCCCAGCCAAGTCATTGCAACCCCCAGCCAAGTCATCGCAGCCCCCGTCCAAGTCATCGCAACCCACAGCCAAGTCATCGCAACCCCCAGCCAAGTCATCGCAATCCCTGCCTCGATATCCTCTTCCCAGTGCGTGATCTTTCTTATTTCGGTCGTCGCGCATTTAGACTCATACCATCTCTCCTCATCAAGGAGCCCAAACTCACCAACGCCCGATACCTCCAGCCAAGCAGCGACGACACCGTACGTGTTTTCTTCTCCATGTTCCACCTTTCCTCTGGTCGCTCACTCCTCCCTTCTCATCAGACCATCCGCGGTGCCGGCGAATACTGCAGAGCTAAGCGGAGAGAGTATTAGTGTGCCTCAGCAGTGCGTTCTTCCCCCTTTCATTCGTGTCTTTATTCTGATGGTCATATCGTGTCACCTCTTTCAGTAGCAGTCCTTCCTCCCCAATTCTTTCGACGTCACCCGAATCGCGCGCCGGGCCCTCTCCCTCGCACGCACACACCTCCACCTCCACCTCCACCTCCACCTCCACCTCCACCTCCACCTCGAACAAAGAGAACATTTTACCACTGCAAAAAGATGCAGATGCCTCCTCTGTCTCAGAGCATCCAGGATTCACCATCCTCAGGGACCTGGAAGGACGGCTGCCTTGTTTCAAAATGGCGCGCCATCTATATGAGAAGGAGGAAAGGGAGGTACCATGTCAGTGGGGCTTACCGCTAGGCCAAGCCCATAATCACGGTATATCTACCGTCGCCAGCAAGGCCCTCGATCACCTTCAAATGGTTCATGGGCTGAACGCGCCATCACTTCATTGCCGTTTCCCAGGCTGTACGCATACAGGTACCCTCGAGCTATCTTCCCTCGGAAGACATTTTGAGGGTCCCCATCTTCACACAAAGGCGGTCTGCAAGCTCTGTGGAGGTGGGAAGTTAGCTCGCGAGGGAGGCGACCGAAATCGGAAGCATCTCGAGGCCCGCTGCCCTTTCACCGCGGCAGGGTCTGAGGATGCCCTGAAGAATAGGTTAAGAGGCATTATTCAACCCCTTCTTCCTCAAGGCCGCTCCATTTCCGACTATATTCCCGCCTCCGGGCTCCCACTCGCATCCTCCTCCTCCTTCAACCATCCAGTCGCCATGTCGTCCAATCTCCCACTCGCCTCTTCTTCTTCCTCTTCTTCTTCCTCTTCTATTCCTCGATCCTCCGGGGGAAACAAGCGTAAGTTGGATGACTCCTCTTCCGCCACATCCTCCGGCCCTCCTCCATTCGTCGCGCCCTCTCCGGAAAAGCGCAGGAGGTTGCGCAAGGACTGAGGTACTTGGAGTCCTCCGATCTTCAACTCGAATCTCGCCTGGCTCTGGGTCTTTTGGCGGTGTGTGGTCTGTGCTCGCTCTAGGTTCTGCCTGCTCCGTTTTCACCCTCGCTGGCCTCCTGTCCTTGCGGGCCACATTGTATATATACATGTCTTTTTTTTTCTCATATTTTCTATGCCTTTCTCATTGCCTTCGATCACATACCAATCGTATCTCCATCTGTACCCTCTCTGACGCTCGCAGCGAACCCTCTTGTACCCATTGATGCTCATCTCGTCCTGTATCCGTCTGCATTGTTATCATCCTGTACTCTCCATTGTCCCTTGTCTCCCGCCACTCACATGCTTTCTTAACACCGGCCAGTTTACCCCTTTTTTTCTGTTTTGTTTGGAATATACAATCACAATATAGTCTGGAATGTTGTCCTGCATCTTTCATGTGTCTGATGAATAAATCTCACGTACTACGTTCAGCGACCAAGTATCCGCCGACGCCGGCCAAGAGTCCGCTCGTCGTCACTTCAGCAAAGGCAGCTCTGAGCTTTGAGATTATACTCGCCACTCCTATCACTTGTATCTTGTTGGAGTGGTATAGCAGGCCGGATGAGAAACGCGAACGCTGGCGATACAGGCGCGATGCGACTACGAGCCCCAACAGATCTGACACTCTTCATCTTGAAAGAGCTCGTTCGTAGTTCGTTAATCGCAATGAAATCCACTCAAACGGAAAGGTTATATCGTACAAATACTGGCCAAGAAAACACTTGTACGTTCAAAACCTGGGTTGCACTTGAAAACGAACTATGCCCCTTCCGCCAGACACCTTGGAACTCCCTGCACCACCTTCCGAACCTCTCGTAGACCCTACCATACCCGGCCATCGACGCCCTCCTCTCATAATTCGTTGGATTAAAATGAGACAGGATAAGCGAGACGAGAGACCACAAGGCGCTCGTTCACTTCTCAGAGATATCTAGTTCGTACCTGCCACTCCGCCGCTCCATCTCTAGTTGGCTCCAGAATTAACGTGTTGGAGCGCGGAGTGCGCCCACACCCTCAGAGTCGGGCAGATGATACATCTGCGTCTTGAGAAAAGCCCTCGAAGTACGCCAGTAGAATCGAAGAATGGCTATCAACAGTTAGTACAGAGCTCTAAACGCCAGCCTACTCGCTAGACCTATCCCCGCTGAACCTCGTGAGCGTCGCGCTCGTCCTATAATAGGCAGGTCTGCGAAATCCGATATGCAGCCTAGCTCCATGGGACAGGGTGGCGATATACCGTAGAAGCTGTGGACAGTAATTAATATTGACGCTCTGACTCGACGGAAGGTAATACTCAAATACCGTCTTCAAGCGCTGTGCTCTTATTGCGGGTGTTCTAGAAAAGACAAAGACCCATATGTTCACGACGACGAAATATTTGAGGATGAGATGTAAGGGTCTGTTATTCTAGAGACTAAGATACGCACCTTTCCGGACCTCCGTCTCTCGTTACAGTAGCCAGTGGTACACCTGCATGTCGACGTGACACTTTATAAGATCGAGAGAGCTGACCGCGACCGATCATGTTCTTGTTGTCAAAGTTCGGTCCGAGAGCGTCCTCGTATGTAACTCAGATCTGGACCAAATCTGGATCAATATTTGAACCCGTCGGCTGCAAACGGAAGGACATGAATGAAATCTGCGATGAATGTCCACGGTCAGAGGAAATAATCATATCTGAGCGATAGATATGCACAGCAAAGGCTATTCTGACAGGACAACATACCGTTGAAAATGATCAGCAGAGACACAGGTCCTCGGAAGGCAGGATATCGCCAAAAGCGAGCAGACGGACGTCACGGACTTTTCAACGGTCAATGAAAGTGACACATTTCGGCTTGAGCCGTCTGGGATGAAGCAGCCGGTTCACCCCAGTGGGAGAATGTTAGCACACGAAATGTCCTGGGAAGATTTCATCAGGACCTCGAGGACCTCGGTAACTCTCCCTGATCACACCCACTCTTCTCAGTCTGTGACTAAATTGCCGCTGGTTACCAGGAGTGTCCCGGTGGGAGGATGATGCCGTGATCAATCAACAACGGTACGCACACACCTGCTTGCGGCAACCATGTATACTGAACCGGGTGCTCATCAGAGTATGGTGTTCCAAAGAATTCACCGGTGTCCGTGGTGATGCGTGCGATTGCGCTATCCGAAACCTCGAGCGCGAAAAGAACAAAGTGGACTGTGCCGCACCTACATGGTCTGACGTCGGTTCTGGAAGGTGTGTGAGCAAAAAAATCAGGAACTTGTCCACTTGGATCCACTTCGAATTCGGTCCAGGGAGGTGACGAGAGTATATACTAGTATGTAGCCGGAGTGCCTTCCAATGCGCGTGAACGCGTTACTTACAGTCCTTAATTGGTATATAGAGACCTGGGGTGCCTTCGAAGAGGTGCATATCGTCACTTGGACCAGTCGCTCCTCTTCGAAGTACTTCCCTCGGTAAATAAGCGTTTGAGCCGCTGTTTAGAGTCTTAGCTACAGTTCATGTCGGCCAGATGATGACCGTTACGCTGCGGAGATGCACAGGGATGCACTCTCACCATCCGAGTCTCAACAGCACGAGTGTGCTTCTAATCCAAAGGGCGTTACTTCGGGATATGGAGCAGCCTAGCATAGAAGCGCGTGCCTACAAATCACCGGGACGGTACTCATGCTCATGTTACCAGGAGCACAAGCCCGAGCCTTCCCTGACATAGCAGGTATCTACTACTCGGTAGTAAATAAACCAAGAAGACGGGGTTACCGGGTTGGCGCCGATAATGAACGGTCGTCCCAGGCGTCCGGAACAGTGAGATAATTAATGACTGCTTGCAGAACGGAGAGCGGAAGTCTGGCACACCTCACTTCGACTCCCTCTTCGCCACGAGAGAAAGTACGCGTAGGGCAAAATCAAGTCCGACCATACGCGTAGTGGTGTTATATTTACCGTACGTGGTGGCTCGAAACACATTCATCGTATTCCGTCACCTATAATATAGGGTGCCGGAGGAGCTCTGGAGCAGAGTACACGAATCCATTCGCAAGGAGGAAGGAGTTGGACAAACTTCACTGGTGTACTCGTGGTCCGGTCAGGAATCTGCAGCATTTACCAAAGAAGTATTGCTCACCCTCCGAAAGTATGTATGCTGTTCGTTCGAGCCGTCTATCGCCATACATGAGGCCTTACGATATCTCGCGTCGTTACTAAGATAGGGCTCATCGACGGTCCGCCTACCTCCGGTGTGGCACTGTATTGCGGGGTAATTCACTCTCGTGTTAATAACATTGACAAATTTCGTTTTCATGCTTTGTGTCCTTAGTGATTCTTGTTCAGAGATGTATTTAGAGAAACTCTGTGCGGCCAGAATTTACGAAATTCTTATTTTTGTGTCTCGAGTGAGCCTTCATTGAGAGAATTGTCCCCCAGCTTCATTAACCAAAGTAAAGGCCTGAGGTCAAAAATCCAAAAATCCATCCGCACAGAGTTGTTAATAATACGTCTCTGAAGGACATTTCTCAAATCATGCAAGCTCGAAAATAAATTTTGTCGATGTTATTAACTTTACAGTGATTCTCATCCAGACCGCCACACCGGAGGTAGGCGGACCGTCGATGAGCCCTATCTTAGCTGCTTTGGAGAGCTTCAGTCCAACTTGAAGGCAAGTCGAGCGTCTATAGATATATTTCTCCAAGTACATACCGTATCATGATTTTGATGCTTCCGCTATAGCGCATTCCTCCTGGCAATATTCGTTGAAACCTGTTGAAACACACAGCGCGTCGAGGAAAAATATGAACGCCGGATGTCCATGGACGTCCGCGTCTTGCGTCGAGGGAAAGTTGCCGGACCCGGTTCAGGGCCGTGGAAAAACAGGGCAAAACGCCGTAACGAGCCGTAAAATCAAATTTCCTGCACTAAGCGACGCGTTTTAGTAGCCGGGCGTTTCCTTCACCCATCGTCCTTTCTTGGTCCTCTGCTTCTACTACTAGTATTATACAAACACAAGAAACAGTTGCCGAAACAGACAGGACCCGCATTAGGATTGGAATTGACACCCCACCTTTATTTTTGTTGACATTGCTTCACATGATGAAACAACGTTATAATACTCCCAAGGCAGGGAATCAAGATCCTCAGTCGCCGAAAGCAAGGGATCCACCGGGACCCATTCACGTACACATTTCCTTCTCTCGGCGTTCTTTCCGACTTATCTCACTCACAATTAGCGCCAAACTCTTTTCTGGGCGTCGACGCCATCGAGACGGGAGGTTGAGACTCGCACCGAGACGGTGCGAAGTTAAAGCCTCCTCAGGTCAACATGGCACAGGCTCGTGCTGGATTGGAAGCGCAGATCTCCTTCTTGACAAGTTGAGTCGGCTAGAATAATGGCGAGGACGCGAGGTATATATGGCCCGTCATTGAGACCTGCCTGCGCCTCCTTCCCATCTCCGTCCTGTCCTCGGGAATCGGTTTGCGCACCTTCCCCACCGTGCCCCTCGTTGATCAGTATCTCTTGGTCACCGTCTTTATTCTGTCTCCATCTTGAGTTGATTTAGAGCGGGGAGACGTCTTAAGCGCGACTGAGCTCTAGTCATAATCCAGGATTTTTCTTATTCGTCTGGACCGTAGTCTCCTGCAACACTCTCATCCATTCTTGTCCACACACATACCATGGCAGATCCATATATTTTTGCTGCCTCTTCATCGTCATTTCCCTGGATCAAACTATCTCTTCTCTTACTATTGACGACGGGCACGAGCATCTCCATGTCTCCACCACAACCCCGCGCGCTGAGCCAGAACACGACGACGAAGCGAACATTATTCGACAAGCTAGTCCGACGGATGACATGGCTCGTCAAGGTATGTATATCTGCTTTCTGTCTCTTCATCGTCATGCGGCTTGTCAGAGCTTGTCAGACTCTCCGAAACGATGATGGTCACTGACAAGGCCTATTTTTACGATAGGTCGCGACATGGATTGTGGCAGCCATAGATCTGATCACGACTTTGTACGCCGTCTTTGATCCGAAGGCGTTTCTGCCTTCGACACCGAGCGCCACACATCCCAACGCCACATCAATACACTCCATTGCGCTTCCTACCTTGATTTGTCCACATCCATCTTCTCCAGTCCTTATTCCTCTCTCATTCTCTACTACCTCACATTCCGACTCTCTCGATCATGCCCTAACCCACCCATCACCTCTCTTCCTACTCTCCGTCCTCTCTGTGACCCTCGGCGCTCTTCTCCGCAAATACTGCTATGACACTCTCGGCCGTTACTTCACATTCGAAGTCTCCATCCTCCCCGACCACAATCTAATCACCACTGGACCATACGCATGGGTCCGCCATCCCTCCTATACCGGGATGTACGCTGCCCTACTCGGAGTACTTGGAGCGTTAGGGAGCAGAGGAAGTTGGGTGAGGGAGTGCGGCGTTGTGCCCCCATTATCCTCGTCGTTACGTGGGTGGTCATGGATGGGCCCTACAGACCCGACTGGAGATGGAGTGACGAGGGGAGGCACAGGGACGGAGATGGCTTGGGCGCTGTTCGCATGGTTCTTCGTATGCGTGTTCATTGCGAACATAGGGTACGGACTATGGAGTATGGCGAGGAGGGTGAGGATAGAAGACGAAGCGCTGAGGCGGAGGTTCGGGAAGGAGTGGGAGGTCTATGCTAAGAAGGTGAGATGGGGAATGTTTCCGGGCGTGTTCTGAGCGTCCAAACGCTGGCACGTCGGTTCGGTACTCGACGGAGGAAGGTTGTTGGCGATGTTACATGTTTTGAAGGGATAGTAAGGGCGGCTCGCTAGGACGTTACACAATACGACAGTAGATGTATTTACATACCTATGGACTTTCGAAGGCACACTCCCCGCACTTACGATAAATTCGGCCGATAACTCCATGTTTCGCATAATCCAGTAACAATCACTAGTGTTGCATGCATGATCATGACATGGTTCCGTTGTGGCGTTAGGGGATGATACTCATCCCTGTCGTCCCCGGATCCTTAGCGCTTGCAAGTTTTCCGGGAAGGAATGTTCCCATTTTACACCCTCCGGTCTTTATGCGCGCTCTGATGGCGTCAATTCCTTGTAAACGTCTGGCATCCAGCACGCATGGTCAATTCCTCCATCAGGATTTCTGACATCGCGCCAGCTTGTCTCTATACGTAACGCCGACTTCCCCTTCAGTGCATGTTTTTTTAGTTCTCAATTTAGTGTTATCTTGGCTGGAAATAAGCCCGTGAGGAGAGGCTCCTTGACCCCATTTCCGACTGGTGGTGGGAGACTAACGAGTCCGTCAGGATTGCTAGCACTTTACACCATTGTTACTTGAAACGTTCAAATCGGATGTAGGGTCACTATCGGAGAACGCGCAGATATTCTCGTCTAAATCCTTTAGAGCGGTAGCGCGTATGTATGAGAACTTGGAGACGAGACAGAACAACGATGCATCTATGAAAGATTCACACAAGCAGGGACGAACACGAAGTGAGAAGGTGAGGTGAGCGTTGGACGGAAACGATCGCTGGCAACAACAGGTTTCGCGGGCGCAGGTCGGTCAGGTTCGAAAGGCCAAGGGGATCTGATCAGTATTGACCTCAGTGCAGGCTGAACTACCCGAGGTAACGCTATCGATTCCTTTCGATTACCACCTCTCCTCTCATGCCGATCTTCCCATAATCATCTAGCTGTGCTTATGGTCAATAGATGCCCGGAATAATCGCCCATCTAACCTTCATCCTATACGTCTCCCACTCCTTGCCAAAATTCTTCTTCAACTCCGCATCCTCTGAACCGACCCTTACCCACATACTCCAGAGCGCGTAGACCGTGTTCAGCGAATAGAACACTGCCCATACCCACCCGAGAACGTCATACCAACGAGTGGCGAGGGAATCTCCGGGCCATGTAAGAAGTCGACATTCGCGCGCCCACGAACCAGGTGCGGAGATCGTGACGACGAGGCCTATGAGACAGAGGTACATGCCACTAGATCCAGAGAGAATCGTGAGCTTTACCACTGGAATATGAGGATACTATGAAAGGATCGGACTCACGTATAGCTCGGATGCCGCACCCATGCATACGGTCCGTCCTGGATAAGCTCATGCTTCGGCAGAATGCTCCTCTCGAAGGTAAACAAACGGCCAAGGGCATCATAGCATTTCTTCCTTATGACGCCACCCATAATAGCACTGAGAACGCCGACTAGGAACCGTACTCGTGGTGTGGTCAGAGATGCGACGGACGCTGGACGATGACGGCAGAGTTGGGCAGCGGGCGAGTCGGGCGCATAGATGAGGGAAGACGTGGCGAGTATATCGGCAATTGCGAAGAACCATGCTGTGGTCTGAGTCATGTCAAGTTACGATAGGTTCAGTATGGCGAAGGATCTTCAGGTGCAGGCACTCACTTTTGTGAGTAACGTCATCTTGCGAACGAGCCTGTCGAACATAGTTACCGATGTCTTCGATACATGACCCGGTGGTGCTGGAGGTTGTGGGGCAGAAGAGGAGACATGAACGGATGCCGCAAAGGAAAGTAGCAGACCGGTCTTCAACCAAGGAAAATCTGCGACGGACATCACTGGGGGAGGCTTATCGAGTTATGGAGCGAAAGGTACCTTGTCGAAATGCGACCCGCATCGTCTTCTCCCGTGCTACTTATACTCAGCCTCATAACAGGGCTAACCGTAGGGGTAGGCGATAACAAGGTAATATCGACCTCGGCAACCTACGTGAATCATGGCCTGAGATCGGTAGTGCACTTGAGAGACCGATACATGCCCGAGTCTCTTGATGTGTCCACCGCCGGGTGGAAGACTCATCCGCATTCATGGGATCTACAAGTCCGTGGGAGCGAATCGACCACTCTGAGGTCCCCTAATGTATACTTGGTAGCCTCACAGAAACTAGCGTATATACTCCCGTCCACATCGTGTTTCAGACTTTGTCTTCTTCTGATCATGAGGGCATAGAGGAACTGCCAGCGATACCAGGGAAGATCAATCGCGACAACCGCTGCCCCTTTCCCCGGATCGTTCACGACATCTCGTTGTAAAAAGTCCGAGAGGCATACATCCCTCGGGAAACTAGAGACTTGAGCGTTCGATCGGACATCATGAGAGAAAGGACTAATATGCCGATTGGTGTGAAACGATGCGGGAATCAGCACGGACATGAGTAATACGAGCCTTTCAAACTTTTTTCTTGCCACAGTCAGCGTTACGAGCAATGTACACCGGCTTGTGTTCGATCGAGGTGTTTAGAAGGAACTCACAGTGCAGCATACCACACCACATCAGGCCCTGCAGGAGACTAGAAGACAGTTCAACTTGTTCGCCTCCTATGACAAGACGACAAAGATATTCGCGAGATCTTGAAGCGAACTCACTTATGACATTGCCTCGACGAATTCTGTGCTCTGAAAAGCCACAGCCAAATAAAGTCCTCAACTAAACCACGTAGTCCAGTTGTTACCCACTCCCTGTATCAAGTTGGCGATCTGTCGAGCAACGATCCTGTCGGATTGTTCAGATGGGTGCAGCTCGTCGAACCTGACGAACCATGTCTGGATGAGCGTAGAGCGTGAAAGATAGAAAGAAGAGATTATATCGGGTCGTACCAGGCAAAGCTGTCTGCGTCAGTTCCGTTTGCAATGGTGCAGTTGCCTGTGGCTGAAGTGCTTTCGAACTCTTGGAAGATGCACGAGCGGACGGCACCCGTGGTGTTGAGAGGCGCTGTCCCGTTCAGGTACGAGGAAGGGTTATTCAAGATGTCGTTGAACAAGCCGTGCGAGTCAAACAAGCCTGCAATCGATGAACAAACGGTCAATGTACTGTTGCCTCGTCGTAAGATGGAGAATTACCAATGTGAGCATTGGGAAGGGTGGGCGCCAGTGTTTTCAGCATAAACTTGGCAATCTCGTTACCGGAGCCCGTCAACTCGCGCATGAAGAGACTCCATTCCGTTGTATTGCGTTCCTGCGTCCAATAGCGATTGGGGTACGAGTCGTTGGAGTACAAGATGGTTCGCTCCAGTGGTACCATCTAAATCAAGCCATAAGTGTGAGAAGATGTATGTCTCACGCGAAAAGAGGTATACTCACATTTTGGAACAGGAAGTTTCGTGCCCCACCATCATACATCGTCTTCACCCACTCGACCGCACATGCCACGGTATCCACTACCGTCGCCTCCCCGGTTTGAGCTCCTGTGAGAAGCTGACCGACGTCATTTGTGCCAATCCATTGCGTGAACAGGGTGCTATTCGCATCGCCTGTGATGTTTCCTGCTGCCAGCGCGTCGAGGTACTCCGGTATCTGGTTCTGCACTACAGCCGGGAAGGCGGACCTAGGCGTCAAGTTTTGATCGCAAACAGCACCAGCCTGAGCGAAGGCGAAGAGTGTAAGATTTGCGTAGTCTGCGAGGTAAATAGGCCAAGGAGCTCCACCGTCGAAGACGTTGACGATGTCGGTATATGAATCGCCAAAGGTAACCAAGTTTTGGATGGCATTCGGTGGGATACCCTTCGCCAGCGCGTTGGGGAGCGAAGCAAGTAGATATGCTGCAGCGAGCTCAGACATGAACCACATCATTGCGAGAGGCTAACGTGAGGTTATAGGTGGTGTTCAGAAACAGAATCCTTACCCCTATGAAATGCTATGGTCGAGATTCGAAGCGGACCGAGGGCAGCCCGGCGCTGTGCTGATCAGATGCACGGAAACTTGGGAAAGGAGAACATGGGATAGGGATTGTGACCACAGGCACAGTCTCGTGTCGCATAAAGGCTAACGAGACATAACGGGATCAATTTAGGCTTGAACGTTTTAGATGAAGAGAACAATGCCACTCACGTGTGCTGGACAATCTGAGTGCACCCGGTCTGCAGCATGCGCTTCCCGTGGAAGACGAACGAGGCAGTATTGTCAAAAGCATATGTACTCTACCAACGCCAGACTTCAGATAGAGCAGAGATGCACAAGGGGCCCAGGTGTGTACGCGGGATGAACTTGAAACAGTGAACGGAAACGTTTGGGCATCATCCGATTCATCGTGGGGTCCAGAAGCCTGAATTCCGAGAAACGCTCGAGGAATTTATGTTTTCAGTCGGAGATTGAATATTCTTACGCTCGTGTTTAGTCGCGTAACTACTTGCTGCTCAAGTTTAGAACAAAATCGTCGAGGGAAATGACAGTAAGATGATTATAGCCAAACAATATACACTTGCTACATATTTGTATGGAGAATGAACGACACGTCTTTTTTTCCCTTGCTCATACGACGTACCTTCTGACGACCCCTCCATCTCCCGACATCCATACCTCGCGTCCTCCGCTCGCTGTTCCAATAACTCGCACGCATCTCACAGTTTCGACATCCCCAAAAACGAATTCCTTCTCCACCTTGACCTTTGTGTTTTCCAAAACGAAAATCGAGCACATGTACGGCAGGCCGTCCTCTGTGCCTACAACCACGTCCAGTCGCTGATGATTCTCATCTCCACTCGACGACGGTACCATCGGAAGAAAAGCAATTGCTTCCACACTGGCCCCGTTACGTCGCCACTCAATCACGCACTCTCCTTCAACCTTCGCACCATCCACGGATGGCTCTAGGAGAGCGACCCGCCACAACCTCATCAATCCGCCCGCATCCCCACTGACGACCCACCTGCCGCTCGCATGCACCGCTAGCGCGGTCACGGCCTTTGAACTTCCGGCATTGCCACTGCCCGATGTACCTGGAGGGGCCAGCGAGCAAATAGATTTCCGTAGCTGTGGATCGTGGCCTTCGACGGTCCCGTCCGAGAGACCCGCCCATATCAAGGCCCTCAACCGGCTGGTACCCGCCTGATTCTGTTCAACTTCTTGCGGAGAAGTTCCACTCGTATGAAGGTCAATGGCGGCGGCAAGAGCATTTATGCTCTTGAATCCGCCTGAGCCCCACACGCCTAGCTGGTGATCTTGGCCGCCACTGAGTGACCAGAGACGAAGTGTGCCATCTTTCGCGACCGAGAGAAAGTCTGGTTCCGCTACAGTCGGCTGAGCTGGTTCTGTTTGGCGCGAAGAAGACGTAGACGGAGAAGTTTGGATGGGTATGATAGAGTTGACACCCTTTGTATGACCCCTCCACAATCGTGTCGACTTCAGATCTTTTGTCTTCACTGTCTTCAGGTCCGTCGAGAACGCAGAATCGATGATAGAGGCTTTTATTGGTGAAACGTGAACGCTGAAGTCCATCCCGGATGACACGAGGACAGGAGAGTGAGCGCGTGAGCTTGTGTTGATGGACGCGATTCGGACATCAGTAACGCCAGCCTTGTGTATTCGGCCCGAGAAGACCGGAGTAATTGGGGTTTCGCTTGGTTCAGAAAATCGTGGTTCAGAAGAGGATAGCGTTGATGCTGATGGAAGTGTGTAAACAGCAAGAGTGCCATCGGCGCGACCTGTTGCCAGAAGACCCGGGGTGTTTTGTGGCGTATGCCCGTTGGATGAGGTCGAGGAATGTGCAGAGAGCGAGAGAGCAAAAGAAGAAATTTGATGCAGCTATGAGGGCATATCATGGAGTTGGAGCAGGTATGGGAAAGTAAGTGAAGTGTTACACGCCACAAGAGAGAGAGAGAGAGAGAGAGAGAGAGAGAGAGAACAGAAGTATAACTCACATATTGGGCATCCGAGTGCACAGGATCGACGTATGTCTCTTTCGGGAAGACAAATGTGACATCGTCAATCTCAAGTTGTTGACATTCTCCTTTATAATCGAACTAAGCAGCATCATGTATGAGTACCACTGGCAGCTCTGACGCCACATAACTGAATTGCAGGATACGAAACGGATACACACCTCATCAACCCTTTCCAGTCTCACACCTTCTTTCCCCTCAAAGTTGATCTTCGCCCGATCTTCGTCATCAAGAGAAAGTTTGATCTTCCCATGGACGGAGGGCTCGCCTTGTATGTAACACGAGAGCCAGACATGTTCAGAGGGTATAATGGCGTGATAGATTTCCGAGGCGATGCTAGGGAGAGTGTGCTGAATTGTCGCGATAGGTAAGACAATAGGCTTGTGTGATGAAACAGTCATTTTTGCTTGGAATGATTTCCGAAACAGCTCTGCGACTGTGAGTGAACAGGAGTGACACAGAACGCGTGACGTACGTCGAGGCGATTAGAGTGCAAATCCAGGGTTGTTTGCACATGTTAGGATCAGAAGGCGTCAAATTAGCCAACACGATATTTTCAGTTCTTGCTCTTCGCTGCTACCCTCACTTTCTACCCGGTTTCTGCCTCGCTCACCAAAAACTTCTTGTAGCATCATAAACCAACCGCTAGTGAGCTAATCGCTCTCCGAAAGTAACTTATGGCCCACCAAAGGCTTGGAGTGCTGCGAGACGCTCGAGCTGCAGAAGCCCGGCTTGCCGTTTCTTCGTGGCTGCCTGCGTGTATACTGGCGGTCTCCTCACTTTCAGACCAAAAATATCTACGCACCTGCGGAAATTGCATACCAATGAAGACCCTGTCCTTATGAGCGTCGAACTGTCACTGTCATACTTCGATCGCTTCAGTCCACGGGCGACAAGGTGGTTTTCATTCGAGAGCGTGACAGCCTTTCGTCTCTGTCGAATATGAAGTGCTAATACCAATAGCTCGACTCCGTTCCTACTGCGGCTGTTTTGGTCTCGTTCCTCAGGCTTGTTGTACTACACTGGCACGCAACCCTGGGCCCTTCTCACCCTAGAGTCTATGCGCTATGAGTGATATAGCAATGCGTGTATGTGAGCTTCTGAGCTATTCAGGTAAGATGTTATTTGTTGTAATGGACGGTCGTCCCAGATTATTGTGCTTTATATTCGATTTCGTAGGGCCTCCTAGCTCGGCAAGCTAATTTTTACTCATCGGCTGGACCGAATACTCTGACTGGTCATCGTTTCTAGACCAATACAGGAGGAGATCTTCCCACTGCTTTGTCTAGTTCATGTAACAGGCTTCGATCTATAGATCGGTGACATTGCGACCGAACCACATTGCGCGTACTCCGTAACAGCGAATGCAGTTGCATGTATGTCTATCCTGATGAAGCGTTTGACTGACCCTTTCATCCGGGAGACATGTACGGCAACGCGCATCCGGCACCGAAACAGGCCTCAAGCTATGCATGCCATCGCGTTCTTTTGGTGCTCTTGGAGGTTTTTCATCGGAACCCTTCTTCGGAAATGGGCTTCATTTTTGACAATCACACACACCATCTTCTCACCTTGTAAGGCCGGTTTGTGTTCTACACACCCAACTGTACTTCTCTACATGATCATCATGACCTCGTATTTACCTTCGAGGCTCATCGTCAGGTCTCGTTCGTCCCTCTTCCACATTGGTAGGGCATCGCTTCTTTGCCCATGCGCAAAGACACACCTGTTTTGGTATATACCGGTGCAGCCATTGGACCGAATACAGAAATAGGTTCGGGGCTGATACGTGTACATCATCATGTTCTGGGGTCTAAGGAATGGCCACCAACAGACGCGTCGAGGGAGCATTCACTCCATGCGTGCTCCTGCCTGCTTTGTATCTCAACCCTGACACGGCATTGCGCATTGCTAGTGAGGTATATATACTTATTGCTCTGTGTCTCCCAGAACAACTCCGTATTACCCCGCTCCTTCGCTCGTCTGCGTGTATCCGAATAATGGAGACACCAAACAATGCCAGGGCTGCTTCACCTTTACCAGAGAACGCGGCAACTACGAACTGCAGCTGCTCGAAGACTCTTGGTAGGAACCTCGTCGTGTGTATCGATGGCACCTCCAATAAACTAGGCAAGAAGGTGTGTTCAATTCGACCATCTGACACACAATGTCTAGTTTAGGAGTGAATATCCGTATAACTGCAGAATACGAATGTCATTGAGCTATACGGACTTCTCGAGAAGGACACCAACCAAGTCACGTTCTATAATAGCGGTATCGGAACATTTGCAAAGCCGTCCTGGAAATCCTTGACACACCTCAGACATGCCATTGGCCATAAGCTGGACCTTGCCATTGCTTGGTAAGGTCTTTCGACATTCCAGCGCTCTCGAGATCTCATCTTCTTTGTTCGCTAGGGATTTTGAGAAGATTGTAATTCTGGCATATCGTTGGCTGTCGGAAAATTATCAGCCCAACGATAGGATCTTCCTATTTGGTGCGTACTATATAGTAATTTAATGACCTAGTACCTCTCGTTGCCTTCACTGATACTCTGGATAAGGTTTCTCCCGAGGTGCATACCAAGTTCGGTGCCTATCGGCCATGATCAAGACCGTACGATGATGTGGCCAACTGCAATAGACGCTGCTTATTCTGCTTTCTCTTTACAGGTTGGACTTATCTATCGCGGAAACGAGGCCCAGATACCATTGTAAGAGTCTGTTCCTTTCATATGGCTGTTGCGACTAATGATGCACCTAGCGCTTACGAGCTATATGCGGCCATAACGGAGGTTAGTAACATATGAAGCGGTCTCTGCAAGCGGTTTTGAGAAGTCGACATATTGTATAGGACGAGAATAGCGAGGCCAATTTGGTGGCAACTCGTTTTAGAAACGAGTTCTCCAGAGCAGTCAATGTGCATTTCGTAGGCGCATGGTGTGTACTACCCGTCAGGTCTTAATCAGTCTCTGACTCGTATTGAAGGGATACGGTATCTTCTGTCGGTATACTTCGGAGCAAGAGCCTTCCTAGAACCACTTCCGGCATGGAACATGTTTGCTACTTCCGACACGCCTTGGCCCTTGATGAACGACGGGTGAAGTTCCTTCCTGAATATGCTCGGGGTGGGAGCTCCTTGCCCGACCCTTCCCATGTCAGATCTGATTCAAACCCCCCATATGAATCGAGCCCAGATGACCCCCCACGTGTCAAGGAGGTCTGGTTCGCAGGTACTCATACAGACATGTACGTCTCGTTCGGAATTGTGTGGTTATGTCTGAACTAACCCTCGATCCAGTGGCGGACGACGTGATATCGGTAGAGATCTTGATCAGAACGAACCTCCTTTGCAGTGGATGGCGTCCGAGGCCACTGCCGTCGGCTTGAAAACGGTGTCAGTACGAGCTAAGAAGAGACGGGATACAAAGCTACAAAGCCACGTTCGTGATGTGGATATTGAGTTTAAGACACCAGATCCAGCGTTTTCAAAGGTTGAGACGAGGGGAGAGGCAACTGTCGTCATCCACGAGTCTTTGACGTGCCCCTGGTGGTTGCTCGAGATCATGCCGTGGAGGCGGTTATCTTACGAGACCAGCAAGAATGAGACTATGGTGTGAGTCATTCGACATCGCTTCACCTGATCGCACGCCTGACGTAGTCTATTCAGGCCTCATCTAGGGCGTGGTCGTTATATTCGGGCGGGCCAGAAGATCCACAGCTCCGTCAAGCACGGATCTCGCGCCCACAAAACCATTCTACAGATGATGGGCCACTCATCGTCCGACACAACCAAGAAACACGTAGTGGGCGCCACCACATTCCGCGTCTCCTCGAATTACACACCCAGAGCATCCATCAGAGTCGAGGATCGTCTTGATGAAATAGAAGGTCACCGATTCCTTTCCCCAGAGGAAAAGTTCGAGCCCGATCTGAGTGATCTCGCGTTGGAGCTGGTCGAGAAACTCTCGAGCTTGCAACAATCTGGAGAGCTAGAAAGTCAGGCCTTTCGAAATCGTGTGCGACCTCTGTATTACTCCCGTGAGTAGCTCGTACTACCTTTCTACAGGTGATGATTGTCAATGGTTCTAACATAGCAATATTTAGCTGATGGACCGGAATTGATGCATCGACTCGGAGTAGACATCTTCAGCCTGACTGCAGTCGAGAATATGACGAAGACCGATAAATATCCTGATCTCCAATTATTCGTCCTGGCAAGCTTCATAAAGGGATTCAAGGACGACAGAATCAGCTCGAGATTCGAAAAGTTATACTTGGAGGAACCCAAGAGGATACGACCCCTGATTTTCAAGCTTCTTTCCAAGGGCACTTCGCGACACCGAGAGAGTGCTCTGGCATTCCTCCGCTCAAAGCTCGGTGAGTTGTAGTCTAGTACAGCATCTCCGACTCATAGTCTCACCGATATATCTCGGCACAGTCCTCGAAGAAGAAAGTAGGCACCATCCACTTCGAATTGCTGGCATAGCTGGCGTCCAGGGCGTCGACCGCCTCTGTGTATCGGCATCACCGTACGGAAACTACTACGTCATAGGCTCGAACGACCACACGCTGTCCATATTCTCCTCCACAACGGAGAAAATCGTGCACGAACCACTTACCGGACACACTCTCGGTATCACCTCGGTGTGTTTCTCCCCGGACGAAAAGTTCATTGTATCTGGCTCCTACGACGCGACATTGCGAGTATGGGAAACAGGAACCGGAAAGGATCTATTCGGAGCCCTCAAGGGCCATACGGCCATGGTTGGCGCTGTGACATTCTCCCAGCACGGAAACCTCATCGCTTCTGGCTCACACGATACCAGCATTCGTCTTTGGGATGCCACTACTGGCAGAGAGCGGGTGACATTACAAGGGGAAAAAATCCCAGTTCTGTCACTCGCATTTTCGAACGCCAAGGAAGACCTGATGCTTGCATCTGGTTCGTCCAATAACACTATCTGCCTCTGGCGCGTACAGACAGCGACCACAATCCTAACCTTCGAGGGACACGAAGATGGCGTCGTGGCGCTCGCTTTCGCTCCCAATGACGGTCACATCGTCTCGGGCTCCTTCGACAAGACGATCAGAGTCTGGAGTACGAAAACTGGCAAAGCCATTGGCGAACCCTTAATCGGTCACACCGATACCGTCTCCTCTGTCGGTTTTTCTTACGATGCCAAGTGGATCATCTCCGGCTCATTTGACCGCACAATCCGGATCTGGGAAGGCCAAACCTCTGAGGAGAAGCAATTCGTCGAAATATACAAATTCGAGCCCAATCATGGTGACTGGATAGGCTCTGCAGCACTCCTCCCTGGAGGAGAATACATCGTCTCCGCATCTCTCAACGGTACCTACCAGTCCCGGAACATAGAAAAAAAAGTGATAGAAAGAAAACCGTTCTTGGGTCATTCGGCGGCCTCGCGCTGTGCTCGATTCTCACCTGACGGAAAGTGTATCGTCTCCTGTTCAGACGACGGGACGATTCGCTTTTGGGACACGGAGACCGCGCTTCCATTGTTCAAGCCCCAATGGCACAAAGGCAATGTTTACCACGTTGAATACCTTCCAGACGGCAAGAAACTCTTCTCCGCGGGTGCCGACTGGACCGTCCAGCTCTGGAACGCGCAGGACGGAACTATGGACGGCGAAGCCTTCCGCGGGCATAGTACTGTTGTCCGTGCAGTCGCTCATTCTCCTGAAACGAATCAGCTTGCCTCTGGCTCTGATGACGGAACCATCCGTGTCTGGAACCTAGACATTAGTGATGGAGGGGACAGATTGGCATTCCCGGCATGGGAAGATGCTGGAACAACGCAGTCTATCGACTTCTCTCTGGACGGGGACCATATCGTCTCGGGTTTAGAGGACGGACGGGTGCGGCTTTGGAGCACGGTAAAAAGAGCTGCCGTACATGAATGGAAAGGTACAGAGGGGCGAGTGTACTCGGTGAAATTCTGTCCCGATGGACGAAGCATCGTAGCAGGCGCCACAGACGGGACGATACATGTTTGGGACTTTAAAGGCAATCTACGCGGAAAGTTTCGAGGTCATTCCGGCCCTGTCTTCACCATCTCCTTCTCACCGCGCGACTCGAACCGTCTGGTCTCCGGCTCGGCGGACCAATCAATCATCATCTGGGATTTCGCGACGAGGGAGAAGATTGGCGAGCCTTGGAGGGAGCATAACGGGGCAGTGTGGTCTGTTGCATTTTCTCCAGATGGGAAGGAGATAGTTTCCGCGTCAGAAGATTCCACGATTCGGATATGGGACGTCGCTTCTGGTCGTCCTGTCAGCTTCCCTCCTCCGGATCTACCAACGACCGGACACCAACGTCTCAGTCGTAGAGACAGGCGGGATATCACTCTACCAGACCGTATCGATTGGGGTCTCCTTGGGATCGGAGCGAAGGATCTTGTGCGTTTGGCAACTTGGATGAAAAGGTCGCTCGCCTCACAGCTCTGGTCGATGGTGTTTGACCTCACGGACTAGCTAGGCGATGTTCTTTGTCGTTTTCAGAGAGGAGCCCGAGTATTCAGGACTTATAACCTCGCCTACGATAGTAGTGTATTCCTATGACAATTGTATGTAGCTGGTCTTGATAGGTGAATATGAGGCTCATATTTTTGTGACGATCACAGGAGCAGGATACGAGGGTGTGCGAGAATGTAAATGGAGAGAGTACGAACGTAGAACGAGAGGTGATGAATTACAACGGCTGACTAGACGGGGGAACGAGTGCATACGGGGCCGCAGCGCTTGCCTTCCGCCCCCATGTGCTCCTCCATTAACGGATACACAATGAGCTCCTCACCAACCGCATGGCGAGCTACTTCCCAGGTCAGTTGGTGCGCCCAACGAGCTTGCGCGTCAGGGTCTCCGGCTGATTTTTGGTAGTAGCCATAGTATTCGTACATCTTTGCATAGGTTGTGATCGTATGCAGTGTAGAATGCACGATTCTGTTGAGTAAGAAAGATTGAGAGAAGGGAGAACGTGTTGGCGCCTACCTCCTCATGGTCGTCCTTGATGGCTTCGGTAAGTGTGTCTTTGCCCATAGCGCTCGCTGTAGCTGAGAAATCGGACCGCTGATATTGTAGAGCAAAGGGTTTCAGAGTACGACGGGGCGTGAGGCGTGTGGTGCTGACAGCAGAGCGCAAAGTGCAAAGACGGGAAGACGAGCGCAGATGGAACATGGAGGTACAGACCTTGCAATGCACTTATATATTGATATAAATATGCTTAAGATATAGCATGACGCACTCAAGGGCGAAGATCGTAATGCATCAAGGTGACGACTACATTCCTGACCAATAGAGAGGTGCGAGTTGGGCGAAAGATCGCATGCGCCAATCAGACGAAGAGCATTTGGAGTGACGACGATGCGAGGATGGCCATGTGTAGAGATGATGATGCAGTGGGGAGCAGGAGTTGACGGTGAGATGACGCAAGGGCTACTATCGGGGGGACGTTGTTGTGGTCTGTTTGACGACACCTTTCAATACTAACAAACACAAACAACCACCATTGTTTCCGAGAATTGTGATTGTGATGTCACGGTGGGTCGTACTGACGCCGCACATGCCCGCGCTTTGTACTTGATTCCGAATTCGTCGTGGCGCTCGTTCGTTTGCGCTCATTATACCTGTCAATTCTGCTCGTTCTAGATCTAGCCCCCTCTCCGAGTCATGCCCAACCCAAGAGTCGTCACAACCAACTTCCAGGTCACAGCGGCGAGCTCAAGCGGATACTAAGGACTTTTAGGCTGGCATCTACTGGCTCGTAGTCTCTCAGATCCACTGGTTTGGCGGACGAGGACAGAGAGCAGCATCAGGTTTGGCCGCTTTCCGAGATCAAATGAAACAAAATTCTGACGCAAGGTTGCATTGGCTCATTCAGCACGTCAAACAGCTCCTCTACGATTTATCTTCCCGTGAACCGGGGACCGCAGCGTACGACGGCACTATGAAAGCCGTAATGGATCACCTCAAGCCTCATAACGACAGCGAGGAACAGAACGACTTGCCTGCGCTTGAGCAGAAGTTGGGTAAGGATAGGAGTATGAAGGAGGCGGAGAGATTTACTCGGACAAAGAAGTTCGTACCCACGAGGTGAGTGCCACATTCTCACCCTATTTGACGACGCCTCCCATTCTCCTCTATGTATTGCATGCTAAACTTCTAACACTTGGCATTATAGGCCCCACCCCTCCGCTCCCAATCAGCCCCCGTTCGAGACGTTCGTTGGGTTCCTCTCCGCGCCTATCGACAAGCTCAAGGACGCGTTCGATACCTTCCCGACGCAGGAGATGAAAGAGGCCGTCAAGGAGTAATCAACCTCCATTTTCAACGGTTCTAGTCTGTTGCGCAGAGTTAGGGAGTCTTTTGTAGCCAAATTGTGGCGAACAGATGTATAACATGTAGGATACTAGTGTAAGATTCTGTATCAGTGGTTGCATGTACGATATTGTTGAACATGCATAAATCGAGGCCAATATATACACGGTAGATAAAGGCCATTGATAGTGTAATATCCGGAGGAAGCTTGCGGCATGCCACATCCCCATCGTTCGCGCCACCCGGACCCGACCGTTCAGGCGTGCTCTGTCTAATCCGACTTGCGTTGTTGTTCGACCATCACCTCATCGACAAAAATCTACAACTACACCGTCTTCTATAGCTCAACGGATAGGGCGCCGAGAATCAGCAATTCATCGGAAAAGTTGTTATACGGTAATATTCTCGGAGATGTTGGTTCGATCCCAACCCGAAGAGTCAGAGTTCATAGTGTTGAAATTTGTTTTTGGTCCCAAACACGAAATGTCGATGTGGTTCACCAGGCGTCACTGTAGGAGGTACGGCTCTCTTCGTTACTCTAACACTCCACCCAACAGGGAAGCAGGGTTTCTTCGACGCACGATTTCATACAGTCGTTTGGCCTTTATACCACAACGTATTGATACAAGTAACGATAGCTCAGCAGTAGAGCATCGACCCGATGTGGGTCGTTTTGGAGACAGAAGAAAGGAAATTATATGGTATCATCGTAAGGTTTGGTTCGATTCCAACTCGGACAGCTCGACGGATGAATTATACTGTCTTTATTGAAGAGGAGAAGGCTCTGAAGCCACCGAGAACACGCTCTGAAAGCCTATGGATTGACAGAGAAGTTAACACATGTCACTCGGAGTATTGAGAGAATATATTTCAACCCTTACGAGTTCCCGGCAGAGGTGCAGATGAAGGAGGTGCACCTATGTGATCCTCCGAGTCGACTGGCCTGTCGGAAAATGCATCCATCCCGGCAGTCTGAACCTCACCCGGTGATCCCATACGTGTCAGGAGTGTGTGATCAAGGCTGTTATGGGAGGTCGTCCATCTGGGCGGCGGGTAAATGTTACTCGACGACTTTGCGCTGTACGGGTCGTAATAGTCGGAATCCTTCCTGGATATAGTACTCCCTGGTGTTTGATTGACGACTGTCGATTCGTACAAATCAAGCGAGATAGGGATATACAGACCGTTATCTGCTCGTTGAGACATGAAGCCGGGACGAGTATCGTTATTCTTGGCGCCATTGGGGTGATTCTCTTCCGCGGCGTCTTTGAGATGATGACCCCGAGGTTTCTCGGGATCATGATCGAAGAGGAACGGTATAAGACAGCATAAAGCCTGGATTGGGAGAGATCAGCATATAATACGGTCTATGAGCAGATTTATACATACGGTGAGTCCCAGAAAGACGAGACTCGGTAATGTTCCAACGAAGTCTACGGTTGAGTGTCATTATCCGGGGCCAAGCCTGGAATGAGCCATAAAACATGACGTACCGATAATTACACCTGAAGCGTGCGTACAGATATTGAGTTCGTATATGAGAGGAAGCTTAACAAAGAGTTACACACCGAAGGACTGTGGTGCACCTGGCATTGTGCCTCTCAACTGCGTGAAGGCAAAAAGTGTTGTGATGGGCACCACAAGGATCTCGACTTTTTGACCTTTTCCCATAATAACGCCCTTCACCATAATAGCGAGCAGCACGAGAGAGACCAACCCTATCCCTTCAAATCAATACCTGGTTAAATATAATACTGGGAGGACGTACACATGGTCATAACGATGGTGACCGCATATGTCTTGACGAGTGTCGACCGGCTGACAGTGATATAGACCTCTGTTGTGTTAGTGCTATATGTAAAGTCGTTGTTCTTCACGTGCGCCTGGAAGCCACTGGCTCACGATAACAGTTTTTGAGTGCGGTGTTGTGCGGTAGGGCACTGTCTCATACGCACACTGCGATCCCATTCATGGACCCAATAAATATTCCAACCGTTTCTCCAGTGTCATTCGAAGACGCAAATATCCAGGGTGAGACCACATATCTAAGAGTAGGTCAGCATGGCCAGTTTAATTGATGAAAGACGTTGATTGACTTGTCGAATGGGTAGTTTTCTAAACTGGCTTCCAGTGTCGTTTCCCTTGTCTCCAAGTACACTAATAACCATCAGAAAAGAAACGATAGAAAGAAGCGATGCGGCGTACTTGTTGTCCGGAACATCGAAAAACTGGAGAAGTCGTCAAATTCGAAGGCGGTAGCGTTGAATTGAAAGAGCGGTTGGGTTGGACGATTATTAGAGGCGGGGGAGTTAGAGTCGGAGCTGCCGCTCATAGAGTTCCTGTCATGATCGGTCAGTCAAATTACTTGGATGCGGACCAACAATATCTTACGGGTCCATAAAGATATTGACAAGAGGACAATTGCTATCCGTGATGTCATCGCTGGACTTCGCATTGGTGATACAAGTATCGCTGTAGATATTCCATTGGAATGTCGCCGTGCCAACCGATGCATCTGCGGTGATGAGTTGAAGTCCAGTGGAAAGCTGAAAACCTGTCGGTGAGTTCAGGGAACTTGACTGACAATAGAGAATATGCTCACGGTTCTCCCTTCCCAGCTGGAAGGTACTTCAAGATTCAATTCCTTTCCTCGGAATCTCCAACCAAGGGGAATTCCCAGAACGACAGCTAACAGGACAGCGAACGTGCAAGCCGTAACCCACGGGGTCCTATCGCTGTGCCTGATCTTACTCCATAGTACGTCCCTCTTTGCGCGCAAAGAGCGGAAGGTCGCTGTCATTGTCGAAGATTGAGATGCTAAGGAAGGTCGAGTGGTCAGTCTGTGTGAAGGTGGAGATGGGGGAAGAAGGATGATGATGGAGGCGGACGAAAGACCATTTAATAAGTGAACGCTGGGTCTCCGATTTTAGTGCCCAGCTCTGTGTGAAAATCGATCTGGATTCAGTCTGGATTGTCAAGATTCCGACTTTTCAATTGCATTCGCTACAACGACGAGAATAGCACTTGGGGATCGGCTTGATTGATAGATATCATCCCGCATAGAACACGACAACGGGCTCGTGCCAGTCAGCGCTTGGAGCAAAAGGAGGTTTCTGAAGTCCAGATGGTCAAAGTCGTTTGACTAGACGCCATATTTCCGCAAGGACAGCCTTAAGGAATATTGAGTTAGCAGAAGTCAAGAGGGGGATCAAGTACTTGATTAGCGCCCATTGGCCCTCCGTTTCAGATCTAATCTTACTTGAATGTGGCTCTTCTATGTAAGAGCCTATTTCCAGAGCGCAAGAAGACCAGAATGTTCTGAACGAGATGGTGAATCGGTGAAAGGAAAGCGAGTGGAGACAAATCTAGAAGCATCACAAAAAGGACCCAAATGAAACTCGTGGACGGTAGATAGGAAGCTCTTTCGGAGCCGGCGGCTTTTTGGGGGTAAACTTGCTCGATAGCAAGCGCTTCAACGGGTCAATCTCGTCGAGCTGTGCGTGAAGACGCTCAGTACCATTGTAGACTGGGGCCTCATCATGGCTGGGCCATTGACTTGGCGTTCATGGGATGATGAACTTGAAAGTGAGAACATGATGGCCATGCATACCAGTAGCCTAGTTAGAAACATCGGAAGGTCGGAGGGCTTCAAGAGAAGGCTTCATGTAAAACTCGGAGACGAACGACGATTCAGTGTGGTTGTAACAGCTATACAACGAGCTAGGGACTTTGAGACGCTAAAATGTTAAAGAAAGAAGCAGATGTAGCAAGAGCTCGAGCTTGTACAACATGCCGGTGTGGTATTAGCCGTGTGTCATGGTCAAAAGGTAGATTATGGATTTCACGTACTGGCACAATCGTGTTGGTTTTCGCCTCAGATTATGACGACACTCCACCACATCATCGTATCATCTCGTCCCGGAATGATAGCATCCCCTAGCTCGGCATCCACAACGACGTGTTCTCTAACAAAGTCCTCACCTTCCAGAGCTCTGAACACGTCTTGCCAAAGCTTCTTGAAGGACTCGGGAGAATGGCCGTATCGAACTCTACAGGACCAGTAGCGGAATATCAAAAAGAGAGCTGAGCCTGAGTTGTCAGTGACGATGGAGATAATCACCTACCGCTTCATCATGCCGTCGTCGAGGTACCCCTCTTCCTGTTTCCCTTGATGTCTTCCGAATATCACCGAGCCCTTCTCCCTTTTCAAGATATGGGCCAGCCTCTCTGCGAGCGCAAGCTGGGTATCCTTAACAAAAAGGTGGAACAGAGCGCCCACATATAGATGTGAGATCTTCCCGACGACGTCGTCGAAAGAGGAACATGTAGATAAGGGTTTTTTGGTGACCGACTGAATTTGTGGCGACGACGTGTGAGGAGTGAAGTCGAAGATGTCGCCCGCGAAGAAGGTGATCTGGGACGTTCCACGGTCACGGTACAGTTTGTCTAGGCCGAGATCGATGAATGTGGCACGAAGGTCACAGGCGATAACATGGTCGGCGGGATATCCGTCTGCGACGAGCTTGCGGACGTCCGTCCCCACTGATTCGCGAAAAGGGGCTCTAGATACGGTGGGCGCGGAGAAGCTAGAGGGCCGGCCTTGACTTACTGCAGCATCCGAGATCAAGGAAGAAACAGCCGTTCTCCTTCCCTCCTTTGACGACTTGGGGGTATACTTTATTAGCGCACATCATGAGGGAAATATGGTGGAAGGCTCTGATGCATGGGTACGGGTATTGCTGACTACGTTATTGTTGAATACGTGATGAGGAATGGTTCTTTCAAGACCTGTAGATAGAGCGTGGACAAATATGGCTCACTATGCTCTTCAAAGTAATCCCGCAGATGTCAGCTTTATAAAGCGGGAGACAAAAAGTGGTAGGATGACTGGATTGACACGTACTCTCGCTGTACTTCGAGGACACGTTCACGTATCGTATCCTCGTCATCAGATATAGTAGACTTGAGGAACTCGAGCTCTTGCTGAGTTGGCTTGAAGCGTGAAGGGTCGAGCGGCGGGATGAGATCAGTAGTCACGGAGTACTCTCGAGCGACGGTCGTGGCAGCCATCGAGGTCGGGATCAGATGAAGGTGCACAGCGAATGCTCTGGCCCACTTATAAGAAGCCGTAGTCCTCCATGACGAAGGACATTCGCATCGAGTCCGAGGCCGCTATCAGATGATCGAGCTTTGGCTGGCTGTATGGAACTGAGAAATGGATGCACAAGTACTTACGTACACGAAGATTCATGTGGGAGGACCATCAAACTTTTGGTAACGCAAAGAATAGCAGTGCCACCCTCCCAGATGTACTGTGTCGTCGAGGATGTTCTTCAGCTGGATAGAGGACGCAAAGCTAGACGAAGGGTGTCTGATTGTTCGGCTGCGAGTCAAAAGCAGGGATTACCAGCCCATACTTACCCGGTTTTCCAGATATCGACACAGAGCAAATCGCTGCCCAAGCTGGAGAAAAAACAAACTGTGGATCCAGCAACAGACGAGGGCTGCGCCGGCAGCATAGTGTAGCGGGTATCTCGTTGCTCTATGCCTTCGTGCTGGGGAGTCACGTGTGGGTAAATCCGCACAAGTGGCGAGGCCTCTGGTTCAATTCTCACACACAGTGATTTATTCCAGATTCTCATAGGCCGAACCCAGCGCTGGTAGGTGGGTTTAGTGGGTAGTGGGGTTAGGGGCTCCTGAGAAGTTTAAACGCTTGCCGCTTGCGGCGCACTCCCACCGGCTCTGCCCTGCGCATCCGTGGTTGTCGAAATGATGATTGGCCAGCCCCCTCCGAGTCCCACACTGTTCCGCCGGCCTAGCCGGTGGTTCGTGCATAAATGCATTCCCTCCTTTGGATCTGCAGGGTGATAACCCCTGCTTATCGACGTTGATCCCGTAACGGCTGCCATTCGCGATTGGTTACGGGGGAGTTACACCAAAAAAAAAAAAAAAAAACCAAGACGAGGGCTGCGCCACGACACGCCACAGCCGGACTCGGAAAATTTGTCCGACACCGCGGATCTAGCCGCTTTCAGGACGCGATCAGGTGATTATTTCCCCGCACAACCGTTCTGCCTCGTTCTGCGCGTTTTCCCTTCGTTCTCGCTTGAAGTTCGCCGCTAATAGTGATACGGTAGCAGAATCGAAATGCACCTTTATTGTCTTGTCAAACATGCCTCGTAAGCAAGCTTCACTTGGTTGAATCTGTGGGATAGGTATTAGTGATGAGATTAACCACGGTAAGGACCTCATGTGAAATATATCCCCCCATCTACCCCGCACTGGATGATCGCTTCATCCATCAGGCCCATATAAACCTGGACGTGCGGATTTGGCCCGCATTTCCGACAGTTTTTCTCACTTCTCACCCTCTACTTCACTCACGCTCACTTCCCCTTGACATGGCACCGTTATTGAATCCACCCTTCCGGGCAGACCACATCGGGTCTTTGAAACGTCCCGCTGCTCTTCTCCAGAAGCGAGCTGAGTTTGACGCGCAGAAAATTTCCCAGGAGGAGCTAACGAAGACTGAGGATGAGGCGATTAACGATATCGTGAAGATGCAGAACGAAGTGGGCATCAAGGCGGTTACCGATGGAGAGTTCAGGAGGGTGCGTAGTTCTAGTCCCGCACCTGCACTCGGAAGCTTATCTCGTCCTGCTCTATAGCACATGTTCTTCGATGGCGTCTTTGATAACATGGACGGTATGAAGTTCGTCCCAGATGGTGCGTGCATATTTGTTCTTCACCGATAAGCCGTACTCAAACTACGAGAAACAGTTCCCCTGGAGTGGTTTATGGTACGGAGGCTGTCTGCCATGCTTCTCGGTAAATGAGCGGTACTGAAGTGATGCTGCAGGACTATGTCCCCGACACCGCGGGATTCAAAGCCCAGTCTTTCAAGAAAGCCGCGTCATACCTCTGTGAAGTGAGTCCGCTGTTACATCTTGTGTTCTCATGAAGGCCAAACCGCCCGGCCAACGAGCTGAATGGGCGGTCTTATGACCTGGAGAAAGCGCGTCTTTTCCTTTTGTGGGCCGATGAAGTGCGACCGTATCCCCCGCTCTGGTAGACGTCGCCACCCTTTGTGGCTCCGTTAGCGGTTCACTTTCAAAAACTCACCGATTCCTCCCTGGCACAGAGTCATGACCGGCACTCACCTTCATATGTTTTACAGGGAAAACTGCACCGCACAAAGTCGTTCTACAGGTCTCAGTTTGAGTACATGAAGAAGATCACACCGCCCGAAGTGCGCTACATTTACGATTCATGTCGCTCGGATATATATTGACAGCAACCGTGATGATCCGCAGAACCACAAAAACATCAAGATCACGATGTGCGCTCCCGAGTGGTTCCATCTCCGACACGGCCCCCACGCCTACCCAAAGGAGGTGTACGCCAATGACGGTGATTACCGTACTATCTCAGCTATCGTGGTATGTCACTTACTCTGGAGCACAGATGAGTACTTCGCCGATATCGCGGTCGCGTATCAAGAAGAGATTGCAGAACTTTACTCCCTCGGCTGCCGTATGTCTTCTTCTGTCTACCCCGAAGATTATCATGGCTAATACTCCACCGATATTTCCGCTTCCTTCGTGTGTAGGTAACATCCAGTTCGACGACCCCCTCCTCGCCTACTTCTGCGCCGAATCTATGATCACCGGTATGGAGAAGGAAGGGATTGACCACGAGAAAATCCTCACGACCTACATCAAGGCCTACCAAGACTGTTTGAAGGGCAAGCCGGAGGACATGAACGCGGGTCTGCACTTGTGCCGAGGAAACTTCAGAGTGCGTATATATCTTGCATTTTATCAGGGTTTCCCCTCATTCTAAGTTGTACACTGATCTGTGGGCCTTCATGGTTGTAGGACGGAAGACATTTTGCTGAGGGTGGTTACGACAGGATCGCCGTGAGGTTGTTTAACGAGATTCCTGTCGAGTGCTACTACGTATGTTCCTCTCACATTTTTTTATATTTATGGCACTATCTGACATCCATTTCAGCTCGAATACGACACCAGCCGTGCAGGAACTTTCGAACCCTTGAGGTTCATGCCAAAGGACAAGGTTGTCGTTCTCGGCCTCCTTACGTCTAAGTTCCCGCAGGTGCGCTTGTCTCCACCACCTTCCTAGTTCACCCCTTGATCTTGCTTTCTTCGTTGGCCGTATAGCTTGAAGACAAGGAAGAGCTCAAGGCTAAAGTCCACGCCGCCGCGTCCGTCATCGCTAATGGTACCGTCCCTCGCTCACAAGAGGAGGCACTCAACCAGTGCGTCCTCCTTCTCTGTCTTTGCCTCGAACTCTATCGTCGTGTACTGACATGCGCGGATGTCGCACAGAATCTGCATCTCGCCACAGTGTGGCTTCGCCTCCCATGCGGACGGAAACCCCGTCACGGAGGCAGATGTGATCAAGAAGCTGTCTTTGGTCGTTGAGACTGCGAAGGAGATCTGGGCCGACGCTTGATCACATTCTCTCACTTCATCCTCTCTCTCTTTTGGTGTCTTTGTTTCCGGTCTTTCGCTGTGTGAGTCTATCGGACTACAAGGGAGAGAAGTCAATTCAACTTGATGTCTTTCTGTATCATGTACGTCTTTTCGATAGGTCTCATCTACTGGAGTTCTAGTCGTCTGCTCTATATATTCGTCCTCCATGTATCTTCGCACTGGTACAGTCTATCACGGATAATTCAACATTATTGTAGCCATTTATTTCATCTTGAATTTTACGAGGGGTATGCCATTACGACGCTCCTGAATCCCCTCCGATGTCTCGTACAAACATTACACAAGACAGGCAGATATCGTCAAGACCGCGGTGCCCCAGCCTTCTTGATCAAGGTGTGTGGAAGCGCGAACGACACTTCGCCAGGATCGTCAGAGGATACCTGTCGATCATACCCGCAGACAAGCTTGTGTTCCGGCCAGTCTCTAATCAACATCCAACAGGAAAAGAAATCCAGAGATATTTAGCTTATTGCGCAGAGGAGTAAAGGGGCGCTTACTTCTTCTGACACTCGGCACCACAGTACGGAATCACCTTACACGACGCACACTTATTCTTCCCAACATTCATACATCCTCTTCTCCCACATTCATTTTTCAATCGACATGCCGTCTCGATATTGTCGAAAGTCACATAATTGCGATGATTTGTGCGTGCTTCTTCCAGTTCTTCCTTGGATGAGGGAGGGTGCCACGTTTGTGAGATGAGGTGCCCGTTGCGAACGTAGGCTGCCTCTAGAAGGGCACGGAAGATCCGTGGTCGGGGGAGATGGGGACGCATGATAGCTGCGAGGTCTGTATCGTTCTGAATAGAGTGGAGAAGGAGGTCCAGAATAAATTCCATGTGGTCTGTCCATGAAAGGATGGGAAATTTGATCAGACACGAGCAATAATGGCTCGATCAGTTATTCGGGAAAAAAGTGATCCACCATGAAGCATACCACATATATGGTCTACCGCATTCAGCCCAGACATTTCTCGTCGAGCAAAGAGTTTGGGCAATATCTCGTCCAGAGTCCCGAGAAAGTCTGCCTGGAGCAGAGGGATAACTCGAGCCACTGGCAAAAATTCTCGACCATCCGTTCCTTCTGAACTTTTAACCGATGCAACGGTTGCGCCCATTAGATATAATATGGCCTGTGAACATAAACCGTCGCCGACACTCTTCCCGCCTATGTCGTATACGTCGAGCTTGGATGCCCCAAGACGCCACGTTCTGAACACTCCGCGCCACAGTTCTTCAGACTCGAGTAGCTTCGAATGACATTCCTGATGTAGCGCGAGCTTATGGGAATTGGTGTACTCTCGAATTCGACGAAGGACAAGTACACAGCTCTCGCAGTAGTCCAGCTCGAGCCAATCGAGGAACCACGCGAATTTAGAGAGGATGTTTTCGAAGGATCCATCGGCGCCTCCGATGATACGGTCTAGCATGTTGGCCGGCGCTGGGGTTGTCTCCCGATATGATGCTGCCTTTGGTGAATCTGGTATCAAGAGGACACAGAAAGCTTCGTGGGTGATCATGCATTCGGTCATGATCTCGTCCGAGCAGGCCAGCAGGTTGCGGGTGATTAGACGCATAGTGTGGTCGCACTCGTCAAATATTCTGGACAGAGTATGAGTTGGAGTACAAACGTTGTTAGATCAATTTACCTATAGAACGAGACCTCCTCTCTGCAAAGCACGGTGACCATGGTTGAAAACGCCATTCTTCCGGTTATGGAATCGTAGTCTTCTGTGTCGACAGGCTGGGCCTTTTCAGCATCAGATATCTGCGGAGATGCTCGTTACGATTTCTAATAAAAGAGTAGGAGTATAAAGAGATCGAACCGCTTTGGCCATACGGGTCCAGTTCTTCTCCAATGATTGAACTAGTAGACGATATCCCTGGTCGCGTTTAGGCGCGTTTTCGGTATCTGTCATAGCGCAGAGGGCATTGCAGAGAATTCCAATAGATCGCGGAGGACTTTTGATCGCTGAGGTTAGCAACATTCCCGAATCTTTTCAATTAGTCCTGTATGATTCAAAGTTGCTGACCTGGTTGTGAGTTTCCTCGTCGAATTCGGTATAGGTGCCCGAGGATTCATCACTGGGAGGAGCACTCTCTACCACCTGGTTACATAAAAGTTCCGCTATTCCCTCTGCGAATACACGCCTGTACCGAGAATTCAGGTTCATTGGAGCCTCCGTAGCTTCAGTCAGAGCACGCATGGCTGGGAACATTGCCTGGCAAACATGTCCGCAATCTAGCATCAGTGAACTAACTCAATAAGGATATATGTTCCTTTCTTTAAAATAAGGCATACCTTCCGTGTATCTCCCCATTTATTGTGCCCGTTGCTTCCTCGAGGTACTATGCGGAAGACGTCGAGCACTCTGAATGGCTTCTCAGCAATATAACGATGCCACAAAGACACATCTTCCGGTTTACAAGAACTAGGATCCATTTTGGTATATGGCCTCGGTGAAGAGCGTTAAGTCTAGTCAAGTTCGATGTGAAGCGACGTGGGCACCAGCAAGGAGCAAGTTCGAGTTCAAGAAGTTAGCGCCGGCCGCCACACCAGGTACCGCTGTGTGTAGTTTACGTGCAAGTTTGGCACGTGGCCCCCGTTAGAACTGAGCGATACATAAGCAGAGCCAGAGAGCAAAGTACAGAATATTAATGCCAGTTTCCCTCGAGGCTTGCTTGAGTTGCCTTTCAGTTTGAGTTGGCTAGATTGTGAGTTTCGGCGTGTGGCGCTCCGCCGCCACAGGTTGTCGGCCCATTTTTTGGCCGCGGATGACGTTCTCCCGGTTACAGGAGCTGAGCGCGGAAGCTGTGCAAGCATCTCCTCCACCATCCTCCATCATCTCGTGCTGTACTTATATCGCAAAACGTCGCATTTCCTTGGTTTCTTATCCACCGTCTAATATTTCCCATAGGTATGTGTTTGCTCGATCCAAATCACCCAGACGGATCCGGAGCCAGAGGCTCATAGTATCTGTACGGTGATGCTCTGCATTTAGGAGCAGAAGTTGCTCGACCATTGTAGGTCAGACGAGCATTGTTCAGTGTCTATCGGACGTAGTAGCCAGGTGAGCTGGTACATATAATGGAGAGCGTTACACTTACGCTGCATCCGGAATACAGATAACGTATCTCCACCGACCTCAAGACCTCATCACATTCTCCTCCCTGCGATCTCGGTTTTTTCAGAATGTTCAAGTCAGCCGCTACCAAAATTGCGCATAACTCTACTATTCCATCGCTAGCAATTGCGGGAAACAAGGATCTTCGTCCATTGCAGGATCTCATCACAGCCGAGAAATCCATTGTACAGTCATTAGTGAAGCTCAGCACCGACTTTACGAAGGCTTCAGAGGCGTTGAAGCACTGGGCAGTCGGCGAAGGGGATGATCTAGGGGTGAGTTTGTACCCCATGTCTTCAGGTTTGATACGTGGTCGGCGGGATGGGGCTCTTGGTTCTCGGAAAGGCCATATCAATGCGGATACCCATCAGTGCAGATATTAGGCGTCGAGATCCGACGTAAAGGAGTCCATATGCATCACGAAGCGGAGGGCTTATCCTGCGGTATTGAGATGGCTACATATTTGAGGAGCATACCACGCGTTGACCTCAAAGGACTTTCAAGGAGCACGATGGAGCTTGTGGGCGTACCCTCCTTTCGTAGACTGGCTACTGATTTGTGAACCCTCAGGATACACTCACCGCCTCCACTACCATGCTTCTCTTTTTCGCCTCCGCCATCTCGAAATTCGCATCTCACGAGCAAACAATCCGTGACCACATGAAGGCTATTCGGTCAGGCGAAGAGAGTCTTGATCAACTCAAGCACCGCCGGAAGAACGTTGCTTCGAAAGCTGATTCCGCTGAGAAGAAACTCAACAAGATGAGTCCGGAGCACAAGAACACACCGATGCAGACAGAGCTTCTGAACAAACTGAGAGACGAGATGAGGATGTTAGACTCGGACATCATGACAGACGAGGCGAAATTAGGAGATATGAAGAGGACGAATGCGAAGGCGTGGATGACGTTGAAGTTCGCAGGCTTGCAGGAGTGGTGCGAGAAGGGCGTCGTATGTATATCATCACGCCGTATTTTCCACTTCATCTGACGACTCGTAGATCATCGGCGAAAGTGGCAAAGCTGTGATCAACGAGATCCCACAGGACGTTACGGAACCCGGGACTGCTCGACCATACTACAATAGCTATCAGCAGACTGCCGACGTTGTAGCAGAGACACAACAGGCCCTTTCAGGGGTCGTCTTCCACGGAGAGCCTGGCAGCGAGCGCTCTGGCAGCAAATCTTACGACTCTCCGTCTCTTCCACGCCTCGATACGGGCTCAGGGTACGGTAGCATCAACGAGTTCGGCGCCATGCCGGAGCCCAATGTTCAACGCTCCCATTCCTACAACCCATCGTCGCCCGCGTTCTCTGGTATGTCTCTCGACCAAGGACACGAATCCGGTTTCCGTTCACCGACTGCTGGCGGCCAGTTCGCATCTTTCCCCTCCCGCGCGCCACACGGGCGATCTGGTAGCCTACTCGCATCACCTCGCATGGGCCCCGAACCGACCAGCAGCAGCTTCTCCACTTCCGTCGCTGACGCTCTCGGCTCTGAATTCCTCGGCCAGCAGTCAAGCACGACTTCCGACTCTACTCCCACCGGTCCTCCCGATGGGATGCCTCGCATGAGCTACGATTCTCAAGAACCGGTACCGAGATATGAGTCGTACATCCCGAATGAACCATACAATCAACAACACTCGCCCGAGAACCAGAACTTCGCTCCGCCTTCTGGGCCGCCACCAGGCGCTGCCGCACCATCGTTGCCGCAGTACCGAGCTGCTGAATACGGGAACGAGTGGGACGATAACGAGGGTGGATTGGCGTACATGGCCCCGGGATCCTCTCCTGATGATAGGAAACTTGGCACGCGTGGGGACACCGCGACTCCTCGAAGGCTAAGCGTGATGAACGGTTATGCTGGCGATCCGTGTAAGGTCTTTTGATACCACTCTTCCGATGTTGTGCTTATCCTTGTTTTTTTGTAGCTGGCCCACCACAACAAGCACATGATGAGCCACCTAGGGCTGTGACACCTCCTACGCCTCCCCCTCCTTCGACGATGGGCCACACGGACGAGAGTGCTTTAAATGCCGCGGCTGCTAGAGAAGTCTCGCGAGAGTTAGATTCTCTATCTTTCAGTCCTCCTTCCGCCCGTGGTTCGCGCAACTTCTCCAACCCTCCGGAACCCATCCCGACGATTCCCCGCGTCCCAGATAGCCCTCAACACATTGCCTCTCCTTTCACTCGGGCCCGTGACCGTGACCCCGCATCGCCAACGCAGACGATGAGCCCGCCTCTTCGCAGTCCAGTCGAACGCACCTCTGACGTACCACAAATTCCGTCTCCTCGTCAATCGGTCGCCTCTCCACTCAGCTCTCCGACTCTATCTAGTGCCCTTCCCCAACCTCCCGCCGTCTCTCTTCCTCCTCCTTCCTCCTTCGCTGGTTCTGTGGGTACAGGGGTTTCCGGCAACACGCCATACCGCACGCCACCCGAATACATGAGCTCACCCATCGGCACAAGCGCGCCATCGCCGATCGCCTCGTTCTCGAACCTGTCGAAGTCCTCTCTGAATATGAGTACACCATCGTCTCCATCTGCAGGCGCGGGCATACGCACGATCTCTGCGGCTGCGTTCAGGAGACCACAGAACAGGATGCCCTCGGATGGGAATCTTCAGTTGAGTTCCAGAATGGCAGCCGCGACGGGTGCAGGAGTCGCAGACACGACTCCACTCAGCGTGAACAAGAAAAGGGGATTGCCTTCCACTCCGAAGATGGGAGCCTCGGCTCTTAGTGGTGGGCACGGAGGAGGGTCGAGTATTTCGCTGAATAGGGATTCGACGCCTTTGCCCTCGATGAGGAAGAATCCGGATAGTCCGCCGGCGCTGGCAGATGAAGACTTTGATTATATCTCTGCGTATGTCAATAACGAAGACAATGCGGCGGCGGGCGCGGCGCATGGGTCTGACTCTGCCGCGGGCGCGGGAGGGAGAGGGTATGAAGGGGGACGGTTTGCGACTAACTTGGATGATGGCGCTGGGTTGAGGTGAGGAGAATGTGCTTGAACGTCGAAGTCGGCCAACAGAATTCCCTAGCATGGCCGTAGTCAAATATACCTTGTTCTGAATAATCTCTTCCCACGGATTGTTATTTTTGGTCTTTTCGTTTCCGGTTTGGTTTCTGTTGCCTCCCACTCGCATTACTAGTTCTCCTTTCACTTCGTCCATCCGTTTGCAGTTCACTCGGCCTTGTAGTTCCATTTAGCTAACGTCGCCCACGTCTCGTGTGTTTTGTCTTTAAGTATAGTACCATGTATCTCTGTTGTCATCAACGGCCATGTCTGTTTGATATAATGGTCTGAAATCCACTCAAAAATAGTCAGAGTGGTTGGCGTGTGGCACCAACGCGAAAGAGTGTGGCGACAAGCAGACGATGGTCGTGGCGTCTATTTGTACCTGTTTGACTACACCTCTCGTTTCTAACAAAGACAAACAACCGCTTTCGTGTCTTGAACCAATCTGGAACTGTGACTCGCCGACCGACTACGGTGCTACTCTCCGACGCCACTTCTCAGTCCAATCGTATCGATGATAAGCTTAACTATGATATAACCATCTCCTCGGCCGCAGCTTTGCATAGTGACTCTGGTCCTCAGGCTCTTTGGCTTCTGTCTGCCAGTGGCCGCCAACTGCCAATATGGCGGCGTCCAGTCGTCTTCTTCGCGCGGCTCAGCGACTGCGTACATGTCGAACCATCTCGAGACTTGCTTTCATTGCGGCTTCAACCTTGAGTCTAATTGTCTTCTTCTGCCCACTCTGCTCAAATCGTTTATTAAAGATCTCAAGCCTCACTTCCCTCGTTGCTTCGAGCTTGCCTTGCTCAACCCTCCCCCTTCTGAGACCTCACTAGTCTTATGCGGCACGGATGTCACCAGATCCGAGCGATGTATTCCCTGTCGCTTACGCTTGCTTACTACGCGAGCGGAGATACGGTCTACATTATGCGTAGCTAGCCAAACGCCGAACATCGAGCGTCAAAAAGCACTCGGGTCCGAGAAATATTCGTCAAGGCGTCTGAAGAAGCTGTACAGAATCTTTGACGTCTTCGACTCTTCGGTAGTAGCGTGACTGTTTACGGTTTTGCTATACTTACACGATAAGTAAGCGTGTCGTTTCGGTAGATGTTTTGACGAGATTCGGTCAGCTTTGTGCGCCTGACGCGTAATCCAAACATGGACCGTGAGGACACAGGCCTTTCGACATCGTAAGTTCAAGTATCGCACAGCCCCTAGAGACACTACATTCTGATATAAAAGGTTGATCATCCTGCGTAGATCTCATCACCGACATACAGTCGAACCGAACATCTCCAATCCTCTTGCTACTAATCCTTTGAATGTCCACCATAAGCAACGGCGTGCCTGGTCCAAGGGAACACTACCCTATATACCAGCAGGAGGTTGGTACGGTGCTGTCCGCGGTGCGTTCCCCTTAAGCTCATCTCGCATTTGAGAACGCAGTTGACTGACGCCGTTAAATGCCGTGTAGGATAGTTCTCTACCCTTGTTATTTCAGCCACTCAAAATTCGCAACATTCAGTTCAAGAATCGGATCTTTGTGGTACGTTCACAGGCCCAAGTTGTCGCATTAGTTTATGACGACTCATAATTCGAGCCGTCTTGTATTTTCACATACAGTCTCCCATGGCTCAGTGGAGCTCTGATAATGGACACGCCACCGACTGGCATCTTGTTCACTATGGCGTACGTTTCTCCTCGTCTGCGTAGGCTGAGTCACAGACTCTGATCGACCGTCGTCTAACATGCAGGGCCTTGCCACTCGTGGAGTAGGCGCAATATGCATAGAAGCTACGGCAGTACTTCCGGAGGGCCGTGGATCCGCTCCGGATGCGGTAATTAGACTCCTTCGTCTGGTATACATCCTACCTAACATGATCATAAACAGGGCATCTGGACCGACTCACATATAGAACCTCTCAAAAGAATCGTCGATTTCGCTCATGCACATGGGACTGTCATCGGTGTGCAATTAGTGCACTCAGGAAGGAAAGGGTCTGGGTACAGTCCGTGGGTGTATAAGACGGCTGTAAGACCACAGCGACCTGTGAACTATACTGCTGGAGCCGATGATGGAGGTTGGCCTGATGATGGTAAATTTCAAACATCTTTGCGCATGCCTTCACTTGAAATAAACGAGAGGGTTCATCACCTGTTCAACCAATAACCTGATCACTTCACTCGTATCTAGTATGGGCACCAAGCGCGATCCAGTTCTCCAAGGGTTATCCATGCCCGAAGGAAATGGATGAAGAACGGATGAAGTACGTCGAGGAAGCGTTTGTAGCTGCTACCAAGCGCTGTGAAGCAGCCGGATGTCAGTAGTTTCTCTCTTATTCGTGTGGCTGTGTGGCTCATACTTCACTCCCAATTCGCTTTTCCAGTCGACTTTGTCGAACTACACGGAGCTCATGGCTATCTGCTGCACGAATTCTGCTCACCACTATCCAATCTCAGAGAAGATGAATATGGCGGTACACTCGAGAACCGCTTGCGATACCCTCTTCAAATCGTTGAACGCTGCCGCGAAGTTTGGCCGTCCACAAAGCCTCTGTTCTATCGACTGAGCGCCACGGACTGGTCTGAAGGACACGAGAAAGACGAGCAAGGCAGTTGGAAGCAGTGGGGTATCGAACAGAGCATCATTTTGTCTGGCGAGCTGAAGAAGCGAGGAGTAGACTTGATTGATGTCTCGACCGGAGGTCTTTGGTCGAAACAAAAGATCCCCGTCGCTCCGGGGTATCAGGTCGGTCGTCGCATCCAGGATATTCGGAACGAACGAGGCACTTCTGATATCGAGTTTGTTGCAGGTGCAGTTCGCGGAGGCCATCAAGAAAGCTCATCCCGATGTTATCGTCGGTGCTGTCGGTCTCATAGACACGCCGCAATATGCGGAGCAGGTCCTCGAGTCTCATCAAGCGGACGTTATTTTCCTGGGACGGCCGTTTCTTAGGAATCCACATTGGGCCATTCAGGCGGCGGAAGATCTGGGTGTGGCCGTGAAGCCGGCAAATCAGTACGAGAGGGGGTGGCCGACGATACGCGCTCCGATGATTTCTGTTGACCATCATGATTGTTTGAAAAGGTAGAGGATATCGTCCGGTCGCTGTTTATCACCTATCTTGTGCACTCGATTGTCCATAGAGCTCGATCACCACTCGTATGTTGAATCGCACCTAATACAAATGTCTTTGTAGAACAAATGGCGACTTGAACCCCGTCTTTGTTTGCCTAAGCATCTGCCCAGATCTCCTTCGACGTCTGCACGAGCAAGGAGAGCTTCTTCGCCATGTCCGTCGGGGAGACATTGCATCCAATCGCACTCGAAGCAAAACCGCACTGCGGAGAGATGCAAATCCTGAAAGACGTACCCATCGTCCATCAGTTCCAGATTCTTTGGGCATATGGATGGGTGGGATGCCACAGTATGAGTCTGGGAAGCGCAGGTGGACTTACTGCTGAAGAGCGTCTTCGAACGAGCGAGGTTCTGTTCCGCTAGCGATAATAGATGCGGCTTCGTGAACACGGGCTTTGAGGTCCTCCTTATCCTCGAGCTAAATAGTTAGCAAGAAAACGAAAATGAGTTCAGGCACGTATGCATAATGCGAATCCAGGAAGCATCGGCGAGTCTAGGGTATGTCCTAACCTCAGGATACTTCGTCGTGATGAGGCCAAGGATGACGACCTTGCCTTTGGGCAGATGTCTCAGAGGTTCGAACGTTCCCGATTTGCCATCGTCATACTCGAGCTAAACTCAAAGACGGCAGTCAGGGTAGACCATCCAATGAGAAGAATGGAAATGGCGCACATAATAGCAATCCAAAGGAAGCTCGTTGAATAATCTGATGGCGATTATTTCGTACCCACCCTCACTGACATATTTTCTCTCCTAAGAGCGTGCGATACGATAACATCAGCTCTACACAGTTCGCTCGGGACACCATACAACATAATCGTGCAAGGAAGGATGACGGACGATGTAGTGTCAAACTTAAAAGATCACTCACTCTGAAGTTTCCCCGACAAAGATGCATCCCGATGTTCATATCCTGTGGTCTGTCCTTCAGGATGTTTTGGTACGTTTGAAAGTAGGTGTTCAGGACGTTTTCGGGATTGACGCCGCGGGCTTTCATGCCGCTGAGGACAGACTCGGCGCAGAAGTAGGGAAGCAATGGATCGTCAAATTGGATGTTTCCTTGAGTATGAGAATACAGACAGGACGGGATGCAACTATTAGTCACACTGTAGCTCTTGGATATAGAGCTGAAGTAGAGGGACGACTTACGACAACCAAGCGAGTAGAGTTCTTGAATTTCTTCCCGGTACGCAACCGTGATATCGGCGAAGTATTCTTCTACGAAATATAGACCGATAAATTGAGTTCCCGTCGGGTCATGTCATTATTGTACGAGAACGGGAACAGACTGCTACTGACCGTCATTGGCGTATACGTCCTTGGGGTAGGAATATTCTCCATGGCGAAGATGAAAGAACTCAGGAGCGCACATCGTGATTTTGATGTTCTTATGGGTCTACGAGTGCCAGTGATAAATCAAACACACACCACATCCAAGAGTCATGGTCAGCATGATCAGCTTTGGCTCAGCAGTGGTTACAATGATCAGAAGAATGTATTTCTCACGCACTTCTGGACTGGTAATAGTCTTCAGATATTCGAATTGATCTTTATAAAACGACTTCGTCCTGCGCAGCTTTCCCTAGTGATGCACGACTCAATAAAGAGTCGTCGAGCACACGAACCAGGGCGTACTTCGCAGAACAGTGACGGAAATCCGGCAGCACCAGACGCCGTAACCCTGTCCTTGATTGCTTGGTTCACTGGCACATAGGGCTATATAGGAATCCGCCGGCGGCGGCGTAGGCGAAGAAGTCAGCTTTCGCTTTTTGCTCTCCGTCAGTTATCAAATATGTATGGTGGCAGGCACTTACCATGAACCAGTCGAGAGGTGCTAGACGGTTATAACAAGGAAAAGCATGGCCAGCATTCGTCAATTGAAGCAAAGTTTTCAAGAGAGACAGCGTAAAGGCAAGGCATAAGTACGTACCTTGCGGGTGAAATTTCATTCCCTCGAGCGTGTCAAATACGCCATCGAAGAAAAGAAACTGGAACGGTGCGGTAAGTAATTTCAATTAGCCGCTACTTCGAGAGTGGCATCCAAGTTCAACTGACCCTCCTAAATTCACCGTCCGTGATCCCCCTAATCCCAACCTCCCGCTGCATCTCCACAATCTCCGCGATCGCCTGATCTTCCTCAGCGATCAGCTCTGCCTTGTCGACTTTTCCTTCGTGTAGCTGTCGGCGTTTCTGGAGTAGAGATGGGGGGCGGAGGAGAGAGCCTATGTGATCGGCGCGGAAAGGGGGGTTGATGTGGGTTGGAGGCATTTTAAGTCCGTCGAGTGTGTCAAGTTGGAGAGCTTGAAGAGAAGATGCGAGAAAATAGCGTTAAGAAAGCCTGTGTAAGAACGATGGCCGATGAGGCGAGGAAGCTGTAGAGAACGCCGGGTATATTTCGAGGGGGGTCACTCACGGAGCGCTTTATATGAACTACAGGACCCGCTACCCAGAAAATCAACTTGGAGATGTGGACGCGATATGGAATTACAAGTTGTACTTCCGTGCTTCGAGCCAGTGCCAGGGTGGGGTCACGGTGGACTTCGAAACTCCTGATCGGTGTCATATCGATTATCTCCATAAACTCCGAGCCTTGAACGGGCTTTCCGAGTCTTTCCGAGACGGTGTTATTCGGGTTGTGGGACACGAGCGAGCTTGATTGGATGGGTCTTTGCACATCACTGAGATTGCGATGATAGTAGAGATACTTCTGGACCTGGTATAGGCAGGGTGTGGCGAATATTTATTCGGAAACAATCAGTTCGTTAGCATGAACATAGGATGCTTTTCTTTCAGGTACTATATCAGTGTGGGCTACGCTCCGTCACGGTTTCTCGCAATGCCAGAGCTACTTGATCAGGTGAGGCAACTTACATACCACTTGAATCCACATCTGGCCTTACTGTACAACCAAGCTCTGTCTAGATCATCTCACCGCGCGGCTGACACAGTACTCGAATGCTGAAAGAAGTAGTGGCGAACCTCAAACAGCTTTCAGTTGAGCGTCAACGGCGTTTCTCCACCGTTTCCCTGACCAAGCAACGAACCGTATACGGTGGCCCTACAAAGTATCGTTTCAAGTTCGCCCATGCCAGGTTATTCGAAGCTTCTCTTCCAGAAAGTAGTCAGCAATAGTACCATGACACTACTGACATACGGAACATGGAATATGGATAGCTGTTACTGGAAGGGTTTGAGCCTCCTCCGAGCCGGCAGGTGATCAAAGCGACTTGGGCATTTGAAAGTTCTGTCGACATGGAGGTCGAAGGTGACAAACGGAGAGGTTGAAGAGACTTCTATGCGCTAGAGTCAGAAACAGAAAAACAGTACCCTGACAGCGTTGCTCTTCTTTCCTCTCAGTGCTCGTCTCTCTTCTTCTGAGCAGCGCGTTCATGCTTCGTGCGACCCAGATATTATGCTTCGTGGATGTTACACACTATGCAGTGAAAAGTCCAAGATACGCACGAAAGAATTAGGCATCGCATGTCGAGCAACAGACTCGTAACCTATGTGTCCAAAAATACGGAAAGAATCGGCGAAATGTTACAGAGACTTGATTCCGGGATCTCGAAACCTGTCTTGGGCATCCCTAAACTGACCACAGTCATTAAAGGTCATGGTAATAGGTCAAAGGTAACGGATAGCGTTTCAAGTCTCCGATGAAAGTCGTGCCCGCCCCCGCCACTCAGATTATACCTTAGGCCTCAGCGTCAGCCCTGATCTCCATGACCCCGTCTCATGAGCATACCTGGACCAAAAATTGCCCCTCTATCTCCACAAATCGCTCAGACCCTGGCGCTGACCCGCCCCCGTAGCAGGATCGTACGTCATAGACGGTTTCGAGGGTCCTATAGCGAGACGAGAAAAGAGTTTGTATTGACCTTCAGAGCGAACTTGGAGCGAAAAGTACACATGGTAACAATCATGTCGCGTGAAGACCGTCTGGGCATCACTACACGAGGAAAGTCTATCGACAGAGCCATGCAGGCCGTTAACATATTCAGTATGTCGATAGCTCGAAGTCGACGAGCTTGTGAAGATTAGGATGGCCATTGCCGTGGTGCACACGTACAGCCTCGTCGACAAGGTACGCGAGACGGTCCAGACGATCGTGCAGCCGAGCAAAGCTGGGATTATTGCTTTCTATCAAGATGAAGGCGACCGCCATGGGAGATAAACTCGATAAAAATCCCGTGAACCTGATGGCCCTTGACGGGCAAGCCATGCCGAGTGTGAAATCATTTAACGAGCAAAGTTCATCGTCCGCTGCATCGAGGAGAACTGAGACAGATACGAGCACAAGGGTGGAGGAAGCTAGGCTGAAGAAGGACTGAGGAGGACGGCGGCGGCGGCGGCGGAGGGCCCGGCGCGCCTTCCTGCGGACGGAGCCAAAGCGCGGGATGTCGATACTGAAATTATGGAAACGACGATCGGTCGTTGAAGCACCTCGAAACCGTCTCTTCCTTCTCTCCACCACCTTCTCCTCCTCCTCCCTCTCCTCCCCTCCTCCTCCGTCCCGGTTTAAAAGCATTTAGTCCCTCATTATCACCCTCATTTTCTCTCTCGTTATCCCCACAGTCTCTACTGAACGATGGCTCCCCCCGCCATCACCCTCGTCGCTACCGTCCTCGCGACCACCTCTCTCGTCGCGGGCCATGCCAGTCCGTCTCCATTCTTCACTTTTTACTTTAATTTACTTTGTTTTGTTGACGTGTGATACGGTCTGGTACAGGCATCTGGCACAACAGTGCATTCGGTTTCAACGAAAGCACGGCCCCGAACCGTCTCCTCGACCCTCTCATGGCCATGAATTTCGATGAATGGTGGTTCGTGAGTACCATTTCATCTTCTTCCTATACTCCGTATCATTCCGCTCACATTTGGTGTTGTACCATAGCACGGTCACCTCGACAAACCTCCCAACGATGGCGACTTTATGGAACTTCCAGCCGGTGGAACCGTCCACTCTGAAATCGCATGCGACAAGGGATACACATCCTGGTACAACTCCTCTGACGGAGGCGACATTCGTTCGACTGACCAGCCAGACTATCCCTGCCCTGGGTACGTCTTTCATCTCACCCACATTCAAAGCGTCACAAGAGACTAACATTCGCTTGGGTTCATACTCTTCCAGTCAAGACCTCTCCGAGTTCCACACAACAGGCATCGACGACCTCGGTGGCTGCGCCCTCGCCATCGCCTACGAATCCGACGCGACCGCCGTCAAGCCCGAAGATTTCGCCATTTTCAGCGTGAACCAGACCTGTGTGTGGACGCTGCATACCGATTTCCAGGTTCCGGCTGCGATGCCAGCTTGCCCGGAGGGAGGATGTACTTGTGCTTGGTTTTGGATCCATACGGTGCGTGCTGCTATGGGGACGGAGTGCTTTCCTTGTGTTGTTATATGGGGCTGACTGGAATGGTATGTGTGTAGCCCGATTCGGGTGCGGAGCAAAGTACGTTCCGATCGTTCTACGTCGACACCCTATTCGAGTAACTAACCTTCCGTTTGCGGTTCCAGTGTACATGACCGGTACGCCAACACTTCCATTTACTTCCGCCAAGTCCGGAGTCCAGCATACCTAACGATTCTTCGAACCATCATTAGGCTTCAAATGTCAAGTCACAGGCGCGTCGTCCACCACGCCCATTGCGACTCCTCAACTCGCCCGTCGGTACGTTCGTTTTCGTTCGTGCCAAACCGTAGAACTTTGTCCTGATTGTTCCTTCTCATCTGGTGTTGCTCACTCAATCAATCAATGAACGATCAGTTGCGGTGCGGACCCCTCGCTCGGCCGTGCGGAGGCTACGCCCAGTAACTGCACGTATGGTGCTAAGCAGGTTCGTCTACCCCAGTACCAGTCTCATAATTTAGAATGCGCATGCTTATGCTCTTTTTCGTATAGCCTTTCTACTGGTACCAAAATGAGGGCAATACCGTACGTTTGTCTACCTTTCCTCTCTCAATTCACTTTATCCATGCCCCCGGCCTGACCTATCAAACCTCGTATCAAAACAGTTCTTCGAAGACACCTACCACCCTCCTCTGTACACCGACCTCTACAACTTCCTCGACGGTGCTCAGGATGATATCTTCGAAGGCGCGGCGACGACCACCGGCTCGTTCTCCACTGCTTCTGTTTCCTCTACGGACTCGGCATCGTACAGCGCTACGGACTCGGCATCGTACAGTGCTACGGATTCAGGATCGTACAGTGCCACCGACTCGTACAGCGCCACCGACTCATCGTCCTACTACTCCTCCACCGCGGACTCGTCATCGTACTACACTCCGTCCGACACCTCGACCTACGTCGCTCCTTCGTCCACATACACCCCTCCCGCCTCTTCTTCCCCAGCCTACACTCCCCCCGCCGACACCTCTTCCTCCGAAATAGCGTCTTCCTCCCCGGCGTACACTCCCCCTGCCTCCTCCTCCCCAGCCTACACATACACGCCTCCCGCAGACACCTCGTCGGCCGCCGCCTCCACCACCGACGCCCCCTCCGCCGCCCCAACTTCCTCCTCCCCAGCCTACACTCCCCCCTCCCGTCCCTCCTCCGGCGTCTCCAAGCGCTGGAACCCCTCCGCGCAACCCACATCTCCCGCTATGGCACGTTACCTGCATAGCCGTAGTAGACATGCAAGGATGAGCGGTGGGGATACGTGGGGCAGCTGGGGGAGTAGGAGGGGGTTCTCGGAGAGTGAGGAGGAGGAGGTGGAGGTTTAGGTTTAGGTGGGTTAGGTTGATCCGCTCGCCGGTGCTGTTGATATACCCTTCTTTCGTTCACCGCCTGTTTGTTGTATGGCTTGGTGGTTTTCCCGTCCGGTTTGCTTCGTTGCTATTTCGTTTCTGGGATGTGATCGATCGCTGTTGTTCGTTGTGCGTTCATAGTGTAGGCCAGGCGCGTTCCCTTTTCTCTTTCTACCTTGAATCCTACGTTTTAGTTTTTGCGTCGGTTCGCCGCATCTTTATTCGCTCTTCGTCTTTCGCACCTGTCTTTGCTCTTTGCTCTTTCTACCTTCCAGATGCTCTATATTGCGTGTCGCACTACTCCGCCCGGTCGGAGCCCGGTGCCAGTACTTACGCGGAAGTACGATAACTAACAGACATACTTACATCTATTCCAGACATAAGTAAACATACACATTACATACCCCACTCTCTTGTTACGGGTTACATACGGTTCGTTTTGCAAGGTGTGAGATGGGAGAGGCGAGATGTGGGACGCTTGATGCGTCTTGATTTCAGCATGTCGTAGTGTTCCGATCGTGCATGTCTCAGTCCCAGCCAGGTTGCAACTATTGTAAGCTTTATTTGCGACGTGGAAGGATCTGAGGATTACTATTAACCTGAGAGCGGTGTGTGGCCCGCGGACATGAGTGCGCCACCCATTGAGGAGATGTGCTATTTTTAGCCTGACCATTGACGGTGAACATCCACGTGCTTTCGACGTGTCGCGTCTCTGTTCAATTTGCTCTTTTCTTTCACAAGTTACCTTGCTTCAAGGTCCTTCGCACCCCCGTAACCTGCAAATCCGTTGCCAAAAATAAACAAGTACAAACAAATAATGTGGCGCGGCGCCACATTACGTGGTGTTCGCGGTGCCTTTGCACGAAGTACTTTTTACTACTCGATTCGCAGCAAATTCACAGTTTCGACTCCGCAAGCAAAGCGTATTTACGCATCGTACAATGCTTTGTCTCTAAGTTGAGCGATTGGAAAACTACACACGCTGGACACAGTGGTATGAACCTCTCTCAGGAACGAAGTGTCGAAGCAGCACAAAAGCAGTACGTCGCAGAAATGGGCATGAGACCTCCTGTCGGAAGAGAAATGGACACATGATGAGAGAGAAACGAGCGAGATATAGTACAATCGGTGTCAAAGGCAGCAGCTGTTATTGAAGTTGAAAGACAGCTCTTGACGATGGAACGCACGGGCGACGAGAGACTTATGTCAATTTGGGTCCTGGACACAATAAAAAATCGAGTAAAATAATGAGAAGATCAAGTGGCGTGAGGAGAAGTTTGTCGAAGATTGTTTACGGACAGATAATAAGTAGTAAGTAGGTCGGCGGCACTTTCTAGAAAACAGTCTCGTCTATTCAGTCTGACAGCTTTGGCAGACGAATGGCAGGCCTGCCCTGGCGTGAGGAGAAGTTTGTCGAAGATTGTTTACGGACAGATAATAAGTAGTAAGTAGGTCGGCGGCACTTTCTAGAAAACAGTCTCGTCTATTCAGTCTGACAGCTTTGGCAGACGAATGGCAGGCCTGCCCCGCCCAGCAGTCACAGTCGAGGCAGTTGTTACAGATGAAATACAGGGTTCGGCAATGAAACGCAACGACGAAAGACGGTAAGATGGACATTGATGAGATTTCCCATAAAGAGTGAAGGAGGGAAGTCTGGTTGCCCGGAGTGACACCAAGGAAAACCGTGCTATTTCGAGTGAGTGGAGGAGAAACTCAAGGAGCCCCGAGAGCAAACAAGGCTGTCACTGTTGATGGTAAGGTAACAGCCTGAGGGCACTCTCGTCTGTGAGAGAAATGGCCTCCCGGGCACGGCGGTAGAGAACATTCATATGGGCCCCGAGTTGTGGAATGCCGCGATGATATTGTAAGACCTGTGGGCCTCCCGTCCAGAAGTGGCGTCGGCCCGCTACTGAGATATAGTACAGTCCGGGTCAAAGGAGGCAGCTGGTCTTGAAGAAAGAGAAGTCTTGACGGTGGAACGCGTGGGCGACGAGACTTATGTCAATTTGTCCGGGACACGATGAAAAATCGAGTGAATTGGCGAGAAGATCAGGTAGCGCGAGGAGAAAGTTGTCGGAAAGGAGGAAAGTCAGGTTGACCGGAGTGACACCAAGAAAGACCGTGCTATTTCAAACGAGTGGAGGACGACCTCAAGTAGCCCCGAGAGAGAGAGAAAAGCTGTCGATGGTAAGGGAACAAGGCATTCTCGCCTGTGGGAGAAATGGCCTCCCGGCGGGCACGGCGATAGAGAACGTTAATATGGGCCCCGAGTTGTTGAATGTTGCGATGACAAAAAGACATGTGGGCTCTCGTCCAAAAGTGTCGTCGGCCCGCTACGGACCCTCCCCAGCAAGGTTGCTGCTGCCGCAGGTAGCGCTCCCCCAGTTCATCTGCAGAGCTCAAAGTCGTATATACACCCATTGGCCTTGTCGTCGGTTACGCTGATTCTTGCTCTTGGAATATCTGACCTAGCCGGTGACCTATGTTAATAAACGACACCCACCACCAGCCTCGAGCGCTCTCACCGGCGCTACTAAAACCTTAACTTGAAAACTATGCTCCCCTCGCTCTCGGGTCTTATGTACCTCCCCTTAGGATCCCTCAGTCTCGTCTCTATTCTCATCTAGCCTCATCTTCTGAAATCCCCTCGAGCCCGGAGACCCGTCCGCACGAGTTCTCTCCGTCTTCTGTGCTCTCGAGACGCCTTACTTATACCCAGAGTCCACACGACCATGACGAACGTGCGACGTATTATACGTGCTATGATAGGTCCTTCGCTGGTCCGCTAGCGTTCCAACACTCGTCTCTAGGAAAAAATGCCGACGAACGAGCGCGTAGCCCATGCGTCGTGACTTCGTCCCCGGCGCAAAGCTGGACCCTGGTCATGGTGTCCTCGCGGGTCTTGAGCCAAGTCGAGTCTTGACAGGTAGTATGCGCCCATATGTGCACAAAGCGCGGTCGGCACTGGGTATCATTTATAATTCTCCGAGGCCTATGGCATTTGTTGAGAGGGCCCGGGATGTTATACACATGGCGCAACGACGTCGAGGGAATCGTGGCCTGGAATGATGATTCAAAATGAAAAATTAGGGGAGGGAACGGGATAAGTATATATATCGTATAAAGCTTGGTGGTCCAGGGGGTTATTTTCTGAAGCAGCCAGTGCTGTATCAAGATCAAGATCGTCCTTGCTCTTCCAGGCGATCCCGATCCATTGATTCAGAGGCCACTGAAGACGATGTTGTCTTTCCAGAGGCTTGCATTCCTCCTGGCCACTGCGATCAGCCTTGGGAGCACGGCATGGGCGACACCCCTCGCCTCGAGCTCACAAGCGTCGCTAGTGTCATCGCGCTCGGAACCGGACCCCTCGTTTGCTGTGTCCGTAGAGCTGGGAGGAGTGACTTATGTGAATAAAGTGTGTGTTCTTCTTTGCTCTGTCGAGCTGTTCAGCTTGCTCGCGTGGAGTTTGGTAGTGACTGACCAGTACTGTCCATAGGGACTGGTGGCGTTCGGGCTCATCCCGTCTGATTTTGTCGATTCTACCGGTTAGTTTTCCCCTGCCTCCGTCCATGCTTTCGGCTCCAGCAACCTAACTGTGTTCACATGTCTTTTCTGGATGAGCAGGAGACACGATGGGGGGCTTCGGAAGCGCTATTGCCCTTCAGGCTTTCTCTAAATCATCCAGTGGCGACAGATCAGACTCGGAATCGTTCACGGGAACGCTCGTTGTTCAGCCTGATCGTGGTTTCAATGTGTACGTATTTCGCCCTACTTCCCCACCCTTCCCCAACTTAACCTACTCACCAACTGACCCACTCACCTTCTCGCAGCGACGGAACTATAAACTACCAAGCCCGGCAACACACCCTCGCCTTCACCCTCACTCCCTACTACGACCCCGCCGACCTCTCGTTCTCAGACGCCCAGTCCACCCTGCAACTCACTTACCTCAAAACTCTGCTGTATACTGAACGAGAGGATAAGAATACGACGGGGCTGGATGCGTTGGGGGTGAGGCCTGCTGGGAGTGGCGAGACCGGGGGAGAGGGAGAGGATCCGGTGTTGCCGATTGCGAGTGAGGTGGACGATAGGCTGAGCTTGGATTGTGAGGGGTTGGTTTCGGAGCGGGATGGGACGTGAGTTCGCTCCTTTGTCCATTTCATTGCGCATATTATTTTAGTTGATATGGCTCCCATATTTCCGAAACGTCACCGTCATGCTAACCGGCATCCTCACCTTCGTACCCACCTTCACCTCTACTTCCACCTCTTATCCCAACAGATTCTGGATGTCCGACGAATACGGCCCCTACATCTACAAATTCTCCTCCTCCGGCTCGCTCATCAAAGCCATCCAACCTTCGGCCGCAATTTTACCCCTGGACAAAAAGGGGAATGTGAATTTTACGTCGGCGGTGGACCCGAAGACGGGGAGGGCCGTGAATCAGGGTGTGTTCCTCTTCTTTCTCAAGCTTCAATTTTGTACTACTTGGGCCACACCTTCATTCGTGCCACTCAGCCCCTATTCTTCATCCTCGCTATTTAGCATTTCTTTCGCCATCGTGAGCACCCATTGGATAAAGGAAGCTGACTTCTCCATATTGTCTATTTGCCTGCCCGTAGGCTTTGAAGGCCTCACGACCGACTCCTCGCACAACACACTCTACGCCCTCCTCCAATCCGCTACGATCCAAGACGGAGGCGACGACGACATGACGTCAAGATACACACGACTCGTCGCATTCGACGTGTCCTCCTCCTCCACCGCCTCTTCTTTCACCGCCGCAAACGTCACATCTTCCAGAAGCGAGACGGCGACAGGGACGGTGACGGGCGAATGGGTCGTCCCGCTGCCGACGTCGAAGAAGGGCAAGACGCGGGCGGCGAGCGAGCTGCATTATGTGAGCGAGGGGGTGTTTTTTGTGCTTTCGAGGGATGGGAAGGGACATGGGGATGATGACGACGATGCGTCTTATAAGTGCGTGAGGCATTTTACAACCCATCCAATCTGTGGCCGACTGACACTTGCACGCACCACGTATCCATTCTGACCGATCTCTGACGGTTTTGGGGTTTGGTTTACGCTGGTAGGCAGGCGGACCTGATCTCTCTGGCTAACGCCACCGACATCCATGGCTCTAAATTCGACGATCCGGCCAACCCGATCGCGGACGATGGAAAGTTGGATAAGAGCATTGTACCGGCGACGTATGTGAGCTTCGTGGATTATCTGGACGACGTGCAGTTGGCTAGGTTTGGGCTCCATAACGGTACGTTCCATTTTTCTTAGCACTTTTCTTTATGTTTGTCCGACAAGGTGGTGTGCTGACGCGGTTGGTCGACATCTGATGTGTTTGCATCTCCAGGCGATCCATCGGATCAAACGCTCATCAATGCGAAATGGGAGTCGCTCGCGTTGGCTTCATGTCAGGACGAGGCCTTCCCAGATGATTATTTCTTATTTACCGTTGTATGTACCCCTTCCCTTGCCCATCTTTCTGCTTCTCCCTCCTCCCGCTACCTTTCCTCTCTTTCCTTCATTCGACCTTCCACCCAAACCTCACCTCCCCGCATACTACTTGTTACTCTTAATATCATACTGATGCTTCTCTGACATATGCTCCACAGTCCGACAACGACTTCATAACGACGAACGGGACCTCGCTCGGCCAGCCGTACGACGCTGGGCTGGACAACGATAATCAGTTTTTGGTGTTCAGGGTTACGTTACCTGGGGCGGCGCTGGGGGATTTACCAGCGATCTGAGGGTTGGCGGGGTGTAAGCTCGTGAATTGTAGACTGTACATTTGCTGCGCATAGTCTGAAGTATATTCAGCTCCTTGTCACTAGGTTCGCATTCTGATCGTGGGCGAGTTGATTCAGTCATGTCGGGAAGGCGCTGAGGTGAAAAACGTTTATGGATGGCTCTCCCTCTACTAGCACACATGTTCAGATCTACCGTGCGCATTGAATTATTCTCGACTTCGAGCTCCACAGCGCATACGCTTGCTTACGAGTCAAAAGTCCATGTGGGAGGGGCACGCGAACGTTTACCTTTGAATGGGACCTCTTCACCTCGTCAGGTTCACTGCCGCGGCACCTTCCCGACCTCACCTGTGGGACTGACGACCTCAAAACAAAACAATGTCTGTACGAACAATCATGGAACTGCCCCATCCAGGCTCGAACTGGAGACCTTCCGATGTGGCAACACATTGTGTAATAACAGTCGGACGCTTTGACCAACTTAGCCATGGGGCAGACATTTTTCCTTCCTTCTGTTTTACCGAATATAGAATCCGGCAAGTACCGAGAATTTCAAGGAGCTGAAAATCTCTCTCGTTCTCCCGCATGCTACAGAGCGCATAACATTACACCGCATTTTCGTAGCACAGTTCCCATACACAATATCACAATCTCATAAGAGACTGCCTCGTGAAAATGCACCATGGGCGAGATACAAAAAGGTGGAAAATAATATACTTCTCGGTCTCTGCCGATTCGATATTCATCGAATACCGAGGATACGGCGAAGATGCGGCCAAGCGTTCAGTCACGACAAGATGAAGAGCTCCGAGGTGCCACGATCCGGTGAGGAAGAAATCGTTCAAAGGTGTGTCAGTATTCGCTGCTCATATAACCTCCGACTCCTTCTCTCGAGTCCAAGGGTGACTCAGGCGGGAGGGGCGCTGACTCTTCTCCCTCACATCAAATTTTTTGAACGTCATGATATGTGGCCTGCGACCTTCGTGGCAATTAATTATTCGTACAGTCATGCAAGGTATTCATCTGGTAAATAAGTGCCACCGCCGCCCAGTCTGCCATGAGAGCTATCGTACACCGTCGTGCGTCTCTGCTATACACGCTCGACCATCCTCCCGGTCCAAGAAAACTATGATACAGAGCCTCCCTCCAGGCCTAGCAGTCATCACAATCGTATCACACCCCGCAACTTCGACCGCCATAACACAAGAGCCCTCTGTCTCTCAAACAACATACCTGAACCCTCTCGCGAAATCATGTTCTTCCACAACATTCATGACCTCGCCCTTTGGCGGCCGCCCACCTTCAACCCTGTCCCTCCTTGCGTTCTCGAGCCTGTAGTACAGCGACATGCCCATAGCAATAAAGATGCCGAGGGCATTGAAGGCGATGTTAAGTGAGATTCCTTTGATATAACGTGGTTCTTCGGAGTCCGGGAAGGAGAACGAGGCAAGAATGGAGAGACATTGGCCTGATGAACGAACGGTGTCAGTACGGAGAGTAGTATCGTGGTTATAGGGGAGTAAAGTGCTCGGGAAGGAGAAAACAGCGACATACCGACTGAGTTGAGCATCCCAAGGGAAACCGCACGCTGGCTCTGGCTTCCGGTGTTGTTTGACTGCCAGCTCATGATCCTGTTCGGGGGAGAACCGAGATATTAGCTCGATCCGGCACTGTTCTGAACAAGCGGGGAAAAGAACGTACAATGGAATATTGTTGTATCCCCCAATGACGATACAGATGCACGCAAAGTACCGCACACGATTATCCGTCAGCTCAAGGAGCAAGATAAGCCATCCAACAATTGAGATGACGAAGACGCCAGCAACGAAGGGTCCTCTTGACTTTGCGCGGTCGGAGAAGTAGGAGATGAGGTACATGGTGACAAATGCGACGGCGTATGGTGGGACGGTGAACAGTTGAGCAGCGGCATCAGTGTGTCCGAGTCTATGAATAACACAACGCATTAGCATTCAAGCAGGTAGGCTATTTTTAGGGAAGAAGAGCGGGGGAAATAGCGTAGAGATACACACCCTTTGATAATTGTTGGCAAGAAACCTGTGACGCTCCCCAACGTCAAGTTCATCGCGCTATACATGATGGACACGACATAGGTCTTCCAGTCCGTCAATGCCCGCTTAACACCATTCCAATCGATACCAGTATGGCCCTCTCCAAGCGAATCGGCATTGAGGCGCGTGTGGACCACTGTCCGTTCGTCTTCGGTTATGTAGTTGGACTTATCGGGCCGCGAAGGAAGGAAGAAAAAGATGCAGATGGCGAGGATGATTGAGGGGCAGCCTTCGATCAAGAAGAGGATGCGCCAGTTAGCGATGGAGGATTTGATCTGGGAGGTCCCATAGGCGATCAAGCCACCGAATCTGCAAATCATATCAGTGTCAGTATGTCTTCCAAAGCCTTCACTGCGGGAAGAGTACATACGCTCCGGAGAGCACACCAGCTCCGATGAAGAGAGCAAGTCGCTTGGAAATTTCGTCCTTCTTGTACCACAGCGAGTAATGGAAAGTGACAGCCTGACCGAAGAGTGCTTCACCGATTCCGACGAACAGGCGACATGTGATGACAGCTCCAAAACTTTGGGCACCGGCCATACCAGTCGCGGCAATGGACCAGATGAGAGCTCCGAGGGCGATAGAGTAGGAGGGGAGGATAGCTTTGGCGAGGAGAGTGCCCGGAATAGAGAGGGAGATGCTGTATCATGACGGAGGACATGGTCAGTAAATGATGGAATTGCGATATAATGAATGAAGCATGACGGGCGGATAAGAAATTGGACGCATGGCAGGCAGCGGGCGACGACCATTCGATTCGCAGAAAATGTCGTGCAACAATTTCGGGTCCTTTACGTGACGCAGAAATCGCTGGGGCAGGTATAAATCGACACGGAGGTTACTCACTAAGTGACATAGAATACTGCATGAACGCACAAATAGAATGAGCATCCTACTCTATGGAAGTACACCAGCAAAATCTGAAACTCACTGCAGAGCACGACGGAGTACTTCGTGTCGCTGCTATCCAATAGCCCGGCGTAAAGTCCCTGCAACTTCGCGTTTCCCAAATTACCTCGGTCCAAATAAGCGCTCAGATAGAGGAGCGCCGTAAGAGGGAGAATGACACGGTCGAGCTTGAAGAGGATCCGACGTTCCTCCTTCGCCGTAGCCCTGACGTGCTGCAAGCCAGTCTCGGATGCCGCATACCCCGTGGATGCCTTCTCTGGGTCTGCAGTCGTCGTAGATGTCGTTTCAAAGCGAACATCGGTCATCTTTTCTTCCTCTAGGACGTTTGGGGCGGACATGACGGGCAACTTTTGGGAAGGGGGGAGCGGCGGCGGAGGAAGGGGGTGGAGGTGGATGGAGGACAGAAAGTCAAAAGCTCAAAATAGGCAGACTAGCAAGTCTTTATACCTCTCTGCTAGCGAGCTATCGGGATTGCGCGCTATATGAGATGAGGCATGATGCGGCGTCCAGGGACGGCGCAGAGGAAATGATCATTCCTCTATGTGGAACTTCCGGTGCGGTGGTGGGGTGGATGTGGTCCCGTGGGGTCGGGATATTACAGCACGCGTATTGGGCCGCAGTATACGAATAAACTCTGGTGGAATGCAAATTCAAAGCAGCACTCTATCCAATCCGCGCAAGAGGATTGACCGTCCGGACTTTCAGCGAGCTCACTGTGGGGCGGAGTCTCGTCCGCTGTCACAATATGAAAGATCGAGAGGGACAAGGTCCAGGGTGAGGTTGCCTAGCTTTATCGAAAATTCAGAATGTCTTTTGTGGTCACGTCTGTCAGCATTGGCCACACCTACAAGGTGGCCCATAAGTCTATTAGTAGGATTATAATAGGGCAAGCGAGAGGACAAGTGAAGGAAGGTCATGTTGCGGCCGTCCGGACTTCGCGGATGTTCAAATGATGGAAATGGTCGGCATATCGATCTTGTCCGGAGACCGGCAGCCGCACGCCGTTCGCCACCGCCACAATTGTCTCTACTTAAGCTTCAAATTTCCTGGATAGAGTCAATAAGGGTCGCTTCAAGGCGAGGACCATCCACAAAGCATGAAAATAAATCCGCATCCACAGACCCCCATGCACTTACCGTCGTCTTGTCCTTGTCTTGTCCTGAGCCAATGCGACGACCTGCAATCGCAATTCGATATCCCCAGATATCCCCGCAGGTTTCCCCACCGGCTATGCTATCTTCCACAATGGGGGCGGGGAAATTTACGTAGTCGATCGTCGTCGACCGCGTCAACGATAACCCACTCTATCACAAGGTTGCCCCGGTCCCGCTTTCCCTGTTCAAAGCATCGATGGGCGACAGGCAGAGCTGAGACGCATAATCATTTGCAGGTTATGGCAAAAGTTATTGTATGAACAAATTGATGCATTGGAGACATAGCACGACTGCAACAATCAATGAGAGGGTATTAAGCGAGTTTTGAAGTACAAATAAACAGCAATGTCCGTGACACACCAACTACAACATCTACAGCTACGTTCTCATCTCCGCCTCGCACAGCAACAAACGCACTCAATCCAAGGTCGATTGCTAGACTACTAACAGTTTTAAGACCCAAAATAAACAAAAGAAATAAGTAAGAGAAATGTTGTCGTTGGGCTATACTGTTGGCCTCGGAAGGAAGTTGGGCCAGAGTTTGGATGGGGCATTCTCACTCTCCGGGGACAGACGACAAGCAAGGTTTTCCGTACAACGCACCACGTCTGCGACTTAGAGAGCATTGGCAGCCTTGATGATGTCTGCAGCGCGCTCGGCGAGGATGTACGTAGGAGCCTGGGTGTGTGCCGATGGAATACTGGAAGAAAGAGAGGAAGGAAAAAACGCATCAGGAAATGCTCAAAGATAGAGGTACAATGGAGCTCTGGAAGGAAATGAGACTTACTATGGCATGGCAGAGGCATCGACGACACGAAGACCAATGGTACCCTTGACCGACAGATCAGGGTTCAAGCATCCATCGGTAGAGTCTGCGGGAGCCATGGAGCAAGACGACGTAGCGTGCCACACCTATATCGTTAGCATAAAAAGCGTAGATTGCAAGTCAGAGGAGTAATAACAACGAAGAGAGAAAAGACGAAGACGTACGGTGGTGGTGTAGTTACGAGCATAAGCCTCGATCGAGGCATCGTCGACGGCATCAGCGAAAGGTCCGTAAGGCTCAAGGAGGTACCCATCAAACGCGGAAGCAGTGGCATATGTCTGCATGGCCTTGATGGCCTCGACCATGCAGAAGATGTCGAAGTCGGAGTTGAGGAGGCCAGGGTCGATCAGAGGCGCAGCGAAGGGGTCAGAGGAGGCGAGCGTGAGGCTACCGCCTGGAGTATGGACAAAGATCAATACCAGAATGGAAAAAACGAAGGAGAATAAGAGTGGTGAAAATAGGACGTACGGGACGCAGGGGTGACAACGTTGCTGAACATGGAGAAGTAGTGACCGGTTGATGGGGTGGGGATGGCGAAGGAGACAAATCCGTCCTATTCGCATTCAACCTAAATGAGTACGACGCGACACGATCTTAACATCGGACAGCCGACTTACGGTGAAGATCAACTCATAGTGGCCAGCAGTAGGACCAGCAGAAGGGTCCTCCTCAGTCTCAAAGATGGATGAGTTGTCGGGAATACGAAGCCATCCGAACTGGTTCGCCGGACCGAGAACAAGCAGGCCCTCCTTTTCGGTCTCCCATTCCTCCATGAGCTCAGCAGCGAGCGTGGCGTTCTGGCCGACGTCGTCGTAGGTAATTTCAGAGTTGGCAACGCTCCAAGAGCTAGAGAGGAGGGGGTGATCCTTAAAAAAGAGAATTGGATGATTATGGATTAGAGCTCAAATCTCGATAGGTTAGAGAAGTTAGGAACGTACCTGCATGTTTTGGCCAACACCGGGGAGATCGACGATGGCCTCAATACCGACGGCACTGAGCTCGGTAGAATTACCGATACCGGAAAGAAGGAGAAGCTGAGGGCTCTGGAAAGCACCCGCACTGAGGATGACCTCCTTCGTTACGTTGAGGGCGTAGCTCGTTGCTGGTGACAAGACAACAATCTATCAGAAACTCGTACAACTGATAACAGATACGATAACAAACCGTCGGCAGAGGTGGCGAACGTGACACCACGGAAGATAGGGGTACCAGTCGAATTGTCAGTACCGGTCTGCGTAACCTTGGTGACCTGGGTATTGAGCAAGATGTCGAGGTTGGACCTTGCGGCGACCGCGGGATGCAGGTACGCTGTCGAAGAGCTGACACGTTGACCGTCCTGAATGGTGTACTGGACCCAGCTGATACCTAGACAAGATAATGACATGAATTTGATGACTTGGTGGAGGACAAGACCGAGCGAAGACAACTTACCGATCATGTCACCGGAGTTGTAGTCCGCGTTGTACGGGAACTCGTCAGAGAGTTCCTGAGAAGCATTGAGCACCATCGCATCTGTTGCCAGAGGATACTCGGGCAGCGAGGTCTGCAAAAGACCGGTCGTGCCCTGTATATTGAGGCCGTCAAATGGAGTTACCATCAGTACGATTGTTACAAATAAATTGATAGCGAGGACTTACATGGACTGCAGGCTCGAGCTTGTCCGTCTCCGTAACGGTGGTCATGTTCTCCATCTATAAATGATGCGGAAAAGTTCGAATTTGTACGGCGAATTTGCGAAAAGTACCAGTGACGAACCTTGAGTATGTAAGGCATGAGAGCATCCCAGGACCACCCATCATCCCCGGTGTAGTTTGCCCATCGGTCGAAATCGTCCTATGTGACCAATGTACCGCAATGGTCAGTGCCGATGGTATTTGATTTTCCTATGTCCCGAAACATTTACCTTGGCACCTGTGAATGGTGATGTTAGCCATGGCAGAAACTCGACGGGATTTCGTATGATTGACGTACCACGAGTGTAAACCATGAAGTTCACGGAAGTCGAACCTATGGGCCGATGATATTATCATCACTGACCGAGACCAAGAACGACTATACTCACCACCAAGGACATGTCCTCGCGCATATGGAACGGTCCTGTCGTAAAGAGCTGCGTGATGCTCAGTCAGAAATCTAACAAGAATTCTAATAACCTGAAGACATACCCTCTTGGGGGATAGTCGTGAAGTTCCAGTCCACCGCGCTGTCAGGCGTCAAGGTGGGACCCTATGCGAGTAAACAAGAAGGGGAAATAGGCATTAGCATCCACCCAAGACCTTCCCCGCGGCGATACCAAATATTTGGGCACGTACGAAGAATGGGATAGACATCGTGAGAAGGCCTTCCGAGCTGTAAAACGAAATGTCAGACTTCTCAGGGACGGAACTAGTCGTTAAATTCCACGCACTCGCCGCCGGCCTCGATGACTAGGACATTTACGCTGGGGTCTTCCGAAAGACGGTTTGCGATGACTCCTCCACCGGCACCAGCTTCACAGAGTCTCAGTGAGTGAATCAATGGACGTGTTGAAAACGGTACTCACATCCAACAACGATATAGTCATAGGTCGTGTTAGATGGCAGTTGAGACGGATCGGAGTAGAGAGCGCCGAGTGTGACTTGAGAGCAGGTTGCCAAAGTGGCGAAGGCGACCAAGCGAGAGAATTGCATGGTTGACGGATAGAAAATGAAGGAGAGACTCTGGTAAGAGGAAAAGAGTGACGAGTTTACAGAAGTTCGACGCCTTTATAACGCCGGTAGTGAAGGAGAGAGAATGTGAGAGGAAGGGAACCCACGGGAGACGTTTCCAGATCGCCGCGTCCACACTAAATATGAGACCGGACTGATAGGCGAGGCGCAGGCACCTTCAACCTAGCGTGACCTTCGTGTTGGCAAAAGGATAATCCCAAGAAGTTACGATTCTGGTGGATCATGCATATGCCATCCTTTCCGAGGGAGGCACAATCAGGCTTCTCCGTCGTAATTGGCGTGACACAAATCCTGATGATGGGCCTGATTTCCCCTCTTCCTACAACGGTGATATAGAACGAGGAGATGGTTCCAGTAAAGAACCTAAACGCAGAGGTTACGGCGCGTAAAAGCTGAACCAGCTAGCAAGGGCACGGACGGCCAGGGCTCCGGCCCCCGGTGTGGACGTGTAGAGGCCAGTGTCCTCCTATATGCCTCTGGCAGCAAAGCCTGAGTGCCCCGAATTTATGAGTCATAAACGCTAGTACGAGGACTAGCATGTTTTATGTCGAGCCCCAAAGCGGCTGCCGAGACGGAGCACGGAGGGTGATGCCCACGGGATACCAAGTGCGAGCTGGATAATCCGACAGACATAAGCCTTGAACGTACCTTGGACGTTACTAGTAGGTCACCATGGTACGGAGCAGACGCGGTCTCGGTACCGACAAACGTTTCTGGATGCCAAAATGTCTAACATCTTGCATAACAACAGGTCAGACATGATTTTCGAGCTAGCCCGAAGGATGGTTGTGAGCAAAATCCGTTGAAAGGAACACTGGGGGAAGTGGCGTCCACGCTGCCAAGGATGTGGTCCGACTTCTCGAATGGTCCAATTAGAAAGCTAGAGAAGATGCTAGTGTCCGTGGTCGCGATTTGCACGGGAACGCAGTCGGGTCGGAATGAGTCTGCTCAGAGAGCACAAACCAGAACATTTCGACTCTGTACGATGAACGGTGAACGTTGAATGTTGAACGTTCACTTCGAGTCATTTCTTGAACATAGAATGACTGCGAGCGGGAAAGCCCGAGCAGCCCGAGGTGCGGCGAAGGTCTGTGGCAACCGCCGTCGGAGCTGCAAAACTTGAAGGCATTTCGGCTTTGCGCGGCCGCCACTGTCTTGCGAACTTTCTGCTTTGCTCTACGACGATATCGCCCTGGGACGCAGAACAGTCAACCAGTTGTCTACTTGTTTTTGTTGCTTCATGCCCCTCGGATCAAAGCTTGGGCCGCTAAACTACACATACGACCCTTGGCTCTGTTTACGGGATTCGATGCGAACGAATCCGACTTCCGACTCTATCCCTCTTCTTCGGTCTCTGAACTTCTTTGAAGCTTGGAACTGAAGGCTCTGGCCATCATGTCTCTTCATGCCTACAATCATGACTGCGTAGGAGACATACACAGTGATACACGAGAGCGTCCCCGAGATAAGGCCGTAACATAGTAACTTAGGACCAGTCTTGACCCTGCCAGTGCCCCTGTGTTCCTGCAGGCCCGCTGGCATGTATTTCGACCAGTCGTCTTAGTGGCTTGGTCATCACCCTGGGGAGGCCCTACACCCACGTATTCTTTTTGGAAACGACTTCACTCGGTCTGACAACCTCTTGCTGACTTCTCCGTTCCGATACACATCCAGATCCACACCTCCCATACGCCCATTCAAAGTTGAGGATTATCACAGACTCCTGCGCTCCTCGAAACATGTTCGCTTCGAACATGCATGCGGGTCTTGCTCAATCCTATCTTCCGGAGGAAGACCAGGATTCCTGGCGTCTCCCTTTGGAAGAAATTACTCATCGGAGATGCCGATTTACACATCCGTTCCTTGGATCTGGCGTTCTGTTCTCGAAAACAAACATATACTTAGCTTGGCTCTTGGGGCGAACGCCATGTGCTTAGACTGTCCACCTACAAAAACTCTCTCGCTCCTTCAACGCCACTTCATTGCCCATACCCTCCTGTCCCCTCAGCCTCGATGTTTACACTTTGCTTTCACTGTCTGCGCTCACAGGTCGTTCTGAGACATTATCCGGATTATGTTCACACCCTCTTCACCAGGCCTCGATACGATACGATGTTCGGCTCCTTACAACGGTTCCCTCCAATATACTTAAAAGCCTTCTGCATGGCTCCCCCTCGCCGTCCCGCTCTCTCCCCAGACCCGGCTGTGTAACTTACCTATCCCGCCCTGGGACTTTCGGCACCTTCTTTCAGAGCTCCAACACTGCTCTGAGTCTGATCTGCTTTGACGCCGCTCACCGAGTGTCCACCGTCACCCCCTTGTGCCTTGCCTTGCATCCGTGCATCTCCATCAAACCTCTCGACTTCGAATTCTCTCAACTTCGCCCTTGTTGCGGAAACACATAACACCGGGACCACGCCTCTACTCGCTATCGTTCCGCTGCCGCAGGCTCTATCTACACTCCGAGGATAGTCTGGTTAACGTTGGAGAAACCGACGGTTGGCAGCACTCGGCATACTCGGGCTTTGTTACCTACGAGACCTCGCGTTTGGCCTGTGGGTTTTGTTTGGACTAGTACTCTCTGCGGTGTATATATGACTAGCTAGAATCCTGACCAAATTTGTTTGGAGTATGTCAGACCTTCTGGGAGTGTAGTACTCGATGTGTGGTTGTCGTGTCCTCTGTACACCTCACACCGCGATCTAGCTCAATCTACCTGGTGCACATTCCTACCAGCCCTCTGGTCTATCGTTCCTGCTCGAGTGGCTCGCCCTCCTGCATGCAACACCGATAACGTCTGTGACGTCGACTGCACCCATTGTAACACTCGAAGCGCTGATATGCATGACGGTACGGTGACCACAAACGAGTCATCTTCGCTCCTGTTTTTCTCTCCTCGACCCTTTCTCAGCCCTTTCTACGGACGCCATGTGCATGAGGAGTTGATCGAAACTACTGATGCGCTGATGTGCTGTCGTCCGTCGGCATCTTGTACGTTGGATTCCTTTGACAGAGCGTTCTCTAGGATGACGCACCATCGGTTCTATCAATTACTTGGTATTCGATACTCTGCGTCAATAGTTCTCTACAGCTCGAAGTCTCGCAGAGAGTCGTAATTGTATGTACGGACAAACGGTTGGTGCAACCACCGGCATGCTCGGGCTCGGGCTTTGTTACCTACGAGACCTTGCGTTTGGCCTGTCGGTTTTGTCTGCCAACTAGTACTCTCTGCGATATATAAGTATACGACCAGCTAGCTCAAATCCTGTCCCAGATCGTCTGGAGCATGTCGGGCCTTCTGGAGGTGTAGTATTGGACGTATGACTGTGTCGGTATCTTCAGGATCTCACAAACAGCTCCATTTAGCTCAGTCTACTTGGTGCGCATCCCTACTAAGTATATAGCACTACTCTGGTCTATCGTGTAGCTTGCGCTTGCCTCTTGTTATCACCTCCGCACCCCACTGATAACGTCGGTGACGTTGTCTGTCAATGCACCCACAGATACCCACAGACGCTGACATGACGATACGGTGACCTCAAATGAGTCCTTTTCGTTCCTGTTTCCCTCTGGTCTCAGCCCTTTTCTCAGCCCTCTCCATTGTTTCTACGTATGTGGGTCCGATAAAGACTACTGATTTGTTGATGTCTTGATGTCAGCAACTTAACAGCTGGACTTTGACAGGGCGCTGGGATAACATGATCATGGATGGCGTCAGGGCTGCAGTTCTATCACTTCACAGGTGTTCGACACTACTATTCTGCTTCAATTGTTTTTACAGACCGAAGTCTCGCAGAAATATGGAGAGTCTGACGTACGTCCACACATATCGTTTCGTTATTGGATTATTCCTGTAGTTCTGGCAGTATGTATGCTCGTGAACCTCACAACATCGTCTGTGATCTACATTCCAAGCCATCACCAATGATAGTTGTTGCATTTGCGAGATCAGTAGACGGACATCTAGACAAGTCCTATGAAACTTATGACGAGTGTGGCGTGCTCGATGTCTCTCCGACCTCCTCCGACCTCCGTGGTATCGAATTCCCCGGTTCAACTCACCGATCATTGTTTCGTACTCCTGGCCAGATCCTATCCCCGTAGAGTACTAGTACATCTACCTCAATCTTCATGTCATCCACGAGCATTTCCACAACATGGCTATACAGTAAGCTCACATCACAAACAAGAAAACACCAACATCCACAGTTTGCGGGGTGGCAAGTCAAAGGAACCGATTTCAAAGCTCTTGACTCACGCCTGGCGATCGTGATCGAAAAAAGCGGGAGGCGCTGGAGAACGGCCGAGACGGCCCTCGTGGGCCCTGTTGTTTTGCGTGTCTTATCTCCTGAGTGGCGTGCGTGGCTCACGTTGCGCAAGTTGTGTTTTTGCAATGAACGATCGGGGAGGAGAGGAGGTGAGGTATTTATAGCACCTTGTCGGAGAAAAAACAAACACTGTTTCCCTACCATCTTTGCATTATTTTGGATGGTGGAATGGGACTCGAAGTGTATATGTACAGACGGGTACAAGTCGCTGCCAATGGGTGCGAAGAGTCATGTGGAACTGTGAGCGCCTGACGACTGCTCCGCCTTCCGGTGCCAAATCCAGCCCTGAGCCTACAGAAGAAAATTGAGTTCGCCATTGCGACATTGGTATCGCATGATCATGATCCGACGCAGCGAGCTGAAGCAGTGGGCTCTTATCTTTCGTTTCGTGTGTTGGTGTCAACGTCGTCCACAAGGTTGACGACTGCGAGCGCACCATCTTCTCCGATCTCCGGCGGGATGAAGCGATGGTACCGGGTAGAGCAAGCGGGTTATCTTGCGTGCTCGAGCGCGCGCACGGACCATGGAGCGAAGAATGGTGCATGTCCGAATCGCTCCCTCGACTGTCTCTCGTGGGTTTTTCTTGACCGTTTACCTCCACTGCCAAGAGGAACAAGTAACTTCATGCGCAGAACCTACTGAGATGCGATACAGTCGATACGTAAAAAGCCCGGATCGGCGGACACTGCCGGCGGGGGCCTGAGAGCTCCCAAAAAATTTGCCAATTGGAGGCTCCTTTGAAAGCCGGTGCCGCCGACGTCGGGAAAGCGATTTGTCCTGTATTTTCTGGTCCCGTCCACAATGTTTGCTTGTGCGCTGAGCTGAGCAGATCGCACTATTTTCTCGTTCGTGTGGCCCAGGAGTGTTTCGGGCGAGTCTGGATGGGAGGCATGTTGGTCTCTAGGGAGCATGTGCTTCACTCCGGAGATCAAATTGACTTCGCTCCGAGGCACTTATCGCTCTCCAACGCCCGCCGCGCTCCCCATATAAAGCTGCTCGATGTTCTTCGGGTGCGAACTAGCGAGTCTTCTCCTTTACCAGGCACTTCGCCCTTCGTCTCCCCCCTAGCCACCGTCGCACTCGACTGGTCCTCCATTTCCCTGTCTACTTTGATCAAGGAATTCTAGCCATGGAGAAGCAAATGGACGATGCCTACTTCGCCGCTACGGCAGAACAGGCAAAACATCAACCGGCTACCCTCGATGAAAAACTTGAGGGCTCGATTGTGTCGTCGCCGGAACACGACCACGAACACATCCACGATGGCCTCGTGGTCCCAACACTCGAGGAGCTGCAGACGCTGCGACATATCGCCGACAAAATTAACTGGCCGACATATCGTAAGTCAGCCACTCCATTCCGCTTTTAGCAAAACGCTAACCTCACTACGCTGCGCTTTCCAGTGATTGCCTTTGTCGAGTTGGCAGAGCGGTTCTCTGTGAGTAGTCTTCGTACTTTTGATCTTAAAGGAACAGCTTACTAATTGTTTGGTCTTGATTTAGTTTTACGGTATGATTGCGGTCTTCACTGCCTTGCACGAAAAGAAACTAAAATAACCTCTTTTCTCGTTCAGGTTCGACTGTCGTCTTCGTAAGTAATTCTCGAAATGACTGCAGTTATATTCTCGGTACTTACTTGTCGATAGGTCAACTTCATCCAACGGCCTCTGCCCGATGGTAGCACAACTGGTGCGAGTGGAGCGGACGGCACACCCGGTGCTTTGAACATGGGTCAACGGGCGTCCACCGGTCTGACAACGTTCTTCAACCTCTGGTAAACTACCTGTCACCCGTACGAATTTTACAAGCTTGCTCACCACGTCTGCGTTCATAGGTGTTATGTTACTCCTCTGTTTGGAGCCTACATTGCGTACGTTGCTTGATGGATACGACTTTGCATCTGACAAGAGCTGATATCCGAGGCTTTAGCGATACTTACTGGGGTCGTTACAAGACTATCTGCTGGTCCGTTCTGGTCGCCATGGTCGGCCACGTTATTCTGGTCGTCTCTGGTCTCCCTCCCGTTCTCGAGAATACCAACGGTGCCTTCGCTTGCCTCATTATCGCCATGCTCGTCATGGGTGCTGGTACCGGTGGTTTCAAGTCGAACATCTCTCCCCTTGTTGCCGACCAAATGAACAACGCAAAAGCGCACCTCATCACACTCTCATCGGGCGAGCGCGTCGTCGTTGACCCAACAGTTACCGTCTCCCGTATCTACATGGTCTGTTGCCTCCATCATTGTCCGCGGCTTTTGCAAACGACGTTACTGATTTACGTCATTGCAGTATTTTTACCTCTTCATCAATGTCGGCGCTCTGGTTGGCCAAATCGGAATGACCTACTCCGAAAAGGTACACTAACTTTATATCCTCGCGCCTTGTCTTCGCACGCTGACGCTCGCCACAGTACGTCGGCTTCTGGCTCGCGTTCACTCTTCCCACCATCATCTTCTTCCTATGCCCAATCGTCCTCCTCCTCGGACGCGGCCGGTACATTCGTCCCGCCCCCACTGGCTCCGTTCTTGGCAAAGCCCTTCACTTGCTGTTCTTCGCTGCACGCGGACGCTGGAGTATCAACCCCGTGCGGACATGGAAGAATATCACCGCTGCGGACTTTTGGGAGAGCGCTAAGCCGAGCAAGATCGTTGGTGGGAAGCCTGAGTGGATGACTTTCGATGATGCCTGGGTTGATGAGGTCCGGAGAGGTTTCAAGGCTTGCACTGTGTTTGTCTACTACCCTCTATACTGTACGTATCCCTGCCACTGGATGTATTTCTGGTCTCTCTTTTTGCGTTTACTGACTGTGCTGTGAATTTGCAGGGCTCGCGTATAACCAGATCATCAACAACCTGACCTCTCAAGCTGCGACCATGGTCACTAACGGCGTTCCCAACGACGTCATCAACAACCTCGATCCCTTCGCCCTCATCATCTTCATCCCCCTCTGCGATCTCTTCGTAAGTACTCCCATCTCCCATGCCTTCACCCACCGGCCCATGGTCTGCCTTCACCGTCCTGCCCAGGGTCTGACCGTCTCACCGTTCTGCGTAGTTCTACCCCTTCCTCGCCCGCATTGGTATCAAGTTCACGCCGCTCAAGAAGATCTTCTGGGGTTTCATGACCGGTTCCGCGGCTATGATCTGGGCAGCCGTCACGCAGCATTATATCTACAAGCGCAATCCTTGTGGCTACCAAGTTTCTACGTGTGCTGATGACGACGGTAATGCGCTCACCAGCGACCTGAACGTATGGATTCAGACGTACGTCTCTCCGCCCCTTGAACTCTACTTCCTGGAATTTTTGCTATGAGGAAAAGCTGACGATGAATTTATAGCGGCTCATACGTCCTGATCGCGTTCTCTGAGATTCTCGCATCTATTACTGGTCTCGAATATGCGTTCACGAAGGCACCAAAGAACATGAAGTCGCTCGTCATGTCTGTTTTCCTCTTCACCTCCGCTATCTCGTACGCTATCGGCGAGGCCTTCGTTTGTGAGTCTCTTCCTCTCCCCTATCTTCTCATCTCCCCTATCTCCTTCCCATTTTGCCGTCCTCGTTACCGACCATCTCACTATCCTCGTTACTAATCATCTCTCCCGTTATTTTCAACGCTAGCCGTCTCCGCCGACCCGCTCCTCGTATGGAACTACGGCGCCATGGCCGTCCTCGCCTTCGTCGGCGGCATCGCCTTCTGGCTCTCCTTCCGCCACCTCGACAAGGAGGAGGACGCGCTGAACGCTCTGCAGGAGGGACATTATGAGTCCGGCAAGGAGCACCACGATGGGAAAGAGGAGGTTAAGGAGATGGGCGTTGTTTAAAGGGGTTGTGAGGATGTGTATTTTTACGGTTATGTCGCTACGTGTTCTGTGTTGTGCTTTTTGCTTTTTTTTGCTTGGGGCCGCGGGCGGATGGGTGGTCCGTGACTTGCGTACTTACGACTCGGAGGAGGAACGAACTAGTATAATCATAATGAAGACGAAGATACTTCTGAAATCTCCGTTGGACGGTACAGTGAGACCGTTGTGTGGCTTGACACCTCTTCGCAATCGCTTTGACGGGAGCGCCACTGTGGCACCGAACTTTACCAGCGGAGTTTCAAAAACCGCCACGTAGCAGGTTCGAAGTTCAAATCAAACTCGTTTCAGCTCCGAGTCAATGCGACGATGAGTCAACTCGAACGGCGACTGAACCCCATCCTCGTCCACTTCGACTCTACCAGGAATTTGCTGCCTCTATATAGCGGACTTTCACATTCCGTTGATGTGCACTAGCATAACTAAACGCGGCACGGGCGCTCCGATGATGGTTTTCGCACTGGTGGCCCATCAACGAAACCGACCCCGCCCATATGGCGAAAATGATTCAAAATCATAATGGCGAGCACCTGTGTCTCTTGAAGCCCCTGGACCCGCATGGAATATAGGCGTCGTCGTATGCTTTATTTCTGGACCTTGTCGAGCCTTGGTTTTGTACGTCGTGCTTGGTTCGATGGGTACCTGGATTATATTGATTTCGACCTTGATGTGGCTGGGGGTGGTGCTGCTGGCAGTGTGATGATGAGCCCGGAGCGGTCTTTGGATTCTTGGCTGGCCAGTTGACGCCCAGGTTGAGTCGCTCGAAACAGTACTTGCTGTTCGCAGCTCGAAACTTATTGCCTCTTGCTCACGTTCTCAATTTTGGCGTTAGAACCTATGCGGAGAAAACGATGCTACGAACTTGCAATCCAGTCACTATGCAACAACAGACTCGATTATACCGTCATCAGCGTCCATCAAAATTCTTGAGACATTCTACGTCGGTATTTTTCATTCTCGGGCGTCTGCAATGATTCCTCCTTGTGTCGGTCTATGCGTCGACTGGTCTGGTTTCTACTCCCAGCGAATGTACACTGCGAGCAGTGTGATACCTGTCAAGATCCTATCCTCTAACGGAGACGAATAACAGGTTGAATCATGATTTGATGCGGCAGCATCTCTTTATCTCTTTCTAGGGCGAATCTGTTGGAGAAGGGGAAAAGGTACGGGTGATCCATGCTCTGTTCCTCTCTTCCACATGTGTCCTTGCTGATGGCTCACTGCTAATGAGTAAGGTGATACACATAATCCCGGTTCTGCCAAGGAGTGGCCTTTCCTACAACGAGGGACATGCCTTCCAAAATATCTCTTACGATGTCGAATATATTCTAGCGCTATGAGTTGCTGGGGGCTCTCTTCTGCCGGCCGTCGTATGGAGTGTTTGGGAGTATGTCTGAGGACCGGAGACTTCATCGACTTTGCCCTCAGTCTCGAGCCACTGATCGCCCGTCCGTAAGTGCAATCACCGTGTCAAATTGCTAGAGGAGATGGCTGGACCGCTGACATCAATCTCTTTTCATGGCCCCGTGAGGATCCATGCGGGACCGAATATATTGAGGACCGGCTCTGGGCGACTACTACAAATTGTATAAAGGCTGTTACTCGAGGGCTTCGAGATCTTCACTCCTCCTCGCCAACGAGTCTTCCGTGCCTACTACTCATCCCTCATCTACCTTCTTTGGAACGCATCATGCTCTCCATCCTCGCCTTTGTTGCTCTCTTTGCCGCTTCTGCTCAGGCTGGCAAGCGTGGTCTCGCTTGGCCATGGTGTACGTGTTACACTCGATGAGGTTTTTCGTATCTGCAATATCTCATCATGGCTCTGCGAACAGACAACAACCCTCTCGACCCTGGCGTCTTGAACAACGGTGACGGTGAAGTCGTCGCTATCTACGACTGGGAGACCTACGCACCTCCCTCTACAAACGGCGCTGGTGGTCTTGGCTTCATTGGCATGCAGGTAAGCTAAAACTGCTGTTCTGATCAGATGGATAGTATTGATTCTGTGTGTTTCAGCGCTGCACGGATTGCTCGTCCTCTCCTGTAGCTGAACTCGCTAGCCGTCAAGCCGCGCAGGGTTGGGCTAGTATGTCGATTTTTCCATACACTTGGGAATCTCTTGCTCACAGGTTAAACACATAGCCGTCTTCAGCTTGAACGAGCCCGACGGTACCTCCGCCTACGTTAGCCCCAGCGCCGCCGCTTCTTGGTACAAGCAGTACATCAACCCGCTGGCAATCAAAAAAGCCCTTCCAGCTATCACTTCCAGCGCGTCCGCTGGACAGGGCCTTGACTGGCTTCAACAGATGATCAACGCCTGTGCCGGTGCTTGCTACTTCGACTACATCAACCTCCACTGGTACGGAAACAGCTTCGCGGACTTCCAGGCTTACGTCGAGAAGGCGCACAACCAGTTCCCCGTGAGTCTTCCTGTCCTGAGTGAGCCCTTCGTTCATCTCAAAGCGATGCTGATTGGTTGCGGGGATTATAGAGCTACCAGATCGTCATCTCCGAGTTTGCTCTCCAGAACCCGTCCGGTGGGCAATCCGCCCAGTAAGTCTCCATGCATGTGAATGCTCGGATCCATTCTGAATTTTAGGCTTCCTTCTCCTCCAGGGTTGCTTTCTTCCAGTCTGCCTTTGCCTGGCTGGACGCGCAGAGCTACATCCGTGAGTTGATTTCTGTCGTAGTTTGTGGGATTTCAGGAACGATTTGCTAGCGCTTTGCTGACTGTTTTCTGACTGTTTGCTCACTGTTAGAATTATATTTTGCTTTTGCGGCAACTTCTCCCGCTCTCATGTCTGCAAACGACGCCGCCGCCGCATCCTACGTCGGTACCGGGTCTTGCTTGTACAATAACGACGGGTCTCCCTCGGCCGTAGGGAACTTGATGTACTAAGCACGCACATCAGATGTGCTATGTTTGCTACATGGTGCTTGTATGAGTCCTTAAACTCTCTCATACAATGGGAGTTTGACGGTCTTGACGAAGGATAGAAGAGGGGGTTGAGAGGGGGGGGGGAGCCTTGCCTTGAATTGTTACGTTCTCTAAAACATTTCTTCTTCAGGGTCATTATGGACTGGTATTTATGGGTTATGTTGTACGGATAGAGTGAACTTATTAATAATGTAAAAAGGGTCTCCCTTGGGTACTCCAAGCTATTACGTGGGTGCGAAGCTCTTGAGTTTGCGTGGCGCAAGCATGAACGGGACTGTAGCTGTCCGGCAGTTGCCGCCGAGTCATTCCTCAGGCGCTTTGAACCACATCGCGTAAATAGTCTGGTTACTCTTTGTCTCGACGACAAGACACCCACCTCAAGGCCTCAGGGATCACAGACACTGACCTTATCCTCACACGACTCTCGAAAATGGCTACAAGTGATATCATTACCTCGTTAGGTTTGTCTCCAATCACGCTTCAATTCAACATCGTCTCGTCATCTCGTTGCTAACGCTGTCCACAATTGCAGCCTCTATGGAAATTAAAGGACCATGCAGCCCAATCTCTTCGCTACCAGACGAACTGCTTGGTTCAATATTTGAGTTATGCAGAACTGAGCCCATGCGTGGCAAGGATGAGGGGCATAAGGCATGGTGGACGTCCATCATGCTTGTGTGCCGCCTGTGGCGTGACGTCCTGCTGAATACTCCACTCCTATGGACAGGCATCCTATTTCACCGCATCGATCTCGTAGAGCTCATGTTGCAGAGATCCAAGACTGCACCGATAAGCATCTATCATGACTTTTCACTGAACTATATGCGTTCCGCTGGCCACGAAGAAGCCGTGCGAGATGTTTTAGAACATCACATCCACCATGCGAGGGAAGTCGACTTATCTGCCCCGACACTCACCTTCTTCGACATTACGAAGATTCTGCGGAAACCAGCACCGGAGCTGACGGACCTCAGACTTATATGCGTAGGGGGTTTTGGCAGTGGCTATAAAGAGTGCTCTATCACCCGCGATCTTTTGGCGGAGAGCGCACCGAGACTACGCTCAATCTCCTTGCGAGGCATCTGTATCCCTCTCGACTCTGCCTTAATATCCCCAAAACTATGCCACCTTTCTCTTAACGACATTCTCCGCCAACAAAGCTTCCCGGCCGAGCAACTCGTCCATTTACTCCGCGATCTACCCCTTCTCGAGACGCTTCGGATCCAGTATTCGCACGAGGGAGCTCATAGCTTCACCGAGAAGCAAATCGAGGCTTACCCACTTCCCGAGGAGCCTATAGTACTTTCGAAACTGTCGACTTTAACGTTCTGCGCTACCGCAAAATATACCGTCACCGTGATGCGAAACATCGTTATTTCACCGGGCGCAGAAACGACGTTCTGGATCCTACCTTCGAAAATTATCACTTCATTCCTTCCTCATTACATCGGTCTTGACCCGGCCATAACTCCATGGAACTCCCTATACATCTTCAGCAATAACGTCGGTCTGCAGGTCTCGGCTTACGTGGAGAATGATGAGACTGGTGGCGTGCAAACGGCGGCCCAATCCAGTGTGTATCGCGAGGACCAAGCACCGTTCTCATTATTCGCGCCCGCCCGTTCAGATATGCAGTACCGCATCCTTTCACAGATCCTTACCAGTATCCCCCTCGGCAGTATTCGCAATCTCATGATAGAGATTCCGGATACGAAGCAGTTCGACATGCCGTTCGAACTCGCGGACTGGAACTCCCTGTTCGCTCCTTTCAAGTCCGTCGTGTCCCTCAGGATATGGGATTGCAACAGGAATGACGATATCTCACTTGCCATCGAGCCGGGTCTGCGAGATAGGATGATGGAGGCGGTGGAGAATTACGATAGTGCGGAGCCACGATTTACGACCCTCAAGCACCTCCATCTTCGCCTGGGGGGTTTGCGGGGCGAATCTGCCCGTTCTCGTCGGTCATCGTTGCGGGAGGCAGGATGGTACAATGATCTGGTGGATTATCGTGCGCAGGCGGGAGTCCCGCTTGATACGTACACGATTGAAGGTTATCCCGTTTACGAAGAGGAGTTGGAGGAATGGTTCCATGGATAAGTATGGATCGGATAGAGGGGCGGAATTTCGACGGTGACGGTTTTGAGGGCTTCGTAATGGGGTATGTGGTCGCTTGGAATCATGTAGATACCGATGTTATATGTATGAAATTAACGGAGAGCGATGTGTATGATGTATACCAACGGTCCAGAATATACGTAGCTTGTGTGCGTTGTTCGTTTTTCTGTCACGGCTGTGGCCCCTCGCCGCCACATCGCCAACGCACGTGCTCATAAGCGTTTTGCCACTTCGAAATATGAGCTATTAGTTCCACCAAACGCATACCCTCGTCAACTCGGTTTCGTCTTTTCTTCAGACCATACCTAGACAGTGAGTATTTGACTCTCCACAGAGGCCACCAAGACTGATTCTTTTTGGTTAATTTATGTTGGCAGGAGGAGTTTTGCGTCTTTCCTAACGAACCTCTTATAACGAGAAAAAAGCTTGAGGCCTTGACAATGTCTACCCTCGGAAAGCGAAAAGACAGAGAAGAGGGAGAGGCATCTGAGGTTCACGGGTGCGTAAAATGCTGATCCAAGGCCTCAAACTCTCACTGAAATATCGGAAAGCATAGTTCTACTCTATTCGTCTCAAATTTGCCGTACACGGCCACTTCAACGGACCTCCAGACCCTTTTTTCCGATATCGCACCAGTCCGATCCGCGTTTGTAGTTCTTGAGCAAGGAACTGGAACATCGAAGGGTGTTGGCTATGTAGCATTCTCAATACGAGAAGATGCACAGTTGGCGTATGATCAAGTCGAGAAGGACGGGATCAGTTTAGCTGGACGGGGTTTGCGAGTAACGTGGGCTTCGAATAAGGTGCGCTCATCGTCCGATGCTTCATAAGTGGACGTGAGTGTTGAACTCTTCGTCAACTTTATAGCCCAGGAGAGAGAAGGGCGGAGAAGTTAAGATCAAAAACGAAGAGGAAGCCCCGAAGCCTAAGCCGAAGCCACATCCAAAAGTTCCACATCCTACCATTCCTCGCGATCCCTTGGCCATCCGAACCGTCATAATCTCAGGCCTTCCACCTGCACTAGATTCCAACGCTCTCTGGAAGAAAATTCGGAAGTGCGCAGGGGCGGAATCAGTCGAGTGGCCCTTGAAAAACGGCGACGCGGAAGATCCCAGCACTGGTCCGTAATATCATTACTCTTTCGCTCCCAGTAGACTAATACTATCATTCAAATATTCCATATGTTCATATAGCCCATGTCCTATTCGCCACCCCATCCCAAGCCCTTGATGCAGTCCAAAAACTGCACGCCCACGTCTTCAAAGGCGCTCTCTTATCTGTCACCCTCAAAAAGCGCCTGGACACAGTCGCAAAAGCTCATACCTCAAAAACTCCCAAATTGAACTCCTCTGCCACACCTGGAGATGCTTCACAATCACAGCCAACATCGACCAAGCCGAACGGTCCCGCGCCGACTCGTGCTAGCCGTCTCATCGTTCGAAACCTTCCATTCGACATCACGGAACAGGACCTGAGGGCAATCTTCCTTCCGTATGGTCCTATTTACTCCATCGATATTCCTATGAGTGCTCCCCCGACCCAAGCGAATGTCAAGGAAGATGTGGACGGGGATGTCAAAATGCAGGAGGCCACGCAGTCTGCTTATGCCAGTCGGACAGCGGCAAAGCCGAGAGGGAAGGGTTTCGCGTTCGTATGGATGTGGACGAAAAAGGAGGCAGAGAAGGCGCTCGAGGGTTGTAATGGTATGAAGGTTAAGGCTGGGTTCGCCGAGGGGATGGTGAAAGATAAGCAGAGGCGGAAAAAAGAGCGGAGGGAGGAGAAGAAAAGGCTTGCACGAGAGGCAACTGCCGGTAACGGAGAAGGTGGAGATGGCACGGAAGATGAAGAGGGAGGTACTGAGGCCAAGGCATTGACTAGTGGAGAAAGAGTCATCGCTGTTGACTGGGCGCTGAGTAAGGAAAAGTGGGAGGTCGAGAAGAAGAGGATAGAGGACGAGGGTGAAGGTGAGGCCGAGGGTTCAAGCTCAGAGGAATCGGAAGACGACGAAGACGACGAGGGCTTGGGCGTTCATGAGCACGAAGGTGGTTCGAGCGATGAGTCTGATAGTGAGGACGAAGACGATGAAGGAAGGAGTGACGAGGAGGAGCGAACCAAACCACAACTTCCTCCGCCGGAGACAGGGACCACGCTCTTTGTGCGTAATGTACCATTCGAGGCCACGGAAGATGAGTTGCGGACTCTGTACGTTTTTCTACTCGTGGAATCGCCGTCGAGGATTTGTACTCATCGGTCCCTTCACCAGATTCCGTGCATTTGGCCCTCTGCGTTATGCTCGCATCACGCTCGATCCTGCTAGTGGTCGCTCCCGAGGCACGGGGTTCGCGTGTTTCTGGAATAAGGAAGACGCAGACAAAGCCGTAGACCAAAGCAATATCCTGAGAGCAGAGACGACCGGTGGACCAGACGTCGTGAGTTAACACGTTGCCCAGCTCTTGCCTTTGCCTCACTGACACCCCATCTTGATGCGATGTAGCCAAAGAAGAACCCATTCACTATGCCATCTATCCTAACTTTCGATCCATCGGCAGCTTCTGCTCAGTCCCTTGTGCTCCATGGACGTACACTTGACGTTGTTCGTGCAGTAACGAGGGACGAAGCCGGTAAACTGAAAGAGGCTGGTGAAAAGGCTAGAGAGAAAGCTGACAAGCGCAATATGTATTTGCTTCGCGAAGGGGGTGCGTGCTCTCCCGTCATTCTGTCCTCGTCTCATCTAATTGTCTCCTATCATTGTCTCTTTTCCCTAGTTATCTTACCGAATACTCCTGCCGCCGCCAATCTACCGGCTGTCGAAATCGAGAAACGCACGAACTCGTTCAACGCTCGTCGCCAACTCCTTCGCACGAATCCTTCCCTCTTCATTTCCAAAACTCGACTCAGTATTAGGCAAATACCGATATTCGTCACAGAACGAATGCTCAAACGACTCGCTATCCACGCCATGCGATCTTTCCAGGCGGAGGTGCGCAAGGGGACCAGGACTGGGCTCACTGAGGACGAGAAGGCTGATACCGGCGGCAAGCCAGGTGACGAAGGGGACAAAGACATCAAAGTGGAAGACGTAAAGGAAGAGGGCGGAAAGGGGAAGGGGAAGAAGCCAGGCAGAAACACAGGAGTCAAGCAGGCCAAGATCGTCCGTCAACAAGACCGCGTCGATGCCATCACGGGTAAAGGACGCAGTAAGGGATACGGATTTCTTGAGCTGCACAGTCACGCAGATGCCTTGAAAGTGTTGAGGTGGGCAAACAATAACCCTGCTGTTGGACCGCTGTTCGAGGAGTGGTGGAAGGCGGAGGTGGAGGACTTGATCAAGGCGCACAAAGCGAAGAAGAGGTCGGAGAAGGAGAAGGGTGAGGAGGAGGAGGATGAAGTGAATGCGGAGGCGAGGATCAAAAGGTTGAAGGACGAGTTGGAGGGTGGCGGGAGGAAGGCGAAGGGCTCTTTAATCGTGGAGTTCTCAATTGAGAACGTGCAGGTTGTGCATCGACGGTCGGCAATCCAGAAGGACAAGACTTCTGTGAGTCATTCCCTCAATCTTGAAGTTGGTCTCTAGCTAACGCGCACGCGTTCGTAATAGGGCAAGGATGACAAGAAGCCGCGCCGAGAAAAGCTTGCTCTGCCCAAGGCGGAACCAGTCGAGGATACTCGTGTCAAGAAAAAGGCGCGAGTCTCTAACTCCAAGGACTCCGCACCAGACCCTGGGGCGGCAAAGACGGAGGCGAAAGGTTCTCAGATGGGCGCATTGATTGGGAGGAAACGGAAGGAGCGCAAGGTGAAGAAGGGAGGTCGCTGATAATGCGTGGCAGGGAACTCGGTGTGGTAGTCTCATTGCACTTGTGATTATCTCTATGATTTGCTCACATACATATTTACGTAGACGGAAGATACGATGGTTGAACCTCACTTCGTCATGTTTGTATATGACGGTCCTCCAGGGACGCGTTTGGACCACATTGGCTCCTAGGACTCGTACGGTTCAAATCAAATACTGATAACATCCAGTGGCATTCGCCTGCTACATAGCTTTACGGGATGGTACACCTGCCCAAAGACTCCTCATTATACTTCTCAGTTTCAGCACCCGATGGAAAGGCAGGGCGGCGACTCCGTCGTACTTCTTCATCTGTCGGTCGAAGTCCGTGGCTGCTGGCGGTTCGCAGCGCCGAAGCGAATCGGACTCGTCGGTGCCCGGAACTCATTAAATATTAGAAGCCTTTCGGGCCTGGTAGATCTTGGTAGATCCGCTACGTTAATTTCAATTTTATCCGCTATCTAATCAGATAAGTCGACTGATCGCCGTCGTTGCTTTCTTCCGTTCGACGCGAACGATTCATCCGTGCATTTTTCTACATCTTCCGCATCCTCGTTATTCATCCCTGTGCCTCTTCCTTTCCCTACCAATATCCATCACGTCATAAACAATCTCCACCAGTCTTGGAGTGCAGGAACATTTATAATCTTGTGCTTGCGTCGCTCCGCCAAGGGAGAAGCCTCATTTGATTCGGCTTGCTTCTTGGTCTTTGTCGCTTTTTTTTGCCGATCAAAGCGACCTCACTGGCGAAGGCAGTGGGGGCCCGTGGAAAAGCTGACACCATTTTTGGTAAGCATATTTTCTGAGCATGCTCCTCGATGCTTGGTGACGCATGAAACTGGACAATTTGTTGAGCATCCTCATACGTTCGCCGGTTGTTTCAGAGCACGACATATGGTTCATCACCCAATCATCATTATGCGACCACCTGCGGTCACAGGGCCGATAGTTACGAAGCATCGGGGCAGGCTCGATCGACACCTCTTCACAGCTTTGATCCACACACTCATCCGGTACCCAGGGGCGTATTGCTCGATGATTTGACAACGATGTTTCTAGACGGTCTATCGATATCTCCCGCTTCCGGTCTGTGTGTGCATGTTCAGATTCGAAAATCGTCGGATCGCCGTATTCGCGAGCGGTAGAAGGGTCCATCCAATAGCCCAATGCTATTGACCTCTTTTTTGCTCCTGTTTCTTGACGATATAAAAGCCGCGAGGAATGGATTCCATGCCTACCTCACTACCTCGGTCTTCATTTCGATTTCCTGAGTGGTCTACGGGTCATCCATCCGCTCGTTCCTTCTCTCTGCGGCCATGTTCATCGCGCCTACTGTCCTGGCTGCCGCCTCCGGGCTTGCCACAAATCTTACCGTAGACTATGTCGTTGTGGGTGGCGGTATCGCTGGTCAGTTGTCACAATACTCTCTTCACTTGCCCTCCGCATCTTGGTCACTGACGTCCTTGTGGCTGCCCAGGTTTGACCGTCGCCGGTAGACTCGCTACCGCCGACAGTAGCATCCAAGTTGCTGTGCTCGAGGCGGGTATCAACGCTGAAGACCAGCCTGCAGTATATATCGATGGTGAATATGGTTATGCCATTGGTACAGATTTAGACTGTGAGTACTATCCGTTTGTGGCCCGACGCGTACACGGTATGCGATACTGACTCATCTCGGGGACCATAGGGCAGTATGCCACCGTCAATCAGACCGGATTGAACGGCAGGACTGCAAGCATCTCAGCTGGGAAGGTTCTTGGCGGGTCTTCTACCATCAATGGTGAAGTGTGGGTGCGTATACATATGTTCTCCTTCTTCACGTCTTCCAGTATCCCTTATCAGTAGCTGCTTCCGCTTCTAGACTCGTGGGCTGGCTGCTCAATACGATGCGTGGGGCAGTCTCAACAACGATTCCTCCTGGACATGGGACGCTCTTCTTCCCTACTCCATGAAGACCGAGCGCACGACCGCTCCTACTGAGAACCAGACGGCAGCCGGAGGAGCTCTGTTGGATGCCAGTGTGCATGGCATAGACGGTACTTTGGACATTGGCTTCCCCAACACGTACTTCCCGGAGCCTTTGTTGTGGAGGGAGGTAAGCGCTTTTTTCGGTATGCCCTTATACTTTCATATTCTGACCCGAGTCGTGGCAGTCTGTTGCTAGCATTGGTGTTGACAAGGTGCGTCTTTTGCTCGGATTTGTAACGATTTATAAGTAGTAATAACGGATTCTGCTTTTAGATTGACGATCTGGGTAGTGGCAACCCTGCCGGCGTCACGCTTTCCATCAACACCATCAACGCCGCCAACCAAACTCGCTGCGACGCGGCTTGCGCTTTCGTAGCCCCCCTTGCTAATGCTTCCAACTTCCACGTCCTTACGTCCTCCCAAGGCACTCGCGTTCTCTTTTCCAACTCTACTTCCTCGAACGGCACCGCCACCGCTATCGGAGTAGAATACATCTCCAACGGCACGACCTATACTATCTACGCGAACAAGGAGGTCATTCTCGCTGCAGTACGTCTTCACCTTCTTGGCTTTAAGTTTTACGCGCTTACGTCTCCTGCCTATTGTATAGGGAGGTATCGGTTCACCAAAAGTTTTGGAGTTATCCGGCGTTGGTAGTAAGGATGTGTTGGAGCAAGCTGGCGTAGAGGTCGTCGTTGACCTTGAAGGTGTTGGTGAAAACTTGCAGGATCACGTCCATGGCTTTGTTGTGGCGTACACTAACATGACGTGCGTATTTCATTCCTATACCCTCAGTGCTTTCCATGATCTTCAATTGACTGATACTTATCCATTGAACAGCACCACCGTCATGGAGGCAGGGTCCAACACGACCTTCGCTGCGGAGCAGCTTCAAGAGTATTACGACAGCAAGACCGGTACTTATGCCACCGCGCCCTGTATGATCGCTCTCCTCAAGCCCAGCGTCATCTTCTCCAATTCTTCAAACTCCACGTCCAGTGGCGAGAGTGACTTCCAGACTCTTCTCAGTGACGCCAGTTCAAACGCATCATCTTGGGCCAGCTACTACGCCAATGGAAACGAAGGGGTAGCGAAGGGGATTGAGAAACAGTACGAGATACAGCTTGCTCTGTACGAGCAGGATGATCAACTTCCCATTGAGATTAACTACGGTTCGTACCCCTTGAATTCCTTTCATCCCTCCACTCCGTTCTCTAAATAATACTCTGTCCCAAAATAGAGCTTGGTTATGGCGGTACCTCTACTTCCGTCCCCACCGCTGCCTACGACTCCGTTGCCGTCGTACTCGTCGCTCCCCTGTCTCGTGGCTCTACTCACATCACCAGCAACAACGCCACCGTCGCCCCTTCGGTCGATCCCAGGTATTACTCTCACCCTGTTGACATCGCAGTTCACGCCGCAGCGCACTTGACCGCGAGGAGGACGCTCACCGAAGGCCCCATGGCGAGCGTTTATGCTGGTGAATATCAGCCTGGAGAGGACGTTCAGAGCAATGAGGATATTGCGGACTGGTTGAGAGAGAACGTGAGGAGTGACTGGCATGTTGTTGGGACGGCTGCGATGCGTAAGTCAACCGACCTTTATTGGATCTAGCACGAGAGCCTGACTTGCTGGGGTTGGTCTTTTAGTTCCCAGGGAATTGGGCGGTGTAGTCGACACTGATCTCAAGGTGTACGGTACCTCCAACCTCCGCGTCGTTGGTGAGCATCTAGATTTTTTTTTTTTTTCATTCTACGCGCGTGTACTGATGGTCACTTTCTACAGATGCATCCATTATCCCCCTCGAAGTTAGCTCGCATTTGATGACGGCTACCTACATGGTCGCTGAGAAGGTGCGCATCTTGGTCTCTATCTTCGTATCTGTACTTTCATGGCTCATACACGACCCTGTTCTTTCATCAGGCTGCGGACATCATTCTTGCTGCTCGTCAGTAAGAAGTTAGAGGGACTTTTCTGTTTCATAAACTCCTTTAGGTCTTTGATTTACTACAAGATACTCGGAGGACATATAGACTTGGTCCTTGATAAACGCGATTAGATTGTTAGACGTACTGTTATACCCCATTAGAAACACCTAGAGCGTTAGACTGTAGTAGCATGCCATGTACTTGTCGTGTCGGCTGTTTTTAAGTCGAAACTTTTACCGCAACAGGCCTTCCAGGCTTTCACGTCCCTTTCATTCGTTACCGGGTTCTGATCCACCCTTATCATAGTTCTGTGATTAAATATCGCGGTCTACGTTCAGGTAAAGTGGCGTGGATCATTGGATGTGTGGCGCGTTCGGCGAGAATGTCATGTGACCGCGTTGTTGTTGACACGCCCGCGAGTCGTTGCTGCTAGGCTCTGTTACAACCCTTATCTTATTGCTTCGAAGGACTTGCGTTTCTCCACCATGTCTCAGATCCCCGCCCAGCCTCTATGCCCTCTTCCCCTACATAGGAGGAAAATTTGGCTACGATCCGATACCATAGTGGATCGTTTTCTCGCGGGTCTATTCAAATACAGTAATCGACGAGGAGTCGCCACCTCGTTACCAAATCAGAATTTCTGCAACCATGGCCCCTCACTGCACATCGATACACTATTGCTATTCCCCCCGACATGTGCGTCCTTCGAGGTTCCGCCTTGGCACCATGCATCATAGATCAACGCCTCAAGGTATTTTCAGGAACTTGACCGGTAGATAGCTATTCGTAGGGTGCTCAGAACGCAGGTCATGAAGACAGAGACGAGCTTCGGGAGCTCAGCTCTATACGATAGGGTTTCCGCGACCAAGTGAGCCCTAGATCTACACATATAGGGTAGGTTCAGAGTGCTTTCTGCGCATATCTGACCAGTGAGTGTCAATATTTGACCAGCATTCAGTCAAGTCCGAGGGTATGGGTGTTACCAGTTCATGCTTTAATCCATGTGCATCCGTGTAATCTGGCTGTTTTCTCATCAGGGTGGAAACTGCGACATCATCTCTGTATTGTCGCGATTTCGATCTCCTGATCAAATGGGACTGTCATCCTTCTCACCCATCATGCTCTCCGTAATATTATCTTTCAATCGTCAACGCTCTTCGTGCATCCACGGCTTGAAGCTTGAAGGAGTCGAGGTATCTGATCTCTCTGATATTCATGCCTGTCGGATTCGAAAGAGGATGGACTTTCACCAGGCAAAATACTACCACGTGTCACCCTGTGTCACCCGAGATCGTCCTGCGCCGTCCTTTCTTTTTGGAAGTCGATTTTGGACAAAGAGTTGTCATTCACGGAGGAGCCTGTGACTGACCGCAAAGTCTACTCTCAACTCAGAGATCACGACACCTCGTCAGAAGACTCTTTCTCCTCTCGCAGCCAACTAGTTATCATTGCGACCTGCCCGAATGAACACCCACTTGCTCCCCACCCTTCATCCCACCATCAAGACTTTCCAAGAGACATGTCCGTTCCGGGGGCACAGAAAAACAAACCTCTCGCATGTTACCGCATCCTTTCACCCCTCTGTGGATTGCGCGTTTCTCCAATGTGCGTATCTTGACCTTTCGTGCCATCATATAACCGACTAATCTCGTTGTAGTGCTCTAGGAGGAATGAGCCTCGGTGACAAATGGGCTGGCATGGGTGAAATGACGAAGAAAAAAGGTTTTGAGCTCTTGGATGCGTACTACGAGATGGGAGGAAATTTTGTGGACACGGCGAACAACTAGTGCGTCGCATCAGCTTTCCGCTTTTCAACTAACTGCCGTCAAACTTCGAGAACTAAAGCTATAATGATATACTGACAGCCAGGACGAAGTTTCTGAGGAATGGGTCGGTGAATGGATGGAACAGCGGGGAAATAGAGATCAAATAGTCGTCGCAACCAAGGTTTACAACGTCGACTTCTTTCGCTATATATATGATTTAAGCTCATTTTCTGGTCATGATTTACTGCGCAGTACTCATGCAACTACAAGCTCAACGCTCCCGCAACACAATATCCTATCAAAGTCTCCTACGTGGGAAATAATGCCAAATCCCTCCACATCTCTCTTGAGGCTTCACTCAAGAAACTGAGAACATCATACGTGGACATTTTGTATCTGCACTGGTGGGATTTCGGGACGGGAGTGGAGGAGGTGATGAATTCGTTGCATGTTGAGGTTATGCGGGGTAGGGTGCTCTATTTGGGCGTGTCGGTACGTTTTGACGTTTCATATTTCATGACTTCGTGGCCGCGTGTGTCGGTGCTCATGTTCTTCGGAGTTGTAGGACACACCAGCCTGGGTCGTTGCCAAAGCAAATCAGTACGCGCGAGATCATGGAAAGACGCCTTTTTGCATCTACCAAGGAAGGTGGAACGTGCTCGAGCGGTCGTTCGAAAGGGACATAATTCCCATGGCGCGATCCGAAGGTATGTCGATCCACATATCATATGCACGGCCCGCTCCCTAGTCTTGCAGGTGAGCTAAAGCCGCCACATGTAATCTAGGACTTGCCCTCGCACCCTGGGATGTGCTTGTCGCCGGGAGGCTTCGCTCGAACACAGAAGAAGAAGCTCGTAATAACTCTGGGGAGAACGGACGTATGATGTATAGGGATACGTGGAAGAGGAGTGACGAAGAAACCAAGATGGCGAAAGTCCTTGAGGAGATCGCGATGGAGTGTGGGCTGGGAGATGCGGGAAACACGAGCTCGGAGGGCGGTGGTATGGCGGTGGCGATTGCATATGTGATGCAGAAGACAACTTATGTATTCCCGATCTTGGGTGAGCTTCTTCGTCTTTGGTCACCTGTTAGAGTCACCACCTTCCCTTTCTGCACTGACCATGTGTAATAGGCGGCCGTAAGGTCACCCATCTGAGGTCTAACCTGCGCGCTTTGAAGATCCAGTTGACGGAAGAACACATGTCAAGGATCGAGGGAGTGGCAAAGTTCCAGGTGGGCTTTCCGAACTCAATAATTGTACGTGATTCCCCGCTTCGTTCCATGCTCCTTCAGTGCGTCAAAGCTCTTGGCGATGCTGTCGTGCCCAGCCGAGTTTCTCGGTGTCTTTCCTCCTTTCCCAGGGTGCTCAACGCTGGCCGCATGCTCCAAACGTCTTTTCATATAGGGCGATGGTTTCAAGGAAGGATCCCTCCTCGCCGAACAACGCGCGGCCACGGAAGACCTATGGCCCCTCGCTCAACCCATTATGCCGCGCTCGTTGTAATAAGTAGCAGCAGGGTCCAGGTATAGCGCAGAGGATAGTGAAGGGGCGATCAAGGTGACTTCCTCAACATGCGTTGTGCTGACTTCGAGTAGCGCGGAAGTCGTGGAGAAAGGAGACATGCGCTTCCTGATTGTACGCAGGCCAGTCCACGATCATCCACAGCAGGAATTCCACAAATGAGCTCACCATTACTATGGCGTGGCTTCGGCTATGACTGGGTGAGATGAGACGTGATCAATTGTCCCGAACTCTTGAGTGTTGGCATCATTGTACTAAGTCGCGAAGCGATAGTATTCACTCTCTGGCCTTTCTCTTGATGAGGGGTACGCACAGGACACTATATTCTGAACCTGGAGCCGTATAAGACCATGCACTACGCTCGGAGAAGCATCTGAAGACAGCCTGTCGAAAGGCCATTGCGGTGCTCAAACCGTGGTGCACGAGGTGATACTCCACCAGCACTAATCGCAGCGCTCGAAACACTCTTCGTCGCTAGTGAAATGGAGAGTAGGCAGGTACAGACGAGGTTACCCCAAACAAATCGTGGTTTGCATCTTCTCTAGAGTAACTTCATACTAAGTAACATTCAAGGCGAAGACGGTGAAATCGCTGTTTACCTATTGTCGACCATCTAAGCCATGAAGGAGATAATCTACAGGTGCGTGTTTCACAAATTCTACGATTTAGTATGCACTAAAAATAGAGGAAGGGGAAGAGTATAATACCAGGGGCGAACATCAGGCACTTTCGAATCTCCGGGCAGCCTTCTTCGACTTGTTCGCATGCCAGGCCACCGTGGATTCTCGCGATGCAGAGCTTACGCCGACTGCGATTGACCAGCTCCCAGCTCCCAACACCTTCAAGATCGTGAATGGAAAGAAGGCCTACTACTGCCCTCTTTCAGTTGTCTGACATGCAGACTCCACGACTCGATTGGATGCGCTGGCGTGACTGTGCTGGTATAAGGCCCTCGCGCCATTGAGGATAGTACGCACAGTTCTCTCATCCCAGTCACATTTCCAAACACGCCATACTACGCTATCCTACCATGGTAGCCATATTTTTATGGCTCCTAGCTCTCAAATCTCTCGCAACGTTTGTATCTGCAGTGGGCGATGCTCAGACAATATTCTCCAACCCGGGCAATATCTGTTCTTCCGGGGAGGTTCTGTTCGCCTGCAACTGCCCCGGACCTAATGGAGGACTCAATATCTATATAGATGTAAGTCAATGTTTTCTTATTTTAGTCATGCTTCATAGCAAACATCCGTGCTGACTCGCTTCCAGGAGAACGGTATGGGACGCTGCTGTGGGAACGGCGGCGAGGTATTCTTCTTGAGTGAGTCAGCCCGTGACATTCGAGGTGTTGTAAGTTGTTTATGCGATCTTTCTGTGATTTACTTCTACCGCATAAACTCACCATTTTCATAGTGTTGTGCCGCTGGAGAAAGCTATCAGGATGGAGAATGCCGAACTCGTATGCCCTCCACGCCACGTATTCCGGGAACGCCACCTGGTACAGGCGAGCCGCAGGGGCCATCTGAATCACTCCGTTCGGGACAACCTCCCTTCACTGATCAGCCATCTACTACGCGTCAATACGAACAAACGTCTTCCCCTGGTCAACCGCCCGCCCCAAGCCAATCGCCAACCTCGGGCGAGCCATTCATTCTGGGCCAATCGTCTACTACACTTCCCAGAGAACAACCTTATGTGCCGGGGCAGCCTCCTATCCCTGGAGTACCTGGTCAGCCACCTATCCCTGGACAGGCATTCGTTCCCGGACAACCATATATGCCCCCTGGTGCGACACCGCCTGCATCCTATGCTCCTTGCGACGAGGGCAGCGATTCCTACGTATCCAGAGTAGGTCCCAGTGTTTGTGAATATCTGCATAGCATTAGTATTAATTAGCTTTATTCCTAGAAAACCGGGAAATCTCGATGCTGCCGTGCTGTCAATAACCTATTCTTATTTGATCTCACCACGCGCGAGGGTACTGTGAGTTATGCCCCTCCACAACTTGGTGCACTCTAGCGAAATATTGACCACTACACTTGATCATGCCACAGTGCTGCCCTACGGGAAGTTCTTACAAGTCTCTCGACGGCGAAGGAGGGTGTTGTCCCGACGACTACGACTACTATGGCCAAGGGTGGTGTATATACACCGAGACAGGCACACAGACGCCAGAGGTCCCGCCCGTCGAACCGCACCCTCTCCTGGTGTGTCCGGAGGGTGCACATGTCATGTACTTAGATAAGGTTCGTCTTAGTATCACAGATTTGGCGTATTGATAGCTGCTCACTAACCCTCATCATACAGTCTAGGGATGAGATGTATTGTTGCCCTGATGAACGCAATGCCAAGATCTTCAACTGGCAGACTCTCGAGGGTGTCGTAAGTCCTTCCCATATTCAGCTGTGCATCGTTCAATCCAGGATATTGATGTTCAATTTGTATATCATTGCTAGTGTTGTCCTGAGAACCAAGCCTACTGTCCGAAAGACGCCCTTGGACGAGGAGGCCGCTGCTGCCCCATCTCCCCGTGCGATTCAGAGTCCTGAAGTCACGGAATCCCTTGAACAAGTTTTTCTCGATTATTCTAACCCTCATCTTGACGGCCAAGCCAGGACTATGCGTAAGGATTCGAAACACCGTCCCCGTCTTAGTATATTCTCGAACTATTTACGCCTGAAGTCTGGTACTTCTTGTGTCTCTCTTGCTTCTGCTTGTCCGTTTTCATAGCCTGTATTATCATAGTTCACAATTATATGTATATCGAGACTTGGGGACATCGAGTCTTTGATCTTCAAAACGAGGTCATTGATTTCGCTAGGTTCCATATCGTACATATTCCATCGACAACAGCTAGACATCGTGCAAGCGAACTACACTACCAGTTACCCTTAGAGTGAAGGCTTGATCACGGGTCTAAGAGGCCACAACTCAATCGTCGACATCGCCTGGCTTTGCAATATCCAGCTTGGAGTGGTGCCATCACCCTGTGTAGCCATATAGTGTGATAAATGAAACCAGTAAGGGAGATTGATGATTGTTGTAAGATGAGGTAAACGTACGACCATCCCGTGAGGAAACCCTTTGTCAAAATTGAGCACACTCTCAATTTTATTGATTTGCTCAGCGCTGAGAGTAATGTCGAGTGCCTTGACGTTTGCTTCGAGATGTTCTACTTTTCGACCCCCTAAACATCGAGATTTTAGTGATAAAAGCTTAGTTCGTAAGAAAGGGATATGGTGTTCATACCGAGGATCGGAAAGACGAATGGTGTCTTATGCATCAGGTACGCTATGGCAACTAGAAACCGGGCGAGTGAGAGCCCACTCGCTGGACAAGGATAGTTAAAAACACTACTAACCAGCTTGGACATTATCTCCTAAGCCAACCTCGGCCGCAGTCTCCTCCAGCACATCACATACCTTCTTCTCCTCCGCTGTCCTCTCCCAGTTCGATGTGAAGATTGTCCTTCCTTTCTCTCCAGTCTCTCTGCGACGAGCTTCTTCTGCGTTCGACCGTAGTTTACCTGATGCGAGAACATCCCATGGAGCAAGAGCGAGACCTGATTTCAGGGGTTAGAGTCAAGCGCTCCGAACCGGGACTTCATGGGATTTGGTTCACCAAGAGTCCTAGCCATCGGAATGATGTCTCTCTCGAATGATCGTTCCATTACATTCCATTGACCTTGGTATATGACGAAGGGAGTCTTCCCATGGTCTTTGGCGTACTGGTTGGCTTGAGAAACAACCCAGGCGGGCGTATCCTGTAGAAGTATGTATCAGAAGTCGTATGGGAGAACCCCTCAGACAGAAGCAACTTACAGAGACGCCCTATCAGTCCAATGGTTATTGTTGTGTAGGAGGCACGTCAGTGTCTCCCGAGGTTTACTACCCTGACATAGGCCACCGACGTACGAGATACAAAACCTTTCCGGCTGCCACCAAATTATGCAACCCATTCATGACTTCTTCTACACCGCAAGCCCAATCCCACCAGTGCAAGTATAAAATATCGATGTAGTCCGTTCGGAGCTTCTTGAGCGAGGCTTCTACTGAGATGTGCATAGACTTGACATTGTTTCCTACGAAAGTGATCTTCTGCTTGTGTTCCTCGGAAGCACGTTTGTAGTTAGACGTGTACTAACAACAAATAATATCATCAGACAATAGGGGGGCAGTAAAATTTATATAAGAACTTCACTTTTGTGGCGACGACCATTTGGTCCCTATTCTTCCTCGTATCCATCCATTCACCTATAAATTCCTCGGACGATTCGTCCTGGCTGCAAGGCCAATTATGACATCATTAGCTCGTGAGAAGTTGGCGAAGACGAAGAGGACGCACTAGCTATTCGCTGTGTCGATGAAGTTGCCTCCCATCTCATAAAACCTATCCAGTAAGTTGAAACTCAACTACTTGTCCATAGCACCCATTCCTCTGGATGCCCACTTGTCTCCGAGACTCATTGCGCCTAGTTGCCTTCACAGCGGGCGGCACGCGGCGTGTCAGCCAAGTGCATTACCATGTGATGACGAGGCGAGATATTTACAAGGGGGATACCCTCAGCCCGCATAGCGGGGAGAGAGTGCGGTAATGTGCAAGCTTTGAGGGTGGCGCGAGAGGTTTGGGGATGTGCGACATGGCTGTTGGTTCTCAGTCCTGCAGCTCGTTGCTGGCAGCAGAGAAAGGGTTTTCAACCTATCCGGATGAGAGGTGGATACTGTCTTTTCATAGATGAGAAGTACAACTCGGGCGAGATGCCGTGGAGGCGGAAACAAGGAAGAGAGCCTGAGTATCCCACGAGCACCCACTGGGTTCCGTCCCACTGCACCTGACGACTTACCAGGAGGGCCCGGGAGCCATCACTGAATTTGCAGTGTAGTATGACCAGCTAGAGTAGTAATTTCACGATAATTGAGCCATGAGTCTACGACACAGATCCGTGGTGGACTAGCAGCGGAGCATGGTAGGTCGTGACCGTCACCGCTGGAGAGGAGGAGGAGGAGTGCATGCTCAACGTTGTTCAAAAGAAGAAGACGCCGAGGCGATACTCCGATAGCAAGTGTTGTTTCCCCCGGGTTTACCCGACTTTGCGATATTCTGAATAATTGGTAGAGTCCAACTATAGTCCAACTAAGCCTCGTTCGAGACAATCGTTGTAAATAACCATTTGAAGTTTTCCCCGGGAGGCCTCCCAGTAATTACAAGGATCGACGCCCACGCTGACGCCGCTACAGAAACAACGGAATTGAGTTCGGTACACGAAATGCAGGCTGTATCATACATCACGATCCCTACTAAGTACTAGTATGTTGCTAGTATGTGTATATCTCCCCGCTCCGTCTAAGGTCTATTATTCGGGTTACTCATCACTCAGACCGCGGGCGCAGCAATGGCCTCCTCTCTTCTTCCCTATTCTCGTCTCGCGACACATACTTCCGAATCAATCTTGTCGTCCGCGCACCGTCATCGAGCTCCACGAACTCTTCCACAACTTCATAGCCTCCCCATTTGGGTAGCAATACTATCCAAATGTAGTAGTAAAGGCCACAAACCTAGGATGCACGATATAAGTGTACGTTGCAGGCGGTGGGGAGATGTATTAAACCAACTTACGCCGAGAACGCCGAGTCCCACGACACAATACGTCGCATACCAGAAGGAAACGTCTCCGCGACCATGCTCCGGAGGTACCCTGTTGCAAGAAATACAGTCATTTCATCTTGGTACAAACACACAGCCTCCTGGGGAAAAATGAAATGTACTGACCATGGCATTACCAGTAAAAAGACACATTGGGTGATCCAGACGAACAAGATCCAATTTGGGACCTGGAAAGGCGAGGGCGGCAAACCCTCTGCAGCCCTCCTCTTCCGGAGGATCCATACGCCCACTGCCATCGCAGTAGCAAAGATCTGTACGTTATAAGTGTTCAGAGCATGTAGCATAACGGGCCCAGAATAATTGCAGATATCTACTCACCAAAACAGGATACGACCTAAGATCGAGCATGAAGCTGAACGCGTCCTTTGCCGGAAGAATCATCAATACAGTGACCGTAAGAAAGCATTTGAGTGAGACGGGTGCGAGCGGGGTCCCGAACGGTTTCGTGGACGCGAAGAATTGTGGGTAGGGCAGCAATCCTTGGCGAGCGACCTCACGGACGACGCGCGCCTGCCCTAGTGTTATTGCAGTCTATGAAAGCCTCAGCGAACCGAGATAAAATGAAAAGGGTACTGCACTCACGATGCTGCCTACACAACTACATGCCACCATGACCGGCAGCAACTTCGACGCCCAGTGGTCACCAAACACGCGTTTGAAGAACAATGCAGCCACAAGCTGACCACTGGCCTTCATCTCGTCTGCTGGTACTGCTGCTACGTACGCTACGTTGACCATGAAGAATAGCACCGTCACAAGGCCCAAGGCGATGGCACCGGAGTTGCGTACGGTGCGTACCGGGTCTTTCCCTCGCACTTCGTTGAGGACATTGAAAGAGTTGGACCAGCCAACGAAGGCAAAATTGGTTTTGACGAGAGCAGTCGCGAGAGCGTTGGGATTTGTGCTGCTGCCATGCCAGATATTGTGGAAGTTTGCGTAAGGGTCCCTGATCTGAGTGAGGCCTGACAGAACCGCAATTCCGGTCACAGATACGCTAAATGCCCAAGACGATTACCTTCAGCCAGAATAAGAAGATGGAAGACACGTACAATATAAGTGAGCATATTTTGGCGGTAGTCAGGACGCTGACAAGACGAAGAGCCCATTTCGTGGAGATTCCAACCACTATCACAGGTAAGCTGTATAGACAGAGTAGAGATACGGTGAGAACGACTAACTGGCTACACAGAATGTTACCACGCCCGTAGCGAGCGCTGTCTGTCGAGCTTCCGTGACGGGGATGTCGAAGATAGCGAGAACATATTGCGCGAACACGATAGAGTTTGTGGCGCTGAATCTGCGAGGCGACCAAATAATTAGGAGTACAATTGAGCACCAGGGCTAATAACGTACGAAAACATGACATAAGTCACAGCGAATGCTGTCGGTATGAGATATCGTGGTCTTGGGTATGCTTGTTCTAGGAAGACGACCTCGGCTCCAGACCTTCGAGGAAACATGCTCGCAAGTTCGGTATATGAAAGAAGTGCAACTGAAAGTTAAAACGGCCTGTCAGTGTTTCTCTTCTTATAACATTTCGAGAAGTTTTCAGCAGAAAACGACTTTGCACTGACCGCACGCGAACAAGGGCGAGAGAAGCCAGTAGAGCAAGAGAAGCCCAACAGAGCCCACCGAGTTCAGCACTACACCAGGGACAGAGAAAATCCCTGATCCTAAAAGCTCTCCCAGGTTCAGCATAACCGCAGAAAATAAGGTGATTTGTCGTCCAAGGGGGTTAGTCTAAATTTAAATTGAGGTGAATATTAGTGTGGCCCATGCTCAATGATGAAGTCCACCCACCGTCTCCACTGGTGCACCCAGAGTCACACCTGGCTGGTCTTCATCATTGAACATAGTTCCATTCTCAGTTATGCCTGACCGTACATGCTGATCATGAGAAGCTGTCTCAGCATCGCTAGGTCGTTCCATCTGGCCTGCCTAGCAGCTCCGACTTTAAAGATAAGGAGTTTGAGGCGTGCCTTGGAGGCTACTTTCAGCACGTTCAGAGTAGAGTTACAATGAGATGAAATATCGAAGCTATCGTCAGGAGAGAGTAAGCACTATCAGAGTGAGAGGCGACAACAAGTCGGTGGGTTGGATTAGGATGATTGTGGCGCATGCCGGTGCTGTACTTATCTGTGTTGCAGAGTTCAGCAGGCCACGGGAACTTCCGCCAACCACGCCACAACCTACCACAACGCAAAAATAAACACCAGCGACAGCTTGTGCAGCTTTATCGGGTTGGTCCATTTGTCCACAAAATTCCATATCACCAAAAAGAATAATTTATCACGAATAAAAGAGTGAAAAGAGCCTTGTCTATAAGTATAGGTAAGTGCAACACCGTCGCATGTACCAAGTACACATACTGAGCGTCCAAGATGCGTCCAAAATAAGTACCTCGGAGACTATCTGAGCCTCTTACTAACCTCTACAATTCAACCCGTGTTTCAATACCCACCATCCCAGCAACATCTCTCACAGCAGCAGACAGCAAGTTATCAATAGTACACTCTGCTTGGGTGTCTCACTGCTCTTTCCGTCTAAACATCAGCCTCGCCTTTCCCGGAACGAGAAAAGGGCCGAGATGAAAGTTCTGTGGATATTCGCCCTTTGACTTATTCCCATTCCTTTTCGTCAAGTAGTCCTGGTCCAGCTTCAGGTCATATTCCGAGACAATATGCGCGAGGACGATCTTCATCTCGTTTGCGGCGAAGAAGCGTCCTGGACTATATGACCGTGGCACCCATATGGATTGAAGAAGAACACAGTAAATCAAAACAAGAACATAATCCCAGATACGAATAAGGCTTACCAGCTATGTTTTCCATATCCGAACGGCAGATACTCCAAGGTGGTGTTCACAAGCTGCCATCTAACGTCTTCTTCCGGCTCTGCCCTGCTCTCCTTTCCCTGCTCATCCTGCTTTCCCTTCATGATGCTCCTATTGTATCCCATAGCAGTCTCCCGCATACGCGAAAATCTCCATGGATCGAACACTTCGGGATCTGGGTACACCTCAGGGTCCATATGTATGGCTTGCGCAGCGGAGGAGAGGATGGTGCCTTTCGGAAGGGTGAGACCGTCAACGGGGGAGGATGGATACACGGGAGAAGAGAATGTGAACGGTTGGCGAGCTACTCGTGTGATGGTGACTATAACATTATTCTCGATGTCAACAATGCGTCTTGGCCAGCGACAATCAGCTCGAATGGCATCAAAACTTTGGGTACTCACCGATACCAAGTCCATCAATCCTCTGACATTCCTTTAGGAAGCTGTCCATCCTGTAAAGTCTCTGCATTGTTGCCTTCGTCCAGCCAAATTTCGACGGCTCCGACTTCGAACCCGATCCCTGCCCCTCCTCCATAATCGACTGTAGTTCTTCGCGCAGTACTTCGGCATACTGTGGATTGGCAGCAAGACGGTAAAGGGCGAAAGTGAGGCTCTTGAGGGAGTTGCAGAAGTCGTGGTATTGAATCAGAGAGATGATGTGGAGCGTAAGAATAGAATAAGAGATAAACCTACGTTTGTTGTAGTATGTACCGCCGCGAAGTTCACGGTTAATATCCTGAGCGTGATACTCCTCGCATCTTGTCCGTTCTCCGGCGCCTCATCCATTACCCAGCTCAATACGTCGTTCTAATGTCCCATATGTCCAATTCAACCCAAGCATCGGACAGTCCGAACATTCGATCGTGTAACGGAGCCCACCCATGCCACACACGTACACCACACACCCCACATCCAACGAGCGATGAAACGGTCAGATCAGAACACTTTTTCTTGCCTGAACGGCCATACACTAAGAAAGCAGCATGGTACTCACTGGTTTCTCATTCCACTTATCTCCCACCTCTTTTGCCTCTTTCATCCGCGCCCTTCTCTCCTCGACGATAGGACCGATGTGTCTTGTCGCACGGTCGATGTACGAGGGGACATTGGTGAGGAGGCGGCCTGCAAGCCTGTCGGAGCGCATCTCAGTTCTCACATCGGTCTCGATAACTCGAACGAAAAGGATGGCGTAGGGAGATTGACATAGAGAATTGAATGGGAAAAAGCAAAACACACGGTTTCAAGGAGTCCGGAAACATATTGATGATCACCCCGGCTTTGACAACTTCGACCGTGAACTCGGCTTGGATCTTAAGGTAGTCTTCGTTTCGACCTGTACATGTCGCCGTTGTTATCCCCATCTGGAGGATAAGGCCGAGGACACTTACACAAAGGCAATCCAACGCACGCGCGGTTCGTACTACGGCATACGATCTTCATCATAGTTTCCAACGCAGGGACGGAGGTCCATTCTGCACAGGTTACGATGAGATACATGTGGTTAGTCACGTAGACTTCCAATCCAGTGACAAAGTGCTCACCATGCCCGGCCAAAGCCAGATTTTCCTCAAATGCCTGCGCGATCTCTTCCCTCACGCTTGAGAACATTACACCCAAATTCTTTGTTAACTGGTTCCTGATGATCCCTACATGGTATGGATCGAAGGCAACTGCATGACCGATAGTATACTCTGATTGGACGAGCTGTTCAGTCATGACGAAACCAAGTTTCATAGTCAGACAACAATCGGGTATAAGCAAGATGACCAGAAAGCGGGAGAGTAAGAGATAACACACCCGATTCATATAATCAATGAACGAGAGGATATTGTCCGGGGCCTGACGGATTTCGTCCATCGCTCGAGGACTGGTAGCGATCACTTCCCAGTGACCCAGCGTTGCCACTTTGAATAGGCCACCCTTGTGCTACCATGGTACAACACAACGTACAGAAGGCGGTGTATCGTCCACGGCATGAAAAGCATGTCAGGAAGTGTTACAGAGGTCATGTTTGAAGTAAGAAGACGAATAGACCTCCTTATATCCCTCCTTGACCAGCTTGTCCGCATTGAATATGAATTGAAAACCAGTGATATATGAGAGGATGGGGTTCGAGTAGCCCACGGTTGGGATGTGCGAGAGCTATGAAAGTAGTTCATGTAGGGGGTGAGGGCAAGCATTGGTTTGGGGTCGTGTATGAGCGTTAGTATAGGATGGAGATACCCCTGACGGAGAGTAAGGCAGAGGAAATGAGCAGCGTACATCAGGACTTTGAAGCCATGACTTGATGGAAAATAGAACTATTGAGACAATGGCGAAAATAAGAAGCGAGGTGATGTCGAGGATACGCTCCGACAGCATGATCATCGGTGTCAGGTATCAGTGTAGACGGGTGGGAAGGTTGGAGAAGGGAGAGGGAAGGTCGGCGTGCAAGCTCAAGGAGAGGACAAAGAGAGGATGGGAGGTGACTTGAGATATAAAAGAGCTTGAGGGATAAAACGTGGGACGAAGGCGAAGGGGAATCATCGGCAAGCATTGAGACAAAAGGGGAAGAACGATGCATGATGTGCCAACAATCGGTCGCTCAAGGCAAGGATATACGGGGACATGCATCTCTTCCGCACTCTCCCAAGAATTATTGTGATCTATAATAAGGGTCGTAGGATTGAGGAGGCGCTATCATCCTTCAGCGGTAGATCAGTGTCAGAACGGCGCTGCATCAGTATCAGAGCAACAACGCTGTGCGTGGATCAAACCCGGCGGTGCGAAGGGGGGTTCATTAACTTCGAAACCCTGCTGCGCCATGAGCGGTGAAACTAACAAGGTATGCTCGAGGATATTGGAGAAAAAACAAGTGCAATTCTAGCATGACGACAAATAGTCACTGTTTGATGGACGGGTGCAGTTGAACACCCACGCGTTCACGATCAAAGGAGTTAGTCGGGAATTATTGTTCGGAGAAGTCGCGTACCGGCTCAAACGAGGGAGAGGAGGCGTCAAAGCGCTCTCCAAACCCTGAAAGACATCCCGGGTTTGTCTTGGACTCTGACATACAAGAATCAATATCAGTCCCGCTCGGTATTCTGTAAAAGAACGAATGGAAGATAACAGCGGGAGAAAGGAGGAGAAAAGGTTCAAAGGAGAGAAAAGGTAACGAATATGAGCAGCGAAAAGACAAAAACGACGCCAACAGAACGCATATCGCTTTCCAACGTTTCACTCACCTAATCAGCCACAATACTGAGCTAAAAGAGACCCTGTTGCATACCATGCATAGTATAGCACTAATCAGACCGGCGCTGTATAACTTATACTCGAACACTCTGCTGTAGGTCTAGGCGGACCAGGCGTATTGGTCGGGTGCAGAACATACAGCATGCGGCATCTGATTCAAGCTCGAAACATAGATGCATCAGGTACTTGATGCAGAACAAGTTCGGTGCAGCGATACAGCTGAAGGACCCAGAATTCGTCTGCACTTGATGTTGATAGGGATTCTGATTCTGAAGGCGTTTGTTCGGGCTGACGACTCAGGTGCTTTGAAAGCGCTGGCCAAGCTTGGGCCTGGCGCTGGCGGTCTTCTACAGGGAACATGCAAGGAGGCACGAATGGATATCAGCTAGCTGTCTTCAGAAATAGGATCAAGAGACTCGAAGGGCGTACAGACGTGTGAAACAAGTTGTTGAACGCCGCTGACAATTACGGACACGTGTATCCAAATCCGTACTTGTGGCGCGCCACACCGTCACCTCGAACCTTGACCGAGTCGACAAATTGTCCAGCGGAATTGCGACTAGGTGCCATACCGCCCGTCCATTCGATGAAATGTACTGGTACGTGGAGTACATCCTTATCCTATTTAATTGTCTATGCTGTGATTTATCAATACGTGTGGCCTATCTGATCGTTGAAAAATGGCAAGTACTTACCTTACCCCTGACAGGAAATACATCACGTCCTCTCTGTGTTTACGTTGACCCTATGCACCAATTCTGTCTTGCGCTCCATTAAATCGATTTAATCCCCATTCCCATTTATCCCTTCATTTCCAACCCTCTCCCCACCTCCCCCCACACATCCAAACATCTCCCAACCCTCTCATTCCTCGCTCTCACATCTCTCTGCCCATCCTCGCCCAGAAACAACCACATTGGCCACTCTTCCGCTTCTGGTCCCTCCACATGGTCGTCAGCGCCCCCACGTCCACGCAAAATCTCGCCGGCCCTTCCCTCACCCCTGACCAAATCCACAACGACCTCCATCCCCAACTTCGGGTCTCCTCTTGCCGGAGGATCATTCTTCATTTTGAGCATCCGATGGATCATTTGCGTGCGTACATCGTCGTAGGCCGGTATGCGGTTCGCGTATTCCTCTGGAGGGGTATGGTCCTCGCTATCACTTGTAGCCGCAGGTGCAGGATCGGAAGGATCAGAAGTGGAGGTTGAGGTAGATGAGGAAGGTGGCGGTAGAGGCGGCAGTGGAGGGTATATACCCGGCGTGACGAACGATCCGGGTGCGAGGATGAGCGTTCGGATGTTGAATGAGCGTACTTCGGCGGAGAGGGTTTCGGTGTAGGCTATATATAGATCGTCCCAGGCCGGGGATGCCAGGGTCAGGATTCGAGGATGATCGTGAAGGCAGATCAGTGGAGTTCCAGAAGAGGTTAGGAAGGCAAAAGGTTTACTTAAGTGAATGTCAGAGGGGGTTGAGGATGGACTCTACTCACAGTGCAGAGCGGCTTTCGAAGCGGCATAAAGTCCTGGGATGCCGATCATAATCAGTGTATGTCTAGCGTGATGGAGTCGTTTCGAAGTTTACTGACCGACTCCCTGGATAATGAAGCGTGAAAATCAACTGTCAGCGAAACAAGAACTCAAATCGTCGACAAACGAGACAGCAGCAGAAAGGGAAACGCACAGCGAATTCATTCCTCCAAGCTGAGCGACTGCCCGTCATGACGATTGTCCCACTCCTCCGCTCTCGCATGTAGGGAAGGACAGCGTTGGTAACGTTTACGGCCCCAAACAAATTTGTTGCGAAGACGATTTGCATGGCTTCAGACCTGTGGAAGTACATAGACCATGGTCAGGAAATTGAGGAGGCGGCGGTCATTAGAGGGTGGATGGCAAAGGATGGGCGGTGGATTAGTCAGATAATCTTGAATGTGACGGTTCGAAGAGAAAAAACGGGCACAAAAATGGACAGAAGGGGAAACGCCAGCAAGCTCGGGTGTTAAGCTGGAGCATTCGGCAGTCGAAATTCACTCACCCACTCTCCTCTGTGACTCCGGCAATAGCCATCCCCGCATTATTCACCAACACATCTACCCTTCCCCACGATCCGTCCACAACATCTTTCACCTTCTCCCTAATAACTTTTGCGCTCTCAGTTACGTCCATCTCCAGAACGTGTAATCTCTTCTCTGGAGGCTCGCATAGATACTCGTCCAGCGTTTTCATTCTCATTTTCGACTGATATGAAGCCGCGTCCTCACGAACTTCGTCGAACAAGTCAGGGAGTAGAGCGTCCATCTTGGACTTTGTACGTGCTGTAGCAATGACATAGTCTCCACGAACGAGGCAGCGTTGGACAAGTGCGAGTCCAAGGCCGGAGGATGCACCTACATATACCGGAGCCAATTGTGAATGGAGCAAAAAAAAAAAAGAGAATGAGCAAGCGAAGAGAATGAAGACGTACCTGTGATGAGCCAAACAAGTCGACCTTTGACTTCGTGAGGTTTCTGCGTCTCTGAACCACTTGGGACAGCCATGGTAAAGAAGAGAGGTCTCTGTCTTGGTAGGATGACTCGGCGGGGTACCTTTATAGCTGGATTGTGCAAGGGATTCGCATCATGGCTGTCACTCTAATCAGATGCGTACGTCTACGCACGACGTCAATCCTCGTCAATCAGGCAACGTCGTATCAGAACGCTCGGATCTTGGAAGCGGGTAGACTTTGTGCCGACACTGAGCAGTACTGAACACGAAGGACTGCATGTGTGAAATGCTGGTTCTGTCCACTGTCGGAAGTTGCGTAAATGCGAAGAGTCTGCCAGCCCTTATGGGAACTTTTGAAACTTTGACCTGATATATGTACGTCGGATTCGTTGTCTGTATACTGTGCCCGGAAGCTGAGAGGGCCGGCGTGAGTAATAAACGACGAGTGAAGAGGACGGACAGGTCGCAGTCGACGGAAAGGGGCAAGTTCATTCACACCAAGCCTCCAGCGAGCCCGTGCAAAACAAGCGCTTGGTTATCTCACGTTGATTTGACGCTCGTAGACGCTCGCAGTACAATTGTCATCGGGATTCTTGGCCACATCTAAATACTCTGGTCAGACTCAAAGGGAATCTGCCCATCCCGACGATCTCCTTTCTACAGCTGCGAGCATGATATTGAGATAAACGTAGGTTTGCTTGGGCCTGAGTGTACTGCCAGTGGCATAAGTAATGCATTCTTTTAGGTAGACTTGATGAGGCCTGAGAGTTGGGGATGGCAGAACTTGAGAACTTGAAATTGCATGGATCTTTTGCCAACCTACCAGGTATGTCTGCATCAGACTCCGAGGTATGCTACCGCTTGGCCGTCGACTGTAACCATATCGTGCCTGAGTATGAGTAAGTCATTCGAGGTGGCCCCAGGTGGCCCAGTCGAGGAGCAGCTCGAGCGCCGAGAAGCCGAAGGCTTCTGGATTCAACAAAGACAAACAACCGCGCCCAACTTTGCGTCCTTTCGCGTCTGACTCTCAGCCAACTTGGCTAACGAGCTGTAGCTGCTGAAGTATTGCTATATATACCGTTCTCTCTCAACACGCGCTCACTGATGATGAAGCTTACAGACATCTGAAATTTTCAGCGAAGAGCCTTTGTAACCCAAAGTCTTAACTGGCGAATCAAGCGTCATCGAACGCAATCCATTCCATCCACATTCACAGAACGCCTGTTTTCAGCCTGAAACATGTTATATATCGTTTCTGCATCCTGACCGTCTTACTTCTACTCCCCCACCACACAGATATCTTCCAACTGACGGCCACGGCATGGCCCCCCTGGGCTCATCCTACCTACAGCTCGACTGGCAGGACATCGAGACGATGTGGAGGGGTCGCAAGCTTGAGGTTCGGCCTTCGATAGGACGGGAATTGGAGACGAGACGACATGGTGTGTGAAGGGGAATGAGACGGTACAAGGTGTGGTACTTGACAGCCCAAAGTAGAGGAAGTGTAACTTATACAAATGGTGCGTCTGATACATCTCTGTGACTATGTCCCTGCGATTGATTCTTCAAAGTTAGTCTTCACATTGCTATGGCTTGTCGACCGTTACATGGCGTCCCAGCGTCTATGATAGTATGTCCTTTCTCGCCCGTTCTTTGAGAATGAAAATATTGTTCCGGAAGGAATTGTCCAGTTTTTTTGAATGTGATACACGCTACGAAACGTTTCGACCTAAAGGTCATATAATCAGTAACATCTTCGTCGAAGAAATCATTTGACTCTCCACGAGTGTCTGCCAGACCAGACGCTCACCACAGCTCGCGCGGCTCGTTCTCGCGCGGATTCACTTGTACTCGCTTGTGCTTCTCAGCGCCACTCCTGAGCACACACACGTATAGGGCTCCTACGCAGACCTCTAACCCTCCTAAAAACGCTCCAGCAAAGCCCAACCTCTAGCTAGCTCAGAGACGGCCCATGACTAGATTTCGTCCATGTGGACCCAGCATGGTCTTTTCGTCGCATCCGGGCTCCACCATTGTAGTCGAAGGCCTATCTTCGACCCCCATCCGCCATCACCGAAGAACGCAGCTGAAATACATATGATATTGGTCTTCTGATTCTGGGTACGAAGGCTATGGCAGGACTGGCCATATCTTCGGACTAACTTTCGATCGCAGGATGCAAGGATGGGGATATCGCGCCACAAAGGTTCGGGAGTTCATTTTTTATATATCTTCATGATTGCTCCGACTGACGATCATGCAGATCATGCTCAACATCAGAAGAAAATGATTCCCTCGACTGGAACTGACCCCTTACTCGTTAGTGTGGACTGTAAGTGATGCGCGCAAGATCAAGTCGATTCTGGTGATCCTACATATATTTTTTCTTGCAATCAGGGTCTTGCGCTGGCGGTCACTACTCGTGGAGAAACCAAATTCAGGAGGGCACGTCGAAACATCGAAGTTGTGCCTTCTTCTCGTTTTATTTCTTCCTCCGTCGCCGACGAAATCAATTGAAATACTTACGAGCCAAGGTTTATGTCACTCTTCTCCTTCCGCATCCACAGATCGAATCTGGACTGGCCGTTCGTTTGGATATACACCGAACCGAAGATGCAAGCGTTTGCCAAAATGCATTGAACATATTTAATCCCTTTTTACGCAGCCTTTCTAATTATGGTGGCTTTGTCTATTTCCAGCACAATTCAACTCAACACCTTTGTTCCAAATTTAGAGACCTCCCCTGAAGCTGAAGTTACAAGGCGGTCCAATACACAGTCGATGCAGCCGAGGTCTATGCAGTCGCCCTAGACGGTTGCGCTCTAGCATCCGAGTCTTTATAGTCCTGCATCATATTGGAGGTGATATGACCCGAGAGGCCGCTCCGCTTTGGCTCCTCAAACACCACCATCGATATTTTCGATGCGTCATCCAAGTCACTTGAGATGAATCGGTACGTATGCGTTTACGTCCCGAACCAAGCGATGGTCATGCTCATTCAACGTATTGACGGCGACGCCAGTGTCATTCAACATTCCCTCTCGGATGTCCCAAGCATTCGTCGCACTCTCATGTTCCGAGAAGCCTCCAGACGACCTCAACGCTATTAATTGTTTATTATTCTCGCAACTGCAGCACGAGGAAAAATACCACGGACCATTCTCGGCCACTCCAGCTTTCACGATCCGAAATGGTCGCGTCTTCCTTCGGTCACTTGGGCCCTCGTCAGACACCGAGACATCTCCAAGTTGCGGACGCGAAGATCGCCTCAGAAGGTCATGCACACGAACCCTTACAATGCCATGATGGTCCTTCTACTTCTCTCGTCATATAGCCACCGCGTCCTATTAGGCAAAAGCATCCAATACGCTTTGTCGGTGCTCAGGTGCTGATGTTGATGCTATCTTTTGTAAACGGCTCTATGTTCCCACGGGTCCCAAGAAGAACCTCTGTCAGTCCCTGCTCCCGTGCTCACGCCGGGTAATATTCGTGATTTCTCGTTCTGACCCTCCTCGACGGATAGACTTCGGTAGGCTGCCACCGCATATGCACTCGGGATTATAGCTTGTGGACGGAAGAATATGACGCTTCCTTGGAGACCAACTCGACGTACTCGAGGTCAGGGGGATAGTCAACTGAGTGCGGGCCATCGTTCTCGGACTCATAACTCTTGTGGATTTCATACAAAAGGCCTCGTCGACGCTGCTCAGTTCTCTCCAACCCAGTCCACTCAACGGTCTTTGGTCACTCCGGTCTAAACGGTCCACGACAATCGACAAAATGTTCCGCTCTACCGCTCTCCTCTCCTTCTGCCTCTTGGCTCAGCGTGTCCTCGGCCAACAGGTCGGGACTCTCACTGCTGAGACCCACCCCACCGTAAGCACATGCTTGATGCTGCTACATTTGACGTGGTGCTGACCTGTCTCTGCATTCTTCTAGCTTCAAGTCTCCGAGTGCGCTGCTGGTGGAACTTGCACGAGCTCCAGCTTGCCCATCGTCTTGGACGCCAACTGGAGGTGGACTCACTCCACTACTGGTTCCACCAACGTACGACTACTTTTGTTCATCGCATATCTTTCCTCCTGATGACGACGTATCCATTAGTGCTACACTGGTAACGAATGGGACGCCACCCTCTGGTAAGTTTTTTTCTGCAAAAAGTCTGGCATCGGAACCCATTTTGACCGACTTGCTCTCTCCTTGTCTAGCCCTGACGATACCACCTGCGCTGCCAACTGTGCACTCGACGGTGCTGACTACTCCGGCACGTACGGTATCTCCGTCAGCGGCGACGCCTTGACTCTCAAGTTCGTTACTCCCAACTCCAACGGCCAGAACGTCGGATCGCGTGTCTACTTGATGTCCTCCGACACTGAGTACAAGGAGTTCAACCTTCTCAATCAGGAGTTCACCTTCGACGTCGACATGAGCACGTAGGTCACATTTCTCTCTACCACAACTTAGCTCAGCTTTGAGTTTCGAGAGCTTATGAAAAACTTTCGAATTTGCTTAAAGCTTGCCCTGCGGCCTCAACGGTGCCCTTTACTTCTCTCAGATGGACGCCGATGGTGGTATGGCTAGGTTCCCAACCAACAAGGCCGGTGCCAAGTACGGAACTGGCTACTGCGACTCTCAGGTAAGCATAACGTCTCCCACGCGCATCGTAATTGAAACTGATCACGACAACAACAGTGCCCTCGTGACATCAAGTACATCGATGGAGAGGCCAACGTCGCGGGCTGGAACGGCACATCCACCAACTCTGGTACTGGTTCCATGGGTTCTTGCTGCTCCGAGATGGACATCTGGGAGGCTAACAGTAAGAATTTTACTCATTTCATCATGATTACAGACTAACCGACGAATTGTCTGCCTTTCCAGCTATGGGTGCCGCTGTCACTCCTCACCCCTGCAGTCTTACTGAACAGGTATAGGGCTTACTTTCTTTCTCTTTAGAACCTGTTGCTCACCTTGTCGATTTTTCATGAAGACTTCCTGCACTGGCGATGACTGCGGTTCTCCTGACCGCTACGCCGGAGTTTGTGACCCCGATGGTTGTGACTTCAACTCGTACGCCGGGTTTCTTCCATCTTTCGTTGACGGTCTCGCGTTTCTGAATTCATCTTCGTTCACTAGCTTCCGTATGGGCGACGAGTCCTTCCTCGGGCCAGGCTTGACCATTGACACCACCCAGAAGATCACTGTCGTCACTCAGTGTATGCACATATATCCACTCTTTCACTCAGGGTATATCATTGACAATGGCTCGCATCCAGTCATCACCGATGACGGTACTGCCGACGGTAACCTCGCCCAGATCAACCGTGTCTACGTTCAGAACGGCCAAGTCATCCAGAACTCTAACTCTACCATCCCCGGTGTTACTGGTAACTCGATCACGGACGACTTCTGTGACGCTCAGAAGACCGTAAGTGTCCAATACACTGGTCCTGATTCGTTTGACAATACTTCTTGTGCTTTATACTCATACCGTTTCACCCTTAGGCCTTTGGCGACACAAACGACTTCGACAAGCACGGCGGTCTCGCTCAGATGGGCGCTGCCTTCAAGGCTGGCATGGTTCTCGTCCTCTCCATCTGGGATGACTACGCTGTCAACATGCTCTGGCTCGACTCCACCTACCCGACGACCGACACCGCCGCCGACCCCGGCGCCGCTCGCGGAAACTGCTCTACCACCTCCGGTGCCCCCGCTGACGTCGAGTCCTCCGCCGCCAGCGCCGCCGTCATCTACAGCAACATCAAGTACGGCCCCATCGGCTCCACGTTCTCGAGCACTGGCACTGGTACTGGCGGAAGCTCCACCGCTTCTGCTCCTCCCACGTCTACCTCTTCTGCCGCTGGTGCCGCCCAGACCAAGGTCCGTCTTTCCGATAGTTTTGATCTATCCCACATATTAACTCAATATTTCTCGGTAACAGTACGGCCAGTGCGGTGGAACCGGCTGGACGGGACCCACGGCCTGTGCCTCTGGCTCGACATGCACGGCTTCCAACCAGTACTACAGCCAATGTCTCTAAGAGATGAGCACAGCTCTATACTCTCTCAAAAAGACTGATATGGTGAGTTTCTTCCTCTTTGATACTTTCCATATCAACGAACTTCCTTAACTGACTCTGCTTCATCTTGCTCAGATACTGCTGTAGATGATGGGTTTTGAGAAGTTGGACTGTTGGGTACTAGACTGGGTAAAAATCGCTTGTATTCATGTTTCGCTTCCTTGCCACATAGCCCTCCACTCCCTCTGCTCTCATGTTCTTGTAAAATTGTTCGTGTCTTGGTCTCAACGGTGTCGAGTGTCTCTGGTGTATCTATCGATTGTAACGCGACTCGTATATAGGATTGGCAATTCATTCCTTTATGCATCGAATCCTTGTGTGCTATGGGTCACTGAGGGCGCCACATCTCTGACAACTTAGCGCCACAGCCCGGGAGCAATCGGGGCATTCGCAATCTTTCCCTTCCGATTCAATGCGTCTTCACGAACTTGTTTACGAACTTGAACGCTCGAGAACGACTTTCCAGCGGGAGTGGCAAGTATCTGGCTCCGCTATATAAGGACACCGCTATCGAAACTGTCGATGACTCCCCAACGACGATAAAATCGCCTACGTTTGGTCCTGATCCGAGTATCCATGAGGCCACTCAGATCCACTGGGCTGAGACTTCTCTACGACCTCTAGCCGTTTTTGCCACCTAGCGTGTGAGTATCTTCACCATGACACCGGCAAATGATCACGTTGCTCGGCTGTGGCGATGTTGAATCCTTTCTTTTGTTTGTTCCGTTGACAAACAACATCGCAGTCGGCGCTTACCACGATCTGTGTAGATTTCTCCCTAAGGTTCAACATCATCAGCAATTTGTAGGCCGAAGCCATGCCTCTTCACATTTGCGACGCTCCGAATTGTCAGCAACCCGCTGTCCGTAGACAGGGTTCGTGCGTTCTCTGTAAACGCCACCTTTGCGTTCGTCATCTCAAAAAAGACTTCCATACTTGTCCAGACCTTGATGTAAGCTTTATGATTATGATCCCCAAGCAAACTCTTTACTAACCCAATTTTTAGACGGATGAAGCTGCCTTCATCGCCGCCGACCATCGCGCCACCGAAGACGAGCTTTCCAACTTGTTTTCGCGCATCAATCTCTATGCTTTGCGTGTGAAAGCCACCTTCCTCCGCGATGGGATACCCTGTACGATCCCTCCATTGTCTACCACAGCTCAGGGCCACGGACCCTTGCCTATGGGCGGCCAAAATTATCACATTGTCATAACCTTCGACGATGGTGTAGAGTGGATCTGCCGCGTCAGGCGAGAGAACGCGTCTTCCCCTCCATCCACTATCCAAGATCATCTTCTGCTCAGCGAAGCTGCTACCTATCGGTTTCTTGTCACCGCGAACGTCCCCGCCCCGAAAGTATACTACGTTGCAACTGCATCACCATCGAACCCAGTCGGCGTAGGGTATCTGCTAATGGAGAGGTTAAAGGGATCGCCTATGGACTGGTACGACCTGCAGCCGGACGCAAAGAAGAAGATTTTGGATCAGTTCGCAGACATCTTCATTAAGCTCAAACGACATCGACTTCCATCCATTGGCTCTCTTGCTATCAACGGGGATTCCTATAATGTTGGCCCCCTCACATCTGAGACCACCATGGACATCGACAGCGGCGTTCTGCATACGCTTGGGCCGTTCACCTCACCTCTCGAATATCGGACGGCGACACTCAAGCATGAAATCGAACTTATCTTGCGCGGGGAGAGCTACCCTGACAACGCCGTCGACGCCTATCTGGTGCATCGGTACGTTCTCGACAACGTTCAGGCCGTCGCGCGGCGTGAGCAAGGTTCCGACACGTTGTTCTACCTCAAACACACAGACGACAAGGGCGACCAGATTCTCGTCGACGAGTCTCACAACATCGTCGGAATCGTGGATTGGGAACGCTCGCAAGTGGCTTCGTTCGCAGAGGCGTTTGCAGCCCCGCTGTTTCTCCTCGATGTTGGTGCGTACTACGATGGGCTGAACGAGCTGAGCGAGGACGAGGCGTTGTTCGCTTCCATCTTGGAAGCCAAGGGTCATCAGGATCTCGCTCTGGCCGTACGCGGCGGTCGTTTCGAGCATCGCTTGATGTCCTGCGTTACAACGGACCTTGGGGATCCCGAGTTTTTTGGGACGCTATTCATGGGGCTGTGTAAGTCGCTGAGGAGGGCGAAGGGCGAGGCGACGTGGGAGGCGTGGAAGGAAGAGGCTCTGCAGAGGCACAAGAAGGACCCGGAGCTGCAGCAGCTCCTCTCAAGGCAGTAAGCTTTCGACTATGGCTCCTAGTTACCCACACTATTCCTGTTACTACTTTCCATGAACGCGCTCGTTTGTTAAACATGTTGAAATTACGATTACCACTTTACTAGCAACGATGTTTGACATAGTATTACTTTTGTCTCTGAGTGTAATATTCTAGTTGCTCCATTGTTTGCCCCTATCTTTATATTTCGTGCGGGAGTTGGGAAGAGTCGAAACCGTTCTACGTATTGTATGATATTTCCTATGGTGGCCCATCAAACCGATGTCTGCTGCCGCCAGAAAGAGTTAACCTCGCTCTTCCTCGGGCGAGCACAAGGGCGCCAAGGCTTCAACATCTTCAGGGTTAGTTGGCGCAGCTGCAGGTTTCTCTTTATTCAACTACCTCAACGGAAGACGTTACGAACAAGTATAATCAGTATGAGAACCGAAAGTCACTGGGAGATATACGAGACGTACGGCAATGAAGATAGCACAGCCTAAGATAATGACTATACCAGCTATCGAGAGGAGAGGAGGCTGTACGTGGAAAATGTAGCGTTCGAAAATGAGGGCGAATACAACCTAGTGAACGAACAGGAGATATTGAGATGTTGATCTCAATAGCACGTATGAAAGAGACTTCCGACTTACCAGAAGGTATATGCCCATCGACGCTCTTCCCGCAGCCTCGCGTTGAAAGCCCGTGATGAGCAGCATCTGAAGTGATCGAGGGTCTTTATATGCATGATCAGATTGACTAGGAGGCGTTAGGAGCACGAACCTGTCCGAAGAAACCGAAGGTCCCGATGACAAGGAAGAGAACAATCCACTCAGTCTGTGTGGGGATCACGAATGGTGTACGCGTCACCAGCATCCTATGTGCAGCAGCATGGTTATTAGGACCAGCACACTCTCGTATGAAGGACGATACGATATAACCCACCCAATCGGTGACACAATCGAGCACATCAACGAAAAGTAGGCCATAGAGTGCGCCGCATGAGATCTCTTTCCAATTGCTGCTATTGTAGTGTCTGAACGGAGGAAATTGGAAGGCGATTCATGATAAGTTCTCTTCAAAGCACAGAAAGCGAGCTTACAAGCTCCAGCGGCGCCCACAGCTCCTATTATTGCCACCCTGATTCCACAGCGAATCATGAGGACTAAGGGATAACCAGTCCGAATGACAGACTTACCCAACTGCAGCAAGTCTCTGCTCTGGCGTTACATGTTGCGAAGGAGGACCATCCGAGTCTACCTCTGCGGCTGGATCGCCAAAGATCAGAGGAGGTCGAGCGAGAGAATGACTCCCAGAAAGCTGCATACTAGCGGATACATAGAATTATTAGCGCAGTTAGAATAGTTATAAGGTCAGAAATTGGCGTACATCCAGCGGCTATTATCTTCAACGAAAGCTTCTCGCCGAGGAAGACAGCAGCGACGATAGCGGTTAAAGATGGAGTCAAGAACGTCAAGACAGTGGCGTCCGAAAGAGACAGGTATTGCAGGGAATAATATATGCCAAATAGCCCGAAGAACCTGGGGATGAGAGGCGTCACCAGTCAGCAGAAGCATTTGTGTTGCCAAAGTTAGAACAGACCCGAAGATTCCTCGAAGCACAAGCAGAAGTCGGACACCTTTAGGGCCCAAGAATGGGTCTGGTACAGAGCGAGCCCACCTTTGGTACGACACATAAGAGATAGGGTCTTCAGAAGAAAGATGGAGAGACGCACATATAGGTCATGCACAAAATATAAGTCATGCTCTAAAATAACATCGTCTGTGTTCAACGGTACGGAGGAGTCAACAGTGAACTCAACTGCCCACCATTCGCACGAATATAAGCTGGATTTATCGACCACGTCAACAGCGAACACATATATACAATAACCAAGGCCACAGTCGTACCTCTAGCGTTGGTACGGGCTCATCCAAACTATGAAGCTGCTTGACAGAAACGTCCATAACCGCGAAAAATAATTGAGCAACCATGACCAGTAGCAAGCCAGTGTTGCCCTTGATGAACGTCTTTACAACCTGGTGTTTACTGTACCACCAACGCTCCTGCATGATCAACATATCGGGAATTTCTGGGCCTATATCCTCGTGTCCATGTTCGGTTTGTTCAGATGCTGGAGTGAAATAGACTTCTCCTGTATGGCTCTGTGCGTGGGAGCCATCAACCTCTGGGTCTTCCGACAGAATTGCAGCATATCCGTCTCTTCCGGTCATTGAGAGCCAAACTTGTTTTTGTGCTTGTGAGATGCTTGTCTGGGGTATAAGCACGGATGGGGTCGATAGCCTCACAGCCCGAAGTAAAGATCAATCTGTTTAAGGGACGGGATGTGCGAAATGCAGAACGCTGCTGACAGACTACGCACGTATAAATAGGGCTTTGATAATGACTCGTGAGGAGGACCCTTCAGGTGGGGGTTCCCACATTTGTCAGGAAAGATGAAGGCGGACATGAGGGATGAGAAGAACCTATATCCGGACATCACGGGCCCTCTATGCAGCACGCGAACCTTTGAGTGAAAGGATATGACACCACGAAATCAGGCAAAGAGATAGTGACATTTTCGAGCTTGGGACGACGAGACTCAGCTTTCAAGAATAATACGTTCACCAAACCAGCATTCATCCAAGATAGCGAGTACTTATACAACGATTTTAACTTCGACCATAAATGTGACGTGCTGCCGTCTCCTTGATAATAGCCTCCAAGCTCAGCATCATGCAGACACCTGAGACGCACGGCGTGCCATTGAAACATCAGAGTTCAGATGAATTCACGGAGGATGGCAAGAGGCACCACTCACTGACTAATTCTATTGCTCTTCGCCCCCGTCGCGACCGTCCTCCTGAGGTATCTCAGAATTCGACGAATCAGCCTGGTGGGTCGCCGACGGTGTCAACGGGCTGTCTAGCCTATGTCCCATACTCGCTATCGGAATGTCTCCGTTGATCAGACCTTCAGTTATGCTCGCCCATCTCTTGTTATGAACATAGCCTGTCTTCTTTTTATCCCAGATACCATATCTACCACCCCACAACAGCGTCTGACCGCCTATTTTCAGGCTTTTCCCCACGAACTGCCTGAAGGTGAAAAGCACGAAGGCAGTGCCAAGCCCACCGTCTGCCTGCACCCTCTCCGAGGTCCTCGTGTCGCTTTCACGGAAAAACTGCATCCCTTGCCTCGTTGAGGCTGAGAATGGTTGGCGGCTGATGTGGCCGACCATGAAGCACGATGGCCCGTAGCCCCCTGCGCGAACGAAGGGCATACGAATGACCAGCACGTCTAGGTAGTGTTTGTTGAGCGCTGTAGGATTATTATGCGCTTCAGAAGCCTCGGTGGCCGCCCATTCAAAAATCCTCTTGTACATCTAAGCCATGGGTATGCATTTCATATAAAAGAGCATGAAAGTGTAAGAAAAATCAATCGAGTGTAATAAGCTAGCAACTGACATTGATCCACTGCGTCATATCGTCGACAGGGGGTGGCCCGCATATTTTCTTATGCTCTCGCCAGTCAGCTCGCTGGCAGTCCTTACTCTATGATCGCGCGCAAGAAAACCCATCGTTAATAAAGTTTCGGTCTAGAAGTTGGCAAAGAGGACACTCACGCAATACCGGACTGCACGACAATGAGCACAGACCTTCATCTCGCACCCGGAGTAGTTGTCGAGCGGGCAATTTCGATAATTCTGGCAGACGCGCTCAGGCTTCGGGTCTTTCACGAGGACCCCCAGTTCAGAATTTATGATAGGCATATTATGAGAAGAGAGTAACCGGGGAGTGCAGACGATAAGAGAGGCTTGTGATGGATGCGGGGAAGGTGGGAGCTGATGGGCAACGGTTACGGTGATAACCACGTTTACGGAGGCCACATTTGGTTGACTGTTTGCGGTGGAGACGGGACTTCCGACCCTTTGATACGGGACCTATTGGAACTTTGTCAAAACGTCGCGCATCAATTATGTAGAGTTTCGTCAAACCAGGTCGAATCCCGCTATGCGTCGTGTCCGCTGGGTGAACCTTCAAAGGTGTATGAGTTTCGGGACCGAATTCTATACTACAAGGGGGGCGAGAAATAATCGCTGTCTAGTTCAAGTTCCACCCGCGAAGTACCCCGCCTGAGATACATACTAATAAGAATCTTCTTCGCCATGTCTAGATCACAACTTACGCAGCCGTTTCGACATTAAACTCCTTTAACTTGTCTACCGTCATTTTCACCTGTTCCTCCATCGAGAGCTCTAACGGAATCCTTATGGTCCCCGCTTCCGGCTTACCACCCTCGCCTTCCAACGGATCTTCCAAAGTCTGCAATTGTGAGTCCAACATGGACGCCTTCATAAAATGATCCTTCCGCTTGTGCATCCTCTCCAACAACAAATCCCTCGCCCCATGCGGATGTACGAAAAAGGTTCTCAACGCAGGCGGCGCGGGATGCGGATGGTCGTTCTTCGTTGGCTCGTGGTCGTTGTGCGGCGACGGAGGATAGGAAGGATGTTCGTCCGATGGGGAGGGCTGACGAGCCGTCTCCAAGACTTCCTCGTGCGTCTGGTGGTCCTCCTCCAGTAATACCCTATCTCCCCGAAGAACCTCCCTGTAACTCTTCTTCAACGCAGAGCAAGCCACGACAACACCCCTGCCTCTGCCAGCCTGCTTGTCTTCTTCAGAACCGTCCTTGTGCGGAGCGAGACCTTCGCGAACGATGCGACCGGCTTCGTCACGGACCTTGACGAGCCAAGGGGCGCGGTCCGCATCCGTAAGAGGGATTCCGGCTGTCATCTTGGCTCTATTGGCCGGCGGATGGATGTCGTCTGCGTCGATGAAAGGGAGATGGAGCGCTTCCGCGATGCCAGACCCAAGGGTGGATTTCCCACAGCCAGATACGCCCTATTAAACGAGAAACAAACAATTAGATAAAGAAACTATGACAGCAAATATAGTCCTGAATCAATTGAAGACACACCATCACGACGATGAGAATGGGAGAGGAAGACGTAGCATCGGAGGACGAGGTACCCTCAGGGTGTGTAACTTCCTCGACGTCGTCGGGCATGATATGTATGGGTGTCGCTGTAAAGCTCGACAGTGTGCTTCAAAGTATCCAGAAGATCGCTAGGATCGTAGACGATGATGGGAATGTAGACGAAGCTTTCTAAGAATCGATATACCGGACATTTCAACCTGGACGCTCCGTGTAAAGTCCGGCGAGGAGACGTCACAGAGGAGACCACGGACAGACGGACCGGACCCGATGCTCCAAGTTAAGTAGCGATGGCCCTAACCCCATACTAGGGTCCACCTCATCACTTCTTGCGCTCACCTTCCAACTTACATTTATACGGCCTAAATGTCTAGCTCTCGTTCACTCGAAGACACTTATGAGGCGCAGAACGACCAGAGACTGGATGAGTTACACTCGAAGATTCGGACATTGCGGGGGGTGGGTGCTTCTTATTCACCGCGGTATGTTGGTATTTATGTTAGAAGGGCTAGGTAACAACGGACATATACGATGATGCAGAACGGCAGAATCTTACACTTGATGAGACTGTGAGCTCTTGATTATTACCTCGTGTTGCATGGGCTGGAAATGCTGACCACGGTGCTGGTGCCCAGTCGAACTCCTTCACATCCTTCACATCTAGTCTCACTGCTTCTGCAAGCCGCATGACTCGCTCCTTCTCACCTGGGACGCTCACAATCATGCGAATATCAGCTTATGTTGTGGGTTTCTTGATCGGAGTATGGCTTCTGAGAGGAATATTTGGATGGTGGTTCTCTGGAACGGAAACACCTGCTTAGGCACCACTCAAGTGCCTTGGTGAGCTTGAGGGTCAGCATGTTCGAGGTTGGGGTGCGCCTCATGTCTGAATCAGGTATGCCATTGCTCTATCGTGTCGCCTTCATGGAGTGCTGAGTTTACTCCGGCGTACCTGGGCAGGTTCTAGACAGATGCTTCGAATGCCAATCTGAGTGGCGATACCTCTTCACGTTTGAACGGACTATAAATCTGTAATATTGTTTATCTTCTCCCCTGATTTCATGGAACGTAATTGGGTCTTCCTCGTACGAGCTCTGCTAAGCCGTCTATGTGAGGACAAGCCATACCTTTTGAAGACGCCAACCGTCCTGTCATGCGAAGGAGATGCTATGCTTTCACGTTTGTCCACGCCCTCGTCAGTCCTCAATTCTATGCTTCTAGAGAAACGCTCATAATTCTTTTATCCCACAGGTGTTATCGGACATTTTAGGCCACATCAAGAAAGTATGCTGGTCCTGTGAATTCTTAACGCAACAACAACATTCCGCGCAGTCGACGTGGTCGTAACTTACCTGCACGCACCCAACGTCAATGACCCCGTCGTGAGATCATGCCGCGTAATGAGACTACAATGGGCCACTTCTCATCTGTGGGCGCTCGAAATATACAATTGGCAGAACTGTGCTCTGACTCGGAATCTTTTGCGTTCGATACCATGACATTCTTGGACTGGATGCCAGCCTTCACCGTAAACAGGTACCGGCCGGCTTGCAACTTTATCGATTCACTCCTCTTGACCTCCATCCGAGGTAAGTACGTATCCTACAAAAGCGCCTCTGGACAAGTGATTCAGCAAACCTATTGCCTACCTCTTTTCGTATCAGATGCTTACAAGTATCCTAAGTGCACAGATCAACCCTTTGTCAAAGGTCTCATGGGCCAAGAGCACGCGTTGAACACTTGTAGCCCTGTGCTAATAATCGCAGAGTTTTGGCTGAAAACGGAAATTACCATCATCAAATCATTTATGTACGAAGGTCCCACATGCCTTGCCGTGGAGACACGTCTCCATTAGGCATGCGACCCTTAGACGGAAAGAGCCCTTATATATGCCCAGTCCTCCGCACATTTGTATCTCCATCCACAATTCCTCCCCAGCGTTATCAGATAACTCATCATCTCCACCTTCGATCTCACCATACATGCCTGCTCTCCCCAATATCCCTCCTGTCATTTCAGTCGCCGAGCTCTACGCGCTCTTGGACAAATCCACCTCGGACTCTCCGCGTGTGATTCTCCTTGACGTCTCCATTGCCCTGCCGCCACACTCTGAGTATACTCAATACCTGGAATCGCGTCTTCCTGGGGCGCGTTTTTTCAGTCTGAAGCGCTGGGGCAGTCAGCCTTACGATGCGTCGAGCAAGACCGGTCAAGGTGGGCCACGAATAGCTGACAAGTGGCGTGACCTTTGATGCTCGTCCTGCTTCATCTTTTAGAGTCCCAGGATAGCGCCCTTCAAGGATCTCCCAGCATAATGCTCCCTACTCCATCGAAGTTCTGCGCTGGAATGCGGTATCTGGGTATCAAGACAGGCGATCATATTGTTTGCTATGATACCATGGGCTTCTGGATGACGGCGAGAGGGGCGTGGATGCTCAAGGTGCATTTTGTACTTTCTTCAGGCTGTCTTGAGTTGAAACTTCTTGAAACTGACGATATGTGGCGGTGACGCTACAGGTCTACGGACACGAGAACGTCTCCCTCTTGAACGGAGGCCTTCCAGCCTGGAAAGCAGCAGGTTACCCAACCGAGTCAGGACCTGTCCCAGCAGTCGAGCGGTCTGACTATCCTTATGCTTTGCCGGAGAAGAGTCTTATTAAAGGTATGATTAGCTGCGAGCTCCCTTGGTCCCTCATCTCTTACGATTATTCGCGGATCGCCACTAACGCTTTGATTCGTTCCATGCATAATTGAATTACGCAGAATACGAGGATTTGGAAGTCTTAAATAAGAACCCCGAACGACGTGTCTTGATAGACGCTCGTCCTCCGAATGAGTACACCGACGGCCATATGCCCCACTCAGTACCCCTTCCCTTCTTCGGACTTATGCGACTTCCGGATCCACCTGCTGCTGCTCACGACTCGGAGCAGAGTCAAAGTGTGAACGGGGAGGACTGGCTAGAGGCTAGCGAGAGAGCAATGAATGATAGACAAGGTGGCGCGAAGGGGAGAACATGGTTCGAATTACTTCCGCGTGAGGAGTGGGAGGCTGTTGTGAGGGGCGTTCTTGGAGACAATACGGTGACAGACTTGGTTGAGGGCAAGAATGAAGGGAGAGAGGTAGTGGTCACGTGTGGTTGGGGTGTAAGTGTTCTCTTGCTTTGAATGCAACTATAAATTCTGCTAATTAATATTATTTAGATCTTGGCCTGCGGGCTCTGGCTCACACTTGGCCAACTTGGCGTCCCTGTGTCCGTTTATGATGAAGTACGCTTGCGTATACTCCCTCTTATTTATCTTCGTATGCTGAATTGTACGGAACAGAGCTGGGAGGGGTATGAACTGCGCCCCGGGAATCCCATCATGAAAGGTGGCGTTGTGGCCCAGCCTCCTCAATATGAGGCCGTGCCAACTTCTCCTTCCTCCCACGCACCCACAATCGGTTTGTCCGAGGTCGCCGCTGGAACTACCACGGGAAAATTGAGTTTCCAGGAGATTCAGATCAAGCTCGACGACTTAGAGGATGACGGCACGCCCGATGTTGGGGAGGTGTCCGCCAAGACGACGTAGACATTTAGAAATATCGAACACGGTTGAAATCAGAAGAATTCTGACACTCGTGATTTGGTACGGAGGTCACTAGATACATCGGCTCTCAACACAAATTCGGAGCTTTCATAACACTAATGAACACTGTACGCGCGCAGAACCTGCCACAGACCTCTCCACAAACAAAGTATGAACGCGGACGCGCTGGTTCAGCCCTTCTTACGCTCCATCCAAAACGCCGAGCAGCACAACTCCTACGGCCGTCAGCATCGGCGCATACCCCCAATGATTCCACTGCCCATTCCCGACTTGAGTCAGGCAAATCAAGCCATCCGCATACGCCACACCGCTCCCAGCGACCAAAATCCAACCTAACGCCTTCCGGTCTCCGAAGTACGCGACTGAGTAGATGGCCAGTCCCATGAAGATGTCTCTCACACCGTAAATGAACGTCAAGCCATCGATGAGAGCCTTGTTCGAAGTGGTAGCGAGGGCTTCGAATTCGAAGAATGTGAGGGCGTGGTCGGGGCGCAATATGGCGTTGATGCCGAATCCGACGAAGATAGTTGCGAAAGCGCTGGCGGCGATGAGGAGGGAGGGCGACTGGGATAATTTTCGACCCATTGTATTACTGGAGAGCATATGTGTATGTCAGTTGACCGATGCGTTTCGCAACATGCATGTATATCCGAACCTCTCAGGCTGTTTTTGGGGCAGTATTGACTTGAGAACTTTTCAACAAAATAATGGTACCTCTGTACCTACGATAGATCAAGATCCGGTACTTTTGAGACCTAACGAAGAGACGAAATGAGCCGTATAAATGACTTACTGAGCTGAAGTGAGTCTTAAAGTTGATGGGGCTGAACAGGGGGTTTCACGGAGGAAGGCTACGATTTATATAGGCAAAGCGTCGAGGCGCAAGAGTCAGCTTTTTATGTACTAACCGATGAGAATTGATGGCACATCTTCGCCGTGATTTCTCACAGATTCCCACTCGAGTCATGGACGCTGCAGCATAGCATGATCGCGGCGGCCACCTCGCCACTCATATGAAGAAGTGCTCTGTGTCTCAGATTGGCGCTCACGTGGCTTGGCCCTGTTGTTTCCGACGATCGTTTCCTGATTCTTGACCACAGCCCAATCCCCAGAACCATCACAACTCATCCACAACTTTATTCAAATACATAAGATGTCCAGACACAAACTAGTTGAGACTCTCGATAGTGCTCCAGGAATCGATGGGGAACTTGAAGGTCCTCGACGGTACGAGTTACATCCCCACGGAGTCAATGCTCACTCAGACCGTACTAGTCGTCATGTCTGAGCTGATCACCGCGAATTATAGGCACTCGGATTCTGGCACTCTGGCGGACCTTCTACAGGATCAGAACAAAGTCTTGCTCCAAATAGTCGAGACGCAAGGATAAGTCATAGGTACTTAACGCGAGGGGAGTGGTCTACTCGTAGCACATCGACTAATCCTTCGCTTCCAGGGTCTTTGGCAGCGATACAAGGTGTACTGTCCCGAATCGACAACAGTAAGGCTGCTGCTGGTGAGCATCACATTAAAATTTACTCCCCGACTCATATTAGAAGTCTGAACAATCCGATGAAAGATCACTCTTGGCAGCCGATACAGCAAATTTCGGCGACTTCCTCTAGTGGTTGGAATCCCTTGTATGACTCGATGATGCAGCAGACGATCATGCCTGCCGTCGATCGTTGGAAGAGTACCTTGGACACACTCTTGATCTTTGTAAGTGCTCGACGGTCTGCATCTCAAGTACCGATCCTAATGTCCCCTCATTGTATAGATTGCACTATTCTCTGCTATCGTGACCACATTCTACATCCAGTCATCGAACGGCCTATCTCCAGACGCTGCTTTCGAAACTAACCAGCTACTTGCGACCCTTACAGATGTCGTCATACTTCTGAGTGGCATCAATTCCTCACAGCTTAGCCTTCCAGCTCCTGTTGCCTCCGAACCAGAGGCAAGCACTCTGCGCCTGAACTTTTACTGGTCAACATCTATAGTCCTCAGTGTAGGTTATCCCATGTCAGTTCCGGAAGGTTCGACCATTCACTCATCCATCTTTTAGATATCTGTTGCTTCCCTCGCGGTGGCGAGCCGAGGTTATCTGGCGTTATTCACCCGCTCTCGCTACAGGGAGACTTACAAGGAACTTGTTGATATTCGTAGACGATGGCAATATGCCAAGCGTCAGCTGGGGCCTTTGGTCAATGCTCTGCCCCAGTTTCTGATCATATTTGTGCTGTTTTTCCTCGCTGGCCTTTTAGACAGCATGACATCTGATTGGCTTTCAGCCTCCCCTCGCTCTGGTCTTTCTCTTGCTTCTGCGATCCTGGCTGCGATCAATGTTGCGGCAGCAGGAGACATCATTATCTATACCTTCATCCATGGCTGCCTACATCCCTCGACCTCGCCTTTTCAGTCGACAGCGTCTCATTATGCAGAGATCTGTGGTCGACACCTGTCACGATTATACAGGTCTCTCATGAGTCGTCTACGCTCCATGATGGACGTCCTTCTGGCAGGGGCAGCATCATCTGAGAGAGCTGTTCATGAGGAATTACAGGCCTACTATACGAGTGTCCAAACCACACACGACGATGATTCTCTTGATTTAGCCGCTGCGGCCCTCCTGAATACACTCAAATTAAATCTTAAATTTTCTTCGTACCGTGGAGGAAGTCTTGTTCTGTCGGATCAGGCTGTGCAAACTTTGCATTTTCTCCTTTCCCCCAAGGCTAGTATCCGAAATAATGTCACTGCTGCATTGTCAATCTGCCAAATTTACAGTTAGTTCATTGATTCACCTTCCAAGACTTAGATCTCACATATGATCCTGTTTTGTATGCGCAGATTATGGCGGGTTCTGGAGACTATGCGACAAGAGCACAATGGCCAGCGTTGTGGGAGTCCTGATATCAGCCGCTGAGCGATGTTCCGCGACGACAACAGGGACAGACTGCTTCTCATTGCTATGGAACTCACACTTCTCGAACGCCATGGCATGCATCGTTGCAAATGACTGGGATGCGATAAAACATGATTTTGCTGAAATAAATGGCACAATTCGACTCCTTCTAGCAGACTACCGTGATCTACTGCAGATAGAGGTTCCCTTACGTGAAAGTGTCGCTCACCACGCACTCTCTGTTACCAAGGCAAAATTGCTCTCCGCCCTACCATTGTCAACTCCAGAGAGGGACTGGGATGTAGACGAGACAGCTTGGGACTTCGCGTGCGACACTGTGTTAGCTCCTTTTGCTTCCGTGATTCAGGTGCAAACTCTGGTATCAGAGCATCTTAAACGGAGCGTGCAAGCGTTCATATCTTCAAAAGCTTTGGGTCGCAGTGATAGGCCTGTCATATACGCACTTGTTCGTTGGCTTAGTAAAACTCTGGGCACAAAGTTCGCTGTCCTTGTCATCCAGTCGATCGTTCATTGTCTAGAGAATGTGAGGGAACATCCTCAGATTCATCAGATTGATGTTCTGGATCAGCTGACTGTGTTTAAGGTGTCGCCCGATCCTGTCACGGTACAGGATGCACAACTTGTCATTCGAGAAGTCCTGAAATTAATGGCAGCCGCACGAAAAGCTTTGACCCCAGCACATCCCGAGTCACCTTGTTGTCAAGAAAAGTCGCATTACTCATGTGACTTTTTCTGTTTCTACCGGCCATCCATTGTCAGGCTACTGGAGAAAGCTCGCTCTCTCGCTGTCAGCCTGCCACTCACTGACGCCAACAGCCTCGAGATGGCACGGGAGGAGCTGTCTCTCACGTTGGCGCCAGTAATGGATTCCGAGGATCATGTAGGCCATCTCGCTGCTCGAGACCCAAGATGGCCCATCATAGGACGTATGACTACTCTCAACCATCGGAACGAAGTGAAGGCCCATCTTTTGGAAGAATTCAGGCCGTTCTTCATGCCGACACCGAGGGGGTAATCTCGCGTAAGTTTATATTCCTCAGAGTCCGTCTTATCATTCTCCAGTCAACTAATGTACCAACTGTTGTGAAGTATAGTGTCTTCCAGCCTCCAGACTTCCTATCTCAATCGAGGTTGAGCCAGATGATTTCGGGAGGATCATCCGGGCCAAATGATGGTCTTTGAGGGAGGATCTATATTACGGACAAAGTGCCGACCAGTCTGGGACAACCAGAAGCGCTGATGATGGGAATGGCTGCTGGGGTTGACGCAGGGCTGAAGTGGAGCTTATAGGGGGTTTCCATGAATAAAATTGACCGAAAACAGCTCTCGACGACGAGAGAGATACTTCAGAGAACTGTAAGGATGAACATGCAAAATCAATCCGGTCTAGAGCTATCGCATAAGCTCCAAAGAGGAAAGTTAGGAGAAAATGCCGCACTAGCTCCTCGTCGTGCCCGATTCGACGTCGGCGTGAACAAGGCCAATTGCACACCTATGCCATAGAACAGAAAGAGTAATCCTAAATTCGCGGCGTCGTGAGCAAGGTCAATTCCATGGGTAACCGAGTTCACCGACCAGCAAGGATGAGAATCGGAGGAAATCGGTTCCTCGCCATAAATACAGGCCTCAGCACGAAGACTCCTGATTGTGGGCAAAAGCCGTATGAGGATGTGGCGCAATTGTGGCGCTTCACTCTAAGTTCTTCGTGATGTCGGCACAAACGTCGCCCGAGGGGATCATTGAGTAAAGATGCACCGGCGGCGAACAATGTATTTCTGTTCATGATGCATGATGTTATGTTTGTGTGAGAAGACCGAGGACGTGCGCTATGATAGACTTTACTGTGTGCCAGCCTATGCATGCCTCGGCACTGATCAGTACAAAAGATAGATTATACTGGCACACTTCCCTTCGGTTATCCCATAAGATCCCGAGCCCTTTGTGTCCACGAATGCACTGTATGAGAGATGAACGAAGTACATATCGCAAGACAATCGCGTCCAAAGTTTGAACGAGCGCGCGAGAGATGATATATAGCTCGGCGGATCTCATTTCCGTGAACCATCAACATTACAGTAGACTTTGCCACTGGGAACATGCTACAGACGCGGCGCCGCTGCGATGAGATCCCAATGCGCGGGATAAGCCTATATAGCTGGACTCCAGCGGCGCCGCGCTGCAACGTATGCAGATCCATTCCTAACCAAACTCAACCGGAGGCGCCACACCACTGAGCATCAGGGAAAGATCTCAAGCTACACTGAACTTGGTAAGAGGGGGGCGGCGCCGCTGACTCGAGCTTATTGCTGTGCTATGGCACGGGTGGCGGCGGAACAATGCAGAGAGGCCCAGGTATACATAATAGGTGCGGACCATGGGTGACCGCCACCCAACCATCATCGATATCATGGTCCAGGCATCTTCCCCACACACACTAAAGCCAGCCTCATCATCATCGAAGCGCGTACCAGCGCGTAGAACAAAGCCATCATGCGTGGCCAATGGTATAAACCCTTCATCATGCACACCCAGTTATGCCAGCCCCATGGCATCGCTTTCGCCATTGCAACCACCACGAACTATCACGGTCACAAACTTCAAATGCCCAGTACACCTTTGCACACATGCTATTGCTGGACGTTATGTGGGGTCAGATTGCCCATGGGTGCAAAACCAGAGATGGAATGAAGACGGGGAGAGACGACGGAGGGACGACGCTGCAGACCCAAAGCGAATGAGGGGGGGGCATTGAATAGAAGTCCGGTGCCGAGAGGGAAAGATGAGAGAGAGAGATGTACTGAACTGCATAATGGATGCCAATAATTTCTGAAGGACTCTATATGATCGCGAGGTGAGACCCCAATCCTCGATTAGTTGCGTTCTTTTCACATACCTGTCTTTAGGAACCACTCATCATAAACGGAATAAGGAGGGACGTATGCGTCCCGTGTACGCGTGTCGGGCAGTTTGGACAACCATAATTCGGTATGACAGCTTTGAGTATGAGTTGATGATCTTTAGTAACAGGCCAAGAGATACATCGTGCAGAGGTGTGTGGCCAGCGCAATCTTGGTTTTCAAACGTCTACGACTAGTCGTCGTTGCAATCTGAGAAGCCAATCGTTGCAAGTCCCAGGTGTTGTATGAAGGGCCAAAGGATTTGGAAATAAAAACAATCCTCGAAGCTCGTCACTGTGCCAACAATGAACTTCAAGAGATCAGTTTTCCGGCCTGTAGCAGCGTTCTAGACTATCAAGCCGCATAAGAGACTTCATGAGCTGTGCGCTGATGCGTCAAAAAGGCAAGATTTACGAGAGAGGGTCAATGAATTCCGTGGATAGACTGTGGACAGATGTGGACAAGCGGCAAGCGGAATTCTTTTTGACTGAGAAAAAAATCGATTTTCCGTGAAATTTCAACGTCATCGCCAAATGTGGCGAGCTAGGGTGGGCCACAGGCTACAGCGGTCTCCTCTGTTCCGAACCACCACGACGAAGGCCGTCAATGCCAACGACGACGGCGACAAAACCTCATTATACGTCAACCAAACAACACTGATATTCATTGGAATAAATAGGAGATGTCTTCAATATGAGACCCACCGATAAACAAACCCTCATCGCAGGGGCTCGCGCCCGAACCAAGGATCTCGCAGCTATAGCCCCCCTCCTTGCCGCTATCATCGCCCCACTTTCTATTCTATTCGACATTCCAGCTTTGACAGAGAGATGGTATCTCAAAGGAAGTATTGAGCAGCCGGATCCCAGAGCAAGCCTTGCGCTCAGCGGTGTCGGACTTGGCGCGAATCTTATTGCGAATGTTCTATTGGTGGTCAGATTCTCAACGGCGGATGAATGGTGGAGGGTTGCGACGAGAGCGAGTATTGTGTGGTGGACGACAAAGGTGAGTCCATTCTGTCAGTTGATATATAGGCATAAATCGCTCATGATCAAGATTTGTTATGTTCACTGCTCGCCGCGGCCTATACAATAATTTCTGGCTTTTCGATGCTATGAGGTTATTGTAGCGTTCCTCAATCTCATCCTTTTCGGCGTTCTCACACGAAATGCGCCGGATTTTTCGTACACAGAGGGCTTTTGGTGTGCGTGCGTACCATTTCTTTCGAGTTTATCTCTTGTTCTGCTTTGTTCCAATTTTTGTCTCTGAGTCGGCTGTTTATTTCCATCGCCACGCCATTCTTGGCATCCGCTCATAATTTACCATGAACTGGGATATGGACGTATCTAACATCTCTGTCAAATAACGACGAAGCACTTACAACTTGCCACACCGTGTGGCGTAAGCATGACCCACTACGTCAGAATCGGGATCTCAGTCTTCGTACACCCTACACGAGGAAAATACCCCAAGTGCACCCCGCACAACAAAAATTGATTCTGAGCCATGACCGTTTCATTTGTCCTGACCTAACACTATTTCTTAACAGCGTCGTTTCTCTCATTCTCTCCTCTCTGGTTCTCGCCCTCTTGATGCTACACTTTTTCGTCGAGTTTCGTGCACGTCGAAAATTGCCATCGGGTTCTACTGGTGCGAGAGATATAAACAAGGCGGTCCGAATCGCAGGGCGACATTTCATGCTCCAGACGACAGGATTCATCTCCTTGATCGCCATTACGGCGTTGATTTTCTCGAAAATTGTGAGTCGTCTGCTCATCACTTCTTGGAATCTTCGCAGCCAACAATCTGCCCGCTCCGTCTAGGAAAACTGGTCGTACCTCCAAAGTATATATTTCGTCAACAGCGCTTTCCTTACCGGTAAACCCCTTCTCGCCGACTTCTGTTGTGCGTTTCTAACCTAACACAACGACTTGTCTGGGTGTTTAGTTGGCTTCGGTGATTTCGTTCCTACAAAGACCTCTACCCGAATTCTGCTATTCCCACTCTCCCTCACCGGCATCGCCACCCTCGCCGCCCTCGTCCAGATGATTATCTCCTGGTTCACAGAGAGGATGGAATCGAGGCGTAAAAGACGACGCGAAGAAGACGAAAAGCGGTGGCGAAACCTGATCGAAGGCATCGCGGAATGGGACAAAGAGTGGCAGGGCCAACTTGGTCATGACCACGATCACAACAAACGGACGACACTTATAGCGAGGGTCCGTTCTATCCGAAGGGGAAAGATCGGTAATAAGGTCAAGGACAGGGTACTTCCGCCTAGTGCTGCGGTAGGAATCGACCGCGTCGCTTCGGGGCTGGTGAACGAGCATTTTCATGGAAATGCGGAGGAGACGGCGGAGGAGAGAGATGCAAGGAAGACGAAGGGGAGAGACGAGAGCTCGACGGACCATTTACAGAGGGAAATTGCCCATCTGGAAGCGATGCATGCGATGTATGATACGACGGACTATCTCCACACTTTGGTGATGAGTTTGGGTGGGTTTGTGGTATTTTGGGTAGTCGGAGCTGCCATCTTCTCAAGATTGGAGGTAAGTTCCCGGTATACTTTCCCTAAATGACGAGCCGTGAACTGATGGTCCTCTGCTGCTGTGGTTATATGACTGAAAGGGCTGGACCTATGGAGACGGACTCTACTTCTGTTACATTTTCTTCCTCACATTGGGATACGGAGATTTCGCCCCAGTTAGTCCCGCTGGCCGTGGTACGTTCCTCCCTCTCCGTCCTGGAGGCCGAGGACTACATACTGACTCCAGTCTTGTTTAGTTGTGTTCGTTGTTTACTCTCTTGTGGCTGTGTAAGCACGTTATCTCCTGCCACCCTCCTAAGAACTCGCGCTTATCGTTTATTTCACGAATGCGACAGTCCGATCATGGCCTCGTTTGCCGTCCAAACCGTAACCCAGGTATTCACCAAGCTCTCAACCTGGCAACTCGACCGCCGTCGCGCCGCAGACGGCATCCGAAACACAGCCTCCGCCTTCACGACCGATTATGGTCTCCCTAAATCCGCCCGTTCGGACCCTGGGAACTCACGTTCTCGTACCACTCCTGCGTCAAAGAGGACGCAAGTCAGGGAGAAGGCTAGGCAGACGGTCGGGTCGGAGCGAATGAAGGGCGAGGCGGAAGGGTGGGAGAGAGGGCAGAGGGGTGGGATGTGGAGAAATTTGTGGAGGTGTGGAGGAGAGAGGGAGGGAAAAGCCAAGGGCGAGAAGAGTGCGAAGAGGGGGGAGAGGGAGATGGAAGAGGCTGGTGTTGGGCAGGGCGAAGAGCCTGGAGGAGAAGATGGAGGAGGAGATATCGAGAAGGTCAGGGACAGGGGGGAGAGAGGTGTGCAGGAGGAGATGCTTGAGACGGAGAAGGTATACTCGCTACCTTACACTCGTGAGAGGCAGTCGCTGACTGTAACATTAACGATTGATTTGCGGTTTCGTAGGTCATTTCGCACAGTGCATTCGTAATGCAGCATCATTCCCGCCTCGAAGAACAACAAAGGGCTCGGCATCAATCAATTTCCAGATCCCGCTCTATCTCTGTTTCCGCACCCCCATTCAACGACAGTGACTCTTCCACTCCTTCTCGGCAGACAATCCCACTTCCGACAGTAATTCCCGTATCAGACTCGACCGATCCCAGCGCTTCCACTTCATCTGTTGCAGACCCGCAATCAGACCTCGATGGATCCGGTTCCTCCAACTACACCGCCGATCCCAATGGCACCCTGGCTCTCGCTCAGTCGGACACGAATGCGCTGACGTCGCTCCTTCTGCAACACGCTTGCGAACTTGAATTACACGCTCGGCGACTTCTGATTCATTATTTGCCGGATGGGAGCAAGGCGGAGGTTGTGCTCAAGGCGGACAGGAATGTGCAAGTGAGGGATGTTAAGGCTGTGAGGGAAGCGAGGAAGCGGGCGAGAGAGATGGCAAGGGACAGGGGTACCGAGGGTGGGGAAGAAGAGAGTGGTCGCGAGATGTCTGAAGAGCAGCAGTGCGAAGATGAAGAAGTTGAGATATTGGCAGGGTTGGAACCAAAGTCGACTATCCGCATTCGCGCACCAGATGCTGGTGGCAGTAGCAGCGACGCCAGGAGGCATTCAGGTGAATCACATACGTTTTTGCCCGCTAAACATGCCAAAAGCGCGACCGAGCAGGACGAAGCGTTCGAAAGGGTGTGGGACGAACTCACGAGACCCATGGCTGACGAGGAAACCATGGAGGAAGTGAGGAAGTACAGGGAGAGTTTCGCGGCTGTGCTTGCCGTGGGGAGTCGGTTGAGGAAGGTGGAAGGATTGGAGAGGTTATTGATTGAAAGAAGGAGATAATGAGGTCCTGGAAGGAAACCGAGAGACAGATCTATCCCATATGCCTATGGCGGTTAGTGGTGTCAGAAGCGGCGATAATGGTTTTCTCGGTTATCTCTGGCTTTAATGGTGGATTCAATGTTCGGGATTTGGACAGCGTATCTTTCTGCATCTTGTATCAATCTAGTCACGACAACCATCACGCGTACACGAATATTTCTTGCGCTCCAAGTCACTTTTTACTTCACTCCCTCTACCTGTACTGTATTTTGTATCTATACGAAGCGGTTCACAAACTGCAAGAATACCTTCGTCGCGCAGCTCATACCTGACAGTAAGCTCGACCAGGGTCTGTAGCGTGCCAATGCACGTCAAGAAAGACCGGATATATACTTACATCGAATAAGTAAAACAGGAACAACGGGCATCATAATGCGTGCATACGATATATGTACTGTAGGCAAAGGCGAACGTTAACACCTCCCCTCTTCAACCTTCCCCATCCCTCCACTCTGGACATGTATGTAAAAATAGGACTTGATATCATCGATGTGGCATGCATGCTGATAGGCGACAGTCAAGATGAAATGAGAGTGAAGGCAGGATAACATAGGGTAGTCCGTCCGATTACATCTGTGCTCCATCTAGACCTCGGAGCGAATTGCTCGAGCGTCCCACGACACAGCTATAACTTACAAACCAGGGAGATCATAAAAAACGTAGCTCCAAATCGGCCTCTCTTGCCCCCTGCCCCTGCCCTCCGACCATGCAACCCTACTCAGTAAGTTCATGGCCCGTCAGAGATAAATGCTCGTCGACCGATGACGGGTGCGCGATCGTGGCAACCCTTACCGCCCCATACTCCTTCTCCTCTCCTCTTCGGTACTGCCAGTACCGAGCTCCAGCTTCCCCAGCACTTCCTCCGAAGTTATCGAATCCGTCCTGGACCCCGGTCTCGTAGTCCTCAACATCAATCCCAACCCTTCGATCCTGCCACTCCCTTCAGCGCTCCCAGTCCCTCCAACACCTCGAAGTCCTATACTTCCGCTCTGACTCGCGCTATCTGTACCCGTATGTCCCGAACTCTCCTCCGTAACCTCGCTTATCCTCTCCGTCCTTCGCCTAGGCGACTCCAACTCTCGATATCTGAGCCTCTGCTGTCTCTCTTCCTCGCGTTGCTCACTGGCACTATCCACATCCGCATCCCTATTCCTCCGTGACCGTCCACCCATCGTCATCAAAGTCGCCGAGAACTGTTCGTTCATCCTCCTCAACTCTTCACCCACAGCGTCCGCACTCGTCAACACTCCTACCCTCCCCCCCTCCGCCGATGCCGAGCCTTCGCCCGACCCACCCCCAACTCGATCACCTCCAACCGGCCGTCCAGTCGCGCTCGAAGGACTCCCACTAGCCGGAGAACCAGTATACGAGCGCCTCCTCCCCGCTGCTCCCGTAATCCCGAACCTCGGGCTCCCCAAGGGCGAAGGCGAATGTCCCCTGAGCGGCTCCGGTCGGTCATATCCCCTCAGAGTCTCTTGTCGGTCGTGCGCCTGTCCCTGGCCTTGGCCTAAGCCTAGGCTGAGCAATGGACTGCCAGCGGAGCTGGAACTGCTCCCCCGCCTGTGTTGTAGAGCTTGGGGTTGAGACTGGGTTTGTGCTCTGGTGTGTTGTCGGGACATCAGTGGTTTAGGCCGGTCGGTGTCGTTCATGAAAGCGGAGAGGTCTTCTTCATCGGGGTTGGGTGATAGGTACTTGTAGGATGGACTCTGTGGTTGACAAAGTAAACTTGATCAGTCGATACTCAGGGCAAAGAAAAATAATCAAAGAGAGACTCACCACATCCTTCCTCTCGCTATCCTTCCTCTCCCTCACACCTTCACCGCCGCCCATCAAACCCTGACTACCTCCCACACCCGCACCCTGCCCATGACTCCCCCTCCTACTATGACTCTGAATATGCCCCACACTCCCACTCGCACCTCCACTCCCCTCGCTCGCCCCCGCAGAACTAACCGCACTCGCCCCCGAGTCCTTATACCGATGTCCAAAACTACTGCTATACCGCTTTCTCTCCCCTCCCGCGCCCAAGCTCCCGACACCCGGACTCCCACTAACGCCTTCATTAGACGCGAGGGAGCGTCTATCGCCGAGCGACCCTGGCGCACCACCGCCCAACGAGCCAGGCTGGAAAGGCGGCGAAGGCCGCAATGGCGCGACCGGGCTCGAACTCAACCTCCCTACTCCACCACCACTCCCCATACTCAACCCACCTCCACCCAACCCCAAACTACCGCTCGTCCCGGGACCACCAATAGGCGAAGGCGGGACTATGCCCATGCCCGCCCTCTCCCTCGTTGGCGAGCTTGTGATATTGGTCAATGGGGGCAAAGGTAATGCAGGAAGATTCGACGGCTGCCGCACGGGTAGCGGTCCCGGCGCAGGTCCCGATAACGGTGATGACTGGCGCACGGACGGGGACGGTGAGTTGAGGGAGGGTGAGGACGAGAGCGTCGACGATTTGAAAGGGTTGACGGTTGGACGGCGGATTTGTAGGCCGCCCGCACCGGGCGAGGAAGAATGTGAGTGCGAAGGGGATTGGGATTGGGAGGGCAGGTCCTGTAGGAGAATAAAATATTGTCCAGTGAGCGAACGTCCAAAAATAGACAAAGAAATAAAAATAAAAATGACGAGTGGCGCGACCGAGTGTGGCGTGACGTGGCGTGAGAATATGGTGGAACAAAGGAAAGATCGATACTTACGACTCCGCTCCCCCTCACGCCTCCCAAACTGCCCGTACTCTCCTTCCTCAACCTCGCCAGACTAACCCCATAACCTCCGACCCCAGCACCTCCCTCCGCTCCCGTAGAGGTCGCGCTCCTCCTCGACGAAGCCAGAGACGCAGCACTCCCACTCCCTGGCGGGACGCCATGATCCCTCTCGCCCTGCGCCGACGTCGTCCGACTTCCCATAGGTAACGGTGACGGCGTAACCCTCGGGCTAGAGTTCATAGTCGGAAACGATGTCGTCCGCGTATGCACATGTCCTTGCGAGTTTATCCCACCACCACCCATCCCACTCCCGCCACCCGACCCAGACGCCAACCCCGCATACCCACCCTGCTGTCTCATCATCATCATCCTGTCTGCCAAGCTTCCACTAGTCCCAGCTGCAGATCCAGTCGGCGGGAGTCCAGAGATTCCAGAGGGCGGACTCGCAGGCAACGAAGTCTTAACGGCCAAACTGCCCGGCGAACTCGATATCGAATCCCGCTGGCGGTTCCTCTCGAGCGTAGGCGTGAATTCGCCTCCGATCCCGCCTGCGTCGCCTAATTCGAGAGATAAAAGTCGGGAAGAGAGGAGTGATTCGAGGTCGTCGAGTTGGAAGTTCGGGTGCGTAAGGTATGTCGTGCTCAGTGTTAGGGTCCCGGTTGGGTGAGGAACAGAGGGGAAGGTGTGTGTGGAGGAGAGGTGGGGGATGGAGCTAGCGGAGGGATTTGAGTCTGTTTAGGTAGGGCAGGAAAACAGTGGTGAAGAGGTAATCGAGGAGGGGGGAGAGCGAGAGGTGGAGCAGGGTTGTGCAGAGAGCGTAATATGGCGATTGGGGGTGGCGAGAGGTGAGGTTGTGTGTCGTTCGTGCGTTCGGTGGTCGTCGTGTTCGTGTTCGTGGGTGCCGTGGTTTATGTGATGATGAGTCGGAGTTATGAAGGATCGTATCCGAGGTCGAGGTCGAATTTACGGTCGATACCAAATGTCATATCAGGCAGGAAACGAACGTGGAGCCGTCGATGCGGACAAATGTCGATGAGGCGGAAGCATGGGCCACACGAGGCCGGAGGCGAGCAGGCGAAATGGTCGAAGGGTCGATGGACGAATAGTGATTGAGCATAGGGAGTACAAGCGAGTCAGTCAAAGTCACAATAGACGCGTCGGAAACGAATGAGGCAGATAATAGGAGGACAAAGAACATGAGGCAGGGCTTCTGGTGAGAAGATCAGAATTCTCTGGGTGTTAGGTCTCGATGTCATTGACCGTAATTAAAGGCAATATGGACACCGGAGTCACGATGAGCACTGACGACATTGACCCTATGAGGGTCCGAAAGAAGAAGCACCGTCGGGCCACACTTCGTAGTGACAGGTGCCACACTGCGGTACTGCGACTGGGATGGTGCACCGCAGGCTCATTAGCCCAAAATACTGCACGACAGTGGGAGGGACGATACAATGGTATAGCTCGAGAATCAACGGGCTTACAACAAAGCCCATTAATATCACGAATCGAGTTCACCCATCGTGCGACCCTGCGTTTCTCACCGAGCCCCCTCGGGTTCACCATATGAAGAAACAAAGAAACAGGACATACCAAATCCAAGTAACTTCTCGTTTCGGTCGCTACTACTTGGCTTCACCCTGAGCATGATTCCCAGTGTCCCATTGCCCTTCGCGCTCCCTGCTCTGCGTCTGCTCAGCCGTCTATACAGCTTCCACGCCGGCATCACCCTCAAGAACGTATAAAGCGACCTGAATAGCCCAATTCCATGCTTGTATATTGTTGATGGCGCGAGGTCTGTCTCTGCCTGTGATTGCAAGGACTGTTGTGACGGATTCTGGTTGAGAGGTGTGAACGTGAGAGTCCAAGACTCGAGCAGAACGAGTTGCGGTGTAGGGTCGATACGCCGACGCGAAGAGTCGGGGCCTATGGAGACAAGGACCTGGTTCGCATTAAGTTCGGGTACTGTGAGTAGAACCTGCAGCTCAAAAGGAATTGCGCTGGCTTGTGACGTGGATGCCGAAGGTGAGGACGATGATGAGGACGGTGAAGTGGTATTAGCGGCTGTGCTGGCGGTGGATACGGTGCGGTATAGTCTGAGATGGTCCTTGAAGCAGTCCATGTCCGGTGTCTCGAGATTGAACTACGAAATTTCGTGAACACTCGAATCGAAAGCACACGATAAGAGAACACACGCACCCATTTGTCTGGTTTAGGCAGCGTCCGGTGCTCCTGGGTCGAGCGTGCATGGACAACGAGATTTGCGAGCTTGGTGTATACTCTGTGAGCAATCTGGTCCGCTCTCTGAATGTCATTGGACATTGGACCTGTTCTGGAATGGCAAGTGCGAGCGGTGAGTAGGAGAGAAGGTGCAAGGATGGCGGGGACGGCTATTATGAACGGGAGATCATTGGAGACAGAGCTGGGTCGTGCTTGGTCGTCGTGTGTGTGGGTATGGGGCTATGTGCAGGCCACTAGGCGCCAGGAGAGGAGATCGGTGTGGTGGTCGAGGACAAGGTGCGCGCACAGCGTTGACTGCAGCCCGTTCGAAGCTCACCCTCCCATAAACAGACATGACGCGACCCCCGCGGCCAATTCCCTGGCTATCCCTGGCTATCCCCGCCCATCGTTCTCCCGCCACTCGTTTTGGGCCACAGTGCTTCGTCGCCTTCCACTGACTCGACTCTCAGAATTGTTGTTTTGTTCCTGTCAGACGACAATATTTGTTTTATGACTCGGCAGGATTTTTCAAACATCCTCAGAGCGCTTCCGAGATGATACATATCACGTTCAGGCTGGGCGTCAAATAGAGCCATGGGCGACGGGCAGCCGCAGCACCAACACACCCATATACGCACCTCCTAGGATCTGTTAATCTACGAGGCTCTGATAGAAAATCCATCCCGCACCGTGGTACGAATCGTCTCAATCGTACAGCCTAGACTCTCATTCCAAAAGCCTTTTAGCGTTCAATTGCAAGATCGAGTATCCGTTCAGACGTCGAAATGAGCTCAAACACGCCAGCGATCGTACTTGCAGCATGTCCCTCTCACCCGGGCCTTTCACTCGTATGATCTAGGAGAACGCTTTGACGCACGATCAAAGCGGTACGTCGAAATCAGTCCCAGCGCTTACTACCTGCCATGTACATGAAAACGAACAGGACACGACCTATTATCAGCCAATCATGATCCTATCACTTTCCTCGAGAATTAAGGATTGATCATGCTACAATGTGTATTGATTCATCGCCACTGGGGCGTCGATTTTCGGCAAGCCTGACCTTGACTTTTGAGGCAGTGTAGCGGGATTTAAAGAATGAAGAGCCGGTGAGTGGGTTTCCCCGTATGGAACACCTTGCATGCGTGTGGATGTTGCAGCATGTGAGTACGAGGCTGCACGTATACTTATGGGCATGCAGGTTCGGTCGAGAAAAGGTCATAGTCACTGTCATGGGACTACGAGTATGTGGAATAACAAAAAACCAAAGGCAATGATGGGTACGGAAAGCAGACGGATCAAAAAATGAAGAAAACAAACCGAAACATAAAATCAAACAAAAGAGTAAATCAAACAAAGGCAACTCGAACAGCCGAGAACAACAGCAGGTGACGACGGAGCTCGCAAATACAAAGATAAACGAAAACAATGAAACAAGTAGGGCAACAAATGCAGAAGAGCCAAGTAAAAGGAGGCGGGGTAAGGACATAGAAGGAAAATGATGGGTACTAATACAGCAAACAACGACAACAAGCATAGAAAGTAAAGCAGTCGAAAAGAGCCACTCGGAATCAGTTGAGACACGGAGAGGTGAGCATACATTCGATAGCGAATCAAAGCAACGATGAAAACAAGAGGAGAGCGGGCAAAAACTTGGTATGTGTACTCGTGCTGACGTAAAGTCTTCGAACATGCGCAGGCCAAGGTGCCGGTTCCCTCTCCTCTTCAGTTTCTTTCCCGCTGTCCTCTTGTCCAATAAATCCCAATATATTTGTACATGTTGCATGGCATATCAGTATTATTGCAGTGAGATTCTATTAGCATGAAAGCTTTTTTACTTGTATAATAGGTGATGCAAACTCATGAGGGCCACATCAACACTCCCCACAAAGAAACACCTAGAGAAAGTAGTTCCAGGCATTTTATGGGGTTATAAATGCACATTGGCATAGCTAATATAACACAACACTCTATACAGTGCTCCAATGTTACACATGAAAGGGTGAAAGCTGCATTACACAGCTAAGGACCTTGCATCACCTTATCGCTGTGTCAACGCTGTGTGGCCCATAGTCGAAACTTTGCACTCTGTGCCCTAGCAGTGACACAGAATTTGGTTCTAAAATGCTTTTAAAACTCTCCATATGTCAGGCTTACTCATATGAGTAGGGACGTTAGACTAAATTGTGCGAGCACCCCTCAAACCCGATAGTTTTGAATCACTGGAGGAGAAGTCAAATGTGGCCCACCGTGTATTTTCTTGTATTAAATGACTAGACCATTACATATGTCATACCTCACATCAGTAAAAGTATCTACTATATGTGAAGATTTCTTCAGATTTTTATCACAGAGTCAATGCAACCATGAGTGCCTTCTCTATATCCATCTTTATGGGAGGTGCTGTTGTAGCCCTCATGAGTTTATATCGAATATTTTGACAGGGAGAGGGGCCTGGGTGGAAAAAAATGTTTATGAAATGAATACTAGTAACTCAGATGTCATGCACAAATAAACTGGGATTTATTGGAGGAAAGGTGAACGAGCAAGAGACAGAAAGAAGTGGAAGGTGGGCAGAGAACCGGCACGTTGGTCTGCGCGTGTTCGAAGACTTTACGTCAGCACGAGTACAGTGTGATTTCGCCACTGTGGCCGTCGAGCAGATTATCCCGTGAATGAACATGCGGCATTGAGTGGTGGCTCACGATTCCATGTGATACCCGTGCGAGCTGTCCACAGTGATCGACTGCTAGTAGCAGTTACGAAGAGAGCAGAATGGACAAGGTTTCGAGGACGATTAACTCACCCATAATTATTGATAACTTATGGATGAGGTGCCGGAGTGAAAAAGGGGCTAAAGGCCTGTAAAATGCAGGCCTTCACATCATTCCTGTGTGAGATTGTAGTTGCACTACGTCCCGGGTCTCTAGATGCGGTGTATGACAGAAGGTCTTCTGAGACTGCCGCCAAAGTCTGAGACAGTCCCTCCCAAGTCACGTCGAGGGTCTCGAGATCGGGAAACGGAAGTTGGATAGCGAGAGTGCGAGCTCTGTCGAGTAGCCGAATGATAGAGCAGCGGTAGTAGCAGAGAAAATCGCAGTGCTCCAGGTTGTCATTTTTCTGACTACAATATGGGAATGTCCAGACTTCGGTGGGGATTAGGCCGCCAGGATGTGCTGGAGCCGAAACGTTTTGGACGGAAGTCACCAGTCTAGATAATTCGAGGACCAACAGCCATGAATCTTGTTCAGGATCGGGCGATGTCTTGAATGTGACTAATTGACCCAGAATATCGACAATGTCGCGCTCTAGCTGCGGCTTCAAGAGCGCGCCCTCGATCTCATCAGCGGTGGTGTTCATAGCAAGGGTGACGAATTTGATCCCCATGGTTCTCACAAACCAACGGACCAATATAGATACCGCGGGTTTAGAGCAATGTGGATTGAGCAGAGTGAACGGCATAAATCCGCGCATGTTTTGCTCGAGAGGCTTCTGGGAGAGAAGCGCAGGGGCAAAAGGCGCCAACATCTCGTCACATACCAAGTCCCAAGCCTCCTCGTCTACGTCAAAATTGTCCTTCGGAGCTAATGGTTGCATGCCCAGACGGAGTCTCGCCTCAATAACGTCAAGGGCATGCGAAGTGAACTCCTCCCGAACGAGTGCCCTGTCTTCGATTGGTATCGCAGAGTAGTCTGATAGCAGCAGCATCATGGTGCTGCTCGTCTCCAGAATGCTGACAGGCAAGCTCCATATCTTATCCGTGACGACACATACCATGGCCTTTGCGAAGTCTGAGTTCCATAGTAATGACGAACACGAAAACCCTGTTGTCGTGGCCGAACATCGCTCGGCAGCAATCTTTAGGGACCGCACTATGTCAGCTCTGACACCATGCTCGAAAGGAAGTTCCCAGGACAGGTTCGGACCTGGTACATAGGTAAAAGAAGTTCATGTGAGTCAAAAATTTGACCTCCATATATCCAACATGCATAAATGCGACATACCGAATATTCGCAGAATTGATGATGCAGCGGTCACGTTGCTTCGAATGCTGGCCTCTGAGGACAAGAAAAAGTACAAGGTTTGCAACGCATGTTTTGACAGCACAGGTCCCAAAGGTATCCTCCGCCGCTGCAGGGAAACCTCGGCTTCGAGAGCATCAGACAGGGCGGCAGCGGCGAAGTCGAGGGAGTCGTCATCATGTGTGGTTTGCACGCTAGCATAGAAGGTCTGCAATTCCTCCTGAAGCATACCATGATGGTCAGCGCTACGCTTTCCAGAGGGCCTCCGCAAGGCTGCATCCGCTGCATTCTGCGCTGGCTGTGTATGGGCCCCTATTGAATGTAGCATTTGCGCTAGGCGGCGGCCGTAAACCTCGACAAAGCGAGAGGCAGTCGACTGAAAGGGTGAACTGGATGAATAGATACACCCGTGGATGAATGTATAGATAATGATCATTCCCGCGGCCCCAAGAGGAATCGTCGCGATGGTCACCGCCGCAAGAGCAAGAGGGGAGCGAGGCGATGTCGATAACCAATCGGTCGCCATGCTATCCAAGAGTCCGACAAGGAAAAGCAGCACAGATATTATCAAGAGTTGGGGCAGGGTGTCAATCATGGTTCCCAGCTGGGGCTTGGCTTTTTCCCATCGTCCACGAATATCAGTAAGCTTCTTGTAGGTTTGTCTATGGCGAGAACGTGTGAGCAGAGTCAGGTAGCTCCGACTAGCTACTGCGAGGGAAGCAATGGAGATCTGTGGCGAACCGTGTGAGCAAGTGTGTATGACTGAATTACAGGACTCACGCTGAGAACTAAAGATATGGACCAGTAGAAGTTGAGACGGAGGGCGCTTGCTTCCGGTTCGAATGCTACAGGCCCAGGTAGACTAAGCTGGGAGATGTTGGCACCACTGAGAAGAATGACGACGTCCGTAAGATTCGCAAGTAGTTGATTGGTTTCAAAGGTAGCAGCTGGAGCCAAGTTACTTGAAGACTGAACGTAAAATGCTGTCACGATGGCCGAAAAGAGGGCTATCTGTAAAGTTTCAATTGAATTAAATCTTGAGAACAAACTCGTTGAGGAACCGGGTACTTGCAAAAATTAAGAGGGTGTCCAGGGTGCCTCTCCAGCCATCGACGGCGGGTATGATTGTCTTCTGCATCATCGAGTCGTGCAAGGGATTCCAGGCACTGGAGCTGCTGGCTGGAGTCTGTGGTATCGGTTGCCAGGAAGGGTCTACAGGGCCAGTCAGATGTACAGCCAGAGGTGGCAGCAATGAGTATGTCGATGCTCACTGGTAGCAGCTTGCCTCTTGTCAATTCGCAGAAGCACACCTTGTAAATCTTCCAAAGATTCTACCAGTCCCAGCGGGAAAACAGTCAGTTCAAAGTTAGTTCTGCTCTGGAGGGTTCTCAATTTTCGTTCACGCACCTACGATATCTCTTTGACTGCGAATTATCTCGACAAAGGCTTTGTTGTGATCCTCTACAAGCTTCATCAGCATGCCAGAGCTCGAGTCCAGATTCCTAGAACTCGCGGTTAATATGATGCACGAATACAATACATATGCCAGCTAACGCGAGGGGGCCATTGGAAATGATCGATGATTGCCGTCCATACTTACCTTCGGTCACCCTCTTTAACATTGTTGTGACGGTTTTCAGGTTCTACAATGAAGATATGGTCCTTTTCAAGGCCGGGCATCGTGTAGGGATCACCAGCGGTGGACGATTGAGGTCAAGTCGACCTTCGAGGACTCTGGCACCAGATTGCGATACCCAACTATCATTGTAATAGGGAGCATGTGGAAGGAGACCTGAGACGGAAAAAAGACGCTGGGGTAACGAAAGCCTTCCAGCTTCCCATCTCGACGATAAATGTGGGAAAGTTGGGAGGGTCGCGGGAACATCGTGTGGCGCTGACTGTGTCTTTTTTGTGGCCCAGTTCCCCAGGCTCTTCCCCTCAGACCGAATTCCCATGCTGCAGAATTGCAATTTTGACGGGGCGAGTGCTAAAATTGCAGTTATTTTTGCCATAAAATGAGCTGCTCACGCTATAATCACACCAGCCCACTGTCAACTTGAGGTTTTCCCCGGTGTATAGTATATACCTCATCTCATGCTTTGGCTATATTATTCTGACGACATCAAACTACTTACGTTCTGTCAAGCTGAAGATGGTGTCAAAACCCGTCACCGAGCGGGTAGCCCGTATTCCAACGATTGGTCCATGAGACGTAGTATTACATGGGCCCGTCGAAAAACACGCCATGGCTACAGCCCGCTTGAGTTGCGATGTATAGGTCAGGCCTCCGTACACAGCATTTCATCTTTCAAGAAAGGAGCCATAGTCTTCCGAACTGCAGAGATCGATATAAAAGCCACGCTTATGAAATTTAGCCAGCGCAGAAACAAAAGAATGGGCATGGATGAAAACTCACGCGAGGTTACTCGGACTGAGAGGTCGACTCGAAAAATGGTCTGAATGCCTCCAAGATGCAAGCCTTGACCACATACCGATGATCGATAGTAAAGAAGAACTCAGGGTCAATTTCAGTGAAGTACCCTCAGTTTCGGCCAGCGAACAGCTTCACAGTGTCCTCCGTTGGGGGCGTCAATGCCAGTGATAGCGCCTCCCATGTCACGCCAAGGGTCTCCACATCAGGGAAGGGAAGGTCAACGACGAGAGAACGGGCTTTCTCAAGTAGCTTGATAATGGAATCGGCGAAGTGACAGAAACCGTCACAACTGTGTCCGGCGTGATCGCAGAAAGGCAACTGGACCATGGTGAGGCCCCAAAAACCAGATGGGTGTAACAGTATGTCTGTCGTAGAAACCACCAATTTGCTGAGTTCGAGGATCAAAAGCCGCGCATCCTGCTCTGGATCAGGTGATACCTTGAACTCAGTCAACTGATCCAGAATATTGAATCCTATACGTTCCTCGGTTATGGCTTCCTGCATAGCAATTGCAACGAATCGCATCCCCCGGGTTCTGCTGAACCAGCGTATCAACGCTTTCAATACATCGCGGCCCTCCCATGGGACCAGAAAAAATGATGATACAAAGGCTCTCTCAAGGGCCCCATCAGTGAAACCTGCCAGCATGGGAGTGAGAGACGCTAGCATTGTATCGCACGCTTTGTCCAGGAGATGGTCCTCCAAATTTCGGCCATCCTCTGGACCTGCCGATGGCAGAAAAGAGCGGAGTTTTGCCCTAATAACACTGAGAGCGTGCGCAGTTGCAGCGCGGTAGGGAAAGGAGGGGAACATATTGCGCGGTTGTGTACTGGGGCAGTCTAAAACAAGGGGTATCAGGGTGCTATATCCATCGAGAACAGCATACGTCCACGCTTGCGGCTCAACGATGAGGTAGGCTATGGCCTTTGAAAACTCTGAGTTCCATAATAATGGTGAACTTCGTGACCCTGTTGTCGTCACTAAACATCGTTCAGCGGTTGAGATCAGAGCTCTCAAGAGTTCGGCTCGATTCCCCGCATTCAATGCCGATGGCGCAAGCAGTCCTGAACCTGAACCTGCAAAGTATTTGTCTGTGTTACATCTCAATCCTTCAAGAAGAGGGGGACGTACTGCAGAGTCTAGATATTACTGATGTAGCAGTGATGTTACTTTTTACGCTAGCCTCGGAGGAGAGCAGAAAGAGTATGGTTCGCATTGCGCCTCTCGACAAAGTGTCTCTCTGTATTAACAAAAAGCCTCCTCCCTGAGACAAGTAGTCTGACTCTAGTTTGTAACGCAGAGCGGTAGCAGCCAAATCAAGGGAGTGGTCGTCGTGTGTGGTTTGAACGCTGGCATAGAAAGTATATAATTCTTCCTTATTTAAGGTGGTTTTCGAACGGTTTTTATGATGTCTAGGACCCAAATCAGAGGTCCAGGAGCGGTCGTCCAGTGCGGTTTGAACTGTGGGATGTAAATTATCTAACTCCTCCTCAGTAAGATGAATGGCGGAGGGTTTTTATCCTGTGGAGGATGTAGGCGCGTCGTAAAAGTCTCGACAACACGCGAAGCAGTTGACTGGAACGGAGATTTGGATGAGTCCAAACAGCCGTGAACAAAGGTATAAATAATGATCATGCCCGCCGTCGCGACATAGATACCAGCCAGGATTACTGCCGCCAAAGCAAGGCCAGAGCGAGGCGAAGTAGAAAGCCAGTCGGATATCATGCTGTCTAAGAGGCCAGCAAGGAAAAGTAGTACTGATATGATCAGCAGCTGAGGCAAAGTGTCGATCAGTGGCCCCAGCTGACGTTTGGCTTGTTGCCAGGGTCCACGGATGTCAGTTAGCTTCTTGTATGTCTGCTTGTAGCGAGAGCGAGTGAGCAGTGCCAGATAGCCTCGGCTAGCGACTGCTAGCGAAGCGATAGATATCTGCAGGATGTTGTATGAGAAATTTATCGAGACATCAGTGTGAAGAGAGGACTCACGCTGAGGACTAAAGATGTTGACCAGTAGAAATTAAGGCGCAAGGCGCTTGCATCTGGTTCGAAAGCTACAGGGGCCCGGAGGCTGAGCTGAGAGGCATTGACACCGCTCACGAGAATGACAACATCTGTAAGATTAGCAAGCAGCTGATTGGTATCAAATGCGGCGTCTGGAGACAGGCCGCTCGAGGATTGCACATAAAATGCGGTGACGATAGCGGAGAAAAGCGCGATCTGTCGTATAGTGTGTTACTCTTATTACGATTGGATGTGCTGAGCATTGGGCACTCACGAAAATCAGAAGCGTATCTAAAGTGCCTTTCTAGCGATCCACGGCAGGCGTGATCGACTTCTGCATCATCGAGTCGTATAGCGGATTCCAAGCACTGGAGCTGGACGCTGGTATTTGAGGGATCGGTTGCCACGTATGGTCTTTCGTGTTCTGTTCAGATCTTTGGCCCATGCATGACGATGCGAATATACCTACCAGCTGCTGCTTGTCTGTTGTCAATCCGTGACAGGACACCATGTAACCCAGCAAGCGACTCTGGAGACGATCATTAGGCCAGTCAGGATGGCGCGGGTTTCTTTCACGCACCTATTACTTCCCCTTGTTTCTCAACCAAATGGCGTAACACTTGGGTCTGGTCCTCCAAGAGTTTCGTTAGTGTAACAGGTGTCATATCCCTGTAGTTCGCGACCAATCAGCTGATGCATCGAGCAGACTGCGTAAGCACAGACAGAGGCTGAACAAATTTCTTACCGTCGAGTATCATTTTCCGGAGCTGTCTGACCTGCAATACTATCGCGCCCTAAGGCATCAACGGACACGAGCTCAGGCATGTCGATGGCAAGGATGATCGAAGGGGATGTTCAATGTTGAGGTGGCTCCCCACCATGATAAATTTGATATTTTTCCGTTTGGTATTTCAACCAGTTTATAAGTATTATTCTTAATTATTTTCCATCGGCCTTTATTTCCATCATCTCGCTGAGCCCTCCCCAGACGAATCGACAACGAGGCGATGAGGCAGATGCAAGAATAAGTACATACAAGTACACCGATGCACCGATGGGAACAGTCAACACTACAGTGACGGTATCAGAGCGGAAGGCGATATCGTAGGCATACAAACGGAAAGGTAAAGAAAACATAAGGTCGCCACACCCGCATGACACTTCATCCTGGCACCCTGACACCTGTACAATCCACAACAAATCCCAACAGGCCTACGATACGCTGTGGATGGACATCCAGGTGATTTCAATCCATCCGCTGTCCTGTCATATTGGTGGTACAACACCACGCGTGGGCCACACTGACACGGTAGTGGTGCCACATTTTCGTACCCACTGTCCTGACTCAGAAAGTCGAGAGCTACCCGGTAACTATGGACAGTCTGAGCTCAAACCTCCGCCTTGCCGATGTTCTCCTTGGTAGCCACAAATTTGGCAAGGTACTCCAACATCTTCGCAGTTTCTGCCCCGGCAGGTCTGATCCAGTTCGGAGGTAGTGCGAAACCGTACTGTTCAACCGCGTCATGGGTATCATCCCGTCAGTGTCAAGCATCAGAATGGACTGGACAGAAAGGCTCTCGAGCGTGGGATGGGGTGAAGAGTAGATAGAAGGAACATAGATACACACAGTCCCGGTGTCCCTCAGATGGGCGGCGTACGAGTACTTGACGCCTTTCCTGGCGTACATCCAATCCACGATGTTACCCGGTGCCCTGAAGAACGATGAGTTTTGTTCTTTGGTCGAGTCAAAGGAATATACGTACTTGTACAATGTCGAGCAAAGTGTTCCGACCTTCGCGTGATATGGATCAGAAGGGCAACCCCCTGTACTCGAAGAAAAAACAGACCTGGAACGACGTCCCGTTGGACTTCTTCGCTGCCGCTGCCGCCCCAGATGCGGCCTCGAGTTGGTCCTCCGCGTCGAGAGGGGTTCGCTTGCACGAATGTGAGTATGGAGCCGAGACTATCCAGAAGAAAAGGATCATCGTTAGCCAGGACTCACACTGCGCCTCGAATAAGAAGCTTACTCATTTGCCCATAACTCCTCAAATCCACAAACAACTTAACGTCTGCCAACCTCTCGAAATAATTCGCCATGTTATTCACTTCGGGAGCCTGGAAGGGTCGATGGCCGGGGTACCAATGGTGGCATGTATCATCCGGAGGTGAGCCTGGCGAGTCTGGAGACTTCTTCGGGTTCTTGGTCTTCTTCTTGGTGATGTGGAGATCATTGTCCGCTTCGTTGTCCGCCTCCGTAATCGAATTGTGGGGCTGAGGCTCGGTCAAGGGCTCGGAGGTAAGGAGGGAGGCAAATGACGATTTCCATTTGTAGCCCTATGTGGCAAGGGTGGATATAGTTCAACTAGTAAGCACGCAAAAGAGATACGAAAGTCGTGGGGAGTGGCAATGTAGGGCAGCTCTACGTACCCAGTTCCTGTGGAATGCAGCTCGTGAGCGCGGTATTCTCTTCATCGAGATGCCATCACGTCCGAAGATCGGACGCACCTATTCATGTCTATTCCTGTACACTTTGCCTGGGGACCGAGGTCGAGTCGGTTCTTGTACCTGGAAGACATGATCAGCAGCTTGAAATTTGGTGCACGGCTCCAAAGAGTGAAGATAGCATGGCGAAGCATTGTCGGAAATGAAGAAGGACGTACCAAAAACGGTCGTGCTCCCAGGTATACACATGTCCGTCCGGGTTTGGAACTGGGACGAGATAGAAATCCTATTGATGAGCGGCGCCACATACACCACACATGTGTGGAAGCCGTTGTGAGTTTGGAGCACAGACTTCATGCCCACAGGCTAGAGAAGGTTAGAAGACTGGTGCTTACGTATTTGTCCAGCAGATGGCCCAGTGATTCACTCTCGGAGGTGTTGGCTGCGAGTGCGTGGGCGAGATAGAGAGCTGAGGCAGTTGCCACCCACTACATCCACCGAATCACGAAGCAGTCAGTTCAAAGGATAGAAGACGAATGAGACAATTGTTGAAGAGAGCATAGAAGGACCCGAGTATTCAGCGCGAAGTGACTAAAAGATGTACGGGAGACGACAAGTTAAACAACGGAACTCACCTCCCTCGCATGTTGTGCGCCCGTAATAATGAAACCAGCTTTTCCACCTATTTCCACTCTCTCCTTATCTTTCCTCCTTCTCCCGTTCTTTCCCTTTGGTTTCTTGCCCTTCTTTCCCTTCTTGCTCTTATTATCCTTATTCTTCTCGGCATGCACGCCCTGTGACCACTCCTCATTTCCCACAAGCTCTGCAGGAGGAAGCTCGTCGCGGAGGGTGGCACCCTTCTCCTTCTCCAAATCTTCTTCACCACCGAAGTTAAAGTTAGCACCACTTTGATTATCGTCAGCGGAGGGCGTCCGTATCTCCATCGCGTACATTTCGCGCCCTTCGCCCGTATGTCCAAGCGGAACGAGCGTGATCTTCTCAGGGTATTGAGCTGCGAGGTCGTGCATGAAAGCGTAGATGTCGTCCAGCGTATGATATGTGGAGTAGAATGTCGAGTCGGCGAGCGAACTGAGGTTCCATGGGTCTGATTCGAGTTCTGTCTGGGACGAAGTATGCAGGTCCATAGTTGGTAGAGAAACTCGAGGTATCGCGGTATCGTGGTAGGCATATGGAGCGAGGTGGTTGAAAGAATCCTGAAGTGAATGGGGAGATGAAGAGGAGTCGGAGAGAAAGGGTTGCCGAGGGAAAAATATGTCGACATGCTGCGGGGTGGCTTGCCATACATCCCAATCGCGTTTCTGTTTGTATGATAACCGGCGTGTTCATAATTTCAGTGTCGGTGGGATACCACAAGTAACAATTGGGCATGATTGAGGACAACACACTCACCTCGGCCAGCTGCAACACTTCTGACATCTCGGTCTCCGAAAGCAACGTGAACCTCCTCAACACGCCAGAGTCAATCGGGGCAGTGATATCTCCAGCGCCCGTAACTTCATTCGATATATGACCCTCCGTCAATGCTGACTGCGAAAAGAAGCGTTGCGCCCCCTGAAAGTCGACCTCGAGCTCATTGCCAGAGACCTTGAGAGCACATGTTGAAAGAAGAAAAATACCACAGATCCTTAGAAATTGAAAAGCTAGCGGAATTCTGAGCATAATATTCGACCAAGTACTATCATATGGTGGTGGTGGGCAGACACGGACTTTAGTGGTCTTCGCCACACTGCGAATGAAGGAATATCGTAGGAATATCGAGCATTTGTATTTCTGCTCGTGCGCCGTGGTTAGGGTTGCTTCTGCATGTATTAGACGCCACCACCACTCCTCATCAACTCTCACGTCGACAAGTTCACTCGTGCCACGCACGTTTGACCTGATGCAAAGGACTATAAGTATCGGGGCTAATCTTGTCGTCTTTTCTCAGATAGAGTCCCGTCGCCTCTGTTAACTTCCTATGGGTCAAAACCAGTATTCATGTCCAACTTCGTTATACTGTGGCAATCGTCAACTCTGAGCTCTCCACCTGCTGGCTATGGAACCTATTGCTCCGTTGTGATATTTCTCAGCTTAATTGCTAGGCCTGACGGTTCTACGAGCGACATATTGCGACAAGGCTATTGAGAAGATACACACTCAAAACGGGAGAAAGCCGGACCTGTGGGTTGCAGAGATGGCCGCTTGACTTGATCCCTTGACCCCTTTTTTACCTTCATTAGGGTTCGATTTCCTCCGCGATTCCTCATGCTAGCAAGGTGCACGCGGAACAATCCTTCTGTAGCCTCTGTTTTTCTGTTGCGATATCGAATCGGTGGATATTCACTTGGACAATTCCTCCCGCTCCCTTCATATGGGATCTTCAGTCGCAAGGTGGGACTGTTAAAAGTGCCGTCGCAATCCTCTTGATGACGAGTGACCTTCACCCTCGTAACGACTGTGCATCTGCGCGGTCCGCTCTGGATGGTCCCGGTCCGTCCAAAGGCTACATAAAGGACAGGTCTCGGTGTTGTGCTTGATATACTCCTTTTCTTTTCTCTCTCGTCATCGACGGTCATCCTGCCCGTCCCGGTGTAGCGCAAATCATGTTCTCTATTTTTACCATTATATCTGCTCTTCCTCTTGCAGTCTTCTCCCTTTCCCCTCCTTCCTCACGCACCACGCCCCCAACCGGCGCCTTCATTGTTCGTTCTGGAACTACGTCATCCAGCGAATATGCCTCTCTCACTGAAGCCGTTGCCGCTCTTCCTTCCGGCACGAGTGCAGTTACCATCTTCATGTATCCGGGAACATACTCGGAACAGGTCGACATCACTCGGGCTGCTGTGACGGTCAGTTTTTCTCCTATCCTCACCCACAAGTTATTCAGCTATATCCCGTGGCACACGATATCAACTAGATTATGGGCTACACTGAGGATCCTGGCTCCTACACCTCCAACCAAGTGACCATCACGGCAGGAGAATCAGCGGGCACGGCTGGCTCAGATGATGCCTCTGGTACATTACGCCTTCATGCGGACGATATCGCGCTGTACAATATCGACATCAAGAACACCTTCGGATCCGGATCGCAAGCTATTGCGTTATCGAACTACGGTAACCAGGTCGGGGTCTATGCCTGCGGGCTTTATGGCTACCAGGACACCCTCTTGGCCGAACAGGGCCTCCAGGTCTACCTACAAAGCTATATTGAAGGTGCTGTTGATTTTATGTGGGTAGCCCTATTTCCCATCAAGTAGATGTCATACCACTGACGATCTTCGAATATGGTATCGCTAGTTTTGGTCAAACGGTATGTAGATCTTCTGAGATGCATTCTACAGTTAATAGTTCACGACCTATCTTCCGAACCTTTTAGGCACAAGGCTACTTCGAAGGCAATACCCTCGCAGTTTCTGGGACCGGTTGCATCACCGCTTCCGGCAGAGACGAGGACAATGATGCTATATGTGCGTACTTCTTCACGTTTTCATTCCCATCGGCATGCTTACACTCCACGGACTGGTCGCGTCTGACCAACAGACCTCTTCAACCACAACACCATAATCAAGGCTTCCGATGCTACCACTATCGATTACACCTACCTCGGCCGACCTTGGAGCGGTACTACCAGTCCCTGTCCCTTTCCATTCTCAGTACTGATAATTGATTCGTTAATAGACTTCGCGCAAGTTATATTCTTGAACACAGAAGTCGAAACCGCTCTCGAAGCCGCTCTGTGGATGGAATGGTCGAGTTCTGAGCCTAACACCGACCACGTCGTCTTTGCAGACTATAACACCACTGGGTCTGGCGTTCCCAGCTCGCTAGACCGGCCCAGCTGGGCCACAGCCTTGACATCCAGTGAGGCGGCGGATTACACGCTTTCTTCCGCTTTGGGAACGACCTCTTGGGTTGACTCTGACTATTTGATGTGATCGTACTCTTTTGTGACTGGCACTCTGTTGAACCACAAAATTTCAGTCTAAGTGTTGTGACTGGTTTCGTCGCTTTTTGCAGGCCGTGCGCGTGATCGACTCGGTCGACATCGAGTCCCCTATTTTGTCTGAGGGCTTCACAGTCCGACTGGAGGATGTATACTTTCGATCCTTTCGCGAGGTTATGAAAGTGATGGTATAGGCGCCAAGGACCGAGTCTTGCTATTTTCATCTGGGTGTATCACATGTGGCCCATGCGTTTGCCAGACCTCTGCTAACACCGCTAGGTGTCTTTTGCACGCTTTCGCCGTGCAGATCAAGCGGAAGTTCAATTCACAATTATGCCCTACGAACCCAACAGACAGCACCTGGATAGGCTGTGGGCGAAGCGATTGGGGTTGAGTCGGAGGTAGAAAAGGTAGAACAGAATATACTCTCTTTTTGACGGGAGGACGGACTTCATTGGCTAGGTGTACCTTATATCCGGACCTCTGGAGTGAAGGGAGCCTCGAGCCACTCATCTCAAATCTTTGTAGCTGATTGGCCAGACACCGGATTCTCGCTTGTTCCACTGCATGACTCTCAAGCCATCCCCAGAGCGTACGGAGGAAGGAATAACTTCTTCAAGAAACACTTGGTACACGCGGCCAATACCAAAACTTCTCGTCTGCAGCCAGACTCTCGAAGACACCCGACGCCACCAGGATGCTGTAACCGAGTTCCTGGGTGAAGGGCATCCGATGTTGGGACATTCCCTCAATAATTATGCTGCATCTATTTATCCGTGGGGCCTGCCACCAGAGTCTGTTATACTTATCGAGCGTTGCGACATGAGCTAACTGACGTGTACGAAGCCTCGTTATACTGCGGCCAGCATATTCAGGAAGTCAGCAAGAGACCTAAGCACTTATGTCTACCGCACCTCTAGAATGACAGCCAGACTTATATGAGCGGCGAATCTGAAAGGCCGATACCTGAGTGAAATGGATGTGCCATGATTTCTTTAAAGAGGTGTGGTTATCTCCCGTTCTCCCCTTTAGGGATTATTCATGCCAAAACCCCATGCACGCGTGTACCAAGCGACTTTCCCACCGACATTGTGCCGTGCTCCGGACTTTCCTCCCTATGTCGAGAATGACCTAACTCGTAGCCCCATAAACAAGGCTGATTCCGGACATACTGAGTTGCATAACGACCCTTCAGGAGCGAATGGTTAGAGAGCATAAACCGTGTATACCGGTCAACTTTTCACATCTGGGCCAAGATCCGGTGAATGATTCACTCCAACTCGCAGAGTATTTTTGAGCAAGTGTGATACGGAAGAGATCAGCCTGAGTAGCCTCGAGGGTTGATCGGCCTCTTCTAATCGTATCTCGTCCCTGTCATCCCGGTAAGTAAGTTAGGGTTTTCTCCGCCAACGACAGACGTCGTATCCAACGACATGTGAGGGGGATTTATAACACGCTGTACAGGCAACAGCGTTGATGGTGTATGTGTGATCCAACATCCGTCAGGACATCGGCCATAGGCGGGGAAAAATGCTATTAGAAGCACCAGTGAGAGGATCAATATAGGTGTTCAGCTCGTAATATAACGTCCGCCGTTGAACCACGATCCGCCACAAAGTTCGCTTGGGATACAGAATATTCCGGTGTGATCTGAAGGAGTTCTAACTGAAACCAACTGAAACCTCTCAGCGGCAGGGAGAATAACCTGCTTCATGCGTGTATCCAAGATGATATCGGAAGTTATAAGGCACCCTGCGTATCTGGACGGTACTGCTGAGATGGTCATGGCAATATTCGTTCCGCACCTGCATGCTAACACGCCTCGATGACAAGAGAAGGGAAGCATTCGATTGAATTAGTAGACCGTCTTCTGTTCAATACATCTGGCGCATGTTTATTATGAGCACCGTTTCCTTCATATCGTAGGAAGCGCGTCTGATTCGGAAGCTCCAGACTGACTTGGAGGCAGTAACCGCAGGTAACCGCACAGCCCAAACCCACGATCAAGACATATTGCGGCTGCCACAACTACATTTGGCCACAGTTGGTCTGGTGGCCCGGCGAAGCACTCATAACTCACTCCTCAATGCCGTTGAAGTGTGTCCACAGGCGTAGGCGTTGTTCCATTTAGAGAAAACCCTATAAGCGCCACTAGTAGCTAAAACTTCTGGCCTTCAACGGAATCCAAGGAACGTCAAAGAGCACGGCGGCCATTCATCAAATGGAAGTATAGTTCCATTCATGTATAAACGAATACTTTGTCCACGCACCTAGCAATGTGGTATAAACAGAACCCAATATGGGTAATGTGCGGGACACAAGCCTGCATGGGATATAAGGCATGAACTGGAAGGGCAAAATATGAGATGGATCTTGACGATTCGGAACACTAATAGCTACGTTGAATGGTCTTGTCAAAGATTCTTCTCTACGAAAGTACCCGCTAAGGACTCACATCGACTATATCTCAGCCTCTCCATAAATTATACCGAAGTGGTGAAAGCCCATTCATATCCATCGTTCCCATGTCCAAACGAAGAAGGTAGTTGGCGAGGTTATTGGAGAACGCCGTGATGCATAGGGTCCTGTAAATAGACTACCGACATGAGTGACATGTATAACATGAACACGTACATTGACGCAAAACGGCAGCGAAGGCTAGCGAAGTTCTGATCGGTGTGACGGAAGCAGGATTCTCTATGTGCGAAAGTGCCATCCAAAATAGCGCTTGATCGTTCCCCAGGTTTTTGGATTTACCTCTAGGAAATTGGAAGTGAACGCTGCACCGAAGACGGTCGTTGATCTCAACCAGTATGAAAACCCCTACGATTTCGTACGGCATGGCAGCAGAGGTTGCTTGCATGATAGGGTGAGACGATCAAAGCTGTAGCAGGAGACATAAATAGGTGTTCCTCGCTGAGGCCCTATTGAGGAAAAAAATCGAGAGAGTCAGGCGACGGGGCACACTCTATTTCAGGATAGTACACGGACTTACCGCTCTTGAGAAGGCGCTCGACTACGCACGAGCATGGATGATACGTACACGATTGTATAGACATGATCAAAGGTTGGTCTGGGCCAGACATACGGCAGGTAACACTGGTGCCTTCAACTCCGTGCCGTTTCCGAGATACCATGAACCAGCACTGATACCCGGGTACAAAGATCCAGGGTGCACTCTCTCCGAAGGTGCGTGGGTGATTCGATCTCTTGTGGGAGAAGGCCATAAGAGGGCGGAGAATGATTTGACGAAGGTAGCTTCTCGCTCCGCACCCTCATAGGCCAACATGCAAAAGTCATCATCGTCCAGCGCATCAAACGCTGCAGTGCAACCTTTCACCGGAATTGTTGCCACCACAGTCGACGCTCTGCGCCTGGTCATAGCAGCTCGGTGAGTTGCTCTCAAACTCTTTCCAATAACCGCAATTCACTCCCTTTCCTATATCCTAGTAAGGGCATCATCCCACGCATCACGAGAAGGTTAGCGTTTCGCTCAATTGTCGGTCCCCGCTCTCATCAGCTCGCGCTTCGTAGGTTGAATGACGCGGAACGGCGGGACATGGTGAAAAGTGGCGCTGTCTTTATCTTTGCTACGGAAGAGAGTGGTATAAAACGATGGACGGAAGGACTTGCATGGTCTCCGTCACGTATAGACGGGAATTTTTTGGTGAGTATTTCGTACGCCGAGGCGTGTTGAAATATGTGTGGCGTGGGTCGCGATTATCATAGCGGAGGTGCTAGTCCAAACATCCACTGATATCGCTCTCCCGCAGATATACCGCGAGGTCACGCAGACCGTCGAGCGAGGCAGCCACAAAAGTGCCGTCAGTAGTCCGGTCTCAACGGCTTCCCTGTCCCAAGATCAGCATGCCTTTGGCGCGAGCTCGTCTCAGTATGACAGCACATTAGGACCCGTGAAACCCAACGGTCTGACCAAGCGAGTTAGTAGTCTCCATTCAACTATTCACCTGTGCCACTACTCACACCAACCAGACGGTGACGATCAAGGTTGACGGCATGGACCACCACGTTGTCTCGTACTATCGAGACGATGACGTTCGTCGCGGTCAGCTCAAGCGACCAACTGCCAATCCAACGATGTTGGCCCTCGCGATACCTCCAGAACTAGTCAAAGCCACAAACTTTCGTCATCCGCCGCGTATTGAGATCGGGTCGGACAACATGCCACACATGTGAGCTCGAACGACGGCTTCGGGGTCTTGTTCCGTAACTTAACGGGTGCCATCTAGCTACGACGACGAAGAAACCGCCTATGAAGCCCGCGTTCGCGCAGCCAATGCTCCTTCTCGCTCCCCAACCACCCCGTCTGCGCTATATTCAACTGCTCCAGAGCTTCGTAGAGGCTCCACAAGCTCCAACCCCCCACATAGCCCAACTTCTCCGACTGGATATTCGTCCTCAGGCTCCGGCCACCCGAATAGCTCGCTCTCAGGAGCTCTGGATAATACGACATACCTGCCCTATCACAGATCATCGCAGGCCCCCACTAGCTATCGCGCGGCAGATTCCCCTGGGTCTGTCTCTGGTTCTCAATACAGATCGATGCAAGAGAATGAGATGGGAAGCGATCCCCGACTCTACCGTACGTCTGACGTCTCTATGAGAGATCCTCAGAGTTCAACGGCAAACACGTCGACACAGTCAGAAATCTTGCTTCCCGGATTCTGCTACATTGATCCTCCGAATACGGGGACAACATGGAGTTCGACGGCTGATCCCCGCTACAGCCCAACGAACGTTGGCTTATCCCGCCACTTTAACGAGCATCATCGGTATACGATAGAAGATGGGGCAGGACCATCCCAGGCCACCACAGACCCTCAGGCCTATGCGCGAGGCACATGGCCCTCCAACGGTATGTCGTATGGCGCGGACTATACCTCGTCGCAGCAGCAAAGAGACACTCGCTCTCGAGATAGGTCAGATACTTGAAGAAGAGGAGGGAGCGGTGAGCCAGGGGGTGCGTGTTTGAGGGTCGGCTAAGGAGTAGTGGGTCGGCTTGCAGGGTTCGTTTTTCTTGTACTGCGCTTCTACCCTATATATGCAGTCGGACGCTTGTGCGAATGCTACCATGGACAGACCTATGCCCGTGTTGCCGAATTTTCAGCACATATCTCTGGATCGATCATATGATACCATGCATACATCTTTGAGTATTCGTTTCCTGCCATTCCTTTCACGACTGTATGTTAAGCTTCGAGTAACCCTGTGGGCCTCATAACTTGTAGCACACTCAGCTACTCATCATCCTTATAAGGCTTTGGTTAGTGCTTGTTCGAGTCTTTGAGTTGTTGAAATCACCTTAGCTCTACTGTCCGGCACGAACAGCGGTCGTATATGAAGCATCTAACCTGGGATAACCTGACTTATGCTGAGTCGGCCCGCAGCGCTAATCTGAGCTAGATGCTACAAGGCGCTCGTCAAACACTTGTGATCTGATACAATGAGTAAAGGGTGAGCCATCCTCGAAAACACACGGTGTTTGACGACGCATACCTCTGTCAAGTGTCCTTGGGCGAATGATCAATCCAGACTTTGGCTCGTATCTCTTCTGCTCGTAGCCCCTGCTCCCCATTCCTGGAATGGAGACTAGGGTGCATGAAGAAAATGGGCTGATTATTTCCATGCCTTAGCCATGATCGAGGCAGCTATCTTATCCGTGCCTCTGGTCGCATTTGGGAACCGGGCTTGCACGAACCTGGACGCGCGGAAGGCTAGATTACCTCCGATGCCGGCCTGGTGGATGCTTTCGAAGCGGGATTGTAGCTTCTAAGGTTTTGGTTCTTGACTTGAGAGTATTTTAGGCTGAAATTTTCTGACATGTCAAAAACAAAGGGTGGTAGTAGTGTTGATCAGCAGATGTCACACGTAACCCAAGGGTATGCAAGGGGTATATAGACTCGCCGTATTGATTGCAGGACATCTCCAATAGCAGCGCCTCCATCCGCGGTGGCAGCAATCTTCTTCTTAAGAGCAAGGGCGAGGTCAGCGTGTCCCTGAACTCGGCCATAAACTGAGTCACGGCTGAGCTAATCTCACAGAGGGCCCGGGCTTCATATTTGGCTAGACAAGGGCCGTCACAACCCCAACCACATCTAGGTCTCCATTAGTGTGGCCCGGGCTGAAGGTCGGAATGCATCTTGTGAGAAGAGCCGACTGTGTCCATCGCTCGGTGGCCTGGTCCAGCAGAATGAATATCGACGCCGTGGCGAGCCGATCCGTTTCGCGTGCGAAGTGGTCATACGCTTCTACCCCACGCAATTATCCACTTGGGTGTGGAAGTTCTGCCAAATACTGCCATATTCGAATGACGAGACACGACGATGCGAACGACTAGCACGGACTCCATATCCGTGTGTCTTGCGGGGTGGCGAACGCAACGCCACCGGTCGCCACATTCCACACTGTGCTCGAAAAGATTTCGAGCGATACCTCGTATTTGGTCTTCTGAAGTCGGAGCGGCTGTAGACAATCCCTTCTCGGGCTTCGGGCACAACAAAAAGCTATTGCACCTCTGGAACAGCTCGGTTGCAGCACATTTCGAGCACGTATACTTATTGCCTGCAGCGACGTGTCTCGGCCCCTAGAGTGTTCGAAGCTCACCGACGTTGAGCCATATGCTCGTTTGATACCAAACTTGAGGCTGATCCAAAGTTGTCTGAGCCATAGCCAGACGTGCTCGGCCCTGCTTGAGCGGCTCCCGCAGAGCGCATACAAGATGTGGGCACTGCATATACCGGGGCCTTTGTAGCACGGACGCGTGAGGTGGCACATCCGATAACTGCGTAGGTCGAACGATATATGCTAGCCAAAACTACACCACCGATGCTGTTGAGAGCGGGAGCATCGACAAATTACTTTATCGCACCTTCGCACAGTAATCGCCATGACGAAACTGTTGCCAGCTTGCCAGCGGATTCGTCACAGGGAGAGCAACTCGGGTACTAGAAGAACAAGCGTTGTGTCTATTGTCTGAAGACCAGTCTTTTACCACAAAGGCTCGGGGGATAGAGAGGAGCATTGATTACTGGGAAACAGAAAGTATGAGGGAGAAAGGCCAATCTCAGGATTGAACAGGCAAAGGAAACGCACCTAAATATCTGGCGATTGAAGCGCTACTTCCAAGAAAAAAGGGAGATTAGTTGATAGATTAGGACGATTATCTTCACGAAAGCTACAGCACAAAAGAGAGCCGTCCCATTGTTCGCCACCGTCGGTGATGGTGGTCCAAACAAAGGTCCAAGCGGGAGATAAGATCGAGCGCGACACGCGTTTCGGTCACGTGTGTGCCTGTTGATCCATTTCTCACAGCTGTCCCGCACATAACAAGGTCGGCCACCGTTCTCTGCTTGTCCTTGCCTTTCTTTCCCCACCATCATCCACCCCCCAACCCAATTCGAACCCTCCCCCACAAATCTTCCTTTCAAATCCCTCATAATCATCTCAGATAATGCCTCGCAAAGCCGCACCGAACCCTGACGCGCCAGAAGTCGTCCCGCGTCGTTCGTCACGCATCAAGGAGCAGCCTAAGGTTTCGCCTCCCCCGCCTGCCCCCAAGAAAGCTCCTGCCAAACCTCGAGCCAAGAAAGTCAAGGATGCCGTCACCGGTGAGATCGACGAACTTGCCGGGGATGTCGAGGAAAAAGTGACGGCGAAGAAGCCTGCTGCGAGTCGAGGGAAGAAACGGACTGCCGCTGAGGCCGAGGGCGACGCCGCCGCCGCCCCAGAGGAAAAGACTGCTGCCACTACGAATGGCACCGCTGAGAAAGATGCTGAGCCCGCAGCCAAGAAGGTGAGTATCAGTGTCCTCTACATCTCTTGTAGTCGTCAACCGGGGAGCCCATGCTAATCACTGCACCATCACCTCATTCCCGTCGTGTCAGGCTAAACCAGCATCCAAGGCATCCAAGCCAGCATCCAAGGCTGCTACTGCTAAACCTGCATCCAAAGCCGCTGCTGCGAAGCCACCATCCAAGGCAGCGAAGCCTGCGTCTAAGGCTGCCGGTACCAAACCCGCGTCTAAAGCCTCCACTAAACCAGCCTCGAAGGCGGCCAAGCCTTCGTCGCGTGCGGGTTCGCGCAAGCCTGCTTCCAAGGTCAGTCCTTGCTGCTTTCAGTGTCGTCGTGCTTCAACTCGACACTAATTGTTACCGTTTACAACATCTCGGTTTGGATGGGCGCTTAGGCTGAGGCGGATAAGGCAGACACTTCTATCACTGTGCAAGAGACGATCAATGAGGAACCAGAGGAGGCTGAAACTGCTATTGTCGCGGCTGCGGTGAGTATCGTCGCTCTCTTTTGCCATCGAGAAGAGTGAGTCGCTGATGACCCTTATCTTATGCTCAGGCTTGACTATAGCATCTCACTAGTCAATCGAGTTCGCTTTCCCTCTCGCATCCTACATCTCGCTCTGCTCTACGACCCATCTACGTACCATGCATGGAACACAGTGATCCTTGAATACGCCACGTACACTAGGACCTTACGATCGAGGTTTCCCTACCAGCGGCATCAGCATTTTATCGCACACTCATCGATTGTAACTATCTTCCCGTTCCAGTCTTGCTTTCGCTGTCTCGCATCCGCCGTCCTTCTGTATTCTTGTACATTGTCGTATCCATCGTCCAATTTTGCCCATGCATTTTCTCTATTTCTTTGCTTATTACGCATTCGTGACTTTTATTATTCTTGCTTGTTCTCTGGTGTATTTTTCTATCCGCCGTTCCTATTTGTTATGTTTTTGTCTCGGTCCCCTCACGACTTCCTGCGTTCCCCGTCTCCATACCTTTCTCCTTCTACTCGCTAGCACTCACTGCTCGAGCAGGTTTCCCCTTTCTCGTTGTCTGAGGTTTCGTCGCTGTTATCTGTAGGATGCGAACTGTGCCAACCATTTACCCTCATCTTTTTCTTTCCAAGGCCCATACAGCCTGGATCAGTGTGAGGGAGTCACTCCTGGCTTGCGCCCTAATGCCTATGGGGGCCCCGAGCTCATGGGGAGAAGGGACGAATTCTCATCGTCGATGGGAATTTGGACGTTCTTGCGCACGGACCTCCCGCGGGCTTCGTTGAGTAGCGACGCTGACGTCATCGCAGTGACACATCTTCAAGTGTGGCGGTGGCGCCTATGTCCTCTCGACCTTTGCGCATAAAACAGATTTCCACTTTTTCTGATGATTGCTCGGTGCTGTATGCCTCTGGACATCTTACATTGCACGACTCCTTCCCTGTAGCGCGAATTTTTGCGCGCAGTTGGACGAAGGCCGACCGAGGTGTCCGGCTCGAGACTTCAAGATGTCGTTTTCGAGGGTCTGCTAGGGATTGTGGCGCCGCATATCGAAATTGCGACTCCAAGCTCGTCCTATGATTGGAACTCGGTGTATAATGCGGGAAGTTCGTTACTTCGAACTCTTGGATTCGCAGCATAGCAGCCTGATCGTCACAGTATGCAAGGACTCTCGCCGACTTCGGGCTTTGGAGGAAGATCATACGTAGCGAGAACGAGGGAGAGGTTTCTTGCTTGCGGCTGTTCCGTGTCGGTACTTGGGATGCCGTCTCACAGACCTCTACCTGACCAGATCCCGACAGCTATTGAGGTCGTTTCATGGTCCATATCCAGTCGGCCCCAGTATATTGAAAGGGGCTACGATGACTTCGACTCGGGCACCAAAGGTTTTCATCGACAGAGGCAGAGACAGACAAAACTACCTGGATCGAGATGTTTGTGAGCGTTCCGTGTCGGTGTTGAGACTTGCTGAGATGGCGTACTATTGCTATCGGCCGCATCCTGAATTGTACTGAGGAATTTCTCGAAATAAGCGAGCTTGTCGCAGAGCCAGGAGCTGCCAGCCTGATCATTCACCATCTTCAAGTTCGGATTACAAAATAATGACCCACCTCTAGTAATGATGCAGACAGATAAAGCTTCGAACGGCTATTGCATTGACTCGAAAACTGCCCTGGTTTGCATCTGCTTCGAACAGCATGGACAGGAGCATCTCATTTCGAGCGATAAGTACGAGTCGTATGGAGTCGCAGGTTTTGGTCAATATCCACCAGCCATCAATCCTGTGAGCACTTGGAGGTGCTATCACCGATTATTTGACCCAGTTGTTGGAGAGAGATGTACGCTTGTGGAAGAGTTGCGTCTACTGCCAGACTTCCGACCGTCGTAGGTGGTGCAGACGTCTGTGACTGTTTGGTATGTAAAGCCATAGATGTGTGTCTAGGTCGCCTTATTGAGCAGTGTCAGAGGGGGGAACATGATGAGGGTCGGAGCCTGGTAATGGATAGGATCTTCCGCATATACATGGACCTACCGGAAGATACGGTGTTTCTGCGAGTCGAGGCTCGACGGTGTTAAGCATGTTTTGACCCGACATGTTTTGCCCTGCTGAAACAGAAGATCCTCGTACAGCTCTGCATCCACCATCAATCACATAGGTTAACAGCTAAAGATACCTTTTACCGGTTAAACATAGAAAAAATCAACATGCAACTCCAAGGACACTTACGGAGATAACGAATGCATCGGAGCGAAAAGGCTGTCAGATCTGTCCGAAGGACTATACGTGTGTAGGCCTCATGTGGAGAGTATGCAGCGTCATGAATCACCATGACATCGTTGATGTATGAGGTATGTTTGCGCCCGATATCAAATGAAAAGTTTTGGAAACAGAGAACGCAAGGTGGTGAACACATTGCCAGGGACAATCCTAGGACAACCTTCCTAGGCTCGGTCGACTTGGACAGCCGTCCTCGGAGACGGTGTCTCGTCGTGTGCCCACCGGAGTGATAGCAGTTGTGCACTTCTGTAGAGCCGTGGGCAAGATTATCATCAAAATAATACCACCAGGGTGTGCTGAAGAGAAGCACACGGAGAGATCGTGTCGGGCACCTAGTTCGTTGGCCTCTTTGCTCAAGGGGAGAAAATGAAGACGTACGGGCGCAGCCATTACTACAAATCGGAAATAGAAACCGCACAAGATATGTTTCAGGACATTTCCAGACCAGCAGGCCATTCGTCCGGTCACCTTGAGTGGGTCACTGATGTCTGTGTCGAGTCAAGGAAGTAGCGTAGCTAGATACAAGATACTATCCATAGTATCTTGAGAAAGAGTGGCCAAAAAAGTTAGCTCGTAGGTCTTTGAGCCCATGAGCAAATATCGAGGCATATTGCCTCTGGGATAACAGACGACTCGGGGGCGGAGGAACAGCTAAGTGGTAGGAAGAAATGCGCATTCTTCACCAACAAACCAAGTTGTCGGTTTCGGGATCTCCCGATCAAGTCAATTTCCAATAGTTCGTTCACCGCTTTTGCTCTTGCCAATCCCTCGTTGAAAGCCTTTTTCTACCTTCCTCGCCCACAATGGTCCTTCTGACTGCTTGACCTGGTTGCCGTAGCTCTACAAGTAAGGCTACCTTGCGACTTTCCATCGCGCCGGGCTTGTCTGGCAATGTTCATGCGCACTCGACGTACACAACCGTGGCGGTGCCAGTGGTCAGGCTATGGGACCAACAAGTTTATGAGCGCTTTGTTATTCTTGTCCCGACTCCGACTCGGTTTTCGTAAGGCGGCACATCTAGTGCACCGACTACGATTGTTTCAATTCGCTGATGGTTTGATACTCCTCGTTTTGTCAAACCTCTAGCTTCTGCCCACAAGCCCTTCGAGGTATCACAACTTCGTCCCGTAGTGGGTGAAGTAAATCATGAATCATGAACCAGCATCGGATGTCTCGTCCATACGAGTCACCGGGCCCACCATACGATGGAGCCGTAACTGCGGCTCTCAGGGTTTTGTTAGATCTTCTGTACCTCGGCATCTTGGACCATACTATCATGTTTTACGGAACTACGAGATGGTATTTGACCCACCATTGGGCGCTCACGCCCATATTTTATGCTGTGTATGTTTCCCGGTGGCCAAAACCAGTCAGGCCTAGACTACGATTGATTTTTTTTTGACAATCTAGCTCTCGAGAATGTTCACTTTCGAGACCATTTTCGAGGATGGGAAATTGGACGCAGCGTATTCTGCGGAAATGGTCTTGGTCCTTGGCAGGAGTTGGAGCCTGTTCAATTACGGGCAGGATCTACATACGGACCAAGAAACATAGATTTGATGCGGACACGCTATCCTGTTGCCCGAGCCATCACAAGTATCGGGGTTTAGTCCCTTTCTCCAATCAGGGCGCCGCGTTGAGTGGATCGACTGTATACCAGAGTCGGATATGGTTCAAGACTCCGACCTGCGTATGTATGCACCTGTTTTATGATTGTTTTTTCCTGCGCTGTGATAGTGATGGGATTTTTTATCTACAGAACTCTGTGGAGTGGGAGAAGAGTCATTACATTATGGCTCGGCGGTTGGACTGTAGGACGAATGAGCTAGACCACTACGTAGTAAGTTCACTCGTTTATGACTATCTTCTGCGGTGGTCTGGCTTATTTTGAAAAAGAAAACAGTGGTCTGATGCGGCTTGTAGAACAATTACTACCACTGAACGGAGTCATGCCCGACCTAGATCTTGCCCTCATCTGTGTGTTGCTTCCAACACTCAAAGCTACGTGTTCGTTTGGGTGCGTGCTCCGGATCCCCTTCGAGCATTCTTTCTCTTTTTACCTCCGTCCACCGAAATCTATCCTACGTTCATCTAGAGATTCGACTCATGTGGAATCATGATAGGCCCAAAAGCCATCTGGAAATGGCGATGGATCGCTCTCCTCAGCCAGGTACAGGCATATATAAATATCAGGTTTCGTGCACTGTTTGATTGTTAGACATCCACATCCACATCCCTCTTCTGGGACGAACGAACACCGCTGATCTTCCTGGCGCCTTTGTGACCGAAAGCGACCAGTAATCCCTTTCGTTGCGGTCAAGGATCGTCATCCAACATGATGGCAGCCCCCAGCATCACACTATACGACGTTCCCTCTGCCATGCCAGAGCCATGGGCCCCAAATATCTGGCGTGTACGGTGCGTATACCACTCTTCCCACATCCATATTCTGATTCTGATTATATCCTTGATGATACAGGTTCATCCTAAACTATAAACGTCTCCCCTACCGCACCGTCTGGATCGACTTCAACGATGTCGAACACACCCTGCGCTCCATCAACGCTCCACCGACCGCAGTCTCCCGCGAAGGTCGCCCAATCTACTCTCTTCCCGCGATTGTCGACCCCCTACGCGGCACAGGACACCGCCCCGTCGTCCTAACAAACGTCAACACCATAGCCGAATACCTCGAAGTCACCTACCCCGCCCGACCCGTCTTCCCCGACGGCGCCCGAGCCCTCCAAATAATCTTCGTACACTACCTCAACGACGTCCTCCTCAAACCCCTCCTCCCCATCATGGTCCCACTCAGTCACTCCCGACTCCCGGAACGCTCTCAGGCGCACTTTCGGGCGGGGTCGTCGCATGGGGGAGGCTCCGCTTTGGGCGAGGCGGGCCCGGCGAGGGAGCAGGCTTGGAGCGCGGTGAAGGAGAAGTTTGACTTTTTGGCCCTTGTGTTGGATAAGAATGCAGGGGCGGATGGGGACGGGACTGTGGCGATGGGGAGGGAGCTGAGTTATGCGGACTTTGCGATGTGTTCGGTGTTAGTTTGGGTGGAGAGAATGTCGCCACATGATGGGTGGGTGAGGATGAGGCAGTGGGGAGGTGGAAGGTGGGTGAGGCTCTGGGATCGGTGCAGGGAGTATATGGACGTGCTTTGAGCGGACGTAAGGCTAGAATTTATCTCCTTTCGAATTGCTATCATCATACTGCGAGTAGGTTATACAGCTGTGTCCGTGTTTTCGTATTTATAGACTCCATTCTCCTACCCGCGTAATACTGGCAATACCTTACATATTTATCTTCATATACACGATTAGCTTATAATGTTTTCGACCCAGTACTAAGTATGAGAATTGCGTATAAGCACCGCAAGGTCGCTGTGCCACACTTTCCCACGGCGTGTTGTTTAAACAGCTTCGTTGGCGAAGACGCAGCGTCAGACCGGCTCGTTCATAATGGCCATGGCGTCGCCGAGCCCAACGTCTTCCTATGCGCCTTCGTCGTCGGCCGTGACGATCCCCACCCCAGGCCGCTCCATCCTCAAGCGGCCTCCTCCAACCCAGCAATCCTTCTTTTCCCGATTCTCCAAGTTTCTCCCCACACCAGCCCAGGCCCAGGCCAGCGCGACGTCCGGCGATGAATCCAAGACGCTCAAACGCGCACATTTTATCCTCCCGGAGCTCGTGACGGTGTACCCAATATCGTCGGCGAACCCACCATCGATGCCGACGCTGAAGGAGGAGAAGAAAAGCATCGAGCAGAGGGAGATGGAGAGGCGGCGGAGGGTTGTCAGGGGCAGTCCGTCGGCATCGTCGAGCGGAGAGACGGACGAGTGGTGGTCGATGGATAAGGTCGAGTCGTTCTATAGGGAGTGTTCGACGAGCAGGGATGACCAGCCGAGTCCAGAGATTTCGGCTGCTTTTAAGGTGCGGGCTTCATTTCATGGTTTAATATCTGGGGCACGACCATACTTCGGACGCTGTTGCGTACGTCGACCGGCTCATCGCTTACCGATAAAACGACACGAAAGGATAGCCAGTAGGCAGTATGATATACCATGGTCATTATCTAGTGCTAATTGACCGCCATCGAATGAGGCCTTCATGTTTTGTTCATTGGATCCGGTTGCCATCTGTGCGCGAACGCCTGGCGGGATTTCCTGAATCACGGTGCTTGCCAGTGGAATGTATGTGTTCGCGGTGGATACGAGGATACTCGAACCGAGATGACCTCTTGACTTGTCGAACACAAGTTGCGCAGTTGAATGTATTCTTTGCTATCCGGACCCGAACACATCTCGATTTTCTCTCATCCTATCCAATTTGGTCAGACATCTCTTAATCTTTCATCATCTGTTTTAGAATGCGTCAGGGACAAATCCTCGAACATTGGATCTATCGGGTGTACAACTGACACCAGTTTCAGCCGCTGTGCTCTCCGATGTCTTCACCATCGAATGGGGCCTTCGGAGATTGACATTTCGGGAGTGTGATTTGGATGATCGGGTGAGTGCTTTGTCTGTATTATACGTATATACTGTCAGGCGATAAAGTCAGGGTAATACAACCCATGTGTGCTTGTACCGAAGCACTAGCAAGGGAGGCGATTGTATCTACGGACTTTTCGCCTTGTTGCAGACATATAATCCTTTCGCTAACTGATTATTTTCCAGATACTTAAACCGATCCTCCACGCACTCCTCATCCCCAATTCCCTCCTTTTCCTGTCGGTTGCTTCGAATCGACGGCTAAAAGCTCCCGCATTTCGTATCCTCGCTGCTTTTATTTCCAAAGTATGTCGTCTCACCGCTTTTGACACTCAACAAAATCCTTGACATCTAGCCGACAGTCGAAAAGCTTGCAGTTCCTGGACCTCTCCCAGAATACATTAGACAAGAAGGCGATCGACTACATCTCCGCCGCCCTTCCTCAAGCCCCTGAAGTAGGCCTCTCCTCTCTTAAGCTCGACGATTGTCAATTACGAGCTACAGTACTCGAAGCGCTTGGTGCGTCTTTCCTGCAGAGCGAGCAGAGTTAACGGCTTATCCGTTATTTTGTTCAGCCCATGTCGTCCGAACGTCCTCCCTGCGCAACATCTCACTTCGACATAACCGCATCAACGCCTCAGGAGCAGTCGCCATTGCGCTCATGATCAGAGACTATCCCGACGTCGTCCCCGGTCTAGGTGCCAACACAGGCTTCTCTCCCACCTCTTCTGCGCCTTCAACACCTCCCATGTCACCCCCCATGCCTTCCTCCGCGCTACCGTCCACCGTATCCGACAGTCATGCCTCTTCGCCACAGAGCCTCATCTCCACGCTCTCCCTCTCCATATCTTCCAGCAATTCCTCCTCAACCTCCATGGCCACCTCCAAATCATCATTACTACCACCTCCAACACGCTCAGGACCCCTCCCACCACCTCCAAAACACCCATCTACACATCCTCAAACTACATATACACCCTATATTCCTCGATCACGAAGAGCAGTCGCCCCGACCGTTAATCCTTTATCGCCTACGGGACAACATATACCGCTTATCACGAGCTCGCAGCAGGGTGGGGTGACGATGAGGCATCCCGTGCCACCGAACTCTCAGTCCGGTGCTGGTGCTGCTGGAGAGGGAGTTGGCGCTGGTAGAGGACAACAGGGGGCGGCCACGGGGTCTCCGTCGTCTCATGGACCGAGCGCGGCGTTGTTGGATAAGGTTAGGGCGTTGGATGCGTTGCCGAGGTTGGGTGCGCTGAGGACGCTCGATTTGAGAGGAAATGATATCCGGGTGCGTGATCTCATCTTCGTTCTTTGTTAGCCATATTGGCTTACATGGCCTCTTTGATCTTCGATATGTAGGGCGGCATCACATATATCGCACAGGTTTTGAAGCGGAACCGAACCCTGAAGGTCCTGAACCTGAGCGAGAACAAGCTGGACATGCAGGGTTTAGTCAGCATCGCGGAGGCTTTGGTGCGTCTCTTCACCGTTTCAACACCTGTTTGGATCGTTGAATTTGGCCTTAGAAATACAACTCTTGTCTCGAGACGCTCGATCTCAGTAAGAACCCGTGTTGTGGCCCTGGCTTCGACGGTGTACGTCCTCTTCTCCACTCTCTAACTCGTCTCGCCTCGCCCTCAGACCCACCCATACTCGCTCTAATACACAATATCACAACAGGTCCAATCGCTCCGCACGGCCTTCACGCTCAACACCGCGCTCAAACGTCTATTCCTCTCCTCCACATCGATGACGTCTGCGGGGGCCATCGCGCTTGCCGAGTTCCTACCCGAGTCGACATCCCTGCTGCACCTCGATCTGACGATGAATCAGTTGGATTTGGCGGGCGTGATGGCGCTCAACTCGGGACTGAAGGCGAACCATGTGATGAGATGTTTAGATCTGAATATTCCGCCGGGAGATGAAGCGATGGCAAGGTGCGTTTTCTTTCCCCCCCAGTGTTATTTCGATCTCATTCTTTGACTGATCTCGCGGAAATGGTGGTTATCGAACAGGATGTGTCGCGACATACTCAACACCTGCGTCCGCAACACCGAGGAAGCCGAACGCAGCGCCAACGCGACATCCGCCGCACCGAGCACGACGACATCTACCGTCGGGACCCCAACGAGCGCAACCATGATGGGCAATGGGAGAGCACAGGGCAAGAGTCTGTGGAATATGATCGAGGAGAGCGAGCTTGCGAAGAGCATCAAGAAGGATGATCAGAAGAAGGTCCGGACTGTTCCTGGTTTCTCTCTCTCTCCTAAGTCAGATACGGATCGTTTACTTACGGATGAGCGTGGTTCGCGTGACGGTGGTGGTGGCGATGTGTCTGGTGGGCGTGATGTTTCCGGTGTCGCGCCTGGTGTTGGTGTTGGTGCGGCGTCTGGTGGTGCTGGTGTTGTGCGTGGTGCCGGATGGGCTGTATTCGAACAGAACGAGACAGAGTTGATAGACCAAGCGAAAGACTACAAGACCAAACTCGAATCCATGCTCGCCTCCATCCCATCTTCTTCTTCCAACTCTTCCTCGACAATATCCTCGACAACATCCCTATCCACCACGGACATCGATATCGAACTCATCGACAGCGCGAGGAAGACTCTGCCCCCTCTCGCGAACATCATCAGCTCCCTGTCCACCGTCACGACCTCCTCGACGTCTACTTCGACCGCAGAATCGGCGCGCCTGGCGGATATGTTGGAGCTTAACGATGGTCTTACGGATCTGATATCGAAGGCTACGAGGTTGGCGAGGCCGAATCTGAAGTTACAGGGATTAGGATTGGAATTGAACGACATAGAATCGATGGAAAAGGCGGGATCGGGATCGAGGGTGGCGACGCCCTCTGGCAGCGGTGGCCCTGGCTCTGCGTTGGGCTCGGGGTCCGCGTCTGGTCTAGGCTTGAGTCCGAGCGATGTCGTCCTAGCGTCGAACGGTACAGCGAACGGACATGCCACAGGCGAGGACACCGAGACCGAAACGGAAACAGAGGACGAGGGAGAACCGAAGGTCGAGACGCCAAAGGTGGATAAGGGGAAGGGTAGAGCGATTCCCGAGCCAGAGGAACCGGAGAAAGTGCTTAGTCCGACTGGATTTGCGTTAGAGTCGGATGAGGAGGGTGAGAGTGAGCTTGGACTGGGAGGGGTGAGGAGTCCTACAGATCGGTGGGTCGTTATCTTTGCTCTAGGTGTTTAGTGTGTGGCGCATCTGATCACTGGATGTGGCGCGATCATAGGTCGAAGAGTTGGGTGGAAGAAGAGGGAGAGGTGTTCCGGAAGGGCACCAAGCTTCTAGGGCCGGAAGAGATGGAGGGTGAATACGCAGGCGAGGAGTTGCGGATAGAGGTATGTCGTATCATGCACTTGGTTGTGTGGCCCACAATAACCAACTGACACGGCCGATCCAGCTCCTGGAAGCGATGGTAGACCGTCCACCTCCACGCTCCATCGTCGACGAATTCGGCGCCGACATCACGCCTCCAGATCATCCCTCCTCCCCTGTAGTCCCATCGCCGAAGCCTGAAGAACCTTCCAAGCCACCGCCAAGACCTTACATTCCTCGGAGGTCGTCGTCGGCCTCCACCGTGACGCCGAAGAGTGCTACCTCACCTGATGTAACTTCGTCGTCGAAGTTCACGACGTCGCCAGTCGTGACTTCTCCGATATCAACGTCGAGCGCGAGCGGGACCGAGAGCCCATCGTTGTTGAGCCCGACGCAGACGACGGGGCCGAGACCGTATATGCCGAGGAGGAAGTCGTCGAATGCGAGCTTCAGTTCGGGGTCGACCGTGGATGGACCTTGAGGGGTGCTGATCAAGGGAAACTGACTGGTATGTGTGGCGTATTGGCCATCATCGGGGGATTGATAATGGACTTACCTATGATCTCAATAGAAGAGCCACTACCATCTATCCTACATATTGTCGAACGGACTTGGTCGTGATACCACGAACCTCTTTTAACAAAGTGACCCTCCATCTTCATTGCTCATTTTGTGTGAGATACCCTTAGAGCACGAGGTGGTCTGATTCAAACCACTTTACCTGTCACCGTCTTAATTGTTGTCGGCCAGCACGATGGAATCTACAGCCATACCTTGCATGTTCAATACAGGCTACCCCAGTTCATCACCACCTCTCTTCATTCGTCTTTGTCTATTTCAAGGGTTCCCCCCTCCTCCTCTCCAATCCTCGACCCACTCTCACCTTCACTTAATTTGCATGTCCTGTCGTTCTCTCTGTCTGTGTGGACGGTTCTCATTCCTTTTTTGAATATGGTTCACTATGTTTGCTGGTTTCTCCTCACTCTTTCAATATGACCCCACTGTGCACTTCCGTATTTCGTCATGCAGACGCAGTCAGGATCTCCTCCTTTAACCTCACCACTATCCGAAAGTACATTTCGTTTATGTCGATTCTAAACTTATCATTCTCTCTCAACATCATACTTGCTAATCTGAAATTTCGCTGTGACTTGAGTTAGGCGCTGTAGGCGCGTAAGTGACATTGACGAGTTGACAAGTTGCGTCCTATCCTGCTGAGACTGTACCGTGGGGAGATCAGTCTTCCTTTTTCTTCCCTATTCGCGACGTCTACTTGTAACGGTGAATGTTTCGCTCAATTACCCCGGTCTTGGGAACGTGTGAGGGCCTACTAGCGAACACGTCTTGACACCACTCTCGGAAGAATGTTCACATCCACGGCTCTCCTCAGCCTCCCGGCCCCTGAGCCTTGCTTCATAAGTCCTCCGAGCGCACACAACCACCACTACACATCCGAATCCAGACCCTTCTGTCAAAGTAGTCCCTTGTCCTCTTGGGAATGTCGTCGAGCGTCATGAATATTATCATGCGAAGGTCCGACACGTATGGGGCTCGCGGCCGGACGCCGATTGCGCAACTAAGGAGCCGTATTGGCCAGGGACTGAGCGTGAAGCTGACTGACCCGTCCCGCTCTCTCTGTCTTGCCTCCCACCATCTCCACGCTCGTCTCGACAAGGATTCCCATCGATACCGATACCCGAGTCTGAATTCGAGATTCATATCCTCTGATAAACCTGGACTCGCGTCCGCTGCGTCACTCAACTCCAAACTCCGAGCTTTTACTACAACAACCATCAAAGCCATGTCTAACGTGCGTCTCTACGTCCTGTTCTTTTTCTCTTTATTCTGTGCTAGATAGGATACAGAACTGATATCTACGTTCCTGGTAACTATTCGGGTTTGGTTGATCGTGCAGCCCGTTGTAACTGAGGAGAACCCTGCCGGTCTCAAGCCCATCGACATTGGCGACACGCTGCCCACTCTCGTCCTGAGGAACGAGAAGGACGAGGAGTTTGATGTATCGACTGTTGCGAAGACGAAGGGTGCGATCATCTTCCTTGTCCCTAAGGTCAACACGGGTAAGCTCTTCTCCTGCATCTCTCCTGCATCTTGTTAGCCCCTATCCACCACCCAAACCTATACGCATCTGCACGGTTCCATATCCTCCGAACCGACAACATTCCCATCTTGTTCCGAAGTATCTGGAATTGGAGACATGGATAACTAAAATAGCAACTCTTTCTATGTGCGGTGGATATGGCTCGCCTATCATTTTATCAGGTGGATGCACCATCCAAGCCTGCGGGTTCCGCGACAGTTACCCTCAATACACCGGCATCGACTACGAGATCTACTGCCTGAGCGCCGACCCTCCCTCTGAGCAGACCAGCTGGCAGAGTGATGTTCGTCTCCCTCTCTCTCTGTTCACCATATCACTTCTTGATCTGACTGGGTGGTGTTGCATCATTTAGCAAAAGCTGCCATACCCCCTGATCTCCGGTACGTCTTCTCTACCAAAGTGACTTGATGCCGATGATGCAATAACAATGATGCTGACGAGACGTCTATATTTCTGTTTTGACCTGTGATAAGATCCCGACAGGATCCTGATCAACGCCCTCGGAGCTGGCGAAGGCGGCAAGACGAACAGGAGCCACTTCATCTTCGAGAAGGGCACCGGCAAGCTCATCGACAAGAAGATCCCCGTTACTCCTACTGATAGGTTCGTGATCTACTTCTATTGTCCTCCTTTTTTCTTACTGATATAATTCCATGGGTCTTTTTCATAGCCCCAAGCTCGCCCTGGAGTTCATCAAGAAGTATGAGAGCAGCAAGTCGAGCTTGTGATCCTTCGTATGCATAAGGGAATGGTGGAACGCTTGGCAGTCTTGTAACGATAATTGCACGCTTTACGTGATGTTGTGTGAAATGTAGAATTTTTGAGAATTGAATTCTTCGAGCTCGAGGAACATGGGCTGTGGCTTGGTTGTGGCCCACCGGGTGGCGCATACTGTATTTAGGCGCCGGCGTCGTTGGTGTGATGGGGTGTCTCTTCGTCGTTCTAATATATTGGCCTTTATGATAGTGCTTGGCATTCAGCAGCTTTCCGATGTAAGATAGAGGGAAAAGAAACAGCCGTCGAGAGTCAGAACAGCTGTGAAGTAAACCAGTTAAGTGGCGAAAATATTCACACGCACCCGGCTGTGGCCGTGGTTGAACTTTCAACTGAACCCACTTGAACCTGCTCAAACGTGTCCGTTCTCTTTCTCTAGTACCTCGTCCATTTGTCGCACAGACAGGGTAAGCCCACTCCGTTCACCTTCAATGACAGCCTCGTCTAGTGACCAATGAAGCAGCACGACTGACGTACGAGGCGCTTCCTCTAGACCAATTTCTTCGTCATCGCTTGTGGGGTCAGCACTTTGTTGAACCTGTACTCGACCTTCCCGACTGGTCGTGTTATTCTTCCGGTTTTGAGCTCTTGAAATATCCTCGAAAAATATTCCTTTTTTTTCTTGTGATACGCGTCACTATGTCAGAAGGACCCAGACGATCATCACGGTTGACTAAAGGCGCAGACGCCGTTGCGGCAGAGCCTGTTGCGCCCAAGGTAACGTCGACAGGCTTCCATCAGTGCACCACCCCATTCTTTTCCTAACTTCCCTGTATCCTCCCCATTTTTTTTTCAACCACGTATAGCCCGCAACCAAAAAGCGTCCAGCAGCAGAAAAGAAAGCGCCCGTCGAAAAGAAGGCTAAAGTCGATCCCTCGACCTCCGAGCCAGGCCCTTCTGAAGAGGCCACTGCCGCAACGAAACTGAAGCCCATTGAGATCGGCGACAGTCTTCCAGCGGGACTGGTCTTGAAGAATGAGAAGGACGAAGACTTCGACGTGTCAAGCGTGACCGCTGATAAGGGCGTGATCATATTCTTGGTTCCGAAGGCGAATACAAGTGCGTTCAGCTTGCTTCTATCCACGGATGTGATGTGCCCACCATCAGTTTCCAAACCCCGTCGCTGTGAACGTATTGCTGATTATTGTGATATTTTGCGATATAAACTTCGACCGTGAACAGGCGGATGCACGACACAAGCGTGCGGCTTCCGTGACAATTATCCAGATTTTACTGGCATAGATTACGACGTCTATTGTCTCAGCGCGGACAAACCGAGCGCACAGGCGAGCTGGCAGAAGTCGGTACGCATTCTCCCTTCTCAACCCCTCACCTTGTTCAAAGGTTTTGATTGACTGATGTTCCTGGTGAGACAGAAAAGCCTGCCTTACGGCCTCATCTCAGACCCGGAACGTATCCTCATCACAGCGCTGGGTGCAGGTAAGAATGGCAAGACGGGCAGGAGTCACTTTATTTTCGAGAAAGGGACGGGGAAGTTGATTGATAAGAAGATTCCTGTGAAGCCTGTCGATAGGTGCGTTGCTGCTTGAACTCCGAATCCTGCTGTCGCCGTCGCTTTGGTTCGATGCGACGGGATTTTGTGGTCTGATGCTGACTGACTCTGACTGGATGTAGCCCGAAGTTGGCGTTGGAGTTCATCAAGAAGTATAATGCTGAAGCTGCCAAGTAGGGATCTGCTCTTGGCTCTGAAACAGGGAGTAGAGGATATCAGGCGAGGGTACTGACCGCTGGGTGTGACTATGGTTGGATGGATCATATTGTGGATTATTTCTTGGAACTGTTTTGTCGAAGCCCATTCTGCGTCCTTTGGAGAGCTCTCCCGATGTGTGATTCGTCAAGAACGGTATCGAGATAAGGGAGGGAGTCGAACGTCCTGTCTCCACCATCTGACCAAGAGAAGATTATTCATATATATACATAAGAATTACACAGAGCATAGCGAAAATTGCAAGAAAACAAGTACCGCAAAGCATGGTCACTACGCCGGCGACACGAACGCCAGCAATAGGACGTCTCAAACCTTCACCCATCACTCTACTCTTCAGCATCAGACTCTTCCTCAGTCACCGACTCTTCCTCTGTCGCGGACTCCTCCTCATCTTCGGCGCCCAATCCAAGCAGGTCCCTCACATTCTCCGGTATCTCCTTGCGCCCACCCTCCCAAAGCCCCTCCAAACATCCACCAAAGTCCTGTACTTCTGCTGCGTGGCTCGAGCACAGCTTCGTGAGCCGCTCTTTCAAAACAGCCCTTCCGACGGCGACAGGGCTCCATTCGAAGTTGTCGCGTCGTTCAGGTGTCGGGTTCGAATGGGATACCACACCATTTATGCTGATTCTCGATACGGATTTGGCCAAAGAACGCGGATCGGAACGGGCCTTCGATTGCGATCCAGAGACTGGCCGAGGGCTGGCTTTGGGTGCGGAAAGAGGTATTTTTTGCCACATGAAAAAGTTGTTGAAAGAGATGGTTTGCGCGCCGGGGAACGCTTCGGCCCAGAATTTGGTGATCATCTTGTGTTGGAGACGGAGGTTGAAGTTGCAAACGTCGGGAGAGTAGACATCCCCGTCCGAGCTGTCCCGAACATTGAGACGCGCCATCAGGATAGACACGTTGGCTACTGTGGCGTGGATGTGTGGCCTCGAAGGACTCAATAGATTTGATCGAAGATCCTAGGATGGTGAAAATTGGGTCAATATGGAGCATGAGAATAGAAGTTGTCAGGCTCACGCTGAAGTCCCATCTGCGTGAGACGTAGAGCTTCAGAGTTTCTAAGCTCTCCAGATCCCCGACACAAAATCCCTTCGCCTTGTCCTCATTTTTGTGTGCAAGCGCATTTACTCCGATGGCAAGCGAGCGTATATGTTTCGTGGAGTCCCTCAACGCATCAAGAATCCTTGGGGTCGCATACGCATCGTGGTCATTCATGCATGCCCGACCCACAGCCAGTTCCGCAGAGATTTCTAGTTCTGGCACCATCGGCCTATCGACCACGAAATCCTCCACCAACCAACTAGGGCATTGTAGCTTTCTGAGCTTGTGAAGGGCGGAAGGTGGAACGCACAAAAATTGGGTTTTTATGGGTGGTCGCTCTTTCACCAGCGTGGCGGGATCTTGCGCGAAGGGGAAGGAAAGAGACTCGAGGTTGCGTGCACGGGAGATGACATCTGTGGTCAAGGCGTTGTCAATGTTATCGTATGGCATAGACAGCGCTTTGAGATTATCGAGAGGTGTGGTTCCTTTCAGGACGGCTTTGGCAACGGAATTATGTGTAGTCGTGAAGCTGGTCAGGGAAGGCGAGGATGCGAGTGCTTTGAAGCGGGGGAGATACGTCTCGAAGTCATAGCCCTCGATGACCGCGAATTTGGTCAAAAGTGATGCTTTCTTCATTTTCGCCGGTTGCTTTCCGCTGAGAGGCTGGAAAGCGCATTTGGTGAACTCGACTTCGCGAAGGTTCTGCATCTCGGATACCGCGTCGAAAAAGGCAGAATCGACGGACACGCAAACCAAAGAGATAGAGGTCACGTTCGGGAGCTTGTCGATAGTGGTTGAGTAGACCTTGAGCAAGCCTTGCACGACCCATTTATGCTCCCTCGTCGGCGGCAACCAGTCCGAGAAACAAAACTCCTTGACGTGCGCCAATATCGTGTCGGGTATCTGACGAGGAGACTTTCGGACCGCATCGCAGAAGTCGACGTGGCGCTTTTGCGAGCCTTTGATTTGCAGTGAGCTGTATCGGCGAGGAGCACAGACGTCCCGAAAGAAATGGCACACAAGCATCAGTTTCGAAAGAATGGCTTTGTGTTCTTCGATAGAGAAAGAGCTGAATGGTCCAGGTCGAAGGAGGTCAAAGATTTCGAGGTATATCTCGTTGGGTATGTGTTTTAAGGATCGTGAGCCTCGCATGCGTTGTGGCGCTAAAATCAGACGGTAGGTCAGTAACCTCGCATGGAATAAGAACACTTTTGATATATGGACTCACTGAAGTACAGGTTTTGAGCCGACATCTTGATATTAAACAGAGGGAGCAATCCGCTGTTGTGCGATGATGGTGGCAGGTCGCAAGAGCAGGCGGGTATTTCCGAGCGCGGTCGCACGACCGAAAACAACAAGAACTGTGACGGGAAGATTTTGTCAGTTGGATGACTACATAGAGGAAAGGTGTTTCCTTATTGGGCCCATCCATTGATCAGAATGGTCACCATTCGTTTCTATACTGTACATTCCGACAGTCCCCTATATGCATGCATCGAATAACATTTGCGTTAAAGAGCGAACCGAACCTCAATAATACCTGTTTGTAGGCTCAGAACAAGTACACGTGTGAAAACGGCGGCGGAGCAATGGCGCAGAGCAGGCCGACCGGCATGCGTTCGGCCAAAAAGCTATTATGTTGGCAGGCTGTCTATGTGTAGCCAATTGAGGTACTCGTCATGGAGCAGAGGAGACCCATCCACACCATAATCGACTGTGTATGACCAGTGTATCCCTCTGATTTGAACCTTGCCTGGCTCTGAGCATCGAGGTTCAATGCTGGTTGCCCCGACACTTCGAACACGGGTTTATGTATGTAGTAGGATATCGCAAGTCGTACTTGAGTCGTACAGTATTATTGTACGGTGTTTCTGTTTACGAGAGGTCACGCAACGAAACGTTGCCTAACCACCATTAATTCGAACTCTGAGGACTCAGATGCTAACCCCGAAGTTCGAACGGTATCACGAAGGATAAAGTCTTGACTCTAGAGCAAGAGCAAAGAGAGCGCTTACCCTGTAGACCAAAAGCTTGGCTTGATGGTATGTTCAATGTACCAGGGGTCGCGTAGGGTATTGCAAGGAGAGCGGAAGAGAACACGGCGGTCAGAGCGGTGAATGTGAGACCAAAACGGAGAAGTGAACGAACTTACGAAGACTGCCTCCGTCAGCTCACGTGACCGCTCCCAACCAATCCCGTCATTGATCAAAATCCCGTCGTCCGACGAGTCAGGGCCCCTGCACGTTTGCTGCAAGTGTGAAGAAAATCGCAAGAGCAAATAACAAGGTCGACATAGCCATATCGGGCTCCCAAGACCCTGGAACCCTTCTCAAGCCTTGTCACTTACCCATCGAGACCAGCAAAAGAAAAGACGAGTGTTGGGAACAAGTCGAGGATTGGTCGGTGCTGTCGCACGAGAGCGCCGAGGGGGGAAGTTGGAGCCAATTGTGGCAATATCTTTCCACGCGTAATGCCGGGCCGGTATAAATGATAAGCAGATCACGATTATTTCTCAGCCACACAACGACATCATCTCCTTTGCGCATTACCACCATCATCCACAACGTCCGTCTACCCATTTTTCTCTGCTTCTACGACGCCCAGCTCATTGTTTATACCTTGGAAACAGTACATCATGACTACTTCCCTCGATTATCTCAAGCAGACCGGCACCGTCGTCGTCTCCGATTCAGGAGACTTCGAGTGTAAGTCCTCTTCCGTTGTATGGATGAAACCGGAGAGGTACAGTTCGGAATTTGCTGACGTATCTTGACGCTCTGCAGCCATCGATGTCTACAAACCCCAGGTGCGCTGAAATGTTCGTGGTATCGATGAAGCCCCAATTGACGGCGGATACTTTCGATAGGATGCTACCACCAACCCATCTCTCATCCTTGCGGCCGTCAACAAGCCGCAATATGCTCGCTTGGTTGATGTCGCTGTGAAGTATGCCAAGGAGAAGTCATCTAACATTGATGAGCAGGCCAACCTTGCTATCGACCGTCTCGTAAGTATATCGTCTCTCACCATCTCCTCGCTTTAACCCCTGTCCGTGCTACCCTCTACCCAGCTCGTCGAGTTCGGCAAGGAAATCCTCGCTCTCATCCCTGGCCGTGTCTCCACCGAGGTCGATGCGCGTCTTTCCTTCGATAAGGAGGGCACCAAGGCCAAGGCCAAGGAGCTCATCGCCCTCTACGACTCCATCGGCATCAAGAAGGAGCGTATCCTCATCAAGATCGCTTCGACATGGGAGGGCATCCAAGCCGCCCGTGAACTCGAGAAGGAGGACAACATCCACTGCAACTTGACTCTTCTTTTCGGCTTCGGTCAGGCCGTTGCTTGCGCTGAGGCTGGCGTCACGCTCATCTCGCCATTCGTCGGACGTGTAAGTGGCTCACTCCGTCCGATTGCATCATAATGTAGCTTTCGCTCCGACAGCGTCGGATCCTAACCTCCGATCACTTTTTATATCCTGTAGATCCTCGATTGGTACAAGAAGAGCACTGGCAAGGACTACCAGGGCGATGAGGACCCCGGTGTCCAATCCGTGAAGAAGATCTTCAACTACTACAAGCAGCACCAATACAAGACCATCGTCATGGGTGCTTCTTTCCGTAACGTGCGTCCCATTTCCTCATATCTATTCGCACTTCATCATCTGATAGGCTTGAATTGATAGGTCGGCGAGATCAAGGCCCTCGCTGGCGTTGACTTCCTCACCATCGCCCCACCCCTCCTCGAAGAGCTCAAGAAGTCGACAGAGCAGGTCCCCAAGAAGCTCAACGCGCAGACCGCCGCTCAGGGCGAGCCTCTGGAGAAGGTCTCCTACATCGACAACGAGCCCGAGTTCCGCTGGGCACTCCTCCAGGACTCGATGGCCTTCGACAAGCTCCACGAAGGTATCAAGAAGTTCGCCGAGGATGGTGTCACGCTCAAGAACGTTCTCAAGGAGAAGCTCTCCAAGGCTTAAGCGCCTCTGACGGTGATTCTTCATGATTGGGACGGGCGGTTGAGTGGCGGAGACGATGATGACGGTACGAATTTGTATGCTCGTAGACGTTTTTCTTTCGTGTGGGTGTGCGAGTACGCAGGCAGAGAAGATAAAAAGCAATTGTTCATGTAATTCGGAAAAAGCAAAGGAATCGGCTACCATATAGACTTTCTTTGTTCTGTTTCTTGCACTGTTGGATCGTACGGATGGCTCTGGACTCCGGAAATGTTTGGTGAACGTCCATTCACGAACCATAAACGGGCGAATCACCGTGTGATACATCTGTTATCGATCACTCCGCGTTCCTCATGTATCGTAGGGTGAAGGGTATGAAGCTATGAAGTCAAGTCAGTAGAGAAGGTGGATACGAACGTGCACGCCTCGCAAATTTCGACGCCAGGATAGGCACGGTCTGGTGTGGCGTTACTGTGGCCCCGGGGCGCTTTCTTCAGCTTTTCAGCCGCCTCACGCTAAATTTAGCGGTCGTTTTCGTTCCAAGGGGTTATACATGAATACTCGATTAGGATGTTGGCCGCGAATCACGATTTGGACCAGGTGTTACCACTGATTGGTCCAGTCAGCAAAACGTTCTAGTACGGTATCAAACTGGCATTCCGTATGGCTCGACTTGGGCCCGGGAACCCTCTTAGTCTGCCTTCGTCATTCCCTTCCGACCGTACGTAGTACCATCACTAGGTACTAACGTTCAACATCCATATTCCCCGGGAGCGCATGCGCTAGCGAAAGCCAAGGGGAGCTGACAAATATAATGAATAACCGGGACCTGGTTAGTTAGTTAGGCCGTCGGGCCACTTAAAAATTTTTTGGACCCCACCCAGAAAATCGCCAAAAAATCGCCAAAATAATACATTGGGCTGTGAGCGATATAGGTATCATGTGCTGATGCTAATTGTATTATTATAGAACCATTTTGTGGGCAAAATGTTGATGACTGGGTCAAAACTAGAGTGAAATAATTAAGAGTTTCGCCGTTGGGCAGTCTTACGCAAAGCTCAGACTGGTAAATTGAGTGTGATTGAGCAGCCATGCATCATGGAAATATAGAAGCGTAAGGTTTGGGCTCAGAGGCTAGGGCAGGGGAAGATCGACGTCAACGGCGAACATAACCTAGCCTAGGCTAGGGTAGGGGAAGATCGACGTCAACGGCGAACATAACCTAGCCTAGGCTAGGGTAGGGGAAGATCGACGTCAACGGCGAACATAACCTAGCCTAATTCAAGTGCAGATTGAATGATAGACTGATTATAGATCACTTATACTTCATTCCCCAAAAGAAATAAAGAGCGGAGATTCTTCTGATTGGCTCAGAAATATTATTTAAATCATTTAAATATTAATTACAGTTAGTTAGTTCACCCCTCGCCTCCCTTAAAAAAAATCGACTCCCGGTGTTTCATTCAGGATCTCAGCTCCCCTTGGCGAAAGCCACACCTATAACCCAAGGACGTTATGTCAGCATAGCGCTCACAGCTACTAGCGAGTCATTGCTGAATACTGACAGTCACGGATAGCGCGACAGATGGCGATGTCGGGGAAGAAGGGGAAGAGGAAGGAGAGGGCGGGAGCTGACGACATGGAGCTATGATGGACGGGTTTTCTTTCTTTTTTCTCCTTCCTTTTCTTTTCTTTTAATTCTTCTTCGGAGCACAAGCTAAGCTCCGAGACTTCTATCGACGGCTGAATGTTAGAGTTCGGATTTTACAGTGTGGTGACTGCTGAGGTGTCTCAGACCCCACTCCTGCATGTACTTACTTAGGTACGCACAAAGCGCCCCTCGCCTTTATGGCGGCGCTATACAAATACAGTTGATTTAAAAATAAAAATAAATAAAAATAAAAATAAATGGCGATGTCTTCGATGTGGGTTGCCATCGCCCCGATCCTCGCTTGTCTCAATATTCGAAAAGCAGTCGACGAGCAAGGAGCCGTCATTGAACCATCAGGAGAATATACGTCAGGTATCCTCGTGTGAGTCAGCATTGCAAGGCTATAAATTTGGTATCGCAACTTCAACACTGATTTCCGTTTCAGCCGACCTTTACCTTTCGAGTGCTTGATAGAGCCACGCTCCCCTTGCGGCCTTGATCATAGAGGCTAGCTCTGAATAGCCATATTTGAAGTCATTCTGGTTCTGAACAAAGTGCTACCCGGTGCGGCACTCATTCCGACGATTCTCATGGCTTTTACACGGAAGACGCTGCCAAAATTAGTTACCGCACTAGACATTCTATTGTTAACGACGCCCTTTTTCATATGCCAGACCTTTCTAGTAACGGCTTGCGCTCTTCTGCAGAGTTTTTCTTTCCCTGCTTGCTCGTACTAAGAAAGACACGTGGCTCAGATATGCTTCGTTTCATGGCCCAAAACAGATCCTTCCATGCAGTTGTGCCAATGTGAAGTTTAGCTCCATGCTGTATTTGGTGGTATTGCTTGGTTTCTGCTCGCCGGGCCTCACGATCCTATAACTGCTCGAGCCTATAAAATGACAACGTACCTGTCTCTTCCCCTTGAGTTGCCCGCCATGCCTTTGTATACCGTCGGCGTTTTTCTGACTCTACTTTCTATCGGACTAACCACTATTACTCTACTCAACTATCTACGCACAAGGCATCGTCTCCCCTTGCCCCCCGGTCCTCCCAGATGGCCAATCATAGCCAACCTATTTCAAGTACCCATTCACAATCGGGCGGAGGTGTTTCACCTCTGGAGCACGAAGTACAGTAAGTTGATACCCCATCCTCTTCCTTCCTGGTCGTCTAATGCTGACAACACAGCAATTCTCCCCTTCTGCAATACGTAGAATCCGATGTTATATATTTCTCAGCTGCAGGCTTGCCAATCTTGGTTCTCGATACCGCAGATGCAGCAATTGAGCTACTTGAGAAACGATCTTCGATCTATTCGAGCAGGCCAGTGTTTACCTTGGTACAAGTGGTCTAATATTTTCGATACTGATGTGAGTATAATTAGACCACGTCTTATCATGCTAAATGAAATGTAAGTTTCCTGCAACTCGCTTTGAGCTTGAGGCATATTGATTCTTGGTGCAGGATAGGATGGGAATGGTCCACGCCCTTCCTTCCCTATGGTGAGTGTACTTAAGATGTGCTCAACCAGGATCTTGTTGCTCACAATATCTATGACCTTCTCAGGTGATGCCTGGAGACGACAGCGGAAGATTTTTCACCAAGAGTTCAGCCGAAGCACTATCGCCCACTTTAGACCGCACGAGCTTGCCGGATCACGCATGATGTTACGAAACCTTCTGCACTCCCCTCAGAAATTCGAGGCACACATCAAGCAGTAAAGCCTGTTCTCTCCGTCACCTCATTTTACTCTTTTAACTATCGCTGAACCGGGCCCACTTAGCTTTGCCGGATACTTAATACTGCTTCTTGCCTATGGGATCGAAGTCCATTCTAGTAACGACCCTCTCATTGTCACAGCTGAACGCGCCATGGAAGGAATAATTGTGGCGACGCTTCCTGGCCGCTTCCTGGTCGATTTCATACCATTACGTGCGCACATCACCTGCTCTGTACAAATCTGCGGTCAAACAACTTTTTCCCTCTGTTCAGTACGCTACGTACCTCCTTGGTTTCCTTTTGCGAACTTCAAACGATTGGCAGTTGCATGGAGACTCCACATGAACGACGTGCTCAACAAGTCTTTTGATATGGCAAAGAAGTCCATGGTCCGTAATTTGAACTACGTTGACTCGTGCATTGTGTTGACCACATTCTCTGGATCCCCAGTCTTCTTCTTCTGCCATACCCTCCGTTACATCTCATGGGCTTGAAGCTATCGAGGCGGAGGATGGCCAAGACCGTGCAAGCATGGAGCTTGACTTACAGAAGGCAGTGGGGTCCATGTACATCGGTGCGTTGCCCTTACTAGATTCGTCTCATCACTAGATGACATGATGTTGGTTTAGGGGGATCCGACACGGCACGTAATACCAGTTACATACCGATTTGTTCCCTCACATTCAGTGAATACTAGTAGACTGTATCATCTTTGCAGTCATTCTTCCTAGAGATGACGCGCCGTCCAGATATACAGGAAAGGGCACAGCGTGAGATAGACGACTTTGTGGGGAGCGATAGACTCCCCTCCTTCGACGACGAAAATTCGTTGCCCTATGTGACAGCACTTCTTAAAGAAATCCTGAGATTCAGCCCTGTGGCTCCCTGTGGTATGGTATCTCGTATTTATTACTGTACGACATTGATCTTACTGTTGGTATATTCTATGCAGCTGGTCTCCGCGAGCTTACGGCGGATGATGTCTACAAAGGATATCACATGCCCGCAGGGTCGGTCGTGTTGGTGAATGTATGGTTCGTCCTCTTCTTCTACAACTATCTTATTCGATACTGGGGCACTCATTTATCGATATCAATTAGGGCAATATTGCATGACCCAAGTATGGTTCACCTTCATTGCATGACTCACATCTAACCTTTGGGTTTTACAGTCGAATATCCTGAACCAGAGCGATTCAATCCTGACCGTTTTTTGAAGGACGGAAAGCTCAATCCGGAAGTCAAAGACCCCGCGACTGCAGCATTCGGCTTTGGTCGACGTATTTGTCCTGGTCAGTAACAACGACACCTCTACGATTCTGTACAAGTACTAGTCTGATCATCAATATATAGCGCGCCACATGGCCATGTCATCGATGTGGATCGCTATGGTCTCGATCCTTTCCTGCTTTGACATCCGAAAAGCTGTCGACGAGAAAGGAGTTCACATCGAGCCATCGGGAGAATACACCTCGGGGATCGTCACGTAAGTTGTCAGTGTACTTGAATTTATGTGTCTCAGACTGATCACAGGGGCATCTCATAGGCAACCCTTGCCTTTCAAGTGTTCAATAAGACCGCGTTCTCCTAAGCATGCAGCCTTGATCATGGCCTGAAGAATACGCAGCCGTGAATCAGTCTGTTACTGCACGGCAGAAATGATATATCTGTGGAGATTGCAGACTTCAATCCGCACCACAAAGTCGTGCACGAGGCAAAATTTACTTAGACTATCACTATGCGAAACCATTATGTTGTATGTGTCGTCACAGCGCGTTCGATTTGCAGGTGAACGGCTTGCCGACGTCTCCTGCTTTGTACTTTTCGACGATAGACAAGACCGAGACCTATTCAATGAGAAAGCCCGGAAGTAAACAGAATCAGCACAAATTCCATGACAAGAAATCGTTCAGAAAGCGACTCAGCGTTCATGCTGAGAGACACGACATAGTAAGCGGACAAGTGAGCAGTGAACGTACATATGTTCCTGCACCGGTGATGTAAAACCCGAAGACGATAAGGAAATAATTCAACATAGTTTCAGCCTTGCGAAGTGGGCTTGACCATCTTGAACCTCTCGGATAGAGAACAAGGTATGACATGCCCCAAAATATGAACCTGGGTTCAAACGAAAATTTCAGTAACATCCAGTGAGACAAGAGTATGTGGACGTAACACACCCAAACAGTCCATCTGGTGTACAAGTCAGATTAACCGGAGTTCGTGCGAGGTGAAAAGATGTAAGGATTCTCGAACTCACCGAAGAGCGAGCTCATGAGACTGAGTAGGTCAGAGAAGAAGGGTATCGCTTCTGCGATGACGAACGCGATGATCCAGGTAACGGCAATGATACCCGTCCACGTCGTCCAAGCTTGTACTGTGTTGGCATGTTTATGCTCTGAATCATGAAAAATGCGGAAAAACACGAAGCGAGCCGTGACTGACTGATGTTCGGGACAAGAACGTAGGTAAGGCGATATGAACGAGAAAAATGAGAACATCAGATAATAAAATCACGAAGAAGCTCACCGAATACAAAGCACCAATGTATATGATCGTCGGGATCGTAAAGCAAAAGGCGATCTTCTTGAAGGCGGGCTGAAGAGAGCCTAACGCAGGCGAAACAATGTACTGGTTCCCGGTGTAGTTGTAAACTATGATGCCTGTAAGGGAGAAGAGCACGACTTCGGAGATCGTACAGGCCCAGAGTGCTGGACAACATCGTCAGGTTCTGGATACCGAGTTGAGGAGAGGAAGTAAAAGATACCTTTCGGAAAATCGTTAGGGTTTTCCATTTCCGCTATGAACTGGAGAAGGGTCATCATATAAGGGTCTTTTATAGCTAGATCAGTACGGAGACGTACGGTAGGCAGAGTAATCTGCCCAACAAGAGCGTAGCTGATATTGAGGAAGGCTGACATCGCTGTAGGTGTAAAGCGGTTAGATCAACGAGCCAGTTCACATGAAATAGGTAAAACCAAGCTTACCATAAACATACGTCGTTCCCGAAAGTGGCCACAATGTGACGGTAGGGGCTTCACCAGTGAATCCGACTGGCTGGTCCTGTGTTGCAGAAAAGACGACAACAAGCAAACCGGCGATAGTCATCATCATAGCGCTGAATATCCCAAACCAGCTCAGTTGGTCCAAAGTCCGCGGGAGGCTGAAGACGAAACAGACAGCGGCGGTGATGGCAGAAAAAGCAACGGTACACGCAGAGGACCCGGACAGGGTATTCAAGAGTTCTGCGCCGATTAAGCAGTGGATTGCTGAAGCAAGGTTGGGAATAAAGCACGCGTCGAGATATTGAATATGATTGTGAGACTGACCTTGTATGAACACGTTACACAAGATGAACATGACGGATGTGAAGTGATACGCAAACCTGGATCCTCCAAAGATCACCAAGGCTACGTCGCAGCCGTCTCTGATCTCTGGGTGCTTCAAGCAGAGGCGCCACAATATCAGAGATGTATACTGGACACTGGCGGCACAGATGACGGTCATTATCACTCCTGGGACGATGCCAACGATAGAAAACGCCCTGTACAGCATACAGGGTAAAAATTTCGTCAGCGACATGTCCGAGCGAGCCTGGAGCTGCCCGATGACGCGAGTGTGGACGCGCACCATGGAAATGTTAATACAGCCAGAGATATATATTCTGAGAACAGAAGTCCAGCCGTCTGGGTAAAAACACGCGTCAGGCCTCTATTCATGCTCAACTACGATAGAGAGTTCTCACCTTCTGCCAGGAGCACGTCCGAAATTGCACATCATGCACCCTCTCCAGGTTAATATGCTCCGAGACGCCGTAGTCGCTTGATGTATCCGAAGAGTCGTATTCCTCATCCTCACCTCTGACCAGTCTCCGAGACTCCCCAATATCTCTAGGGTCATACTCCACCGTCCGTGTCCTTTTCAATGCGAATGACATGGTGCCGCAGTGCCTAGGATCTAACGCGGAGAAGCATCGATGCAGGCTGCAGAACAATACTTATCGAGACATCTCAAGGGGCATATAGAATTCTACGAGCCGAGAAATGACAGCACGGCGTCTGATAAGAGCATTGCGGTCCAGTAGAGAATAGAACAATGACTTCTTGAAAAGGAGACCATATCGCCGCTTGTAGCACCAGGATCCTCGTGACGCTGTAGCCTGCTGTAGCATGGTGGTGGTGAGGTTCATTGGGTGCCACCCCGCGCCACCTACACTTACCTGAGAGGAAACCCTAACCCAGCCTGATCTGTTTTGCGCTTCGGGAGGCTTCGGGCCGCTGCCTCACTGAGGCTCAGTCAGACACACCGTCAAGCACGCAGCTTGCACGTAGCCAACAACAATAGCTCGCAACTTACCTAGTACTCTCTACGGTTATCTTGGCCTACGCCGTGCTCGTAATCTCTTGGAACAACCTCGAGTTTGGTAGTTGACAGAATTTTTGAAACGATTGCATGGTGTCGACTTGACCGGTATGATGAGACTGTCCTGGATGCGATGTTCGGAGAGCTCGGCATGTGCAGTTCAGACCTGCTCGTGAAGGTGGCTCGGGATTTCAGCACTATGACATGTCCAACTGGGCGTTGTTGAACAGTCTCGTCCTCACGAATCATTTGATATCATTTATGCATCACCTTGATACCCTCGCCTAGTCCGAGCGGCCATCCACATCGCAACTCATAACGAGTTTCACAGTATATATATCATGATGCATAATACGCCATGAATCATGACAAACAAGGATATATATCTGCGATATCTTGGAAGGAAGGAAGGAAGGAAGGAAGTTGGAGACTGCCAGTGCGTAGGCATTGGAAGGTTGCAGTCAGGATCTTGCCAGCAAATATATCGGTCTGAGGCGCGTCTTTCGTGCATCTTATTTTCCGATCCGGACGCGGCAGCTTTAAGCAGGGTGTTCCCCTGCTAGCTTATGATCCTTCAAGATGGCAACGACCTGGGCGGAAGGTCCGTCGAGGAGCCCTCAAATGATGCGTATCCACTGCCGCGGCCCTCCCTACGACGGCACATGGCGCGGTTGACACACCTGTATTATTGCTTAAACTTATCCCAGACGCTGTGTGCTGATGAGCCCGAGCGGGCTCGAGCCCATACTAGAATATCATGGGCACCCCGAGCCTTGAAGAGCTTTGAAGAATGCGGCACCAGCAGCGACGCGAGTTCAAAGCGGAATCAAGGGGTCCTGATCGGGATGTTGCCAAGATCGCTTCCTAAGCTTCTAAGGCGAGACCACGACGGCGCAGCGTGCCTTCCGGAACAGAATGTTCTTGCGGTAGGCAGCGAATTCGAATATATACCCTTCCTCCCCTCTCCACTCTGGCCCTCTTCTTATTCTCTCTTCCCCACATCCTACCGTTACGAACTCCCCATAATTATATTCCTTCAAAAAGCCCATTGTCGACATGGACGAAAAAGTGCCAACCGAGAGCGAGCACCAGCACTATCTTGGTCTCGGTTCGCCAGACCCTTTTCAGCGTCCTCGTCGATTTTGGCCGACTCTATTTAACGCAGTCCTCGCAACGGCACTCTTTCGATGCTGGCACATTTTGATATTCTTTGCTGCTTGGTCTACTGCCATCTGTGTCATATCACATAAGGTCGTCAATCTTGGGATATCGTCGACTTTGCTGACAGTGTGAGTAGTCTATCGCAACCGTGATGCGCTCGTGTGCCGACCTGTCTGTCCCGAATAGGTTGGGTACCGTGTTGGGTTTTGTCATTTCCTACAGAACGACGTCAAGTTTCGAGAGGTACAATGAAGGCAGAAGGTACTGGTCGCAGATCGTCCTTGCCAGTAGGACATTTGCCCGAATGGTCTGGTTCCACGTTCCTGGTACGTCACATAAACGTCAAAAATACCTTTCTTTCTATCTCATCCATGACCGACCGGAAATAGAAACCATGGCCGGCTGGGAGGACTCCATGCCTGTACAAGAGAAGAAGGCTCGTGTCATTGTCGAGAAAAAGACAGTGATCAATCTTCTTGAAGCCTTCGCCGTCGCAGTCAAGCACTATCTCCGTGGTGAAGACGGAATCTACTACGTCGACCTCTACCATCTCGTCAAGTGCCTCCCTGCGTACTCTCTCCCGGCTGGGATACCCTCCCAAGTCGACCTCACAGGGCAACCACCAATGTCACCTACTGTTCCGTCGCTCCGAGATCGTCGTCCTTCAGATGTAAAGAGTACGCGGACGACAAGGTCGCAACCCAATATTCGGTTCTCGGAAACAGGAAATGAACGCCCACCTCCTTTACCCATCAGTTTTGGAATCCCACCCAACGCCTCTGACTCACAACTTCCCATGCCGGTTACGACATCCTCCGGCAATGGCCCGCAAAGTCCTACTTCTCCCAACCGCCGCGGCTTTATGCCCACTCTCCGTCCCATCAAAACCAACCAAAGTGGGCGCTACCCGCGGTCTGTTCTTAGTGGCCGCGAGTCAATCGGCGACGATTTCCTGCTTCCTGCGAGGATGCCGCCGAAGTACCACTTGTTTGATCTATTCCCGTTTAGTCTATTGGTGAAGGCGTTGACGAAGAGAGGGAAGGAGGTCAAGGGGAAGAAGGGTGCGAGACTGAGGGCCAAGCTGAAGAGTCAGGCGGTGACCAGCCACAATTTGCCGCTGGAGATCTCGTTGTATTTGGTGTGTATTTCTTCCCCCAATTTCATCCTAAGGCGCGCATCGTATACTAAACTGCTGAAACTTTGATAGAGTTCATACATTGCCGCACTTCAGACTCGTAAAGCGCTCGACCCTCCGACGATCAGTACGTGTCTCTTATGTTTCACTCGCTGGATGTTGACACTGACAGGAACTGTCCTTATCTTGATGTTTGTGTACAGCCATCATGATTCAAACCCTCAATCAGCTCGTAGATGCTCTGACAGGCCTGGAACGGATCCTCACCACGCCCATCCCCTTCTCGTCAGTCTTTGTTCTTGCCCATCTCTGCGCTAGTTCTAACTGACGAGCTTTCTGAATTAGGTACTCGGTGCATCTGTGGACAGTGACGCTCCTATACTGTCTTTTCTTGGTATGTCCCGATTTCGTTTAACGTTTGTCGAAGGAAGGAATCCTGATTATAGCATTGCAGCCGTTCCAGCTTTGGCTGTACCTTGGGTGGGTGACTATCCCAGGGACCGTTATTGCCGTGCGTTTCTCCTTACTATGTTCTCGCTGTGGTGCTGACATGGTCCCGAATTTGGCGCATATTTTATAGTGCTTCATCTTCTTCGGGTTCTTGGTGGCCGGTGAAGAAATCGAAAGTACGTTCTCGCCACTTCCTGTTGCAGTCGAGCCGTTTTCTAACCGTTACGCTTGTGTTGCTTTGTAGACCCATTCGGTATGCACAGCCTTTGCAACATATATCTTATAACCTACTCACACTCTTCATTCTTTGCATGTTTATTTAGGCTACGACAAAAATGACCTCGTGAGTACTCTTCCCTTCAGTCTTCCCGCCGTCCAATCATTGACGAGCAACTTCCTCCGTCTGCGTTGGGCCCCAGAACATGGACCACTTCACCTCCAACATCATCCGCTACGAGCTCCGCGCTATTACTGCTGCGCCTGCGCCAGACCCTCAAATTTGGGCATTCTCGCCTGCGAACGACCATATCTTCGCTTCGGCCTACACCCATAGCACATCTGGTGGAGCTGCGCAAGATGCGGAAGAGGGGGCCCAGGGACATATGGTCGGTTCGCCTGAAGAATGGGTTGGACGGGGTTTGGGGTCCATCAGGGGGGCGTTGGCGAGGGTGTAAGTCACATATCAGATACCTTCTTTAGCTCCGCGGCGTCGACTCGTCGCCAGAGCGTTATGCGATTCCTTGCTAGTCTCTGTCATCTCTTTGTTGTCTTGCCGAGTGTTGTTACTTTAGAGTCGGACTCGCTTTTATTTCTGTTCTTCCATCCCTTTTTTTTCCTCGTTCTTGGCTCGCTCAGATTCGCCCCAGGTCGGTCTGCTGCTGTTTCCCAAAATTCATTGATCCCATAGCGTCGATATTCGGATTCGCTCTCACATTTGCTATCTCTCTTTAGCTCTTCTCTTGCATAGTGACTCACTCGGTCTCCTTGCATATGTACATATATTTCTTACCCACATGTCTGTCTCTCTGTCCACCACACTCCCCTCATGCCTCTCATCTCAATAGATCTGTCCGCTCGTTACATACATTACATATCTCATCCGCACATACATACACATTCACATACACATATACTTTGCATTGGTCGTGGCTCGCTGTTACTAGTTCGTGTTACGGTGACGACTCTCATGACCTGCTCCTGCTCCCATCTCCCGATCCCCCTCACGTCATTTCCACGTTCTTGATGCATAGGTTGGTGGCTAGATGCCATTTCCCCCCGTGTTGTCTGTCCTCTCGTTGCTTTGCTTTTAATCTATATGCACTTGGTGCATTGTTAGTTTTGTAAATTGACTCTTCGGAGCTTCGTGGGTGAGAATGTAAGGCGTGGTGGTGCCACAGGATGAACAGCAGATCTGGAGCACGTCTTCCGAATCCAACAAGGACAAACAAGTGGCTTTTACCATGTCATCCAGTTGCGTGGATCGACTTACATCTTGCTTACACCAGCTTGGTCATGCTGACATGATAGCTTCATTCTTGTAGGTGGCCGGCGTAGTAACGCTGCTCACGCTCACTATAAATCTTGGATGGTCACCGCTTGGTCCCCGTCTGCCCAACGGTGTCCCCGCTATACTCACAGCTGCCTGGTCCACTAGGCTCACCAACAACTCACCAAGCTCTCACCAAGCTCTCACTGAACACAGGTGCTTACTAAGTACCCCGCGGCATTACTTATCATAAATTTACTGAACTCAAATTACACTTGATAGGTTTCGATGCGTAAGGTGGTGACTGGTCCTGGAAGTCGATGTACGCAAATCCGAGTCGAGATTTTGTGTGGCCCAGTGCCACTCAGGATGGCCGGCCAGGTCCGGCCCGATACAGCCGGAAGCTTCTGGAATCAACAAACGCAAACAATGGCTTTGTTGTCCGTCGAGACGGGCTCTTGAAGTTTTCCGACCTCACCGGTGGCCGCATCCAACGACACTGATCATGCTTTTAGGCCTCAGGCGCTGATCTCGGTTGGGAGAGCAAGTGACTACAATACATCATTTTTTCCATCGTGCCCGGGCCCTATAGGGATTGCAAGCGGGTAGCCTGAGGCTGTATGTAACACACCCAGACTCACCCTCACACTTGCCTCACACGCATAACGCATGGCCCGGACCTTGCGAAGTTCCCCCGAGGACCGCAAAGGTGATGATTCATCTGCACTTTAGACGCCGGTTTTACGCATCAAGGGGGCTTGCTCATGTTTGAATTGCAGGCCGTAATGGTGGACGGTCAAGATCATCGTCCCGCGAACGACTTTAGGTAAATTTGAGATGACTGAGCAAGGCGCTAACCTTGTTACATACGCTGTCCATTGTCGCACTCTCGTAAATCTGAGATCAATAATGTGCGCGAAAGCCACTCAGGTAACGACTCTGCGGGACCGACACAGCTGAACCTCGTCCATGTATTGTAATAGCTCGCTCGAAGTGCACACCGTCAGGGTTGCCAACCTTTACTTGCATTGGTAAGCCCGTTGCTGCTGTCGATCTGCAGCTTCCAGAAGGAGAATGTTAGAAGAACCCAACAAATTTCAAACACTTCAGTCATTGCGGAGCATCGTAAACACCTCAGTCATTGTTCCATTCCGGATTATACTCCATCTCGGGAAGTTGTCAAGTATTTACCGATGTCTCAATGTGTTCGCCATTCATAAGCATGCACAACTGCTAGATGCATAACGCAAAGCACCCGTGGGGTATTTAGCCTTGCGTGTGTCTTCTTTAGTTCAAATCAAATCTCCACGGTCTTTCAAGGTATCCCTCACCCCGACTCCGTCCAGACGCGCAGGTCACCGTACGCCGTGTTCTTTTAACCGCATAGCTTGTGTCGGCTACAGTATTGACGACAGATTTAGGAATATTTCTGGCCTTGCGCTCGGTCTACTTGTTCAAACCCACAACCCTCATCGAAAGACAATGTCTGACGTCCCGAATGTGAGTTCGTTCCTCTGCGGCACTCTGGCCAGGAGCTGATAATCCCCGTACTAGTTGACATTCACGTCTCGACTCCTGACCGACTACCCGCACAGCAGCAAGGACTGTGGGACGTCGGTCCCGGATGATAGTCCACACCATCCCAAACCCTTTCAACATTCCCCAATCTCCCGTCTTCCTTGCGAGCTTCTCGCCAGAATCTTCTGCCATCTCATCGGACACCCGGGACACTTTCATCCAGATTGTTGTGGTTTCCTCGCTGAATGGCTCGCGATCATCCACGTATGCTCAAAATGGCGCAAAGTTGCCTTTGGAGCGAAATGTCTATGGACCAACGTCATTTTCAGCGGCACTGGTATTGCGCAGGAGATGCTGCAACGCTCTCGAGGAATGCCCCTCAATCTGTATCTCGAACATCTACCCCGAGCCCACCGTCCACCCGTTGTCCAGAGCTACATGCAAAACCTCGCTCTCGTTATACGTCACTCTTCGGGAAACATCAGGACCGTTCAACTCGCCCTGAGCGTCGATGATCTCCAGGACATCATGCTGCAGCTCGAGGACATGAAATTCACGAGCCACCTGGAACGCTTCAAAATGTCCGTGTGGAACCCGAGAGGGGTCTGCGATGTCCCTTTGTCGCTCGTCTTCCTACCTCATGACCTATTCGATGGTCAATATCCCCAGCTACGGTCCTTATTACTCTCCAACATCTTCTTACCCGTGAAGACCTATCAATTCACTCAGCTCACTAAGCTCAAGCTGGACGGCATGTTGCTGAAGGAGGACCAAAAGATATGTTTCGACTGTCTTCTCAATATCCTCGAACCGCTCAGCCCTACGCTGCAGTACATACGGCTCAGCCACGTTATAAAGGACTGCTACCCTTATCCTCCCTCCTTCCCGCACCGCCAAATCGTTCTTCGCGACCTTCGTTATCTCGACATCACGTCCACGGGCTCCAACAACGAGCGTCTCCTGCGCTGTCTCAAACTGCCCCAGCGTCCCATTAAACTCCTCTGGACAGCCTTCGCCCGATCATCCAGCCAACTCTCTCTCCTTTCCCCGGTGTCCGCTCAATACGCAGGAACCTCCGACTCCGTTCTTCGCGCTCTATCCATCAATTTCAGGTCTTACAAGGGTCATCCCTTCTACGAGATTCGGTGCCTCTCCACAGAGTCCCCCCAGTTCGATACCGTGGAGAACGAGGAGAGCTGGACCGTGGCGAGGGTCGGCAGTTACGATACTAGCGATAATATCGCCGCTGGGGAACAGGTCGCTGGAGATCTTGCTAGGATATTCGACACTATTCTCCTCGACCATCTCGTCGTATTGACGTGCAAGTGTCCGTGTCCCTTGAGCGACGCTGCCCAGCGTTCGATCTTGAGAACCCTTCATCTTGCGAAGAATGTTCGGGAGTTGGATACGGAAGGGTTATCCAAAGCCGTGTTTGAGGGGAAGATAGAGACTTGAGGCGGAGTCTTTGGAGGAGTTGACGTATAAGGATCTCGAGTGCTCGAAGAGTTACTGGAGTATAGGGGTAGTCAAGGTGGAAACCAAGTGGTTTCGAACAGGCGGTTCGAGACCATGCAAGCTAAGACAGAGTTCGCGATCAAGAGGGCCGAGTTGTTTGTGCAGCGAGCGGCATGGAAGGAAGATTGGAGAGTGTGCCGGGGACAGCGTATGTAGCTCGGGCTGTTTTGTGACTGGGATATCGAAGTCTTGAGGACGTATGATCGATAACTTCGTATATGTGATTCTCGATGCGAAAATATTGAATATTGAATACCGAATACATGTACATTTCGAATCAAGCCGTCCATATATATATCCGAACACGAGAAAGCGAACGCGAGAAGGCAGATGAACAGCCAGGTAAGGAAACAGGTTATAGAGGTGGTTGCGAGAGGGGGAGGCAGGGGGTAGCGAGGTGAGGATATGTGGTGTGGAGGGGAGTGGTTGGGGTGGGTTAAAAATAGTACAAGTACGCGTGAGTTTGACTGAGTATCGTTGAAAGAAAGAAGAGTAGGAAGTAGAGACAGGAGAAAGGAAAAAGATGTCGAAGGTTGGAGTAACTTGAAACGAGAAAGTCCCAGGGTGCGTCTTACATTTGACATCCTTCATAAATTGACGAGAAAACAAGAAAATATAGAAACATAGAGAAGGAGAACAAGAAAGAGAGGGTAAACATACGTACACTTGTTGATTGTTTCGCTGCGATCGTTCTTCCACATCGCTCACCTACTCACCAGGGTTCGGCCAAAATGACGAACACTGAGACATCTGACGAAGCCAAGGATCAAAGAGTTAAAGCTCCATCTCCATCTCCATCCCATCCCAATCTTCCTCCTCCGCCGCCTTCCCTCTATCATCAAACTCCATCTCGTCCTCTTCCTCCTCTTTCACGCTAAATCCATCATACCTCATCAAACTCGTCCTAGCCGCCCTCGTCCTAGAACTGAACCCATACCCACTGAGACCACCTCCTCCCAGTTCGACATCGCCATCACCGTCGACATCAATATCGATATCTTCATCCATATCCACAGACGGTGGGATGGAAGGAGACCTGGAACTGCCAGAGACGGACCAAGCACCTGTGCCCTCTGACCTCGTGAATGACTGCGCGAGGGAAGATGGGTGCGCAGGAGGGGCAGCGATGGACGACGAGTAGGAATATGAGCCCGGAGAGGGATAATAAGGCTGGCGATACGATGCAGCCGAAATGGAACCCCAGGATTCAGGCGCAGGAGAGCCATTGACATGTACGCGGCCATGAATGTTCGGTACGGCAACTGGCGCAGAACTGCTGGTGACCGTTTCATGCGCGTAGGGGGACATGACGCGCGTTGGGCCAGATCCTGAGAAACCAAGCCTCGTGGTCGAACCGGAACTGCTCTCGCTCTTCGTGGCCACACCTAACACACCTGGACGGAGCTGTGTTATACCACCAGCACCGCTCGCGGTGGAAGGGATAGAATAATCATGGAGGCGAGGGCCGGTAGACGTGGCGCGGGACGAGGAAGTCGACGATATATTGGAGGTGGCTGGAACCGAGCTCGATATAGGATGAGCGGGAGCAGAAATCGAAGCGTTTAAGGGGGCTCTGGTGGTCGAAGTCGCCGAGGTCGTAGCGTCGGAGGGTGGCGGAAGAAGTCCGCCGGAAAGGTAGGACGGCCAGAGAGAGCGATCATCCGGTAGCGAGGATCCTCCTGATGTAGTCGGAGAAAGATGCGATAGTATCGCCGCTGCCTACAGAAAGAACCGGATAACATCGTCAGACAGTGTTTGTGTGAAACAGTTTGCGACAAAAATTCAAAATGAAGATATGTGATATGATGTATGCGCCACAAGGGTCACACACAGGGCCACCCATCAGAAGATTCACCGTCACAAACACTTACCTCCATCAACTGGACCTGCTGATGCTTGCTCAACAGAAACTTGGACGCCTCTCGCCAGTGCGGAGAATGCTCCCATCTATGCTTGATCAGGCAAGACGGGTGACGATAGACCTATGAGTATTTCGCAACCCCATTCAGATACACGAAAAGGAGGATCAGAACGTTCCGGGGAACCGACCTTGGAGCAACTCTCGCACGTAAAGATCATTCCTCTCTTCTTACCGTTCTTCGTCGTGCCATTTCCAGCATTGGCCTTGGAGTCCACGCTACCGGCCTGCGCGTCGGGAACCGTCAGGTCCGAGGGAAGAGATTGGGCCGCCTCTTCCGCCTTGGAAGGTCTCGTCGAAATCTGGACCGTGGTGTTCGAAGCGGCCTTGATGGGCACGGGGGAGGATAGCGCGGCTGATGCCGATGCGAAAGAGGTCGACGTCGCTGAGAATGCTCCTCCTTGGACACCTGAAGATGTAGACAGGGACAGATTTGCGAGTGCCGTCAAAGCTGATGCCGCGTTCTGCAGTCCCATCGGCCTGTACAGATGAAGGTCAACACCCTTACATGATGATGGATGTAGACGAATGAAAGGGTGAATGACAAGGGGCACGTACGAGGGGCGAGAAGCAGCATCTCTGGCGTCACTCATTCTTCTCTTCATCTGTCCAGTAGAAGATAAACGACGCGACTTGAGTGCATGTTGCACTGCGGGTCCATTACTGATACTGCGTGGCACACTCCCTGCACCAGACTCGTAGAGGCCAGAGTCGTGAAAAGAGTTCTCAACAACACTTTCCGGTGGGGAATCATCGTGAGATACGGGTATAGGAGAAGCATTGGCCGCAACGATGGACAAGGACAGCAGACTGAGACCACTGCCGCCTTGGGCCTAAACACGACAAGGCTTCAGCTCCACGTAACCTCATAGAACACAGAATGTTGACTCACCGAAGCAGGTTGTGTTCTCTCCGTCATGATTCAATATAACTCCGGCTGAGTGCGTGGTCGAAATGGCAAGCTTGGTGGATATGAAGAGGCCGACGATGAATGGTATGGTCCGCGCTGGTGTAGTGAGTTCAGATCGTACAGTGCGTATTAATGAGCATTTCTTCAAAGAGATTAGCGATAGGCAGGCGTTTAAGAAGCCATAGTGTCGACGAAGGCAGTGTGGAGGGGGATGGTGGTGGTCAAGATGAAGGACGTCGAGAGGGGCAGCGGACAGTAGTCTATGCTATGTCCCCAATTCAAAGTCCGCCCAAATTATTCTTGTCAGCCTCGATCACTCAGCCTTGTCAGGCCTTGTCACTGCGCCCGTCATGTCCCGTTCCTATCTTTCTTCGTCCGTCTGCTTGTATTGACTTGGCTCGCACAAATAAACAGATATAAAATATATCTCATACGACAGATGGGTAGCATCTGTACCGCAATCATGTCACGGACAAACCAAAACCGGACGGGGAATCCGCCGGTTGGCGTTCAAGGTGCAAAGTTCGGTAGGAAAAGTCGGCATTGATATCGCAGTATGCACCTCCTAATTATGTCTTGCTACCTCGCTTATAGTTACTGCATTTGTTTTAGATGCTCGAGCGAACAATAGGTTCTCGTAGCTCTCGACATTCCGATGAAAGTATAAGCTTGCACTAACGAATTGAAATCTGCCACATCATTCTTGTGGCGCAGCTCGGAAGTGGCTGCTCATGCATGCAAGTCAGCACGGCATCAAAGCCACCCCTTTATATAGACCTTGCATTCGGCGCCGCTCCGTGGTATTCACGTAGTACCTACCGAATCCAAAATCAGTTCACCATCGAAATCCGACCTAAATGTGTCATTGATTCTCGCCCGCGTTCACGAAAGGTCTCGGAAATGGTCAAACTTGGTGCTTACTTCCACGGAACAAACGAACGTGACAATGGGTGCACCTCAATGCCTTCAATCCAGACGACTCTTGTGGCTTGCTTGGGCAGACTTTATCTTCATCCTTCTGATCACGCGGTCGCCGAAGGCTAACTGAGGGTCAGTGTGTTTTCTCGTCTGAGCGGATTTCATTCGTATACGTGAACTGACCTATCATCGTTCCGTCGGCACAGACATTTAACATCACAACCCATGCCCGGAGCGGGCTCATCATCTTCGTCTTGCCATAGCTCGCATGCAACCTCATCACTCTCAGGACACCGTCCGAAATCAGGCCAAATGATCTGTTATCCCCGTGTAGACCTCGGACGAGTTGTTGAAATCATTCGCCTCGTAGCAGTGGTCGCAATTCATGGTCGTGGTGCAAGAATCCGCAGCTGCTAACGGCCACACTATGTGGGCCACGATCTCGTCTCTGTTCCATGCACTTCGTACCTGACGAGGAATCTTACACTCGTCATTGTCTTTCACTGCCCTGCATTCTCACATACATACGGTGGCGGAACGACTGCCTCTACGGCCCGGCCGACAGGTTATCCTCACACTTGTTCATGTTGATCTGACTCAGTCACGAGTCTCGTATTTCATGGTTCTCTTGATCTTGAGCATGGCCATGTCTTCATAGCTGCTTCGAAGATCCATAATTATATGTTGAACTGTCCTCTGACGTCTAATCGCGCCCTCAATCCTCATAAAGAAGACCGGTTTCTAACATATGTCCCCGAAGTACTGAAGAGCTCGTGGTCATAGGTCTTTTCTTATGACCATCCCGGCGATATCTTGCGGTACGTGATATACTGCTTCTACAGTCTTCTGAAGACATTTATTGCACCCACCTCTCAAAGCATCAGTCTGCCTGAGCTCAAGATGATGCCCCTCTCACACATCCTCGTTTCCCTGCTTCCCCTTGTCCTCATCACCCCACCCATCACCCAAGCTCAAATCACTTACTCAACCTACGCTGCTGACTCTGCCATCTCCCGAGGTCAAGGCAATGGTCTCTCTGCTGGGGTACCCATCGTCTCCTACGAACACGGAGAGTTTCAGTGGGCTTTGAGGTTACTGTATGAGCGTACCGGGAATCAGAGCTATTTTGACTATATCCAGGCGGGTGTGGATCGGAATGTGGCGGACAATGGAACAGTTGGGGGAGGGTACAAGTGAGTCTTTTGCTTCGCTGTGTGGAACCAGGAATGTAGGGGGGTGAGAGGATGAGGGCTGATGAGAGGTGTCGTGTCGCGTCGCACAGCCTCTCGAGCTACCAGCTTGATCCGGTGAGAGTTGGTCCGACCTTCGTATACCTGTGGGTCGAATCCCTACCATATCCCGTGATTATTCATAAATTAACATCAACCGCCTTCACGATATGCTTCGAAGGTATAACACCACCGGCGAGGCAAAATACCAAGAAGCAGCCGATCTGTTCCGGAAGCAGCTCGAAACGCATCCAAGAACGTCTGAGGGACAGTTCTGGCACAAGCTCATGTATCCGAGCCAAGGTATTCGAGAGTCTACATGTCATGACTGAAGACTTATTCTGACTGTCATTTAACTTTATTAGGATGGCTTGACGGAATCTACGTGAGTTATTTCAACTACCGCCGGCAGAAGTTACCATAGCCCTAATCTACTCGTCCTGCAGATGGGCTCCGTCTTCTACGCCACCTACACAGCCGCATTCCAGCCAACGAATCAATCAGCCTGGGGTAAGACATTTATCTCTCCTCTTCACTCCGATATGTACTCTTGGGCATCTCACCGGTCTAACGCCACAATCCAAACCCAGACGACATCCTCCTCCAATTTACCCTAATGCACAACCACACCCTTCAACTACCCTCAGCCCTCAACACGACCGACAACGAAACCTACGTCGGCCTCCTCTACCATGCCTATGACAACTCCTTCGTCCAAGACTGGGCCTCTCCCGACCGCGGCCACTCCCCCGAAGTCTGGGATCGTGCGGTCGGATGGTACATGATGGCGCTCGTAGACGTCCTCGACATCATTGACACCACGCCCGCCATATCCGCGAACTCCACTCTGGACCTGGAACCCCATCACGCGACGTTGCAAGGATATCTTTCTACACTCACCGATAATCTCATCTCCGCCGCCACCACAGACGCAGTGAACTCCTCCGACGCCTGGTGGCTCGTCATGTCTCAACCCTACCGCGCTGGCAACTACTTCGAGTCGAGCGGCAGCACGATGTTCGTCTACGCCATCCTCCGCGGTATCCGTCTCGGCTACATCGACGACTCGGACGGGAGTAAAGTGGAGGTAATGAAGAAGTCGTACGAGTATATGGTCGATAACTGGGTGATCCCGCAGGGTAATGGAACGATGGATTGGAATAATACGGTGATTGTGGGGAGTATGCAGCCCGGGAATGATTATGAGGTGAGCTTTCGGTTTGTCGCTTGGATGATGCATAGAATTGAGACTGATGAGTTGCGTACGGTGTGCAGTACTATGTCAGCCAGGCAATCGATATCAACGATTTGAAGGGCGTGGCGTCGTTCGTGCTAGCCAGCTACGAATATGAGCTGTTGTAGAATCTATAATGTACGGCGGCCGGTCTATGTCAACGAAGCTTCTCCGCTGTAGCCATAGCAGGTTCGGTTAGTTTGTGGCGCGTACGCCACACACCACAGCAATGAATACGAAGTAATTTTAATTGTCATTGGGGTGCTGTCTACAACTGACAATTGACATTCACCGAAAGGCAGGAGAAAATACAGACAGTCCAGAGCGACTCACGATCACCAAAATGATCCCCTGAAACAGACGTAGACACAGACACAAACAGAAAACGTCACGGAAAGGCAGAAGAAAAATGGACATCGACAGTCGAGACGACTAAAGTATACGAGTTCAAGAGAACCAAGACGAAAGCGAGGGTGAGGAGATAGCGCGACCACTGAAAGCGGGAGAGAAAAAACGAGTGAGAGAGTAGGTATGAGTGACGGCGAAGACGCGAAAAGGAATCAGAATAATCAAATCAAGCTTATCAGGTTCAGAAATCCAACATAGCCCCGGAGAACGCCAGACGCTCCACGAGCTTCATATTCCCAAAGCCTCTTCCATGGACGTCTGCACCCGTCTTCACGCTACTAACACTCTTCACCTTCGACTCGTCCAAATCCACGATGGAGGTCGCGCTGATATTATCCGTGGACGAAAGTCCGAGATTGCCGAGTAAAGGCTTGGTAAGCGAACTAGTGGACCCAGCGGCGGATGCAGAGGCGGTAGCAGAGGCAGATACGGATGCCACGAGAGGAAGGTTCAAGGCATCGAGGACAGCGCCGGTATTCGAGTCGAGTCCGAGGTCGGCGAGGATGTCTGCGATTGCGTAGCTGAGGTCAAGCGAGCTTGAAGTAGACGACAAGCATCCACAGCCGTTCAAGATTTGCGTTACAGCAGTGGACGAGCCACCGAGCCCGAGATTGTTAAGAACATTGTTGACAGCAGTGACAAGACCGTCAACGGAGCCATCTGAACCAATGAGTGAGCTGGAGGCAGCCGTGGTAGGAACAGAAGCGGGGCCTGAGACGGATGCAGTCGCAGAGGCAGAGACCGAGAGGGAGTCGGAGGAAGTGCCGCTGGTCGTGAGGCCCAAGCCATTGAGGACGACGTCGACCTGAGAGTCGAGCCCGAGGTCGGTGAGGACATTCGTGATATCACCAATGGTGTCGTTGAGGTCGAGCGATCCAGAAGAAGACGATCCACCGTTACAGTCATTCAAGCCTGCGACGACCGCGTTGACATAGGTACCGAGGCCGAGGTTGTTGAGCACCTCGGAGACAGCTTGATCGAGTCCGGAAAGCGAGAGGGTGTCAGAGCCGAGAAGGCCATCGAGAGAAGTTCCTAAGTCCAATCCACCGAGAAGGGAACCAGTGGCACTGGAACCAGAGGCTGAGGCGGTGATGGACACAGACACAGGGGCGGGTGTGGAAGCCGATGCTGGGGCGGAGATACCGATGGACGCAGTGGTGTCGGAAGAGAGACCCAGTGCGGCAAGGAGGCTGTCGACGCTGTTTCCGAGCCCGGAGCCGTTGAGGATGGTGGTGACCGCAGCAGCGACGTTGCCGGAGGTGAGCGAGCCGGATGATAGAGACGTAGAGGTGTTTAGAGCGCTAGCCACCTCGTCGGAATCACCGCCGAGTCCGAGATCGGTGAGAGAGTCAACGACAGCATTGACAACATCTTCAAGAGTGCAAGAGCCGCCTCCGTTGAGAAGGGAACCGAGAGAGACGATGGCACCGAGAGACGAAGACGAAGTTGCGGAAGAAATGGCAGAGACACCAACGGTGGCGGTGGCACTGGATGAAACGTCGACAACGTCCGAGCGGTTGGTGCGCGAAGATCGCTTCGTAAGGGTGCGTTTGGTGCTAGTGGAGACCTTGACGCAGCTATCGAGGGAGGAAGCAACTTCATACCCGGCATCGCAGCTCTGGACGGCACACTTGCCGCCCTCGCACGATACGCCGGAGACGTTAGGAAGTTGGGAACAGTCGACTCCGGAGGTCTGTTCGGAGGCGGAAAGGAAGGGGTTCACGTTGATACAGCCGCCGCCTGATGAGATAAATTCAAGTTAACTTGATATCGTATCAGACGAACGAAGGAACCCACAACTGTCAAGAGCCGTGTCGGTGTTGAGACACTCATATCCGGAACCACCCGTGTGAAGGCCACAGACAGACTCGCCCTTCTTGCAGGTACTGAGGGCCTCGTCGTAGTCGCGAACACCGCGAGCGATGATAGCAGCACGTTTAGTTTGGGTGGTAGAAGAGCCCTTTAAATGTCGTCAGTTAGAGGAAGATAACCAGAGGTGAAACCGAATGGGCGTACCTGGGGGAAGGTGCCACATTGCCCATTCTTCTCTGACAAGGGTGGAGGGCAAACACATTGATCCCCTTGTACGACATATCCCGAGCCACAAGTAAAGCCACAGGGGTCCGACTGCGAGCATAGAGCCGAAGAGTGGGCGGGGTAGGTGCACTGGCTAGATCCAGGACCATCGTTGATCTATGTACAGGTGGTCAATCACAAGCATGAGAAGGAGGGAAGTCAAACGGCCAACCAATGCGGTCAAAAGAGCTGTGACTTCATCATCGCCGAGAATGGATGCGAGGACAGAAAGACTCGTGTAGTCTTGGATGTTCAAAGGGAACGCAGAAGCGCAAAGACAGAGGTCCAGGTTGGCGACGGCGGAAGCGACATTAGGAAGAAGTCCCAGGACTCCGAGCTTGCTAATGACCAGGTCGGCGTCAATGTATGCACAGACGTCGATGAGAGCGCGAGGTTGATGATGGTGGCGAAGCGCACTCGGGCGGGCAACTGCGGGCAGCGCCAACGGCGCGAGAAGAGCCAAGGAAGAAATGAGCCTCGTAGTCAAATGCATGGTGCCGCTTGTGAGAAGTGGAGAAGCGAAAATAATGATGGTGAGGGCGGTCAGGCCCTGTGTAAAATAAAGGATGAGGTGAACCAAGCGGGTAGAGGAAGTGGGGGAGGTCGCGTCTTGGGTGAGGGGGAAAGGGTAGTTGGGGGTGGTCGACGGCGGTGATTTCCTTTATAAAGCGTACGGAGACACTGGACTTGAATAAGTGTCGATCTCGGCCATGTTCGACTTGCAAAGGATGGAGCCTCCGGGGGAGCGACAGACTCAACTGAACTAGAAAACAGATCGCAAAACTGTAACTGCATCCGTTGGAAGGCGGGCATCGATGATCGCGGATAGCATTCAATAAAAGGGCTGCGAGTTGGCCGAGACTAATCATACATCGGCGGCTTCACCAATGGTTGTCTCCCGAAGACAGATTGTGGAGAGCGGGAGCATCTCTCGCACTGTCGATCCGAGGCGGGCGGGATTCAACCCACTACAAGCAGAGCAAAAAAGAACCAATGTCTGACACCTGCGTATAAATCATCATTGCTGGGTAACGAAAGACTATGTGGACGCTGGTCAAGAAAGTAAAAAAGGAGGTCGAAGAGACATTGATACAAGTCGGAAGTTGGAGATTTCAACTTGTTCGGAGTTGACCGAATGTTCCCACGAGCATCTCTTTCATGTTGCTTTCGTGGCGGTGGCGAGCCATCCTACCAAGTATTTTCTGGCTGCAATAATCATCATTGTTCGTTAGTTTGTGACAGGAAGCCCCAGTAGTTCTGTCAATAAGATACATCCATATCATACAACTAAAGCTTTTCATCATGCGTGAGAGAGAATGAGTTCAAGTGATGGTCACTGTCAGAAGGGTAACGATTCCATCGATCGCGATGCCTGTATCCCATAGCAGTCAGTCGTGTAGGTCGGGATCAGTGAACCAGGGAACTTTACCGTGGTTGAGGCCGTTACTTCCGGCGGCTATCAAGCCAGTTATGTTTTGAGCGATAGTAGAGTACGTGATGCCGCCGAAAGAGGTCGTCCCAGTCGCAGCTACGGCAAATAGATCCCTGTATGAAGCTTCAGCACAGTCCATCAGGGCAGAAAAAGAGTTAGATGACTTACCTGCCGATATCATAACCATCTGGCACGATGGTGTGGCTCTCCGTGATGGGCTAACAGGCGGTCAGAACCGAATAAATACAACAATAATCCACAAATACATACCTCTTCCTTGGATACCCTGTCGATTGGATACGATCAGTGTCATTTGCATCTAAGTCTGAGGAAACGCACGTACGCGAGGAAAAGTGCACCCGTATCGGCCAAGATACCATTCTGACGAAACATCCTGAGTCGCATATGCAGTTTATGAGCCACTTGCGCAAAATATCAAGAATTCAATCTGGAAGTCATCGAAGGTATCCCTCACCTGAGATGATTCCCTCCAATCAAAGACTCTAGGCACGTGCCTGCAGCAGCGTCGCCGAAATCCTGACGTGTAGTTAATATAAACATCCCTTTTTACGAATAAAATATTTTGCTTGGCGTTAAACAATTACCTGACGCAGCTCGACGGTCTGATTCACCGCGCCGTTTCCATCGCCCAAATTCGCACTCTGAGGAGCCCCTAGGTGAATACCCAAGCATTCAGTTGACCTAAAACGGCATGACACGTCGTCAGTTCAAATAGAAACACACGGTAAGGTATATGATGCGACGCACATTCCTGCAGCCCGAGCAAAGTTGGTGAACCCGTCGTCCGTGAGCACGTCCGCCGAGCTCAAACCCGAAATAATTACCTGTAGAATCAGTTTAATAACGCGGTAAGACATTGTACAGTACAACAGTATAACACAACAGAGACGTACGTTCAGCGGTTCTCCCAATCCACCACCCGCATCATCAAGCAATGATCCGCCTAACAATGTAGGATCCACGAAGGCAAGCAGAGTCGGAGCTCCGAGGGCAAAAAGAATCTGAACAGCGAAGACAATAGACAATATGAGGGGAGACATTACGTCGAATACGGCGGTCATTGATAGCAGAGGGATAGGATCTGCTCCGAGTCGATGAGAGCAGCGAGTAGAAGCGGTGGCGGTGAAAGTGCGACGAGGCGAGAGAGCACACACCCTAAGATGTCGGTATTACGCGTTCTTTTTATCGAAGAAACCGATGCATTGCGCACGACGTGAATACTACTCTTTGATGAACGTGGGGGCATGGTACCATGAGGCCGGCTGAGAACCTCATCTCAATGCCCAGAAAGTAACGGTCAGGCGGAGGTTCAAGTCACAGTGCTCGACAAAAAGAATCCCTCAGAAGGTCATGCACGGATACCCCTGGAGTATTGTCAATGGCTTTTTGCTGCTCGAATCATCCTACCGAACGAACAAACGCTGCAGCATACCATCTCAGAGAACGTGTCTTGCTAGGATTTCCCCGTTGAAGATAGAGTAAGGCACGAACGTGATTATCGATAGTGTCTGAAGATGGCCTAAGTTTTCCCATAGAGCACTCTAAGAATATCGTCGTTTCGCAGGCAAATAGAGCGGAACAAGCAAATCCTGACAGGACTGCGCGCCAGACTCATCCAAGCGAAGCATTTTCGAGCGAGATGAGCGTGGCGTCCGAGAACAGAGATCATTCGACGCCAGCACCCTAACGGGATCCTCGGATATCCCCAGGAGAATAAGAACTCGCTATATCTGAGGATCACAGGATGAGTACAGTCCTTGGGGGACGAAGGATGGACGTTGGAAGCTTAAGTGGATCGAAAGATGGAGCTCTTCGGGACGTCAACGAGTGTTACTGCATGTAGATAAAAATTTAAATATGTACATGACTTACATGGCTACCTGGCGCAATGGTAGCGCGTTTGACTTCGATTGTCTCTCGCTATCAAAAGGCTGCAGGTTCGAGTCCTGCGGTGGTCATTACATCTTATCTCTTCATTTTTTGCACGCTTCATTTTTCTCCAATTGTCGTATCTTTTGTAATTTGGAGCACCAAATATGTACTGCAATCATGCTCTAAACATATTCTGCTCTGCGATGGAGGATATCGGGATATTCGACCAAGTTATGCGCCACTGTGGCGTCGTACGTAACCCCAAGGTGGTGTTAGGGCTTGGGACCGCCTGCTGCAATGATTTGACTCGGTCAGTCACGCCTCAACGGATGGTATTTACAGTGCGACAGCTCAGGACAGCAGCCAGACGGATCTCTGTACGACCACGATCTTCACCTGCCGCATTACTTTGTCGATTTTATCGCGATATGGCGAATCTACCGGTCAACAAAACTGCCCATCCGTTCTCTAAAGGCCAATTTGAGGCCCTGCTTAATCGCAGATTCTTCTACGCACCTGCATTCGAGATCTATGGTGGTATGTGCTTATGATATATTATCTTGGGGCTGACTTGGGTTTTACATCTCATGGAGGAAAAGGTTTGTCGAGAAACGGAACGCTGACTCTCTCGTGTGCCCAGGTATTGCCGGGCTGTACGATTATGGTCCCCCTGGCTCCTCTTTGCAAGCCAACATAATTGCAGAATGGCGCAAACACTTCATCGTCGAGGAACACATGCTCGAGATCGACTCAACCTGTATCACCCCTGCCCCCGTCTTTGAAACCTCTGGTCACGTAGCTAGGTTCGCAGACTGGATGGTCAAGGATACCAAGACCGGCGATGTCCTCCGCGCGGACCATCTCGTTAAAAACGTGCTCGAAGCACGACTCGCTGGAGATAGGGAGGCAAGGGGTTTGGCAGCGCAGCCAGCGAAGGAGGATGATAAAAAGAAGAAGAAAAAGAAGGATGTGAAGAGTGCGGTAGTTCAGTTGGCGGACGAAGTGGTGAAGGAGTATGATAATATCTTGGCTCAGGTTCGTCTATCCCTTCATCAATTTCGTTTCGAAGCTACTCTTCGTCATGGATATAGCATTGTCTCGCAATGGTCGAGATATACTCCGATCGCAATGCTCTCCGCTTTCTATGACCAACAAGTTCGCAGTGTCGCCACTGTGGCGCACCAACCGTGCCCATTGATGCGTACGCAGTGAACGAACGAGTGGTCATTCCCCTCCGCAATTATGCAGAAATTTTTCTATCCTTCAAATCGTCCTTGTCATTCTACAACCGTCTGATTAGTCGTCCTCGTCCTCATCCTCGTCCTCATCCTCTTCACGGTGGTGTGCGTAAAACTGACGATCCTTTCCTTGCAGCTCGACAACTACTCTGGCCCAGAGCTCGGTGAACTTTGTCGAAAGTTCAACATCAGGAATCCCGATACCGACAACGAAGTCGGGGAGCCACAGCAGTTCAATCTCATGTTCACAAGTAGCATCGGGCCTACTGGTCAACACCCTGGGTGCTTATACACACTCACTACCATCTTTTTCTTTGTTCTGACTTTCTACGGTTTGTCTGCAATACCACAGCTACCTTCGCCCTGAAACCGCACAAGGCCATTTCCTCAACTTCTCTCGTCTGCTCGAATTCAACAACGGTCGCATCCCCTTCGCTTCCGCCCAGATCGGTCGCTCCTTCCGTAATGAGATCTCTCCACGCGCAGGTCTCCTCCGCGTTCGCGAGTTCACCATGGCCGAAATCGAGCACTTCGTCGACCCAGAGGACAAATCCCACCCACGCTTCAACGAAGTCCGCTCCGTCGAGCTCTCCCTTCTTGACCGTCACGTCCAATCCTCCGGCTCCACCAAGATCACACGCATGACCGTTGGCGAGGCTGTAGACAAGGGTATCATCGCGAACGAGACGTTGGGGTACTTCATCGCGCGGATAAAACAGTTTTTGATCAAGATCGGCGTGGACGAGAACAGGCTTAGGTTCAGACAGCACATGGCGAACGAGATGGCTCATTACGCCACGGACTGCTGGGACGCTGACATTGAGAACTCCTATGGATGGACGGAGTGTGTTGGATGTGCGGATAGGGCGGCGTATGATTTAACGGTGCATTCGGACAAGACGGGGCATCCGTTGGTGGTGAGGCAGGCATTGAAGGAGCCGATCGTGACGGAAAAGTTGACTGCTGAATTCAACAAGAAGGTGGTGGGGAAGGCGTTCGGGAAGGATGCGGGAGTCTTGCAGAAGATGTTTGCGGATATGGATGAGACGAAGTTGGAGAAGGTGCAGGGTGAGCTTGCGCAGGGGTAGGTCTCTACCATCCTTTCGCCTCGCGTCTAGCGTGTATCATGTGGCGACGGTCGGTATTTTGCTCACGATTTTTGTTCAGGTCTTCGACGGTCGCGACTCCTGACGGCAAGGAAATAAAATTGACTCCGGAGATGCTCACCATAGAGCGCAAGACCTTCAAACAGTCTAGTGAGTACAAAGGCCACTACGTACACAGATGCATGGCAGAGCTGCCACACGACTCAATCAGATGACTCTGCTTGCTAAATGACTGTTTGACCATCTATCTTCTCATCATCGTCATCACGTTTCTTTAGTCCGTGAGTTTACGCCGAACGTCATCGAACCCTCCTTTGGTCTTGGTCGTATCCTCTACGTCCTCCTCGAACATAACTTTTGGGCTCGTGAACAGGATGTTGAGCGCGGCGTGAGTCAACTTCATCCATAATCATCAATCGGTTCCCAATTTCGAAGTCGTTCTTCCTTTTCCGGTCTCGTTATCTTTCGACGGCTTCTCCTTTTTCTGCTTTTGTTCCTGATCCCTACGTCTCTTTACTCCCGTCGCCATCTCTTACCCACATTCATCGGCCTCGGCCAATTGTGTTCACTGATTTTTTGAGCTCATTAACTGACGTCGCTATTACTCTAACTCTAGGTCCTCTCTCTTCCCCCGGTCGTGGCACCGACCAAAGTGTTGATCGTCCCTTTGAGTGCAAAGGAAGAGTTTGATCCTCTCATTCGCGAAGTTTGTACGTCACAATCCATGCCGCTTTTTCTATTCTTTGCTCCCCCATCATGCTGTCCTTGTACATCTGCGTCACGTCGATCCGAAAGCCGTTGCGGTCAACTATCACTATGACCATGGGCCGCGACTTCTGGACGCACTGTAACGTCAGCAAGTTGATCGTCTGACTCTCAGGGTGCTGAGGGCGTTCAGCAATGATGCCACGATGTTCTTGCATGTCCCGGTTCAAAGCGTGGATGTCGTTATCCTTCCCCTCTCCGTCATTCCCAACGGTTAATGTAAACGCTAACGAGTTCTTTATCTTCTCTTGTTTTCCCCGCATCGTCATCGACATCGGCACTCAATTATCCCCGCAAAAACTCAGCCTCAAAACTGCGTAAAGCCGGCGTCTTCTCGCGCGTCGACGATTCAAACACATCGATCGGCAAGCGCTACGCACGCAACGACGAGCTCGGCACACCATTCGGCGTGACACTTGACTTTGCCTGTACGTTTATCCCTTTTCAGCTCTTCTCTCGTTTTCTCCTTTCCCCCTTACTGCGCCCACATACGTCCACATCTCGACCTTCTTCCGCTTTCACTTCATCCCCATTCGCCGACTCTATGTAGTCCGTTTATACGCCTTTCGCCCGTTATATTTCCGCTCCATTAGACGAAACTGACTGACTTGACGCATCTTCCACTACGCCCGCGATCCGCATTGTGCGATTCTCTGTGGGTCATTTCCGTATGCATGCTCTGACGGAACGCCCATCCATCACGCGACATGCACTGAACACGTCTGAACTCGACGCACGATCACCACTTACGACACGAATGTAACGCAACCATTTCACGGGGGTTCCACGTCAATAGCTGTCCAGAACCGAACGATGACACTGCGGTGAGTGACTATCCTTCAACTTTCGTGTTTTTGTTCGTCCCGTTCTTCTATTCTCATCTTTCGTCGGATGCTCTGCCTATTTCGGGTCGGCCGATGGGACATCGAGAGGTCATGCGTGACCGTGTTGGATGGTCACGAGCCATATTCTGTCCCTCACTTTTCCTCGGCCTTCCTCTATTTCGCGGGTCTGTGAACGGCGCGGGTGATGTGTGGTCGTCGAAGAGACTTTGCGCCCTCGTCATACATCAGCCTTCCTACGGCATCATCATTGCCGAAACCCTCGAAGGTCACGTTCTGCACTTGTTCATCCGCCAACTGTTCGCGGAACTGAATGCACCGTTGTCGCCGCCTTGAATATATCCTTACTCCGCGGCGTAGTCTTTCTTTGAGCTCAAGCTTTACGCCCAACCGTGGAATGCATCACTGCAATACCACTGCCCGTCGTTCGAGGCCCTAGGTCGTTCAGCCCGTCATCGGTCATGGGGTTTCCAGAGCGTGAATATACGACGTGTTTCCTCTCCTTCTCATGATTTGCAGCGCGGGTTGGTGACGTTTTGTCTATGTAAATTGGGTATCGTACCGTCATACCGCCGGTTCGACCACAACGACGGTAAAATAGTTCTGATTCCTGATTGATTTTGATTTTTTCCTGATCCTACTCCTTCTGGTTCTCTCGCTGTGTCTTCTTTTCCTCTTCGCAACTATCCTTCTTCCTACCGGACTATTTGCTGACCAAACACTCTTTCTTGATATTCTTGATGTGCGGACGAATGGGGAATCCATGGATTTGTGGACGAACGGGAAACGGGAAACAGGGAACGCGACACGACGGGCCAGCTCATCGGCGATATCGACCAGGTCATTGGGATCTTGACGGAACTCGTAGACGGGACGATCGACTGGGCCGAGGCATGCAAGAGGTTGCCGGCTTATGACGGCGTGCAGGCCATCGATGCTTAAGCTCCCAAGCGCAAACAAAGCGGGTCGAGGTCTGGGTGCTGGGTGCTGGGTGATGTCAATGAGCCTTGTTTACCCCGCACTGTGCTGTTTTTGGAACGCTTCTTTAGATCGGCTCTGGGGTACGATGTGTGGTTCGAGGCCGGGGTGATTGTGTGAATGAGGTGGAGTTTGGATGAGGTACGATGTGATGTGGTGGGTGTTTGTACTTACAGGTCCAGGCTCATCGGGAGATGTATCGAGAAGGATGTCGTTGAGGGTCCTTGTTGCTCGTTGTGATGAGGCCTTGTGCGTTAAAATTTCGGGTTCTCGTGTACATATGATGCGGGGTCTGCTTTGGAGAAGCCGAGAGAGAAGGAGAAGTTACTGATTTGTACTGTAAGAATGATATTGCAGAGAACAAGGTGAAGCTTTAGATATGGTGTGTCTTTACCATGAAGGTTTTCCGTCACAATGATAGACTGTAGTTTGACCTCATCTTGATCATGATGCCAGTAACACCGGCCATTCTTTACAAGCGATTCTTCAGGCGTCGTCGGTGTGGCCCAATTCGGATACGCGGTGCCACAACGTAGAAGGGCTGACGGCGATTTGACGACAAGCGACACGGAGACGACGGAAGCAAATCGCGTGGCGCCATCCGTCTCAACTTCATCCGGACTTCGAGCTCTCGAAAGTTGTCCCCTTGAGCATGCCGAGGCTTCTTCAAGGGGCTCTCATAATTCTTCCCAATGGCCGATCGTCGTCATGGCCATCTGACGCGTCGACCCCTCAGACCTGAGGCTTGAGCGTGTTCTTGATGAGTTGCTAGACATGAAACTCACAGAACTTCCTGTGATCACTGTGGTGTCAGGATACCCCCCACGAACGCTGCGGCTTCGCGCAGTCCTGGAATCTGTCGCCATATCGCATTCCAAGTGACCACGCACGCCTGTACAGCATTGTTGGTTATACCGGGTAGTCCAGGGAATGATTTCAATAATCCCACAGCTTTATTCTCTCCAATGAAGCGCTCGTGATGTTATATGTGAATGAGACATATCAGGCCTTGAGCGTGAAAACGGGTGTGAACAACGGTCATATGAGATTGGACAGATGGCTCGGAGTCAGACGGAGTAGTACATGGAATGTCTCTTTCCGTTCCGTCCAAGCCAAACGCTAACGCTCATTTACCACCGCTGCATGCGACCTCCGTGGGCGTCATCATGAAAGGTTACAGGACATATCCACTCATACTCCCATTGAACCTAACTTTGGATTAACCGTGCCCATACTTGACCAATCCCGCGTGAAGTAAGCCGGATACAGCACCATTGCACGAGAGAATGCAGAGGTTGACATTGAAGGCTAAATCTGGTGTATGTGGCCCACAGTCATTAGCTAGTATAAGATGGAAGAAGATAGGTGATGTGATGGATGGATGAGCGGAAGTGAGGCGCAACTTCTTCATTAGACACTGAGGCAGTGTCATAGGGTTCTCGACGAGGTCGTAGCATGCGAGATAGGTGAGGCAGAACAAAGCAAGACAGGTACGCTCGAAGTCATGCAAGCTTCTGTTCTTGCGTATGATCGTGAGCTTGCAGGCTGCAGGCTGTAAGCAAGTCAATGCGTCTGCCGGTTAATCGAACCCAAGGGGCGTTCACCGGGCTCATCCGCGACTCCGACCTGGAGTGCTGCACCCCCTACCAAGTGCCCGGGGTCATGGGTGGCGATGTGGCGGATGAGACTCTTGCATGCCATTGAACACATATTCTCGTGACACAGCCCCCCAACAAACACCCAGAAGATGTAAGAGATGAATTTTGTTACCATTCTAACACACAAAATCTGACATTATGGTCTCTGTGGATGAGCAGCAGGTAGGGGGCTTGATCGAACCCCCTATTGCGCCACCGCCACCCATAGATGCCCCAGATATGATGCATAACCGCTTGAGGCGAACATGAATTCATATACGAGCTCGGACTGGGGACGCGTAAGTCCCCCACAAAGGATCACTTGGAAATCAAAACATCATTGTGAACGCATGGTCATGTTCGAGATCCGAGAGACCTATCTCTCGCATCTTCCAATGACCTACTACGCCACGCGTGGCCTCAGACCGTTTCCTGTCCGGCCAGACGAGCGCAGGAGGCCCGAGTTTGAGGAACAAAAGGATCGATGATATTGTCGTCAGCATGCGTGTGGGGTTCTACAGGGAAGAGACGAACGGGCCTATTGAGGCTCTCGGTCTCGGACTCACCTGAATTCCAGCTCGAGAGAGAACCAGGAAGGCGGAGTGCTCAAGATGGGAGACTGGGCGTTGGCGTCCATTTGAAGTCTCTCGAGTACTTGTTTCGAGTCCACGATGCAGGATAGATGATAGATGAATTTCGACACTATGGATCGATAGGCAACACCGGCGGTATGACCAGGGCGGTATGAAAGGGCAGTGTGAGCAAGTGCTGAGCCGCAAACTTGAAGGGCTGTGTTTGCCGGATATTAATCAGCAGACGACCAACAAGGGGATGTGGATAGATGAGGATGTGACTGACACTGATAGCTGGAGGGCTTGGTCATCAAGAAGAGTATGGAGATGATTGACCTTCAGAACACGAAACCGCAACCATCCGCTCTTGACAGGGCGAGACGGACTCGGAGGTGAAGAAGCAAGCGCTTGGCTTCAATCATGATTTGGGATGGCTTCAAAGCTTATACTGCGAACAGATGGCAAGCGTTAGAGCCTACAGAAACATCAGCATCATCATCTCTAAGGAGTGAACAAGCGGACTTTTATAGGACTAAGGGACGACGTTGAACGAATATCTGTCTCACTTTCATCACTGAGCGGTCATGTTCAACCTCACAGCAGTTCCTACATGTAAGAAAAGTCCTAACAAGTAGTAGAGATATCAGTCCCTGAAACCCAAAGCATTGATAGAAGAGAAATCACGAACTTTTGACCTCTTGCAACCATCACCATCCGGCAACAGCTAACATCCTGTCTATCTTGACGCGAAAGCCTGTTGACAGGAGAACCAACATAGAAAGCGCCGGGGCAGGTGCAGGTGGACCTCAGCGTCATTGCCTTTCAATTTTATGACCCCTGGCAGCACGGATCACCGAAGTCGCAAAGATAGCTCAGTATATAGCATACATTGATATTGACGGAAGGCAAAGTGGACCGAACATATACATAGACAAGACCGATCCAGAACCAAGTCAAGGAAACCACGCCAACACCGCGACAATGATGTAAAGCGGGTCAGAAGTTGCTCGAGACCTCGACCGTCCTGTTACAATGAGCCCCGAGAGAATAATAGCCAGAGTTGCACCCGAGGAGTTAATGATCTCTTGGTACATGAGCTGACGCTGGAACGCGTCAACGACAGTCGAGACTCGAGTGTCATAGTACCATCCGAGACGGTCTAACCCCCGAAATACACAAGATCCCCAGGTCTTGAGCAGTGAGCAGCCGCCGCACAATAAATATACTGAAATAGAAAGAAGCGACCACATCGTCCAGCTCGCGAGGCCGGTAACTGAACGACCGAATGAGCTCTTCAAACCCCGAAGAGTCCTGAGATGCAGTCATCGCAGGGGACGTCAGAGTGCAAGAGAGCGAGCGAGTACCGGAGCGCTTGAGAACTGGTCGATGATTGAGAGTCTCACACTCCGGTGGTACTATATCACGCCGCGTGCCTCCTGATTCCCCCTGTGGGCAAAGTGTCTTGGACGCGAGGGATTCAGCACCCTTAGGCCAAGTATGTGAAGAAGTGAGCAAAGATGACGGGACGACCGAGGACTCTATAAACACAAGCCTCGTTCTCGCCAAGCATGTCCACGGATGAGTCAGTCCCTGTTAAACGTTGCGGATGCAAGACGCAAGACGCGTAAGTGTGGGGAGGCCTGGTTTTGCTGTAAGTAATAATAATCATGAGAAGATATGAGAGTGGGAGGGTATGCACACCGCCGGGACGAACTTTAGTGCGTTGCTGTTGGCCATGGCACCCACAGTCCGACGAGCCGAAGCACAAGAATATGATGACGGGCGAAAATCATGTTGTGTACAATGCGGCCTATCAACGATAGCTAAAGGGAGATAAATCAGAAAGAGTAAGACCAACGGAAGTCCGAGCTGAAGGGCCAAAGTGAGTGTGTGTGAGACGTGCGGTACGGATAGGGTAAAGCCTCTCTGAACCGTCTCGTCTAGCTCAGCACTAGAGGGGCCCATCAATGGGTCGCGGGCAACGACAGGCGAACACAAGGTGGAACGGATATTTGCAGGTGGTACATAGGTCGAAGAAGGGGGACAGGGAGGTAGACTCGTGACCCGGATGCCGACGACGATGCCGTGCGTACATGGGAGGTCCGATGATACTTGCTTCACGGAGATTGGGAAGCGTGTGCGGCTCGTCGTAACAGTAGCACCACGAATATCGTTATCTTCTGATGTTATTCGAACAATAGTTAGCTCGCTGATGGCAGCTCGCACGGAATAGAGTAAGTGAGAAGTGGCAGGGTGGGCGGCGAAGTGACTTCGAGGAATACCTCATGTAGATGGATGGTAAGGCTCACGCATGTTTCCTACCATCTTCGAGGGGATTTGGCCATCTCTTCCGATATCCAGGCTCGGTAGCTACTGGCCGATACTTCCGGATTTCGTCTTCAAGTCCGAGGTACAGTCCAATGCAACTAAGCCTGCTTCACAACCGTAAGCATTGATCGGAAGGCTAAGCTCGCTACAAAGGGTACTTGATCGGCTCTTTCCATCAACTGAGGAGGATATATGCATAATGGGAAGCTTATACCTCTACCGAGTTGAGACAAAGCTGAAAGGGCACTCGCATATCCCTTTCGGGCTTCAGACGAGGACAACGACACAGAGGAACTTCGGGTGCAACGACCATATGCAAACGGGCGCGGGCGCGGTCGGACGGCTATAGCTGGGTATATCTCAAGCAGTAAGTAAACACCTTGCGATGACAAATGCAGTCCAGATATGTAGAGCGACGACTCACAAAGGGATCAAGTAAAGCACGCAAGGCTGTGGAACAATTGCAGCTGACTATCGTCTGCGTAAGTCTACGCTTTTACTCGTGTTTGGAGAACATATGATACATTGAATTTGAGGGTGGAGTAGCGTCGAACTCTTCGAAGAAAAGAGGTTTGGGCTTGATGCGCGAAATACGCTGTATGCGGATCTTTGGTGGATATATATGTCAGTTAAACTGGCAAACGTGCACTCGATGCTCAGCGCTTGCCTCGTTCGATGCTCCATTATACAATCATAGAAAACTTGTCAAAGAAACTCGACACACGACTCGGTCGAAGGCCGAGGAAAAGTCAGCCGAAAGCGAAGCGTTAGGCATACACAGAGAGCTGGACATATCGGACGACGACAAGCTCGGGGATCTATGATTATAGCATCAGAACGTGCCGTCGGTGTTGGCGGTCGCCACACCCGCAAGGGATGTGGAGGGACATGTACGAAGATCTCGAAGCTCTTGAAGCGCACTATAACAGAATCCGAGTCCAAACTCATAGCAGTAAGTCCCCAAACAAACGATAAACCAGACATGCAGCACGTTCCTTTTTATAGCACACCCTAAGTGGCACACGCCTCCGACACCCGCCCTCTGAATCCCATCCCTCCCGCCCGCCTGCAATGCATCCAAACTAGTATTCGAGCTCCACAAGTCTCGAACTCATTGATGCTCCACATCCAGATCCTCCATCGACAATGCATGAAGTCCTATAGTTCAAGAAGCTCGGGCCCGGAGTGCGAACTTGTCGTCCTCGTCTATAAGTAAAAGACCGGATTGACAATCTTATCTTACTATAGCGCGTCCGGATAGGGTCGAGAACATGAAGTACTAATAGTAGTTTTACTCCACAGAGCATAGCAGTATTGGATAGTCAGATGCTAACGCAGATAACGAGCGAACAAAGACGAGTCAGAAACAGAAGAGTCGACGAAGGGAGAAAACCCGGCTCACGAAACACGATATGGGCTGGAGGCATAGATTGATTGTGCGTATCTGTAGGTATCAGTAAAATGAAAGTAGGATCCGCTCGATACACGGAACTACAGGGTGCTGGTGACTCGTCTTAGCGTTGAGTCTTTACTGCCACTGAGTAGGAGCAGACGCGCAAATACGGCTGCGGTACGAACGTTCCTCTGCCGAGCTTAGAGCAGCCAGTAACTCTGTGGCACCCTTTCGTATCTGAGTCAAAGGAGGGACGCGCGCATGACTGGGATCAGTGACTCGAAGATTCGAAACATTCAACATGGGGAGAAACTACGAGGAACACTTGACCGACCTGCAGGTCTGCAGGTCTGCTCGCAATCATGTTCATGTTCTGAACCATCCCAGTACCTTCTACCGTTTATCCCAGGACTTCCTTACCAGCGTTTCATTAGAGTATGCCTCACGCTGCGACAGACCCGCGAATCCGCGAAGAGGACAGAAGGAGGGAAAAACCCACGATACCCGCCCCGTGCCATTGCATCCTGGCAAGTTCCGTCGGGCTGAAAGGTGTACGCTCGGTTTCGGTTTCAGGACAGAACATCTGCCTCGTCGCGAATACTTTCCTGATGAGGACGGTTCCGAGGCGCAGGGAGGGAGGAAGAGCGGCTGAGACGGGGAATGGATGGGGAAGGATGGGGAAGGATTGAGGATGAGCGGTGGGGATGTGGATATACCTAGATGGTGATACCGAGCGAGTCCGCGAGTTCCGAAAGCCTGAAAAGGCGAGCGTTTCGTACTACTGAGTGCAACGTGAAGATAGTCTTTGTATTTCGTGAGGGCCAGAGGTTCTGGGAATCTACATACGAAACAAATAGGCGTAAAGCGTAAAGTCAAAGGGAAGCACTACTCGATACATACAATTTCGAATGATGCAAAGCTCTGTCCGCGGTGAGTCTATGCCGGGGATCATGGGATGTGATGCAGAGAAAAGATAAAGGAAACTCGAGACCTGGGTCTTGTTCAGATAAGTAAAGACGGTTCAGGACCGCGGTTTTTGACGTCGCAGGTGCGCGCCCATATGTCTTTATGTACTTTCCATACCAGCGTGTGCTCGTCGGTGCGGTGAGGTGATTATGAATTTATGATATGAGGTGGGGTATCTTAGCCTGTCCTGGGACGACAATTTCCGAAAGTCGGCGGCGGCGTTGTTGGGATATGAAGAAGATGGTGGTCCTGGCAGGTCACGGTGGTGATATGTAATATGCAGATGATCATGACGACACGGCATGGAGGCAGGCTAGACTGGCTTGCTGTGAGCAGTGCGGCAATGGCGGCTCGCTAGGGCGGTTCGAATAAATCAGAGAAGAACGCGGCGACTTGTTCTTGACGTCGGGGGAACCCCACCGGCGAAGGGTGAGGCGAGGCGAGAGTCGAAAAAGGGTGACGGTGAGCGGATGCGTGCACAGCAGGAATGAGGCATGGAGAGGAGTGAGATGGAGGTCGGCTTGCTGTGAGTACTTCTCGAGGACGAATACGTACTCGAACGTTGTCGTGGACGAAATCGCATCGGTATCATGTCTGTTCTCTATGTCGGTCCTGGTTATCTCTCGTTCCGAAAGCTACGCCGAGTCGCCTCGGACTCGGTGCTCAGAAGAGGAGAAATCCGGCCATCTTACCAGCACGCTGGGACTGGCGGCAGGCAGATCGCGAGTTCGAGGCCGAGGAAGGGAATTACCGTTTGTGGAAGAGGGAGAGACGCCAGATGGCAACGCGCGTCCGAGTGCCCGATTGGCTGGAAGGTGACGAGAAGGTTGCTCGCGGAGAGGCACTCACAGATTGAGCGCGAGATCTGTGCGAGATCCAACCTTCCTCTGCGCGCGACTGGCGATCTGGGCCTCTTCCCACCCGCGCCCTATAAATTCTCCTACCCTCCGCAACCGCCACCCACCGTATCCCCCTCCACTACACCGCAGACGCAGACGCAGTGCTCGTCTCCCGACGCTTTATCCTCCATTTCACTACCTTGCTGTATCTTTATCAACTCTCATACCCTCCTCTTTGTACCACCCCGCCATTCGACATGTCGCACAAGGCGTCAGTACCAACCCACCTCGTCGCCCTCCCCAGCGTCTCCGCCTCCCTCTCTTCATTACCACAAGTCAAGTCCATGGCCAACGTGTCGATACACACTCCATCCCATCTATCCGCACATGCAGCAGAGAGCGAAGCCAAGGTGCGTTCAGATCAACCATTCCTCTCCGATTTAAACTGACCATGGTCCCTTTCATCAGCTCAAAAAAGCATTATCGAAGAACTCGGCCAATCTGCCTTCTTCGCAGTCAATACACTACGGTGCCATCGTGAGTATCATTTTCTCGAATGTCATACATATCATGCATCTGCTTACACCCGCTCTCCCACCCCAGCCATCGACACCATCGAATTCATCACAACCCCTCATGATGAGAAAACCTGTGCGTCCTTCTCATCCTTATCGCGCCGTGAATTTCGCTGACTCGTCTGTCAGGTTAGAACAAAATAGTGGGCCTTCGGGTCTACTAAACGCGCTCGCTCTTCGCTTCATTCTAGACGTTCATCCTCTCATTCTTCGCTGGTCTATTTGGGCATGGGACTTTGCCGTGCATCTTCGATTTTTTTCTTCTCTTTCTGTCCACTCCATGATATTGTCTTTCGATCGCTAGCTGTCCCTCGTTCTCGGTTCCTCTGCTCTCTGCCCGCTCGCACTTAGACGTCTCTTCTCTCTGGCTCGTCTCTGGTTCTCGTCGTCGCACATCTCTCTCACTGTCTTCGTTGCATTCATTCCCCTACACATATCTCCTCACTGCTGCTACCCCTCTCACCCACCCTCTTGCACATACATACATACATAAGGGTACATACATACCAACACGACGTGAACATCGCACATACTTACTTACCTACTTACCACCACCTACGTACATTCACATTTTTGCTGATTCCCTCGCCAACCACACAATCTGTTCATATTTTTCGCAGTTCCGACCGTTCCTCTTTAATCACTTCATGCATGCATGTTCGTCTTTTCTCAGGGGAGTCTCGGGGCGCCTTTCTTTTGTGCTGGCAATCTTGCATTTCTATTGACCATGACCGACGCCTTGCGTCATGGCAACTCTCAATAGTAATATTTTTTCAAACATCATCATACTACCCCTGTCTGCCTGCGTGTGTGTGCAATCCAAATCTGAATCTCGACACCAAACCGACTCCACAATGAAGTCCAAGATTACAACCTTCAGCTAAATTATCAACCTTTGGTTATCAGGCTCAAGTATGTCGCAAAACTTGCATTTGGCTGGTCAGCCATAGCGAAGCCTGATAGCAGTCATAATGCCTGAACAGGGAGCGTGCATGACCGGACCAGCCCACATCGGGCCTGAGCAGGGCTGAGCAAGGCTGGTGCGGGCTGGTCATCTTGAAGTCGTCTGCTGAACAGAGCTGAGCAGGACTGGCAAGGACTGGTCATTTTGGAGCCATCGGCTGAGCAGGGCTGATCCTGGCTAATAATGTCTGTACATAGCTCTGATGCCATTGGCCAGTGCTGAAGAGGCCTGACCATGTCTGATCGCTGAAATAGTATACTGGACTACAGGGACCTTGCTAGGCCGCCTCGACCTCAAGAGAGGGAAGATGAGGGGTGAAAGATCTGGCGGAGCATTGTGGGCATGCATTTCGCGCCACGAAAGACCACGATATATTTAG